TTAATTCTTCATTTTACATATCCAAGAATTAGGTTCTATTTGGAGATGCTTTTTTATTCCTTGTTGCAGGACTGACAGTTGACGATCCCCGGACTCTGATTAGTTATTTTGCGGTGTTCATGCTGGCCTGTTTCAAACTTCGGGCTGATCACATATCTAGTTTCTCAGAGTCATCGACATATCATCAGATGAAGTCTCAAAGAAAGAACTCATTTGTCTGGAGAGATCTGTCCTTTGAAACAAAGAGCATGTGGACCGTGCTTGATTACCTGAGGCTTTATTGCTACGTACATCTGCTGGACGTTGTGCTTATTCTGATTCTAATCACAGGAACGCTAGAGTATGACATTCTACACCTGGGTTATCTTGCATTCGCTCTTGTTTTTGCCCGGATGCGACTTGAAATACTGAAGAAGAAAAACAAAATATTCAGGTTCTTGCGGGTGTACAATTTTGTTCTCATCGTTTTTTCTCTCGCATATCAGTCTCCATTTGTTGGAAACTTCAATGATGGAAAGTGTGAAACAGTTGATTATATTTACGAGGTGATTGGATTTTACAAGTATGACTATGGATTCCGAATCACTGCAAGATCTGCTCTCGTTGAGATCATCATATTTATGCTGGTATCCCTTCAGTCCTACATGTTTTCCTCCCAGGAGTTTGATTATGTCTCGCGGTATCTTGAAGCAGAGCAAATTGGTGCTATTGTGCGGGAGCAAGAGAAGAAAGCAGCACGGAAGACCGAGCAACTGCAACAAATTCGTGAGGCTGAAGATAAAAAACGGCTGCGGAATTTGCAGGTGGAAAAGATGAAATCTGAAATGCTGAACCTGCGGGTACAGCTTCACAGATTGAATTCTGATTCTAATTATGGAGTTGTTTCTCCGCGCACTGAAGGTCTAAGGAGGAGGAGGAGTCCGTATATAATTCCAGATAGTGGTGTAGCCAGTCCTGAGATTGACGGGCTGGTCCACAGGAAAGAAGACCAGCCTATTGACGAGGGTTCACAGTATCCTTTTGAAGCTCATGAGTTTCCTGTGAGTACCACTCCAGGAGCACCAGATTCTCCAGAGTGTTCATTTGGAGCATCTCCTTGTGAGATCACTGAAGTTCAACAGGATCTTGATGTCATGTCTATGGAACGTGAAAGAAAGGAAAGGTCAGAGGGCAAAGATAATCCGTTGATTTCTGCGGTGCAACTCATCGGTGATGGTGTTTCCCAGGTACAGTTTATTGGAAATCAGGCAGTAAATAACCTTGTCAACTTCTTAAACATCTCTCCTGAAAATTCAGACATAAATGAGCAGTCCTCTGTTGATGATGAGGTGTACGATGAGATGGAAAGTCAGAAAAGAAAACACACACCTTTTGAACGGTCAGCGTCTCTCCAGTCTGACAGGAGTAGTGATGGCACTAGCTTCCAGATAGGAAGGATCCTTCGTCATATATGGTCTAGGATGCAGTCCAACAATGATATTGTTTGCTATTGCTGCTTCATTATTGCGTTTTTGTGGAACTTCAGTCTTCTTTCCATGGTCTATCTAGCAGCACTGTTCCTATACGCCCTCTGCGTTCACACTGGCCCCACTCACATCTTCTGGGTAGTCATGCTAATGTACACAGAGATCTACATCCTCCTCCAGTATTTATACCAGATTATCATCCAGCACTGTGGGTTAAGCATTGACGCACCTCTTCTTCATGAACTGGGATTCCCAACGCAAAGAATCAAATCATCATTTGTTGTCAGCTCGTTGCCTCTATTCCTTATTTACATATTCACTCTCATACAGAGTGCCATAACAGTGAAAGATGGTGACTGGGTTCCTTCTGGTGATTTTACTTCTCGCCGGAATGCCCGTGGGAGCCAGAAGGATCTTGCAAGAATTAGCTGGGGACAGAGAATCTTGGATGTGTTCAAGAAGCTGAGAGATAGTGCGAAATTGGTGATCAGAGGCATTTGCCGATACTGGATCTCTCTGACACGTGGAGCAGAATCCCCTCCTTACTTTGTTCAGGTGACAATGGATGTTCACATGTGGCCTGAAGATGGAATTCAGCCTGAAAGAGTTGAATGTAGAATGAATCAGTTGCTTAGGCTTGTTCATAATGAGAGATGCGAGAAGGGAAACCCTGATCTTTGTCCTTACTCTAGCAGGGTTCACGTACAAAGTATAGAGAGAAGTGCAGAGACCCCAAACGAGGCCTTGGTTGTTCTCGAGGTTGAGTATGCTTCTCCCACGAATGGGTGTTCTTCAGCTGAATGGTACAAATCACTTACCCCAGCCTCGGATGTGGCGAAAGAAATCCGTAAAGCACAACATAGTGGACTTGTTGAAGGAACTGGATTTCCGTATCCCATTCTCTCTGTGATTGGCGGGGGAAGGAGAGAAACGGACCTCTATGCCTACATATTTGGTGCTGATTTGATGGTCTTTTTTCTGGTTGCCACTTTCTACATGTCAGTCATTAAAAACAAGAGCGAGTTTATTGATGTGTATCAGCTAGAAGACCAGTTCCCGTTTGATTATGTCATCATTCTTATGGTAACCAAATTTTATACGAGTCTCGTTTATCTGTTCATTCCCATTGGCCCTAACCCGATGAAACACTTTTTTTTTTTTTGGTTTTGTTTGTGGTGGCAGGTTATCTTCTTCCTGATTGTTGTTGATCGCGTCATCTATCTTTGCTCATTTGCGACTGGAAAAGTGGTATACTACCTCTTCAGTCTTATTCTCTTCACATATGCAGTGACAGAGTATGCGTGGAGCATATATCCTACCCAGCAACACGCTGCTGGCGTGGCTCTCAGATTCATATTTCTTGCCAAAGCAATGTCACTAGCTCTCCAGGCCATACAGATCCGCTATGGACTACCTCATAAAAGCACCTTGTATCGGCAGTTTTTGACAAGTGAAGTTTCACGGATCAATTACTATGGCTACAGGCTTTATCGTGCTCTTCCTTTCCTGTATGAACTGAGATGTGTACTTGACTGGTCCTGCACAGCCACATCACTGACAATGTATGACTGGCTCAAGGTATGTGGTGTGTAAGAGTAGGAAGATGTGATGATCATGGATCATTCATGTTTACTCGCAACATACTGCCAAGGACTTACGTCGTGTCCTTTTTGCAGTTGGAAGATGTAAATGCGAGTTTGTACCTTGTCAAATGCGATACAGTTTTGAATCGAGCTACACACAAACATGGGGAGAGGCAGACAAAAATGACTAAATGCTGCAACGGGATATGTCTCTTCTTCATCTTGTTATGCGTTATCTGGGCTCCTATGCTGGTAAGAAAAACATTTCTCTCTTACAACACACAAGTTTTAATAACGCTTTTGTAAGAATGAAAGAAAAAATTATATTTTTTCTAAAACGTTCTTGGGATGAACATTACCATAGATGCTTTCCATAAGTATCGAGAAGAGAAACAATTTGGCTTTGTCCCTTGCAGATGTATAGCAGTGGTAATCCAACAAACATTGCCAATCCGATAAAAGATGCGAGCGTTCAGATTGATATAAAAACAGTTGGTGGAAAGCTTACTTTGTACCAAACAACACTGTGCGAGAGAATCTCAGGGGATAACATTGATCTCGGGCTAGATCTCGGGTCCCAAAGCTTCTTGCCAACATACAACAAAAATGACATCCAGCTGATATGCTGCCAAGCTGATGCAAGTGCTTTATGGCTTGTCCCTGACACAGTTGTGAACAGATTCACTCAATCCCTCGACCGGGACACAGATATGGACATAACCTTTTCTTGGGTTCTCAACAGAGACCGACCAAAAGGCAAGGAGACTGTGAAATATGAAAGAAGTGTGGAGCCTCAGGACCTTCCAAAACGCTCTGATGTCCAAATGGTTCTCAACGGCTCTATGGATGGATTTAGAGTGCATAACTTGTACCCAAAGTTCTTCCGTCTCACTGGTCCCGGTGATGTCAGGTCTTTTGAGGACCAGGTAAATCCTTTTTTTCGGCACAAGAAGCTAAGATTTTATTAGTTTGTTTGAAATATTCGTAACAAGATTGTTGGTGGTACAGAAGGATGAAGTGAGTGCAGACTTACTCATGAACCATGCAGATTCCAAGTGGTGGTGGTCATTCCATAATCTTAAGGCGTCTGAAAACATCAGCGCTTGTGATGGTATGGATGGGCCAGTTGCTATCATAGTGTCTGAGGAAACACCCCCACGTAAGTCAGCTATTCTTGTTGTTGTTGTATGTATCTCTCTACTGCTCAAAAACTATTGCTCTGACTCTGACTCCGAGACTCGTCTTCTATGCAGAGGGCTTTCTGGGTGACACCCTCAGCAAATTCAGTATATGGGGACTCTATATAACATTTGTACTAGCAGTGGGGCGTTTCATCAGGCTTCAGTGCTCTGACCTGCGTATGAGAATACCTTACGAGAACCTGCCTTCGTGTGACAGGTACAGTAATCGTTCGTTGAGTTTTGTTTTGTTTTCTTCTTTTCGTAAAGCTCCCAGTCTCACTCTCGTTCTTGTTATTTGTTTGATTCAATGTAGATTAATAGCCATATGTGAGGACCTGTACGCGGCGAGAGCAGAGGGCGAGCTTGGAGTAGAAGAAGTTCTATACTGGACACTTGTGAAGATCTATAGATCCCCACACATGCTGCTCGAGTATACAAAGCTTGACTATGATGCTTAGCTCCAACCATTGTGTTACGGTTTGTTGTACATACCGAGTGATTTATATAGGCGACAACAATTCTGAGCTTCCTATCTTTTTAGTTTGTTTTTATTTTATAATGAAAAGATAGGAGCGGTTCATGTAGTTGCTGAGTTGTGACATGATATAAAGACAAGATTTATTTAGTAGTCACAGGGGCAGTCATTTCATAGTCAGAGAGATGGGTTAAAAAAGGAGAAAAGCATATTCCAAAGTCATAAATCTAAAAAACTAAAGCAGCTAGAGCCTGGAGACCACCTGATCATACTTGAAGAGCAGGAAAAAGCCTCCTCAATCAATCATTGCGAGACCTTTGGATCGCTTGGGGGTTCTCTCAGTTATACCACAAGGGACAGTGTCTTCCATGACCTTTGGCACAGTGAAATTGAAATCTCCAAGCGGTGCATGCTTGTAATCCGGATTGGCATCGATGAAGGCAGCAATCTCATTGCGAGTCCTCAGCTTCTTCCCAGTAGGTGTTATGTAGTAGGCATCCATTTTGGAGAAGTCCTTTCTCAGAACCAAGCTCCTCTTGAAGCCTCTTGGTGTCTTGGGCAAGCCAGGCTTGTCGATGACCCATGTTCTGGTTGAATCATACTCGAGGTCTCCAGCATCTCGACATGACTTGCCTTGTTTCTTCTCGCACACAAAGGGGTCCTCTTGTATTGTGCTTCTGATCTCCTCATACACTTCTTGCGAGTCAATCTTCCTCCACTTGAGGCACTTTTCGCACTGTGCAGCATAGATGTCAATCGACCTCCCTGGAGCACCGCCTATTTTCTGCGCAATACAAATATTCGTCACTAACCATACTTCAAGAGTTGCAATTCCAGAACAAAAAGTTGAATTAGGTTGATCTCACAGCTCCGTTTAAACTTTGGCAAGAGGAGAAGAAAAAGTCTTATCACCTTGAGAAAATTTGAGAGCAAAGACCTATGGAAGGTTCTAAAACAAGAAAGGGGTAAAGAAGTTGGAAAACAAAACTCATAAGCCATGAGGAAGTCCTTGTCTAGTGTTAAGGAAGAGAAGCATTCCACAACAAGGCATCACACTAGTTAGATAAAAAGAGTTTGAAGCATAATTTTCCCAAACTAAACGAATAATTTATACCTAAACGGGATACCAAGAGAGAGAGAGAGAGAGAGAGAGAGAGAGTTTAAATGTGTCTAAAACCAAACTGAAGAGAAGCATACTATAATTGTTAGCTTAGAAACTTGTATCGTCTCTGTTGACATAATGAAACCAGAACAAGGCAAATGCGGAATGATCAGACTTGGTTGTTACTAATTAGTTAGTCTTAGTCACTACTGAGAGAGGCAGTCAGAGTCAGAGGTAGCTTCTACCTTATCCATGGGCATCAAATACCAATAACAAGATAAATTCTAAATCCTAGAGTTTCCAGTTTCAACCCCGAAACCAAGACAAGACTGATGATCAAAAAAATAAAAATAAAAGAGGTTGAGTACCTTGGATTTCTCGGTGTGCTCCTCCATTTCTCACTTAGCCAACTAGATGGAAATGGAATTGAGCACATTTTCTTTAAGGTGAAAGAAGACGGAGAGAGAGAGAGAGAGAGAGAGAGAGAGAGAGAGAGAGAGAGAGAGCTATTCCAAGTGACAACCTCACAGGCTGTGCGATTGTAATAGAGTGACAGACCATTCCACGATTGACACGTTAGCTGAAAAACTCCCTTCGCTGTTGGACCATCCTTTTCATAACTGTATGGGCCGAATTAAGTCACAGCCCATCATTTCTCCTTTTTGGGCAAAAAGACGAGGGAGTAATGCCGTTTCGGGAGGGTGGAAACAGCACGCAGTTTTGGCACCTTTTGTGTTAACGTCCTGTCCAGCTAAGAGATTGAGAAGATTATTACTATTAGATTTTTTTATTAATATATACGCACAACACAATTATACAAAACAACAAACACTTGCCACCTAACTCGCAACGCTTCTTGTTCTTTTCTTTTTGACTTTTTTTTCTTCTTTCTTTCCCTTCAATTATTCATACTTTTATTTCATCAAACTAGGATTGGTAATAATATCAATATCTTAATCAATAAACAAAAATATATCACAGAGTTGGTGGTTGGTCCACACACCACAGTCTACACCTGCTCTGAAATTGATGCAAAGCGGAGAGTCTATTTGTTTTTGCCTATTATGAGGTCGATGTCAAATGGGCCGGGCCCACGCCTACCCAATTGAGGAAAACCATACATAGAGTGCGATCAGCCGCTATCTTATGGAAATTTAATCTCTCATTCAATTCAATTGGGAGTTGTTACTACAGTAGTTCCCTTTTCGTTAATTGATTCTTCCTTTTTGGACTTTGTACTTGTTTATACTCATAACGTCCATAATTGCATATATTTAGTTTCTGCTTTTACCCAAAAACACTTACATTACAGAAAAATATATAATTCTGAATTGAAATGATTGGCCTTTATTAATAGGTGAAGACGATGGTACATTAAATAAAGGGCTCTTTTTTTAGTACATAAACTTCATATTCCAAACATTTCTAATCGTATTATTCAACCCCTCTCGATCTTTCTCTCTCTCTCTCATTCTCATTCTCATTCTCCAAAGTATTACTACTTTTAGACAGGAAGCTTTAAATGCGATCAGCCCATTCCTAGATGATGTTGAACCTCATAGCTTTCCTCCTCCGCCGCCTCCGCCGTCCAGGAAAGGCCAGAATCTCCGTCGAACACCACCGCGGCTCCGGGGAAGAGTTTTCATCGGCAGCGGCCATCCACCCAAACCCGGAGAAAGCCATAAGAGTGGCCAGCTTTAACGCAGCAATGTTCTCCATGGCTCCGGCCGTGCCAAACAAGAGAGAGTCGCCAGTGCCACTCCGGTCCAAGTCAAGCGTTGACCGTCCAAGGAGCATACTGAAGCATGATTCCAGGAAACAGAGGTTTGCCAAATCCAGGCTAAGGGTCTCCATCAATCTCCCGGACAACGAGATTAGCCGCCAGCTCAGTTTCCGGGAGGACCCGCAGCAGTCTCCGCTCAGACAAGTCTCCGGCGAGATGGGTGGTCTCCGGAGCACCAGAACGGTTCTGGAAGTGCTGAGGGAGCTAGACGCAGACGTGCTGGCCCTGCAGGACGTGAAGGCCGACGAGGCTGACCAAATGCGACCGCTCTCGGATCTGGCCGCCGCGCTCGGAATGGATTACGTCTTCGCCGAGAGCTGGGCGCCCGAGTATGGCAACGCCGTTCTCTCTAAGTGGCCCATCAAAAACTCCAATGTCCACAAGATCTTCGACCACACTGATTTCAGGTTAATCACAACTCTATAGTCTATAGTCTATACTCTTTCTTTCTTTTAGTTAACTGCTTAATTTATCCTATCCTATTCGTTTAGTTAAGCTAATAGTTAAATGGGTTTTGTGCGGCGACATTGTACCAATGAGAGGGACCTAGTCATGGTCTTCTCGTGAGGAGTATCAATATAAAACAGTGCACACTTGAGTTGTTATGTGAAGAACTGAGAGCACAGCTACAGCTGTATATTCTCAAGGACAAGTTCAAAATGTCAAAATATGCTTTTGTCTGACTTATCTCATTGGCTTCTTGTGAAACTTTTAGATTTTTTTTCCTACCAAATTAGCATTAAATATAGAGAAGAGATCCTTTAATTTGTGTTTAATATAATCGGTGGCAGACATTGAAAAAGGCAATGATGATGATTATACTATTATTGTGTGTGCAAGTACAAGTATATAGTCTTCTTCTTTTTTTTGTCATGTGTGTAGTACTAGTCTATTACTGTAAGCATAAGGAAGATCCGAAAAAGATAGATATATGTTCCCCCAAATGATATATAACGCGTTTTGAGTTAAGCTTTTCATTTAATTATGTGACTAATACTGTCTATAGGAACGTCCTCAAGGCAACGATAGATGTTCCGGGGAGCGGGGAAATGGAATTTCATTGCACGCATCTGGATCACTTGGACGAGAATTGGAGAATGAAGCAAGTCGATGCTATTATCCAATCTACCAACGTACCTCACATACTCGCTGGCGCTCTTAATTCCCTCGACGAATCCGATTATTCCCCGGAAAGATGGACCGACATCGTCAAGGTACCATAAAATAATCACCCCTGTATTTACATAAAAATACAAATACAATCTAGTAATTGATAACGTTGCATGCGGGCTATATATAGTATTACGAAGAGATGGGGAAGCCAATACCAAAAGCGCAAGTGATGAGCTTCTTAAAGAGCAAAGAATACAGTGACGCTCAGGATTTCGCTGGAGAGTGCGAATCTGTCGTAGTTGTCGCCAAAGGCCAAAGTATGCTTACCATGCACACACTCATTACACTAAACATTAAAAATGCATTTTAATTTCATAATTAACGAATAAAGACTCTCTCTCTCTCACTCTCTCTCTCTCTCTCAGGTGTACAAGGGACATGCAAGTACGGGACACGGGTGGACTACATATTAGCTTCCTCGGATTCCCCGTACCGATTCGTGCCGGGCTCGTACTCGGTCCTGTCCTCTAAAGGAACATCGGATCATCACATAGTGAAGGTCGATGTTGTCAAAGCCAGATCAATCAACGTCGACGAGCAGCGACGACCAACAACTCAGATGCAGCAGAGAGTTACAACGACTAACTCGCCTCTCACAAAGGCCTCGTGGAGGACGCATTACTACAAAGTCTGAGAACAATCTTCTATATACATAACATATATATTACACGGGTTTTTTGGGACTGTTACTGTGTATAACTGTGGGCGTCTCTGTACGTTGTGTGCGTTTTTAACCCGTGATTTCTGATATACCTTCTCATTGATCTTCCTGATTTCTTACATTTCCTTTTTTTGTTAAACCAAGACGTATATAAAGAGTGAAAAGTACTCATTCAGCATTCTCGAAAACGTTACTAATATTAAAATGATTTGACATAGAAAAACATCAAAGTCCCAAATGGTTAAGCTCTGACTTTGAAGCTCTGACTAGTGACTCCTTACTCCTTAGCCATAACTATGACTCGGGTTTCTGTGTACGTCCTTGGGCTATGATAACTTTCTTCCAAAGCTACAATTCTAAATTTCTGATATTCTCCTTTTACAACTGTGGCACGAGAGGGGAACTTTGCACTACAAAGTCGTCAAAGCCAGCACTAGTGAAGGTTGATCTTGTCAAAGCCAATTGATTCAGACACATTCAATCTAGACGGCGATAAAAGAGGTCCATGGTTTTGACTGAGACAAGAGATGATTTTATTTGAACAGTATCGTACATATACATAAGTCACAGAACTGAAGCATCAAAGAATGAAATGAATGCAGACTATTTAGTGAGCCTATAGGAGCTATCTGTGGTGGGGTCCATGAGCATGAGCATGAGCATGAGCATGAGCATGAGCATCACCGCCGAAGGAGAAGGCTTGATATCCCGTGGGGCTAGTGAGCTTCCCGGAGCCCCCGCTGCTGCTACTAACAGAGCGGTCAATCTCATCCCTACAGGCCACCAGAGGGATGGGTCGTTGAGGTATAGAGATAACAGTGAAGTCGTTACTCTCGAGCATTTTCACCACCTGATCCATTGTTGGTCTTGCGTGTAGCTGAGGGTGAGAGCAGAGCACTGCTATGAGCACATACTTCTCCATCACCTCTGGAGATCCCTTCTCCGGCATCCCGTCTTCCACCACGTCCAATGTCTGCCCTTGTCTCACCAGCGACCACGCCCAGTCAGCCACCGACACCGGCTGCCCCGTCTCCTCCTCCGTCACAATCGCCTTTCTCCTGCTCAGAAGCTCCAGGAGCACCACCCCGAAGCTGTACACGTCGCTCTTCTCCGTCAGCTGCCCGTAGAGCGCGTACTCTGGCGCCACGTATCCCATTGTCCCAGCGACCCGCGTGCTCATATGCGTCATTCCTTCCGGGTTGAACTTGGCTAGCCCGAAGTCGGCAACCTTGGCCTCGAAGGTCTGGTCCAAGAGAATGTTGCTGGCTTTGATGTCCCTGTGGATGATGGAGGGTTGCGCGCCGTAGTGTAGATAAGCGAGTCCCCTGGCCATCCCGAGCGCGATCCTCTGCCTTAGAGGCCAGGCAAGCTGAGAGTTGAAGCCTCCGAAGAGATGGTCGTGGAGACTTCCGTTACTCACCAGATCGCACACTATGATCCTCTGGTGGCCCTCGTACGGCGTCGTCGCTGTGCAGTAGCCTCTCAGGGCCAGAAGGTGCACGTGGCGTATGCTCGCAATCACCTCAACCTCGTGAGCGAAAGTGGCGTCCCCTCCAGCGGAACAGTTTTTGAACCTCTTGAAAGCGACCTCGGAGCCGTCGGCCAAGACGCCCTTGAACACGTTCCCGTAACCTCCCCTGCCAATGATGTTGTGCCGTGAGAAATTGTCGGTCGCTTTCTTGATCTCCTCGAAGCTGAACTTCACCAGAGTGGTGCTCTCGCTCATCGAGTCTAGCCGTGACTGTGTCTGTGTCTGTGTCTGTCTACGGTCCGCTTCTAGACTCCGCCTTTTCAAATATCTCCTTTTCCTCCGGTAGTACCAGAAGCAAGCGGTGATCAACGCAGACGCAACGAGCAAGACGGATAACGAAACTAGTATTTTGAATTTCTTACCATTCCCGGAGCTGCTAGAAGCCAAATCGAGCTGGAACAAGCATTTCGCGGTGCCTTTGTCGGTGGGGCCGTACATGTTGGCGTAGGCAGCGGCGTAGATTGACGGAAAAGCTGCGCAGTCGGAGACATTTCCGACGGAAGGTCCGGTGAGATAGGCCTGAAAAGCGGACAAGCTCTGAGTGCACGAGGCACAAGGGGTATTGCTCTCCAGAGACAGATTGCAGCGCATCACCGCCGTCCTCAGCGTCGAATTAGGGATTTGGGCTTCGAATTGAGACCTGGCGGTGATGTTCATGCAACCCTCGGATATCCACGGCGTCTCGAAACCACATGTCGATCGGACATCGAAGCGAGGGAGAAATCCGGCGATCGCCGACTGTAAAGCAGCCCAGCAAGAGGCCGCCGAATCGGGTGGCGGAAGGAAAGAACCCGTCTGCCGGAGATGCTGAGAGTAGAGGAGACGTAGACCTTGGAGGAGATACTGGCAGGTCGTGGCGCCATCGGGTCTCGGACGCCGGAAAGGTTGGAGGACGGAGAAGTCTAGAGGACAAGAGGAGTTCTGGCCGGCGGCTAAAGAAGCGGCACCTAGGATGAAGAGTACAAATACCACGGAGCTTCGAGTTCGATGGAGAAACATCTAGCGGTTTCCTCGGAGAAATATGGCGCCGGCATAAAAGAAGAAGCGAAGAGAAGAGAAGAGAAGAAGATAAACGGAAGTACTTTAACTGACGGCCTTTTTCACCGGAAGACATAACAGTGTTTCATACTTTCATTTTCCCTTTCCCATTCCCAAGATGCACATGTTTCACCGTTGACCAAATACTGTACCTCTGTATTTAAATAATTTCGGTATTGATTATTCATCGTATTATACAGGACTCAGGTATTGTATTGTCAAACATATACTGTATGGATCCAAGAAATTGCATGAGAACTTTCTCTTTCGTATATTATTCAGTTTTAATGGTCGTTTTAGTGGTAATCTGATGAGAGGATGATGATAACATTAAAAATTCTTGATTGGATCGTAAAAAGGTGTCTAAATTTTTATTTTATTTCACCTTTCGTGGTATTAATTATAGTACTACAATGCCTGATTGTAATTTTATAAAATTAAACAACTGCTTACAGTTACTTCTGTACTGGCGGCCAAAACATCAAATTATCATGAAAACCCTTGATCCAAAAAAAAAAAAAAAACATCAAATTATTAAACTTTTTTCTCTTCGCTTTTTTTGTTTGTTTCTAAGTTAGTTTTGGTTTTTAGTTTTAGAAACTGGTGATTAGTTTTATTTCATCTCTGTTCAGATTCGTCTTTCAATTGTTTAGCTTCGTTTATTAATGTATTTTTCCATTAGATTATGTGCCTATTTTCCAGTGTGGCAAGCGCGCCTTTTTCCGGGAATAGATTGGATATGGGGCCAGTAAAGATTGAAAATGGGCCAAAACATAGCCCAGTAAAAGATGCACATGTGCCTGGAAACAGCGTGTCGTTTCCCTATTTCCAGTGAGTCTGCGCGCCGTTTTTTGCGATCTGAAATAGTATTAAATATGGGTTACATTCATAAGTTTTTTTGCAGTAAAAAGAGTGTATTATACGGTCAATGACCCTTGGAACGTTGGCCCCTTAGAGCTCTGCGTCTTGCAGCCGATCTGATAGTCTCAATAAGAGGAGCGTCCTCGTCTACTTCTTCTTTCTCGGAGCCGCCACTGATGGATTCATCCTCCTCGCTTCCGCTTTGCTCATCGAACAGTCTCTTTCGCTCTGTTTCCGGACGCTTTTTTGGCCGCCCCCTGCGTTTTGCAGCTGCTCCTTCCTTGTCGTCTGTGACAAATCCCAAAACAGATGAAGAATACCTTGTCTTCCTAGTCATGTTATCTAAGATAGAACAAACAACCAGTGTTTCATACCTTGTAAATCCTCGGTTTTCAGGCATTTCTCCTCCAAGGTTTCTAAGAAGGTGAAGCAAGGACGCCATCCACTCGGATCTTCATCTGTATTGACATGCACTATACGCCCCTGGACCTCCCTCTTACTGCTCAGCAACCAAACATATTCAGCTTATTATTCTATCAGCAGAGCGCTTGAGACTCGTGAGTGTCAATCTTACATGTCCATGATGTCCGGCGCTGGGAGTCTGGTCGCGAATGGAAGGACAGCAACTTCCAGAAACAACAGTTGCTTTGGTGCGTCCCTAAAAGCAAACTCAACACCTTCCTTTACTACACTCAAAATCTCCAATCTGTATTTGTTGCGAGCAGCACCGATATACATTCCTGAGAGCCGACCGGCAAGCTCACGGCACACTTCAAGACATTTTTCTACTTTGGATTCTCCTCCGTCACAAGAAACTTCACTTGCATACCGTTGATAGGCCTGCCCATTTTTTTAGTGTCAGCAATTTTATTGGACTACGAAACAACTTTTCAGCTTCTCAAAATAATAATCGACCTTACCTTTTTCAAGGACTCCAGATGGATATTAGAGATGTTATCTTCTTTTTTCCTTAAGCATGTTATAAGATTCTTTATGATTTCTGTAACACTATGTCCATGCATTACAAGATGAGATATTATCTCCGGTCCTAGATAGTCCTGCGACAGAATAAAAAAATCCAATAAATATTTTTCAGATATGTGACAATCAATCACTACGTGGCTGATAATTCAGAAATTAGAACTACGATAGCATTGTCAATACACTTGGTGAGTACCTTCGGCGCTACATCACTCATGACCAATTTGCAGGCAGCAATGGCTGCAACATCTCTGCTTGTTTCTTCGACATACTCCTTATTTTCATCCTCCTCATCCGTCTCATCTGTGTCAAAATTCAGGCAAAAGTAAATACGTCATTGGAAAATCAAGAAATGACAGGCTTTGTAGAAAGCAAAACAATACTCACCTGAGGTGTTAAAAATTTCTTCACAGAATTTCCAGAATTTCTTGAGTAGAACACTGTCGGGACAATATCCTAACACTTCAAGTTTACTTGAGTCAAAACTTGACTTTCTAAAAAGACACCACTCCTCCGCGAGTATAGCACATATCTGCAGCATTAAAGTTTTCATTTGTTAGGCGAAAAGGGGCCTCATTGATTGATAACACAAGCACGTACAGAGACGTCTCTTGGATTGGAATGACAAATAGCCTTACCCTGAGAGCTAGCGGATTACCATATTTCCTTGATTCCTCAACTCCGTTAAGGAAGTATGAAAGCTCCTTAAACAGGATATCGCGTTTTGATATAAGGGAAGCTAAGGAAGCTTCGGAGACAGCTTCACAATTTATGATGGAGTGCAGAGACCACACCACATACATATGCATATTCAGAAGCAGGGAACAGATAACCTAAGCAACCATGAGCAATCCAACAGTTAAGATGTGAGGGATAAACAAAAGAGATAGTAAGATCTCTAACACAATTTGAGCACCTCTTCGTCCAAATTTCTGAAATTATGGAGCGTCAAAGCAATCTCATCGAACATGCTCTCAACAAGCACAGGCTTTAACAATTGAAGCTCATACAACCTTTTCAGATTTACAAGGAGGGAGTATTCGTCATTTCCATCCTGCACAGAAAAACGATGTAAGATTTCATCCATATAGAAGAGTATGAAGATAAATGGCAAAGGAAGCAGAGAATACCTTGACTTCTTTGATTGCAGAAGTAAGTTTATCTAAAAGCTCATCTTCAAGATCTTTAAGCTTCCCACGGGAAAAATCTTGAAGCTCCCCTTTACTTTCAGACGCACAAAATGTTATGGCCTTAACGCAAGATCTCAGTGCTTCCTTCTCTCCGTGTTTGAAAAAGGCATCCTTAATGAGTCGGACGATAGCCTTAAAACTCTGAAACAGAGGAAAAAAGATGTTACATTCACTGAGAGAGGTGAGTAACAGGGAACAGACATCCATTATGAAACAAAATGCTCAGTCACCTGCTCCTGTCTTTTAAGAGAATAGAGCTCAAGTTTCATAAACATAATAATCTCGACCAAAGATGACACTTTCGCTTTGTCAGCCATGAATTTACGTAGAAGCTGTGGATAGTTCTTCATCATACCAACCGTTATGTCTTTCCTGTTGTTTTCAAACATTTCCTGTTATTCACAGCATGGAAACATCAATGTCATTTATTTTCATGATTGAAAAAGGAACCAGTGTGTATAAGAAAAGTCCAAATGGAGCACACTGCCTATTAAGACCATTTATATGTAATTTGTCCCTGCTATTTTAGTTCAAGAAAAAACAAATAGAGAGAGAGATTTGATATAAGAAGATTTTCTCAGAAAGAGCAAAGAAAGAATCTTACTCGCTGAGCTTTACTGTGATACTGCTTTCGATTATCCGTTGAAGGGATTATCTTCTCCCCAACAGCCTTTCTGACTGACGCAAACAGAAGTCTGATCAAGTTTGTTAAGTCCTGGTCAGTAGTAGACCCAGTCCTAGGATTCTGATCCAAAAGCATAGAGGTGATACACTTCCAGTCCTGCAATAAATGAAGCATCACGAAGATGATATAAGAACTGTAGTAGGTACACATCACAACTATATAATGAATGTGCAAACAATGAAACGTAATTTTTCTTAAGAGTTACCTTCATGGCCTTCATGTACTCCCAAACATCATCAATTACATAAATGCTTAAAATCGGATCAGTGGAGAACTCCCGTAATATTTGTAACATTCTGAAGATATGTATCTCAGAGGAAGAATCATCTTGACCTGAAAAAAGGATGTGACGACTCTGAACATCGTTCTCAGAGTTAAAAAAAAAAAAAAAAAAAAAAAATGAGTGCCCAGGACTTGGCTATCTCAAGGGAATACCTGTAAGACCAGATGGAGAACTGTTAAACTTTTGTGCGATCAAGTGGTCATACACTAACTCTCCTATCGCACGTCTGATTTCTTGAGGTTGATCAATAAGCAAATCGTACAAAGGGCCTAGGTCATCATCAGGTATCAGCTGGTGTCTGCAGGACCAAAAAAGCTCAAGTTTAAACGCATGGCATTTCAACATATTCATGGTGAAGCTCTGGATGGGAAAGACTATGGCGAGGGGGAATACCTTAGCAGCTGCTTAACAAGCCCTATAGCACATACAGCTGCAGACATATCAACATCATCAGCCATCTCAATCATTCGATTAGAAAATCTCTCAGTGAATAGACCAAGAGTAGGGACGTTTTCATCCATCTCATAAAGTTTACGCAATGCCAAGAGAGAAGCTTTCCTCACTCCAGCAGCCTCCGGATAATAAAATACACACAGAAGATCAGTGACTATGACGAACATATATTTATTTAATAATCTTGATGAGAGAACAAATGAGCTTACCTTGTCATTAAGCGTCCATCCAAGATATTTCAAATACAGGTCTTGTAAGAAAAGAGAAGGATAAGACAAAATCCAAACGCCCAGAGACTGAATGCATGACATCCTAATATCGGGATCAATATCTCGATAACGGTGTACAAACAACCTTCAAAATAAGGCGTAATAATGATTTAGGGAAAGGAAATATACATCTTCTGCATTTATTTTGGGTAGCTGACAGTATAATCGATATCGAATCTTACCCAGTGAAGATTTTGCGCATCATGTCCTCTAATGTGGTTATCTGTTCATGAGTAACAGACAACCTTTTGTTGAGGGACCCCACACGAGGTCCGTCAGCTTGTTTCTTGCTTTCAGCATTCAATTGCCTTTGGGTGGTTTCCCGCTGTGAACCGAGTGTGTTTGCTACAGAAATGAAAGATGTAACCAGTTGGAGGCCCATTAGCGTGGCAGTTTGGCGGTAAACTCTTGGTGGAGTACTGCAATGGAAATAGGAAAACGAAAAGAAAAATGAATAGATATATATGTGTGGAATGTTATGTAACCACAGAAGCTTGTAAAGTGTGAAGACAAACCATGAGAGTGCGATAATGTAGTCCATGCACTTGTCAAACAAGAGTTTATCAAAGAGTGGTCCATTCTGGCACTCGGTGATTAAACTATTCCAGAATGAGACAAGATTTTCTTTGAAGTTCTTGAGTTCCTTCTTTTTCGAGCTCTGATAATCTTCAATTTCTCCCTAGAGGGCGACAACAGCAACCAAACGAATATTTTGAGAAACTTGTTAGGTAAAAGAGAAAAGAAGAAGCAAAAGAGAAGAATCCTGTACCGCTCTAGCAAGATTAACAAGGGCGACGACAACATCATCCACATCAGTCTCATCAAGCAGCTCCTCCTTGATGGAGTATTTAGCACCGCAAGCCTACGAAACAAAACCAAATGCACAAAAGTAAAAGAAAGAGAGAGGTATTCAGCAGAGGGCTATAACTATAAGAGATAAGAGATGGCTATTCACCTCGAAGAGCATTGACAAGAGTTCAGCGGTTGCAAGTCTGGGAGAGTCTTCATATCTTTCGACCCAAATCTTGACGGCTTTAGAAATCAGATCCCCATTCCCTTTGACAATCTCTGTTCACAACTGAACAATCAGATCTCCACAGCATAGAGAGCAAATGTGTATCGGACTGAAGCATAACAACATATAAAGTCGCTTCACGAATACTGTTTACCTATCAGATTCTGCTGAGGAGGAAGGGTGCGACTACGCTTGGGCTGAGGACGGGTTTCCTGGAAATCGTCAGGTGAAGCATCGTCATCATCGTGCTCCATCTGGTTAGGGCTCTGGTCACTGGCGCCCCGCTCCTGTTTCTCTCCGCCGCTTCCCTCTGACTTGGCAGTCTCTTCACCGCCGCCGCTCTCGTCATCCTGATCCCGATCTCTACTCCTTTTCTACGCATAGCAAGTAGGAACCCAGCAGACGAGTCAGTTGGGACCCTGAAACTCCCAAAGCAAAATTCAACAAGGAAATGAGACTCACATGGCCATGAGGAGCGTCTTCTTCCATGGTGAACTATAGATCTCGATCCGAAATGATTCCTAGGGTTTGCACAAGTATGGCGAATAAGCTCTCCCGCCAATGGCCTTACTGAAACTTCCCGCTGATGAATGAAAGTAGCAAAATCCCCCTCCCCCCAATCCCAATTTCAGCGTTAAATTTTCGATTTCTTATTTCCTGATTATTTATTTTTATTTTTTTCTTTATCAGATGGTGATTAATTAATAATTTAATACAGTAATTAATAACTGGTTTTTGTTCCTTATCTAGTGGCATTGACAAATACTAGTGAGTAGTATTTTTCTTTTTTCTTATCAGATGGATTATTTGTTGTTTTTGGTTTGGCAATGCCAGTAGATATTACTTACTACGACATAAATTAGGTATCAATATTGCATATCAACTAACCAAGCGTATCAAATACATTACGACATGCTAATATAAGTTGTCATTTGTCACGTAATAGAACAGGTTTTCCTTTTTTCCAGTTTGTTGTCGTATAAAAGCTCTACCGAATCCAAAGATAGAAGGATCTAAAAGGAACATGACCTCAAACAAGTCTAGGTGCTATCTATGAACAAACGAAAATGCGAAAAAACTAGTTTAACAAGTATTGGCCATGGACTCGAGGAGCAACGCATAGCCCTCGGGAACAGGCGATTGCAGACGCACGCACTCCGCTAAGGCAGGGACGTCCGATGACACGTCCAGAAATTGAGCCACAAAGAGAAGCAGATGAAAATCTGAGATCCTCTTCACCAACGCCAAGCTCTTTGCACGGTCCAGCTGGGTTTTGAGAGCCCGCATCGTTGCCCGAATGCTCCTGTTCTCTATTGGAAATGTTGATGATAGAGGTCCCTGACATTATTAAAACACATGGAGGAATGAGAAGTGAAAACTAACAAATATGAATCCTCAGAGAAACAAATATTCTTAAAACAGAGAGCCAATATTGCAGATTACATGTGGAGTCGAATCTGCAAGGTCAGTGAGATGAAGAAAACACATAGCAAAAGCAACACAATGAATCTCAAATGCTCAATTTTGTTCCATCTTATTTCAACCAAATCCTAAAAGAAGAAGAAAACAGGCAGCCTATAAAACCAACCTGATGATCCAATATCTTGACGACTACGAGGAAGAAATCGTTATCCACCTCCTTAACATCCTTGACACCAACAACCACCTCCTTGTTCATCTTAGAGAGCTTGGGATCATCGTCCGGCCCAATCTCCGTCTCGAACCACCCTTCCTTGAGCAGCCTGATGCACATATCGCTCATCTGAAACGCCTCGAAATGGACATCGGCGCCACCGTCCTCATTGACCTCCAGTTTCACCACGGCCGTGACCCACTCCTGCAACTCGCTCTCGGCGTGAAGCTCCGCCGCCTGTAAGACCTCCGCGTTCGACAGCGTGTACTCAGTCTTGTCCTGCATCACAGTCTGGCTAAATATGAAACCGACCCTCCTCATCCCTAAGCCCATGGCGATTGCGTCCACGCGCTTCTCTTCCTCGGCATCTCTCATCAGAATCAGGTTCGCCTCCGTCCCTTGCTGCGGCGGCTCGTATATGAAATCAACTTCCACCTGTCCTTCCTCGGCGACGGTGCCATACATAAACCCACCGCGCTTGACCGCAAACGCGAGCGACTCGTTGACGTAGTGCTGGAAGGCGTTGGCGCAATCACGATCCAAGGAGACGGAGTCACAGTGAGACTTCTCCTGACGAGAGACTCGCATCTGGCGTGCGATCAAGTCATCGACGGTCATCTTCCTCCCGAACGATCCGGCGGGCGTGACTGCAGGACCTCCACGAATCGTGCGCTCCCCCTCGTAGGCGAGGTAGACCACAGAGCCATGGCCGATATTCAGAGAGGAGAGGGGGAGGTTGGGGTCGGAGAGGTCGGTGAAGGCGAGTAGATCAGTGGGAGTTTTGGCGAGGAGAAGATCACGATTGGTGGATAAGGTCTGGCTATGGAGAGGGATCTGGAGCTGATCCCCGATTAAGCTTTTGAGCTGGGAAACTGTGATATGAGCTCCATCGGCTGTGACTCGCTCCAATCCATCTCTGCTTCGGATTCTGAGCATCATCCTTCTTCTTTCCCCGAATTTCCTTCCAGAGACATTCTCAAACCTCCTTATTCGGCTCTTATTTGACCCGGTACACTACCGACCGGGTCGGGTCATTTGATGATTTTAAGATATTAGAACATTCCTTTCTTTAAATATCGGTTTTGAAAAATCAATAAAAGGATATCGATTAACCCTCTTTCAAAGAAAATTTACTCATTCATGTATGTAGTAGAATTGTAGATGATCTTCTTTCATTATTTGGTCAAAGTAAAAACATGCTTTACAAATTACAAACAACAAACAGATTTGAATTCCCCGCTTCTAAAAAGAGCAAAAGTATCTTTTAGCCTAAACAATAAAAACTTGAACGACTCGACACAGATGAGGTGCAATAGGAAGACCTGTGGAGGAAGACCACCCACTCCGAGGGCTGACTAGTCCGACTCTACAAATATCTGCAGTACAATGCCAAGAGCAATAATATCGATTATGGTGAATCAAAGCAAGAATGGGACTTGAAATTAACAAGAAAAAAGATAGTTAGTAGTACACTAACCTCCATCTCAGGAACAAGTTCATAGATTCTCTTCTCTCTTGTGTCAAAGGCTGTGATTCCAGCGATTTTTTGGACTCCGAGTTTGGAAGCGATAAGATTCTGTAGATATATATGTATATATAGTTTCAGGGTGTTAAGGTTCTAAAAACGGTGACATCATTTGTTGGAGGCGGTCAGTTTCTCATACCATTTGGAAATCAATGGAGCCAAATGCCTCAATCCTAGGTAACATCTGCAATAGTTTCAATGCTGTGAATTCCTCATACCGTAAAAAGTGAAGTGGTGAAAAACGAAAGATCAGAATTGGTACCACATTCTGGAGACCGTTAATGACAACCGCCTTCTCCATTTGTGATTCATCTTGTGACAGTGAAACCTCCAAGGGCCCCAAATGCCTATCAGTTTGGTTTGTGATATTCAAGGAAGCCTGTGGAAAACAGTATACGCTCATTTTGAAACCAATGTAAATTCAACCAATCTTTTGGTTTGTTTATTACAAACATTGGAGAAACAAAACAACAAGCGAAGCAAAGAGAGACCAATTACCGTAAAGGGTCTATTTAAGTGCATAACACTTGGAATCTCAACAACTCGTATATTTATCTCTTTGCGGCTTACAGGCTGAAAAGGAAAGAAAAGGAGAGTTAAGATGAAGAAAGTTTTGTTAGATGCTGAGAGAAGCCGAGACATAAGCAACACAGAGACACGTATAAGCACATAGAGAGAGTTTCATAAATGTTCTTTTACATGAGTGTATACAAGTTTTCACTTGCCAACAAAAGAGCTCAAAAGTTAGTTTGTTTCCGCAAATATGGAAATTTAAAATGAAGCAAATGATATCAGATATCTAGTGCAAGGTGGTGAGTATTGAGTAATACTAATGCAACGCGATTTTTCCTAACTGCCACCAAAATCGAACTCGACCATACCAATTACCAATTACCAATTACCAATTACCAATATACCATGCATTATAAGTTTTATCTAGGCTGACAGTATATTTAGACTTGTACTTTTTCATGTGAAGTGGTGTCACGAAAAGGGCCACAATCTTTAAGGAAAGCAAAAATACATTCAGAGTGCGACCATAAACCGAGCAGCAAACAATCAACAAATCAGCACATATTCATGTCTTGTTTTCACTGAGTAAAGATTACAAACTTACAGCGCCAAGAATTTGTTGTGTTTGTAAGCGACCAGGTTCTCCCAAATTTGTGCGCCATGTTATTTGAAATTTACCCAGAATATCACTTCCCTGAAATTTCGATTGGCCATAAACATGTGCAGATGGGTTTAACTTATAGAGATAGTTGTGGATACCCCCACCAGACCGGATTATAACTGGCGGATTAGGTATCAGTCCACCAAGATCACTGATATGCATATGCAGAGAGAGAGAGAGAGAGACGGATCAGCAAAATAGAGGATTTGACAGAGTAAGTAAGAGTAACCGTGATAACGATTCTTTGAAAATCTGACAGACCTGGTTGGGGGATCTAGTGTGGAATGATGGTCTTCATTTTGTAATCTCACGGCACTCCATTGCTTGGCAGGTTCAAAATCGACTTGGTCCATGAAGAGGTTTGCTTTTGTATGGTTCTCAATGCAAGCCTCAAGAAACGTAGTCTCCTGGTGTAAAAGATACAAGGATTGCCCAAAGAAGAAGCTCGTTTTTGTATTATACAAGCAATATATAATCAGATAAAGACAGGTTCCAACTACAAATAAAGACGGGAAAAGTGATCTACCAAGTATCCTGTTTGTTTAGTCTCGCAAAAAGCTTTACCACTTTTTTCAAGATATCCTGGAGGACGATTATATGATTACCGAGAACCATAACACAAGCCGTTCAGTTTACATAATGGTTTGTTTCTTTAATTTTGCAGGGATCACGAGAGCAAATAAAAGGAAGCTGACTTGAACAAGACAGGATTATAATGAGGATATGCATCATCAAGATATTTACAAACCTCCCGTCTATGACCCCATGACAAACACCATATAAAGACTAAAGCTTCTAAGAAGGAATGAAGATTCTCGAACTAACCTTAACAACTCGAACCTGCAAATCAGAAGGCGAAACAATTAGACATTCCTGAAGAGAGGAAGAGAGGAGTAGAAGAAGGGACAGAGAAAATGCTCATATGAATGTCCAATATATACCTTGGTCCTGACTGAGAGTGGGTTTGCGACGACAAACTTGAAAAACTGGGGAAGATGTTTACGCTCACCATCAGCATCATTGTACGATGCAGCGCATACCAACCTAGCAGAGGAATGGCGGTCAAGGGCATAGGAATGACAAGAAGAAGAAGAAGAAGAAGAAGAAGAAGATACATAAGAAAGAGACAGAAAACCCACGTGTGAGCTCCAAGCTCTTTGACATCATGTTCCACTATGAAGTCATAGCGTCCCCCTGTCCGTATGGATTCAACAGGTGACTTGGATGTATCCACAAGCAGAATCCTCTGCCTCTCAGTCTGAATCTCTGCCTACAAAAGCACATTGACATGGGAGTTATATGATGATTAGCTACGAGATGGGATTAACAAAGCAAATCACAAGCACTGAGCAAAGTACGAGTCCGCGAATGTGTACCATAAAGAGAAAGACAAAATGCAGGTGACCAACCTTAATGGTAACATCCCGAACTTCGGAATTGGAACTATTGTTGACGCTTATATAGCTGCAGAATGTTTCTCCGAGATAGATCGCTCTGCGCAACGAATCCGAATTCCGAATCAAACAGCTGCTATCGATCGACTATAATCGGAAAGACTTCAGAGAGAGAGAGAGATAGAGAGAGAGAGAACCCGAAGGACCGAGGAAGGAGGAGAAGACCAGAGAGACCGATGGGATCGGTTGGATGGTCAAGGAGGAATCTGTTGCGGTAACTGAGATCGGAGTCGACGGCGTCGGCAGAGGACACGTGGCGGCGGAACAATGACGCGGATGTGGGATCGTCGGAGAAATCCTCGCCGGCGAGAAGATCGAAAGGGTCAATGCGGAGGGGAGGATCGACGTGGAAAGACGGTTTGCACAGTCGCATCACCCGGAAGGCGAGCGAGTGCGGACCCTGCGTCTGCGTCGCGCTCATTTTTCTTTTCTTCCACTTTTACCCTTAATCTAACGTACATTAATAAGTTTCTCCTTAATCTAATCTAATGGGCTCGGTTTTAGTTTCTTTATTGGGCCTCATAACATAAACCCCATGAATCGAATATTGCATGTAAATTGGTGTGTGAATGTTGTAAACTTGTGTGATTCAAATTTTTGCTTGCCATGATTCAATCGAATATTGCAAGTCGTTTCCAATCTAATATTGCATGTAAATAACCACTTGTTCTCTCAGAAAATCACCAGCTTCCTAGACCCAATTTCCCTATGTGTGTGAAGGTGAAAAAGTAATCACTAGACTAATAAGACTTTGTAAAGAAAAAATGATAAAAATGACAAGCAGTCGAGTCCAAGTAACAAAAACAACTAAAAGTATACCGGTATCAAATCAATTTTTTTTTAAACTACTTTATTGGTCAATAAAGAAAAAGAAAAGCATAGTAAAACCACCAAGCTTTTTTCGCTTTTGTTCTTGTTCTTTATTTCTGTTAGCCGTAGAATCTTTAATTTTTGTTTTCTTATTATATTTTGGGAATCGATGTTAAATTTTCAATAAACAATCGGATTATTTAATTGAGACTATCATTTTTATTTGGGTGGCCATCAATAGTGAATTATAATAATTAATAACATCCTTGATGAAGCAAGAAACCACTAGTGCTCACTATTCTACAGCCTACTTGTTTCACCTTTTTCAGAATTTGTACAGAATTCCCCACCACACCAGACCCTTCTTCTTGGACCACTAACTTTCGCTTGACGAATAAAATTTTACAAACGTCACGCCGTCTTGTGGTTTAATCGATGGCTGCGCTGCTGTTTTCTTAGTCAAAGATATATTTCCTTTGGGGAATGTGTGTATACAAGAGAATTAAGAAGCTACTCCCACTATGACTATGAAGAATATTTTCTGATCCGTAATAAGAACCAATCAACGATATATGTATCCTCTCACCGATTAACCTATTATGTATATATATATATATATATATATTCATTCATCTTTTTTCCCATTCAGTAAGTATGTTACACACGCAGGTAGATCAAAACTTTGGTTTTTCTTTTGTTTATAAACGTGTAGTTAGATTCTGGATGGTTTTGAATCTCTGATATATGCATACATGTAAAACCATATATTTTTTTTGGATGAGCGCAGTCATATTGATTTATATATTTGTTCTACAACTTGATGATGAAATCTATATATATGGACATTGGACATATATATAATTCCTATAGGTACACATTAAAAGCAAAAACCAACAAAAACAAAAGCTAGGTAAGAAGACGTTAAATATATTTCTCATTTGGTGCGACAAAAAACTAACAAAAACAAAAGCTAGACTAGAAGACGTTAGATATATGTATTTCTCATCTGGGGTGAGACAAGAAAGACAGATCAAGAAGCGAGACAGGCTTCCCAGAACATTCGACTTTTATCCATCTCACTCACCACCGCACCAGAATCAACGGCCAGATTGCTTCTCCCACATCTTATGTAGCTATTCACCTCTCCTTCTCCATCGTCGTCTTCTTCCTCTCCGGCGGCCGGTACTCTTTCTTCCGTCACCGTACCCTCCGGGTCAGAACCTGACCCACTCGGTCTCCGGCTCGTCCACGTCACACATGACGTCTCGCACGAACTGGCACTACAAGACTCAATATCATCACCACCGTAATCGTTAATAATGCATTCTCCGTCGACGTGGCTACCCTTGATCTGAGCGGCGCCTCCGACACTGCGATATGACTCGGAATCTGCAGATGCTTCTAAGAGCAAGAACGGTGACACATCAAACACGTTCTTGGTTGTGTTCATCCTCTTTTTCTTCTCGTCCCTTTGTCCTAATCAACAGAGAGAATTATGACCAGAGACACAAGCAGCTACGTATTATAGTAAAAATATACATTCACACACACACACATATATATATATATACAAGCATAAAGGGGACTTTACAATTGACGACTCTCTCAGTGTTTTACTAGTACTTTATTTTTATTTTAGGAACACTTTTTGTAATCGTGATTCATTGGTTTCATAAAGAAGGGGAGAGTTCGTAAGCAAATGACGTGTGAGTGTATGGGGCTGTGCTTCTAGAAGGGCGGTGTAACAACGTGCGTTCTTTAACAAAAGTACATATGTATATGCATTATAAAAAGTAAAAACAAAACCAAAGCGATTGCCTATTTTGAAAATCGAGCGTACATTACGTATTATGTTTTTTTCCGCGGTTTCTCAAGTCTTCTAGAAAGACCAAAATTCAGACATAAGTCCAAAGTGTCGGAGCTATTAGACATGTGTTGTGTCATGGCTTCTTATACAATTTTCTCGCCAAAAATAGATTCATGAAGGGTATCATCATGGCTTATTTTGTATGCTGTTTCCTCCTTGTTATACCATTGCATAATTATATTATACGGTAATCAAATACATGTAACCAAGTAAATTATGATAATGAAGTAATGGTAATATTTTTGGTGCTATCTAGGAAAAAGTAGAGGACGTCGCTTTCGCTTTAAAATGGGTAATTCTGATGGAGAAAGGATAGGTAACGCGTGGGGCCGGGATTAAACCAGAAAAGCAGAAATGTACCCAACAAAAAATCTTGATTTATTGTTGACTTTAGGTGTTTACCGCCTGCTTTTAATTAATGACTAATTATCTTTAGTCACAGAAACAATTAATCAATGAGTTAATCCCGTTACGCAATTAAACATGATCATTCAAAATTAATCACCTAACAAGTAGACCCACATGAACAAGTTGCGGAGGTGAATAAAAAAATGATGGTTTCTAGATTAAACAAGAAGAAATCTGGGATTGGATTTTGTTGGGCCTATGTTTGTTAAAAGGCCAATTAGTACCAGCAGGCCTTAAAACAAAGCAGGCCCATTAATGATAAAGAAAAACGATAAAAAGGCTGTTTAATTTAATTTATCAAAATGTCCGAGTTTCACGAGGGAGCGGCAAAGACTGACTAGTGATCAGTTGATTTTGTTGATTGATTGAATTGAAAAGAGTGATTCGAAGGCTAAAACTAAAACAAGTGGATAAGAAAAGGTCTCACACTTCTCACTTCTCTCTCTCTCTCAGTCACTCGCCGATACTCACCGGCGGCTCCGGTCGTTAGATATGGCCGTCTCCGTAGGAAGCTGCTGCTTCTCCCTCGTTAATGCCTCCGTCAAAACCCAATATTCCGTCTCTTCACCAAGGTGTTTCGTACCCAAGTCGTCGTCGACTCCCCGAGCTTCGATTCAGAAGCGGAAAGCTTCCAGGTCTGATTTGTCGCCTAAATTAAACCCCAAGGTATGTATGTAATCCTTATTCATAAAAAAAATCCTACATTTCTTCAATTCCGTTTGTCCGAATTCCATGCATCTTTCATTTCTCAGCACCCAGGTAAAGGCACGGACGGTGACGATGGTGGTCCTCAAACAGTGGCGTTCAAGGCGTTTGGGTCGCCCAAAAAGGAGAAGAAAGAGTCTCAGTCTGATTTAAGAGAGCAGCAGGTTTGCAAATGCTCTTTCTTTCTCTACAGTTTATTTCTATCTACTTTACTTGTCCCTTCGATTTACCTTTTACAATGCAATTTCAATAGCAGACTGATCCTGCGAAGATTCACGATGCATCCTTTCTCAACGCCGTTGTGAAGGTAACACCTTTACATCTCTTCTCTTTCAGTTTCTGTTTTTGTGACTGCTTGTTGCTTATCCTGTGACCTGTCCATTTGCTTGTTTCACCTCAGGTTTACTGCACTCACACAGCGCCTGATTACTCCCTCCCATGGCAGAAGCAAAGACAGTTTACCAGCACTGGAAGGCAAGTCTTTGTGAGATGATTCACTCTTCTCCCTAAAAGAAGCTTGTTGTTCCACGACTTAACTATTGTGGTTTCGACTTTCGATTGCAGTGCTTTTATGATAGGAGATGGCAAGCTCTTGACAAATGCCCATTGTGTGGAACATGGTACTCAGGTTTGCTTTCCTTCTTCCTCTTCTTTTCTTTGCTTCTCTTTTACTCTCTTCACCTTTTCGTTAATCTCTTCACCAGGTTAAAGTTAAGAGAAGGGGAGATGATCGAAAATATGTGGCCAAGGTTGGTTTTGCATCTCTCCATAATCACTTGCAGATGCATCATGCATGTTGCTTTTATCTTCTGCTTTAATCTAGTTGCATCTCCATCAACCCATCAGTATGCTAATTACAAATTTTGTTCACATCTCCGATAAGTTGAATTGAACATCTACCGAATTCTTCTACAATTGTAGATAACTTCCCTCTCATTTTATCATGTATAGGTTTTAGTTAGAGGTGTAGACTGTGACATAGCTTTGCTCTCAGTAGAAAGCGAGGACTTTTGGAAAGGAGCTGAACCACTGCGGCTTGGCCACTTACCCCGCCTTCAGGTTTCATCATTTCATCCCATAATCATGTCTTTCTTGGTCTTTTCAGTTTTCTTCTCCTCTAGTATTTATAGCACACAGTTAACGGTCTAGATGAGACTTCTTACCGTCGCATTATAATATCATAGAGTGAGGGATGTTGTCCATTTTGGTGGTGTGCATGCCTTTATCTGATAGAAAGTCTCCAATCAGTCTTATTGAAGCCTACACCTAAAAATGTTATACGTACAGGATTCTTTTTGCCTGCGATAATAGATTATAAGCTTAAGACCTTCTGCCCTGCCTTTTAGTTCTGTTATCTATCTGGGCATACCTCTTGTTCATAGAGTCTCCATTTTGGCTTTGATTTGCAGGATTCAGTAACTGTTGTGGGATATCCTCTTGGAGGAGATACTATCTCTGTTACAAAAGGGGTCGTATCACGTATAGAGGTTTACCCATATCTTTGGCTTTGCTTTTAAGCCACTATATTGTTCTCTAGGGGTTTAAGAGCTTCTCCTTGTTGAAATTTTGGGAATGCAGGTTACATCATATGCTCACGGATCATCTGACTTGCTTGGAATTCAAATCGACGCTGCAATAAACCCAGGTCAGTGGATCATATCTAATAAACTGTTTTCCTTTTGCTCCTAGTATCTTGCACTTTCTTCTAAAACTTGAATATGACTTGTCCTTTTCTGTTCATTCTTTTCACCAAAATTGTTTCTGTGGACATTCATCTTTATTATTGTGATAGCCACTTCTTATACTTTGTTAGATTTTAGGGAATAGTGGTGGCCCTGCTTTCAACGACCAGGGGGAATGTATTGGAGTAGCATTTCAGGTAATCTCTTTGGGATTTACAGGGATATAATGTTTGTTCTTGATTCTCTTTCCAAACGAGTGCCTCACAGAATACTTCCTCTAGGTTTACAGATCCGAAGAGACTGAAAATATTGGATACGTGATTCCAACAACTGTTGTTTCTCACTTTTTGACTGATTACGAGAGGAACGGAAAGTACACTGGTAAGACTTTCTTTTGATTTTCACATGTTCCACTGCAAGACCACAATCTTCTGGTTGAGCGTTTCTGTCGTTATTTGTTACTAATCAAAGCTATATCTCTTGCAGGTTACCCTTGCCTTGGAGTGTTGCTGCAGAAACTGGAAAATCCAGCTCTGCGGGAGTGCCTAAAAGTTCCTACAAATGAGGTAGATTTGTTTTGTTAGGTCAGATAAGAAGATCTTGCCAACATAATGGTGGAGGATATTGATTCTTGCATACCGAGCAGTTTGAGTGTACTCAATGTGATTTAACCTTTATTTCGTAGGGGGTGCTGGTGCGAAGAGTTGAACCTACATCTGATGCAAGTAAAGTTTTGAAGGAGGTAAAGAGCATGGATCATAGGATTCTTACGCTCTACTAAATGTCTACAACCGAATCTTGTCATCCTTGAATTGTGATATACCTGACCAGTGTTAATTGTTGGATCAGGGAGATGTGATTGTTAGCTTTGATGATCTTCATGTGGGATGTGAAGGAACTGTACCCTTCCGATCCAGTGAACGCATTGCATTCCGTTATCTCATCAGTCAAAAGTAAAGACATTTTCTTCTTGCCCACAAGTGTAATGATTTCCTCAGCTTTTCCTCTTATGTGGCTTTTATTTTACCTCAACAGATTTGCAGGTGATATCGCAGAGCTTGGTATCATTAGAGCAGGAGAACATAAGAAAGTTCAAGTAGTTCTAATGCCAAGAGTGCACCTGGTACGAATGTCTGCATTACCATTTTAAGCTTTTTCCGTGCTTCATGACTAGTAAGCCAATTACTAAAACTTCACTGCCCTTTCATGCTTATAAATAGGTCCCATACCATATTGATGGAGGTCAGCCGTCATACATCATAATTGCTGGTTTGGTGTTTACTCCGCTCTCAGAACCACTGATAGAGTATGTTCTCCTCAGCTTGCTAATATGCAAAAGAAATAGAAACTTTCTTCATTATCTCGCAAATGCATAATTATTTTTCTTTCTTTTTCTTATGAACAGAGAGGAGTGCGAGGACACCATAGGCGTAAGCTCACTCTAATAAACCTCTTGTTAGTTAAAATTTATAATTCAGCTATAACTATATTCTTAATTCTAATTCTGAGTTGGTGTTCCTTCCAATTTGTAGTTAAAACTGTTAACAAAAGCACGCTACTCTGTGGCAAGGTTCAGAGGAGAACAAATCGTCATCCTATCACAGGCAAGCCCTCAGAGGATAACAAGTTGTTGTTTTCACGTGCATTTTGGTGAGTGCAATAATCTTTTTACTCATTGGACTCGCATGCTTGTAGGTCTTGGCAAATGAAGTAAACATCGGCTATGAAGACATGAACAACCAGCAGGTCCTGAAGTTCAATGGAACTCCGATAAGAAACATCCATCACTTGGCACACCTCATTGACATGTGCAAAGATAAGTATCTAGTTTTTGAGTTTGAAGACAACTATGTGGCCGTGCTGGAGAGAGAAGCTTCGAACTCGGCTTCCTTGTGCATCCTCAAAGATTATGGAATTCCTTCAGAAAGATCCGCTGATCTGCATGAGCCATATGTAGATCCAATAGATGACACCCGAGCACTTGACCAAGGTTTTGGTGACAGCCCTGTCTCAAATCTGGAAATCGGCTTCGATGGACTGGTCTGGGCATAAGGTTTGGTTTGGTAGAAGCCATTGACAGCTTCTCAGCTTCATCCTCATTCATCAAGTTTAGTTCATTCTTCTTCAGATCTCTAGGGATTGAGTTATAATAGAAAATTTGCCATACAAATGCTCAGATGAGTATACTGAGGAAAAGAAAGCATAGCAAGAAGAATGTTGAGCAAAGTCAACATACCTGATTTTGATGATAAATGAAATGCAAGGAATGTCTGCATTTACATTTTACCGGAGAATCTTCGCTTCCTTTTTAGTTGTCTTCATTAACTTAAGACCATGAACGTAAGAATATCAAGATTATTGCATAGCAAAGTTAAAGCTGGCACTCACTTCAATATCAAGGAAAGAGCTTCACGGGACTCTCTACTAGTTTGTTTATTTTAAAAAAAGAATAGTTCAAGAATACAAACACTCGGACACAAATCAAAACCGGACAAATCCACATTTCATGTGCTCTGCCCTTGGCAAAAGGTCCACAACCAAACCCAACAATTTTGTCTTTTACCTTCTCTATAGCTGTATACTTTCTTTTTCTTCTTAGTTTTGTTTTACCTTCACCTCTAAAGGTCTCTCACAAACATCCTCATAGAAACAGAGAAGAGACTCATTCACAGTAAACTGCCATGACGTCCTTGTGTTTGTTCACCGCCTTGGCCGTTCTCTCACTCTGTTTACACACTTCAACATCTGAGTTTCAGCTCTCCACCATATCAGCTGCACCTTCTTTTCTCCCTGAAGCTCCTTGGAGTTTCTCAGCGACTCCTCCGTCTATGTCTCCGGACATCTCTCCATTGTTTCCTACTCCAGGTTCCAACGAAATGTCTCCTTCTCCGTCGGAATCTTCTGTCATGCCGACAATCCCCTCAAGTCTTAGTCCACCAAACCCAGATGGTGTCTCTCCGGATCCTCTGCTTGACTCTTCTCCAGTCAGGTCTCCTCTTGCTGCTTCTTCCTCTGTTTCCTTGGTCTCATCACCAGTCTCTATGCTTCTTGGATTCCTCATGTTGCTGCTAGCTTTCTGCAGATTCTAGTCGTCGTTTAGAAACAGAGAGTAAGACCTCTCGACGTATTCTTCTGCATAAAAAAGAAAAGAAAAGAAAAGATTTCACTATGTATTCTTCTTACTCTTTTGATATTTTTCTTGTGTTTTTTAATATTATAACAGCAATTATTTGTGGTGTGAAATTTGGTCATAAAGCACTCTGCCATTTGGATGGGGCAGTGGATGTACTTGTAAGTTGTAACAGTGATGGCCGATGGGTTCTAGTTTTGTAACGTTTGCGTGTCAAAGTAAAATCTGATTAATGTGTGTATCCCTCACAAAATCAACGTACGCATGCACTAAGTAGAGGTTAATCAGGCTAATTTTACAGATCTCAAATCTTAAGTAAAACAGTGAAGTCAAAACGGACGAGAAGAAACTAGTCTCTAAGCTCATGAGGTAGATCAGATATGAGCCAAAGTGTCATTCTCACAAAAGAAACTAGTTGATAATGTACAACAGCTTGCCGAGGAACTTGTCCATAGGCTTCAACTGATGTCTTTGGAGCCTCAGATTCTCGCCTTTGAGCGTCTAATAACTTCCCGCTTCCTTAGAGCATCTCTCTCTTCTATCAGCTTCAACCTTTCTTGTTCCAGTTTCCATGAACCATCTTCTTTGCATTTTGTGAGAAGGCATTTGCATAAGATACGATTTCATTAATGCATGAGACTTCATTTTGTAGCCCTTTTCTAGTAACTTTTTTTTTTTTTTTTTACTTGATTTTAATCTCATTGTTTCTGTAACTTAATTTTCAATTATTTATTTGTTGAATTAGTTTTCATTTTCTCGCTGAAAAATGAAAATCTAGAAAATGAAAATCTCCTGTTGTTAACTTTTAACCAACTTCAAACTCAGTTTGTTCATAAGCAAACAACCGGAACAAAATACATATTATATACAATACTCCAAGACTATATATGCAATATATATATATACTCGAATTTAGGACTCAAATCTATCTTAAAAGCGACTCCTCAAAAAGCCTCTGTATTGCATCAAACTTTATGGATTCTTAACAAAGCACTTAAATCAACAAACTTCCAACCACATAATGAGGTGAATAAAAAGCTGTTACGGTTTCTGAAATATCATCAAATCGTAACAGCTAAACAATGATTCATGTAAACCATCTCATCATCAATCACAACATCACACCATTGCATCTTACCCCAAATCTCTACTCCTTGCCGTCTTTCCAAAGCAATCTCCGCACACCAAATCTCTGTCTTTATATGAAAGAAGATTGCCAATTTTCCACCGTAACTAGCCGTATTGGTATACGATATACGGGCCATCCTAGACAACAATTCTTCCAAACCTTGCACCACACTCCAACACCTCTGCTTTGGATCATACGCTCTCAACTTATTCTCGTCCCTATCATGATAGTACAACACACCCTCAACAGCACACGCATCATCCCATATCTTAGAATTCAGCATCTCGTCCACTTCCCATTTACTTTCCTTTGGCCTACAAACAAAGCTATTCTCAACGCCTCTCATGTAAATCTTATCCTCCATCACCACCACAACATCAGGGCTCAACTCTTTTACTTTAATGTCTGGCTTTGTAAGCTCAGGCTCCCACATTTGAGTTTCTGTATCCAACACCGTGACTTTCTTTGGCCATTCTCTCCCACTAAGATGGTTAGAATCACAAAAGCAACGTCCAATTACGTAAATATTTCGGTCGATGCTGGTAGCAACTGCATGAAACATGGGCTTAGGCATGTTGGAGATGGTCTGCACCTTGTGAGATATACAATCGATGCACCGTGTAACCTCACATAAAGATCCACCAATCACATATATCTTCGACTTCACGGCCACGCATTTTGCCTCGTAAGGCATAATAAGAGGAACTGGCCGTATAAGGACCAAGCGATTATTGCTGTTGAGAATATACAAACGGTAATCACGGGTGTTCTGGTTATGGAGGACAGCATAGAGACAATGTTCGGTGCAGCCTAACAAGGATCTTCTCTTGTATAGCTCAGGCGACGCAACTAGATCTCGGAAACTCTTGGAAACCAGAGAGATACTAGTGGGATAATATCTTCTCGGTACACGTGCTACGATATCAACGATCATGTCATCTGGAAGTGACCTAGTCAGAGACGGCGGCTCCTGCTCCTTCTTTGTGCTAACTTTGGAAGACATGTAATATAATTTATGCGAAAGAGAAGGAAAACAGAAATCCTCAACTCTTGATTATCTATATTGCTCGGCTTAAATTTTCAACTTTGATTTCTGATCTCTCTCTCTCTCTCTATCGACTAGGGTTTTCAAACTAGCATCTTTCCTCCGTCTCTAATAAATAAAAGGGATATTTTATACAATTATACTATTACTAGATTAGGCCCGCGGGTCTATTTAAATTTTGTTAAAAAAAATCATGGGAAAATATTAAACCAAATCTAGTCACATTTTAAAAAGTAAGTAGAATAATATTCAAATCCAATAACAAATCTCTAATTAAAATAAAATTGCTAATATTTTTTTTACATTTTAATTATAGTTAACATTTTATTTTAATTAATGATATGAAAATGAATTAATTTGTTTTATTTTTCATTTTTTCTCTAATATAGAAAGACTTACATATATGATAGACTTATTAATTCATGAAAATCACGTTGCGCGCATACAACTTTATATAATAAGATTTGCAAGATGATTTTGGAGAAAGGAATATATTAAGCCTTAAGTTTAGTGTATTAAGGGTATTTAAGTTATTTTAATTGTGAGAGTGAATGAAAACCTTGCAAATGTAATGCAAACCGCGAAGGCAAAGCTGCAAAAGGTGGATGGAGCCTATCTACTTCTTGAGTTTTTGTACAGATTTAGGAAATTGGAGCAGAAGATATCCTCATGAAAAGTGGTTTAGGTTTAGCTTTGAACAGAAACCAGAGAGATAAAGCAATACGTGTTTTTCATAAGGTTAATCAATTTATCTCTCTCTTAGACTATTATAAGCGCAAAGAATCTATAAAACAATTCAAACTTCTTTAGGCATGTGTGTTACGCTTTAGAGGCAGGAAAAAAAAAAGTATTCACACGGAATTGTGTTTGTTTGCTCTTTTATAAAACTTTGATCAATGCTAATTTGTTCATGGGTTATTAGGTATGCATTTGATGCTTTGCATCTCTTACTCCTTTTGAATAATATGTTTGCTTATAGGATAAGCAAACAAACTTCTTCCCATGGAATGGGTACTTCTTCTGATGCTAATTTGTTCATTGATCTGCATATTTTTACTTGCATCTCAAACAAAGTCAGATCATAAGACAAGCTTATTCCACCTCTAGACAGATAAACAAATTTTATCTATATTTAATAAATTAATTGAATTCCGTGGAAAATCACATAGTATATCTCAAATACTTAGTTTTTTTTATATATATAATTCTCAACTTTATGTCTATAATCAATTACTTAGGTAATATCAAGAATCGCAATGATTCCTCTTAAAATTGGAAAACCAAGCTACGTACATAAAGTTGCAATTTTTGTATGGCTTGCACCACAAGTTATTTTTGAGTGAATTCAAAGAGCTTTCTAACAAATCTCTACCAAGGAGGTATTTGAACTACGGTAAAAATAGAGGATATCATCAAAGAGTTCCCGAAAATGAAGAAGATATCAAAAATCAAAAAAAAAAAGCTCATTGTAACAATGATTTTTTTTGTTTGAATAATTGTTACATTCAATTCAGAAAAGAAAAAGGAAAAAAAAGAAGAGATCGTAACAACAGACCTATTCATTCAAATTTTCAGACTTTTCTTCTTGTTTAAGAATTTTCAGAGTTTTCAAATTACGTTTCCATTTTTTTTAACACTTGCTTTTATTGATTTGTAAATAATGACAGAGTTTAAAGAAACACAAAACACCAATATATAGGTGATGAACTGAGACAAAACCCAATCCTAAGAGCATCTTTAATTTACGGTACCCAACTAATTAATAGTATAAGATAATATTAGAAAAAGAAAAAATTGTTGGCAAAAAAAGAAAAAAAATATATATATATATATAAACAATAATATCTTGCTCGTGAAAATTTGTTTTCTTTACAACTATATTTATTTTTAATTTAAATAAATCCAGATTATAAAACGGATTTTTCTACTTTGAAATAAATCAACTTTATATAATAAAAAGTTTAATCTCACACAAAGCTAGGAAAAGCACAAATCGAATAAAAAGTGTATAATAATTATCATTTCTAAATTTAGAATTTATGTTTTAGATAATTTTATAAGGCTTTATAAATTATAATTCTTAAAAACTCTATAACTCTATAATTTAATCAAAGGTTGTTTAATTGGGATTTGTTAATATATATATATATATATATATCTACAAACGTAATTGTAATATTGATATTGGTGTGGTCTAATGGTAATCTTGGTTGGTATTAAACCGAGAGGTCCGAGGTTCGATATCTCTGAATAATGCATGTTCTCCGGGTTTTGATTTTCTTAAAACGACATCGTATTGTAACACTCTTTTTGATTTTGAGGCGGCAAATATGGAGGGCAAAATCGTCTTGACAGGAGGTTTAACTGTAACAAACTCTTCCCTCTCTCTCCCTTTTTCACTTCATCTCCAACTGTAACAAACTCTTCTCTCTCTCTCTCTCTCCCTCTTTCACTTCATCTCCAACTTCAAAAGTTCTCTGCGATTCTCTCTCCTTTTTCTCTTCATCTACAACGTCAAATCTTCACAGATTCTCGAGGTACGTTGACTAATTTTCTTTTCTGCATTTTTCTCGGGAAAACGCAAAGTTTTCTACCGATTATTGCGTTTATATTGCTTCTGTTTCTTCTTCCCTTCAACTTTTCTCTAGAAATCTGGAAAAGAGAAAAGTTAACTTGTTATTTCGTATGTTTAGTTCATCGTCGATCGCTTTAGTTTCGTTATTGAATTTTACCGGAAAAATATCCGAATCGAACAAAATTTCTCGGAAAAAACTGTAGTGCTTTGAAAATCTTTCGGCAGTTTACCGGCGAAATCAATTTTAGCGCTTCTCGACCTGTGGTTATTTTATCGCTCTAGTTTCGTGTAAAGAATTATCTCTCTGTTTCTCTATCTTACGATATCTTTCGTTGTTTTCGCAGAAAATGAATAATAGGAGGGAAACCGGCGAATTCAGCTACTTCAGTGCTCCTCCAGGGATCTTCATCGGCCAAATTCCGATCATACCGCCGGTCCCAAACCCGGTCCCCGTCCCGGTGACCCTAGGCTTCTCTGGAAGAATATACTTTAATTCTGCGGTAGAGGCAACCGCCTATCTGAGTCTTCAATTGCCGGTTGCACATCCGCTACTTGGCTATACAATGGTTGTGGAAAGGCATTATCTGCCAACTTATTATCATCTGCCATATGGACATAACAATCCCGTGGTCCCGCTCGCTGCATATCTAGTAGAGGGAGGTGCTATTCACCAGGATGTTGCTCAAGCGAACATGGTAGCGAACGTGGTCGAGCATCAAGCAGCACAGAATAACCAGGTCGAGGTCCAGCATGCACCACAGCCGCAGAATCAATTCCAGGAACAGGTCGAGCATCCGTTGCCGCAGGAGACACCAATATTGTTTGTTCCGAGTCACACAGAGGCTACAGATCAAACAGGAGGACAAGGTACAGAGGTAAGCCGCCACGAGGCACCAAGTGTCGATGCTGACATCGGAAATGCTGTGCCTGTGATCAGTGTCCCTCCAAAGATATGGCTGAATATTGCGGACAGAAAACGCGAGACAAACAAGAGAAAAAAACAGAAGGCTCAAAGCAGAACGATGCCGTCTCAGGCTCCCCATAGCCAGATCGCTCAGAATGAACAACCTTCTGTTGATAATGCGAGTCAAGAAGAATCCGGAGCTGGAGCATCTACGCAGCGTGGAAAGCTGACTACGACAGAAGATACAGATGTACCAAGCAGCTCCAAGAAGAGTGAAGCATCCGGAGCTGGAGCATCTAAGCAGCGTGGAAAGCTGACTAAGACAGAAGATACAGATGTACCAAGCAGCTCCAAGAAGAGTGAAGCATCCGGAGCTGGAGCATCTACGCAGCGTGGAAAGCTGACTAAGACAGAAGATACAGATGTACCAAGCAGCTCCAAGAAGAGTGAAGCATCCGGAGCTGGAGGTACACCACCAAGCGTCGATGCTGTGAGTAAAATAGCCGGAGCGGAATCAAGCTGCAAGGCACAATCAGATGAGAGTGAAGAATTACATGATCTAAATCAAAGCAAGGAATTCTCAGAAAATAAAGCGTCTTCTTCACCTAATCATCTCAGCCTAGCTCAGTCGTGTAAGGGTGAGAATGTACAAGCCGGATCGGAAGGTACAAAGCCTCAACATCCTCTGAGAGAGGTATCAAGCGGCGAGGCACAGAGGATTTCTCAGGATATCAGTGTTCCCCCGTCTGCTTCAGGTAATCATGTCAGCCTTTTGGTGTTCTGTATTTCATTTACCAAACTAAGCGTCTAATAAACTTCTGTATATGCGTAATTATAACAGACAAACAGCTCAGCTCCGCTTTGGAGTGGAAGGACTGTACAGATGATTTGGTTCAGGTGTCTAGGTTTCTCAGGGAAAACTTCTATGATGATACGTGGGAGTATATTCCCAGTCACACGGTTGAGTCTCTGGAATGGTCTATGAAGCCACCTGGATTTAGAGTACTTCTTGGAGTAAAAAGCAAGATCAAGGAAGATCTCCTTGGTTTTGTTTCTGCAGTGTCTACGCACATCTGGAAGGAAGGTCAGGTTGTTAGTGTATGTACTATCAGGCTTCTCTGCGTTCACAAAAAGCTGAGAAAAAAGACGGGAGGCTTTAATATTGGTTCGTGTATGATTGCGGAGGTCAAACGAAGATTTGAAGCACATGGGATATTTTCTGCGGTCTACAGTGCTAATAAAATACCAACTTCAACTTCGTTTCCGAAGCCTCTCAAGAAGTGTTCTGTTTACTGCAAACTTATCAACCCCAAGCCACAAGGAGAGGATAACAAACCGCAAACTAGAACTAGTGGATTGAGGAAGATGAAGGAAACCGATGTGCGTCATGTAACAAAGTTGCTGCAACGTTACCTGAAAACATTTAAGGTGGCGACTTACCTGACTGCGAATGAGGTCTCTCATTGGATGGTCCCCAGAAAAGACTTAGTGTACACCTATGTCGTAGTGTCACCGAGAACTGGTAACATCACTGACTTCTTCAGCTTCTACACGGAAGTTGCTTCTCTAGTCGATAGTGACAAGGAACTGAAGATAGCACATGCCTATTACAATCTGGCTGAAGAGACCAAACCACAAGTCTTGCTGCAAGACATGCTAAGCATTTGCGAGGAACAGTCCTTTCACATTTTTGCCGCCACTGCTACTTTAGAGAACTCCAAGTTCCTGTGTGATCCTGAACTGGGATTCCAAAAAAGTCGTGATGATTTGTGTTGTTTTATTCATCCTCTCACCGAAGAATTGGAGGATATGAATGATGAAGATACTGTCATGGTCATGCTGTAAGGGAAACCGTCATCTTCTCATATACCAGCTACATCTTCACATGCCTTATCATAATAGCTTGTAAGTGCTCTTTTCCTTTTAAAAATACTTGCGTATTCTCCAAAAGACGCAAACTAACAACTTGAAACACCTTAGTTGTTGTCTTTTCAAATGCAGTCTAGTTCTCTGCATTTCGTCCTTTCTATTATGAATCCATTATATCAGCCTTGAGATGAGTTGTTTATTTGGCTAGATACACAACAGCTTCACCTTCTTGAAGTGAACAACCTTGACACAATTGCTGTAACACTAGCACTTGTGTCTCCAAGCTCTTTCTTTAGAAAACCACTTCAATAAAATCATCTCAACTCACACATTAGTGTCTTTTCAGAAAACCTGCAACTCTTGTTGAGAAAACCCGCAAATCGTTTCTGAATATAATTACCAACAACCAGCTTCAAACTAAATCCGCAGCTACCTCTTTACCATCAGATTATAAACCCGTCTGAACTGGGATAACCATTGATAACCACATGATCTTGACTTGCCATCTTCTTAGCTCACTGAAATTACCATCAGAGTAATGCAGCCTTTTAACTCTTCCCTTTTTCTGCTAAAGATCTGAGACGGCCTCCACGAACAAAGATCCACCAGGAATAGAAAAAACACCCTTTTGGATATGCACTGCTCTTCTTGTACGTAGCAACAATACTCTATACTCCACCTGGAACTATAACCACTTGGATACACTTAGTCTCTATAAGCTCTGCTTCACCATTCAAAAGTTAAAACCATTATTCACTGTATCTTTGATTCACTCACTTGTTCTTCTGTATCAGAAAAAATCACCATGGCTTCTTGCTTGAGATTGTGTGCCCAAGCGTGGAACACATGATCTCTCTCCTGCAGCCACACCAGCTAATTCATTTATACCCAAAAAACCATTAATTTCAGCAGCCTCGTTCACTCTTTACATGGAGCATTCTTCCAACTTAGGTTGATGCACCATAGAAACATATGCTTCAATCTCTCACAGATCACTGATCTTGTACTTCTTCGCAGCCAAAATACAACACATACTTATCTTGTACTTGTTTGCAGCCATTTCTCATAAAACATGACGTCTCCAATGCCCTAAACTTTTAGACCATCAGATTCTTCTTCATTTCTTTGGAAAGAATCGGATTCCATACAAGATATTTTCTGAGAAAGCATTGCTCCACCAGTGAGGAGATTCCGTTGTGCAGTCTGCTATTTCGCTCGACCAGTAGTCGTGACGGGCATATATTGTCCTTTGAACCAAGCCAAATAAAGAATGAAAAAGAAGAAGAATTTTGCACACTAGTTGGCTTATTTCGCATCTTAGAAACAGATGGCCTCTGGTATCATTGTTGGAGCTGCATAAACAACATGTGTTGTCAACAAGCATTCCCCAAGAGGATAAACGATCACGAGTAGGGAGTGTATCAAGCTGCGCCAACCACATAGTGAAAGCGTGTCTTGGGATAGCATCCTTGAACCAGACACTTGCTTGAAAAGGGGCTGATGGCCTCACTGATTCCCATATTTGTTTAGTCGACAAGGTGAGATATGAGTATAGCTGGACAACTTTCTCAGAGCAGCAAGGGGTCTGAGGTGGAGAAGGGCTTCCAATGTCCATGATGTGTACTTTTCTTCATCCAATATCTCCCTTGGTCCTGTGGGTTTTCATCCAATTTACCCATATATCAACTTAAGGGAGATAGCCTCCCTTATTCCAGATAGACAAGTCACGTAATCCAAGGCCTCCCTCTCTCAAATATTTACCATGCTATATATAAGCTGCTTTCGGCCTGCATAGGATAGAGCACGAGCTGACCAGGTGGAAAATCGGTTTGAAATCTGGTCAAGCAAAGGTCTATAATCTGTTAAGCGTAGCTTCCGCTTCCTATGATCTAATGTATTCAAAGAAAACCATGATGATGTCATCTGCAAAAGCCAAGTGCGTCACTTGTGGGATGATAATCTCGCAAATGCTCAACAAGGAGATAAGGGGTCTCCTTGTCTCAGTCCCGCAGAGACAGAAAATCTTGTAGTTGTGATAAAAACTACAAGATTTTCTGTGAAATTTGCAGAGGAACTTGAGTGGAAATCCAGCCAGACAGGGAGTCTAGAGAGCTCGGTGACCATTTTGCAACAAACATCGTCTGACTCAAAATTCGTCGCCTAGCTATGGGACATGGAACACGGAAGAGAAAGGCGTCACGTGTCCATCCATTTTTGGAGACATATATGTCTCGCCTTTCCTCATAAAACTGACCGAGAATGAAGCTATCGCACGATTTTCCGGTTCTTCTCAATAACCTTGTTTGGTATCTCAAACTGTCTTTTTTTTTCAGAGACAAAATCCCCATCTATTTCTGCAATTGCAGAATTAGGTATTCCAATTTCCCCCAATATCCTCATTCGCGAGAGCGGGAGCAGACGGTCCAGAGGAAATGGCTTTTTCTGCGGCCCATGGAATTGGAGCTCGAAGATCTATCTATATCCACAAGGAAGTAGATTTCTTGTGCTTCTTTTTCTTCCGGGCCTTGGGAGAGAGAGGATGCGAAGAACTCTTTTTTTTTTTTTTTTTTGAAATTTGAATCTCTTCTTCTCCTAGAGAGATTTGAATTTATTTAATTTTGCAGATTTCACGGCTAATTTTACATCTGAATCCAATGGGACTTGGCCACGTGTATGCAATATCAAACTCGTCTCATTGTTGTTGATCGATGAGGTCAAAGAGTTGGTCGCCGATACCGAAGCCGAGCATCCTGGCCATGTCGGTCGTCTTCAGCCTGGGCCTAGGGACACCGTGTCGTTTGAGCCACGGATAAACCACAAACACTTTGGTCATGACGAACAGCTCTAACGCCTCGGGGTTGAAAACCACACCCATCCTCAGGCTCATCTGGTGAGGCACCAACATGGCCGCATAGCGAGCGAGCTCTCCGGCTCTCCAGTCCAGCACCACCGGAAGCCATGGGTACTCTGCGTCCAGCCTCACGAACCACAGCCTTATCTCCGGATACTCCGACAGCTCCCGCGGATCCCTTGGGTCCTCTCTCTGGTAATTGATCGTGAATCCTATGCTTCGTTCCAGGTACCTCCTTGCTTCACCTTCTAAACCAAACCAAACCAAACCAAACCAATTCAATAATCTTCACTGGTTCCCAAAACCAAATCAGTTACAATATTGTGGGTGTGATTTCATTTTTGTTACCTGAGGACGGTGAGGTTATGCCGGTGGCTGTCTGAAAGGGAGATAAGTCAAGCCGCCCAATAGAGTCGTTGTCGATCACTACCTCGTACCTACCGCTCGTCGGAGGCATCGGAGGTTCCACTTTGTCTGAATCTGCGCTCCTTTTTTCACCCTTAAATAAGTTTTCAGCTAATGAATGGGGTTTGATGCTACGCTACTACTTAGCTTTAGCATTAGCATTAGCATTAGCACGTACCGTCCTCAGAGCCAAAGGCAGAGATATCGAAATTGCCGGAAGGATTGAAGGCGACAGAGACAGCTACATCCTCTGCTTTCCTCTTCCTCACTCGCCAGGCCGCCGGCAACTCAACATGTGGAAACGGCGTGGTCGCGTCTCTTTGTCTCGGTCTGTGTCTCGGCGATGGGAAAAGCGACGGGACAAGAGCTGCCTTTGCCATTGACGGGATTTGTCTTTCTCTTGTCAATTTGTGTATGTGGTCTCTTTTCTTTCTTCATTTCCTTTCCTGCATTTCTTTCTAATTATCCTTTTCCTTCACCCCACAAATGTATCCAATCCTAAAAGGCTAAAACTCTAATCATATGCTAATTAAGCACAACACGGACGGTCAATGCATATTTAATGTTTGCTCTAAAGTCCTATACACACATCAAGGCCCATTGAATTGCTTTATTGGTTGTGAAATTAGGCAGTCTCTGTGTGGCCCAATAAGTTTTTCAAAGAGACTTACTTAATCGAATTAGGCAGTAACTAATAAATTCCTTTCTTGACTATTATGGCTTACAAGTTACAAGGTTATGGATTGACCAAATCCAAACAAATACGTACTACTTTTTCTTTTTATTAAAAAGGAACATTTCATCGTAAAATTTAAAAAATAAAGTAAAACGTTAAAATACCTTTTGGACCTTCAAAACATCGAAAGTGCGGTGATTACGGCAACAAATTAAAAAGCTTACTCACTTATTGGATTTGACAAAATAATCAATTTTTTTACATCGCGTAGAAACGGGGAAAACGGAAAGCTTCCATTAAAAGAAAATCTTATCTTTCAAAAGGTTTTATACTCTGGATGTGATTTACTTTATACTGAGCAGGATTTTGTAATCTAGTCAGTTACTATTATTTCGACGATTTTTTCAACAAATCCAAATAGCATTTCCCTTTTCAATTACTTAAAAACACACTTTATTTTCGGTTTCAATGATTCATTCATGTGGCAGCATAGCTCTAATAGTATATTTCTATAACTAAAAAAGTTTTTGCTTATTTGTTAGTAATTAAAATTAGAAAAAAATCTGCCTAAAGAGTAAAGGCCAACACACGTCCATGTTAATGTTATGGTATCTAAATGTATTAACTTCGCTGCCAAATTTAGTTAAATATATAGTTTGACCAAAATTAGTTAATTACCATTAGAATAAGAGAGAGAGAGAGAGAGAGTGAAGCGATTGGATAACACAAGAAGACAGAGAGATACATATACACTTAGCTCCTCCATGACCAAACCCTAAATCTATTTGCTCTGACCGCTTCTTTTGCTGTAAAAGGCAAAAGCTTTCGAGTGTTGTTCTTCATTTCGATGCCCGAATCTGGGACCTGTGGAATAGTGCTCCCGAGCTCGACCCGGATTCTCTTGGTGCTCAATCTATCTATCTATCCGTCTGTTCGTCGTGGAAGCCATTGATGTGAAGCTCGGATAGCCTGTAAATCGATGGGCTTTTTCTAATTTCTCATTTCCATAGCCGCTGGAGATTGTTAGGTACTAATCGTTTAATTTCGGATCTTTGTGGAATCGGACTCTTGATCTGGTTTGTCTTTGGGGAGGAATTCGTGGGTAGTCTCGAAACATTGTGGATCTCCATGATTAGAGAATGTGGGTGTAGTTGAAAAAGTCAGAAACTTGCAATTAGAGAGAGAGTAGAGAGAGAGAGAGATAGAGAGTAGAGAGAGAGAGAGAGAGAGAGAGAGAGAGGCGATGTCGTTGAAGGGTCTGATTCAGGAGATGAGAGGAGAGCTGGGGAGTATCTCGAGGAAAGGATTCGGGTATGGGAGGACGAGGTCTCAGCGAGTGGTGCAGGACACGTGTGTTCCCGTGGATGCTTTTAAGCAGAGCTGTTGGGCAAGTATGCCTCCGGAGCTCCTCAGGGACGTTCTGATGAGGATCGAGGCGTCCGAGCACACTTGGCCTTGTCGCAAGAATGTGGTTGCCTGCGCGGGTGTTTGCAGGAACTGGCGAGAAATCGTCAAAGAGATCGTCAAAGTTCCTGAAGTTTCCAGCAAATTGACTTTTCCAATCTCCCTCAAACAGGTTCCTTTTCCTTTGACTTTGTCTTTCTCTCTCTCTCTCTCTTTACCTGCTTCTTCTTCTTCTTCAGGCTAATAAAAATGTTTAAAATTGAATTCAGCCTGGGCCAAGGGGATCACTTGTGCAGTGCTATATCATGAGAAACCGCAGCAATCAGACTTACTATCTCTACCTCGGCCTCAACCAAGGTGAGATACAAGTAGCAACAGTGTAAAGTGTCGTCATTTAAATCAGATTCCTTTCTTTTTTTCTCTAGCAACAGTGTAAAGAGTTTGCCTTTTTCTGCTTCTGCAGCTGCTTCAAATGACGACGGAAAGTTCCTTCTTGCTGCAAAGAGGTTTCGGAGGCCAACTTGCACTGACTACATCATCTCCTTGAACTCTGAGGATGTCTCCAGAGGATGCAACACCTATATCGGAAAGCTAAGGTATACCTTAGCTACAGTCTCAGACTCCCTCCATATTCTTCATATTTAGTGCCTCATTCTTCTTTTAACTGACTTTCTTCTTTCAGATCCAACTTCCTGGGGACCAAGTTCACTGTCTATGATGCTCAGGCCACGAATCCTGGAGCTCAGGTCACCAGAACCCGTTCAAGCAGACTTCTCAGTTTGAAACAAGTGAGCCCGCGAGTTCCCTCTGGCAACTTTCCTGTTGCACATATCTCTTATGAGCTTAACGTCTTGGGTTCCAGGTGGTTGTTTTATCCAAATCTAACAAGATCCCTACTCTAGTTGCTTATATTGATTGCTTCTGCCTTATTGTTGTTCTTGTATCAAAGCAGAGGACCGAGGAGGATGCATTGTGTAATGGATGCCATCCCTGCATCTGCAGTAGAACCCGGAGGAACAGCTCCGACTCAGACGGAACTTATCCACAGCAATCTCGAGAATTTCCCGTCCTTCTCCTTCTTCAGGTCCAAGTCAATCCGCTCGGAGAGTCTCCCTTCTTCCCACAAGGAAGGACTGCTTGTCCTGAAGAACAAGGCCCCCAGATGGCACGAACAGCTCCAGTGCTGGTGCCTCAACTTCAACGGGAGAGTCACTGTTGCCTCCGTCAAGAACTTCCAGCTCGTAGCTGCTCCAGAGAATGGACCAGCTGGACCGGAGCACGAGAACGTGATTCTACAGTTTGGGAAAGTCGGGAAAGATGTCTTCACAATGGACTACCAGTACCCAATCTCTGCCTTCCAAGCCTTCACCATTTGCCTTAGCAGTTTCGACACCAAGATAGCATGTGAATGATGTTTCCATTCTCCAACAACCCCTGCCTGTGTGCGACTTATTTAGTTGTTTCAAAGAGAAGAAGATTGGTGTGGCCTCCTCGCTCGTCTAAGAAGTAACAAGTGTGTCTGTGTGTGTACATAGTTTCAAAAGTCGTGGCAAAGTCCATACAAAGAGAGAGAGTCAGTCAGAATCGATGAGACAGTAGAGTGTGTTTGTTGTTGTTCCGTTCTCTTGTGTTGCTAGTCATCGTAGTTCCAGACTATCATGTTTTCATCCCTCTCATAATTAATTTGATCGGTTTTCTTTTGTTTTTTTGGGTTTTGTTTAAGAATTATATTATATATTCAGGCCAAGCAGAGATCCAGAGATGATTTGAAGTAACAAGATTGTGCCTTGAAAATTATTATATGAAAAAAACAAGTGTATTATCTTTTACAGATTGCTTAGTATGATTCCGGCGATCAGTAATAGGGAGGAAGAAGCGGAGCTGATTGTGGATGTGGCCCGCCAAAGCAATCTCGTAGCAGCCAGCAGCAGCAGAGACAAGATAGACTGCAGAGATTAAGGAATCAATTAGAGAGAATCCCAAAGATGTATAAAACAAAAGAAAGAAGCAGAGAATGTGTTTACCAGGAACATATCATGTCTAAAAATCCATCAAAGAAACCACCCATGGGTGGAAAGAACCCTGGCCCTCCCGGTCCAAATCCTGGTCCACCAGGTCCGAGTCCCGGTCCAGGTCCAAATCCTGGTCCCGGTCCAGGTCCTCCAGGCCCCATGACAGATGTTCAGTAGGCACTCTTGTGTGAAGTCGTGAGATAAGAAGAAGAAGAAGAGAAACAGAGGAGGCCAGGCTCTTATAGAGCAGTTTGTTGGTAGATGAAACGAAAAGGAAACAGTTGAGGACGAAGGAAAGATACAACAAAGCTTCTCCAAGGCTAACGGTTGAAGCATCAAGCACGAGAGAGCTGCAGCTACTCTTCTTCTCATCACCTTTCCACCAAATTCTTTTTGTTCTGGGCCGAACATGCCAACAACGTTTAAATTGGGCCAGCTATGTCACTACAGCTTTTGCTATGTGATTGTTGTTTCCAGGTGTAGCAATACTGTATATAGTAGTAGAGTTATCACTTATCACTCATCACACACATATCTTATTATATGATTCGATTATACAAGACAGAGATTGGTTTTCTTTTTGTATGATACATTGCAATCAAAGAGGAAGGTAGGGTCTTAAAGTCTTAACTTGAGGCAGAAGAAACAAACTTATAAAAGGAAAACAAAATCAAGGATGGTCTGACTTAGCAAAACGTCCCCGGATTCTTGTCCTGGTTTCTGCACGAACCTTGCGTGATTCATATCTGATGTGCTTCTCGTACCTGTTTGTGTTTGTCACATGAGATCCTATTCTTGGTGTTTCTCTAGCTCTTAACTTAGGAATGTGTTAGTTAGTTAATTAATGAGTTACCTTCTCGATTTCTTCTTCTCTTTGTAGCGAGAGAGAGCAGAGTTTCTGTCAAGAGTGCTCATCTCATGGCAAGGCAGCGTCGACAACATTGATCTTGTAGCCGTGCAAACCGGAACCATCACCGATGACTCTTGCTCTTGCTCTTGCGCATGAGGGCCGCCTCTCCGGTTCTCGTTATGATCTGACTCAAACAAGTTATTTTGCAGAGAAGAGTATGCTGTGAAGTCCTCTTGATCCTCGAACCATTTCAGTCCACTCACCTTCAAAACAGAAATTGAGAGAGATGCATGTGTTCAGGTCCCAAAACTGACAAGCAGAATAGTAGTTAGTAATCAATTAAGGAAGGACATAAATATACCTCAAGGCATGTAGAAAACAAATCATCATCTTTTTCCGGTGACAGGAACTGGAATCCGGCGTCAAGATCAGCATCTCCATCTACGGTTTTATATTTCAGACAGCTCGACTCGGTTCTCGCTAGTTCTCGGAGCTGTCTTATCATCTCCTCCTTGTGTTTACCGCACGTGGCGTGACGATTCTGAGACAAAAACAAAACATTTCATGATCAGCAGAAAGAAAGAAGAAAAGAAAAGACTCGAAAAGGAAACAAGTAGCCCTAATAGTATACTACCTTAGGCAGAGGAGGAACATCCGTGGCCCGGAGATTGTGACCTGAAGCAGTCAGATCGTTGAGGATTTCAGGGGTCTCCCAAAGCAAGAGATCCTGGGAATAATTAGGAGAGAGAGGTTTGTGAGTGAGGTCATGGAGGCCCACGAGCGCCATCAACTCGGTGACAGAGGGACAGCCGGAAAAGCCTTCGAAGGGCCTGCGGNTCTTCTGAATGGTTACATCCTACTTCCTAATTATTTCGAAAAATTTGGATGCATTGACTGCATGTGCCATAACTTAAAACCGGAGAGACAGTGATCCACGTACAGTTCGATTGTTCAAAATAAAAACTAAACTGAAGACTTGAGCGAATATACACGCAAATTGTTCAAAGTAATTCAATATATGTTGCCTTCCCATATTCTTTTACGTACATACTAGTATTTTTTGGTTAAAAAACTAAAATCTTAGGCTTTGATTGGTAGAGCATTAGAAGAGCATTAAGCTCTTTCTCATCCAATCAACTTTTTTTAAAAGAGCATTTAGGAGAGCATTTAGAAACTGCTACTGCTCCCAAACTGCTCCTTCCCTCCCTGCTCTGAAAAGGAGCATTTCCAAAGCATTGAGCTCAAAAATATTTAAAAAATCTTAAATAAATTATAATAAATTATATTTAATTTATTTATTTTGGTAAAAAAATGAAACTATATTTATATCAAATTTACAATTTTATAATTTCGTAAATTAACATTAACAATAATGTATTATTCATAAAATAAATATTTAATGACATAAAAATTAAATAAATATAATTTAAATATGAAATAGTTACTAAATATTTTTTAAAAAATAAAAAACAATCTTATGTTATTAATGAAAATATATATGATGCATTAAAATAAATATCAATATACATATTAAATAATTTCACAAAAAAAATAATAAAAAGGCTCACAGCTCTACCAATCATATAAATTAAGAACATGCAGTTTCAAGAGCTTAATGCTCTTCTAAATACTCACCCTGCTTATGCTCCTTAAGCTAATGCTCTTCTAACTGCTTTGCCAATCAAGGCCTTAAGGTGTGAATGAAAGGTATAGTTAGCGTAAATAAAGTGGTGGGAAACAAAATTTACTCTCACTTACTCTAAAAGATAACCAATCAGGTGGAAAAATATAAAGTTAGCTATTCAGCCAATAGAGAGTAAACTGGCGGTATTCTTTACTCCACTTTTTACATGAGGGAAAGATTAATGAAGGAAGGAGATAAATGATATATAAATAATATATTTTTCCACTTTTTTCTTATTTACTCTCACTTACTCTCATTTACTACTATTCACTTCTAAAACAGTTTTCTCATTTTTTCCACTCTTTTACTCTACTTTTTAATTTTTCTTCCCTCTCAATTACTATTCTCCCTATTACTCTCAATTACTCTAATGACATACCATTCACACCCTTAATAATAAAATAGGTAAATATGTATACGTAACCCTGATATTCATGTAAAAGTCATATGTTTGCAGTACAAGTGTACAACTGTTAATTTTGATAAATATTTTTTCAAGGTACACAATTATTCCCAAGGTACACAATTCTTCTGGTAGCTAGCTGCTGCTACTACTACTATTACAACTTACAAGTAACAGGGAGCATCTTATGTCTTATCTTCCAAAGCTAACACTAGAGAATATCTTTTTGCTGCAAAAAACTTAGCCGAAAAGGGAAGAAGACAAAGTAAACTTAGAGTTTCAGACAATCCCGTTAACGCACAAACAAACAATGTGCAGACAATAATGTAAGATTGAGCCATCACTAGATTCGTTTCATTGAATCATTGTATAGCCTCTCACTCAATCCGAGGCTACCAAAACGCGTTTGCCAAAAAAAAAAAACCATTAGAAGCCAAACCCCATTCATGACATGGTGGTGTGAATACTGATCAACTTTTAACAACATAAGTTGAAGACTATAAGAAACATCATCAGTAAGAAGAATCTGAGAGGTATTATTATTAACAATATAGCATTTCCCTTTTCAATTACTTAAAAACACACTTTATTTTCGGTTTCAATGATTCATTCATGTGGCAGCATAGCTCTAATAGTATATTTCTATAACTAAAAAAGTTTTTGCTTATTTGTTAGTAATTAAAATTAGAAAAAAATCTGCCTAAAGAGTAAAGGCCAACACACGTCCATGTTAATGTTATGGTATCTAAATGTATTAACTTCGCTGCCAAATTTAGTTAAATATATAGTTTGACCAAAATTAGTTAATTACCATTAGAATAAGAGAGAGAGAGAGAGAGAGTGAAGCGATTGGATAACACAAGAAGACAGAGAGATACATATACACTTAGCTCCTCCATGACCAAACCCTAAATCTATTTGCTCTGACCGCTTCTTTTGCTGTAAAAGGCAAAAGCTTTCGAGTGTTGTTCTTCATTTCGATGCCCGAATCTGGGACCTGTGGAATAGTGCTCCCGAGCTCGACCCGGATTCTCTTGGTGCTCAATCTATCTATCTATCCGTCTGTTCGTCGTGGAAGCCATTGATGTGAAGCTCGGATAGCCTGTAAATCGATGGGCTTTTTCTAATTTCTCATTTCCATAGCCGCTGGAGATTGTTAGGTACTAATCGTTTAATTTCGGATCTTTGTGGAATCGGACTCTTGATCTGGTTTGTCTTTGGGGAGGAATTCGTGGGTAGTCTCGAAACATTGTGGATCTCCATGATTAGAGAATGTGGGTGTAGTTGAAAAAGTCAGAAACTTGCAATTAGAGAGAGAGTAGAGAGAGAGAGAGATAGAGAGTAGAGAGAGAGAGAGAGAGAGAGAGAGAGAGGCGATGTCGTTGAAGGGTCTGATTCAGGAGATGAGAGGAGAGCTGGGGAGTATCTCGAGGAAAGGATTCGGGTATGGGAGGACGAGGTCTCAGCGAGTGGTGCAGGACACGTGTGTTCCCGTGGATGCTTTTAAGCAGAGCTGTTGGGCAAGTATGCCTCCGGAGCTCCTCAGGGACGTTCTGATGAGGATCGAGGCGTCCGAGCACACTTGGCCTTGTCGCAAGAATGTGGTTGCCTGCGCGGGTGTTTGCAGGAACTGGCGAGAAATCGTCAAAGAGATCGTCAAAGTTCCTGAAGTTTCCAGCAAATTGACTTTTCCAATCTCCCTCAAACAGGTTCCTTTTCCTTTGACTTTGTCTTTCTCTCTCTCTCTCTCTTTACCTGCTTCTTCTTCTTCTTCAGGCTAATAAAAATGTTTAAAATTGAATTCAGCCTGGGCCAAGGGGATCACTTGTGCAGTGCTATATCATGAGAAACCGCAGCAATCAGACTTACTATCTCTACCTCGGCCTCAACCAAGGTGAGATACAAGTAGCAACAGTGTAAAGTGTCGTCATTTAAATCAGATTCCTTTCTTTTTTTCTCTAGCAACAGTGTAAAGAGTTTGCCTTTTTCTGCTTCTGCAGCTGCTTCAAATGACGACGGAAAGTTCCTTCTTGCTGCAAAGAGGTTTCGGAGGCCAACTTGCACTGACTACATCATCTCCTTGAACTCTGAGGATGTCTCCAGAGGATGCAACACCTATATCGGAAAGCTAAGGTATACCTTAGCTACAGTCTCAGACTCCCTCCATATTCTTCATATTTAGTGCCTCATTCTTCTTTTAACTGACTTTCTTCTTTCAGATCCAACTTCCTGGGGACCAAGTTCACTGTCTATGATGCTCAGGCCACGAATCCTGGAGCTCAGGTCACCAGAACCCGTTCAAGCAGACTTCTCAGTTTGAAACAAGTGAGCCCGCGAGTTCCCTCTGGCAACTTTCCTGTTGCACATATCTCTTATGAGCTTAACGTCTTGGGTTCCAGGTGGTTGTTTTATCCAAATCTAACAAGATCCCTACTCTAGTTGCTTATATTGATTGCTTCTGCCTTATTGTTGTTCTTGTATCAAAGCAGAGGACCGAGGAGGATGCATTGTGTAATGGATGCCATCCCTGCATCTGCAGTAGAACCCGGAGGAACAGCTCCGACTCAGACGGAACTTATCCACAGCAATCTCGAGAATTTCCCGTCCTTCTCCTTCTTCAGGTCCAAGTCAATCCGCTCGGAGAGTCTCCCTTCTTCCCACAAGGAAGGACTGCTTGTCCTGAAGAACAAGGCCCCCAGATGGCACGAACAGCTCCAGTGCTGGTGCCTCAACTTCAACGGGAGAGTCACTGTTGCCTCCGTCAAGAACTTCCAGCTCGTAGCTGCTCCAGAGAATGGACCAGCTGGACCGGAGCACGAGAACGTGATTCTACAGTTTGGGAAAGTCGGGAAAGATGTCTTCACAATGGACTACCAGTACCCAATCTCTGCCTTCCAAGCCTTCACCATTTGCCTTAGCAGTTTCGACACCAAGATAGCATGTGAATGATGTTTCCATTCTCCAACAACCCCTGCCTGTGTGCGACTTATTTAGTTGTTTCAAAGAGAAGAAGATTGGTGTGGCCTCCTCGCTCGTCTAAGAAGTAACAAGTGTGTCTGTGTGTGTACATAGTTTCAAAAGTCGTGGCAAAGTCCATACAAAGAGAGAGAGTCAGTCAGAATCGATGAGACAGTAGAGTGTGTTTGTTGTTGTTCCGTTCTCTTGTGTTGCTAGTCATCGTAGTTCCAGACTATCATGTTTTCATCCCTCTCATAATTAATTTGATCGGTTTTCTTTTGTTTTTTTGGGTTTTGTTTAAGAATTATATTATATATTCAGGCCAAGCAGAGATCCAGAGATGATTTGAAGTAACAAGATTGTGCCTTGAAAATTATTATATGAAAAAAACAAGTGTATTATCTTTTACAGATTGCTTAGTATGATTCCGGCGATCAGTAATAGGGAGGAAGAAGCGGAGCTGATTGTGGATGTGGCCCGCCAAAGCAATCTCGTAGCAGCCAGCAGCAGCAGAGACAAGATAGACTGCAGAGATTAAGGAATCAATTAGAGAGAATCCCAAAGATGTATAAAACAAAAGAAAGAAGCAGAGAATGTGTTTACCAGGAACATATCATGTCTAAAAATCCATCAAAGAAACCACCCATGGGTGGAAAGAACCCTGGCCCTCCCGGTCCAAATCCTGGTCCACCAGGTCCGAGTCCCGGTCCAGGTCCAAATCCTGGTCCCGGTCCAGGTCCTCCAGGCCCCATGACAGATGTTCAGTAGGCACTCTTGTGTGAAGTCGTGAGATAAGAAGAAGAAGAAGAGAAACAGAGGAGGCCAGGCTCTTATAGAGCAGTTTGTTGGTAGATGAAACGAAAAGGAAACAGTTGAGGACGAAGGAAAGATACAACAAAGCTTCTCCAAGGCTAACGGTTGAAGCATCAAGCACGAGAGAGCTGCAGCTACTCTTCTTCTCATCACCTTTCCACCAAATTCTTTTTGTTCTGGGCCGAACATGCCAACAACGTTTAAATTGGGCCAGCTATGTCACTACAGCTTTTGCTATGTGATTGTTGTTTCCAGGTGTAGCAATACTGTATATAGTAGTAGAGTTATCACTTATCACTCATCACACACATATCTTATTATATGATTCGATTATACAAGACAGAGATTGGTTTTCTTTTTGTATGATACATTGCAATCAAAGAGGAAGGTAGGGTCTTAAAGTCTTAACTTGAGGCAGAAGAAACAAACTTATAAAAGGAAAACAAAATCAAGGATGGTCTGACTTAGCAAAACGTCCCCGGATTCTTGTCCTGGTTTCTGCACGAACCTTGCGTGATTCATATCTGATGTGCTTCTCGTACCTGTTTGTGTTTGTCACATGAGATCCTATTCTTGGTGTTTCTCTAGCTCTTAACTTAGGAATGTGTTAGTTAGTTAATTAATGAGTTACCTTCTCGATTTCTTCTTCTCTTTGTAGCGAGAGAGAGCAGAGTTTCTGTCAAGAGTGCTCATCTCATGGCAAGGCAGCGTCGACAACATTGATCTTGTAGCCGTGCAAACCGGAACCATCACCGATGACTCTTGCTCTTGCTCTTGCGCATGAGGGCCGCCTCTCCGGTTCTCGTTATGATCTGACTCAAACAAGTTATTTTGCAGAGAAGAGTATGCTGTGAAGTCCTCTTGATCCTCGAACCATTTCAGTCCACTCACCTTCAAAACAGAAATTGAGAGAGATGCATGTGTTCAGGTCCCAAAACTGACAAGCAGAATAGTAGTTAGTAATCAATTAAGGAAGGACATAAATATACCTCAAGGCATGTAGAAAACAAATCATCATCTTTTTCCGGTGACAGGAACTGGAATCCGGCGTCAAGATCAGCATCTCCATCTACGGTTTTATATTTCAGACAGCTCGACTCGGTTCTCGCTAGTTCTCGGAGCTGTCTTATCATCTCCTCCTTGTGTTTACCGCACGTGGCGTGACGATTCTGAGACAAAAACAAAACATTTCATGATCAGCAGAAAGAAAGAAGAAAAGAAAAGACTCGAAAAGGAAACAAGTAGCCCTAATAGTATACTACCTTAGGCAGAGGAGGAACATCCGTGGCCCGGAGATTGTGACCTGAAGCAGTCAGATCGTTGAGGATTTCAGGGGTCTCCCAAAGCAAGAGATCCTGGGAATAATTAGGAGAGAGAGGTTTGTGAGTGAGGTCATGGAGGCCCACGAGCGCCATCAACTCGGTGACAGAGGGACAGCCGGAAAAGCCTTCGAAGGGCCTGCGGGTGTGAAGAGAGGAAGAGGAAGAGTGGTGTTGCCAGTCGCAGTTCTGGCACAGCAAAGACCTTTCCTTGTCGCAGAAAACGGAGGAGGGAGAGTCATCGCAGGAGTCGCAGAGGAGTGACCTGAAGTGTTTTGAGAAGAGCTGGTTGGTGACGTGGACTTGCTTGTCGCAGGCCAGACACAGCTTGGCGGAGTCTGCTTTGCAGTAGACAAGAGCCACCGAGGTTTCACAGTAGTCGCACACCCGATGCTGATCATTTTGCTGATGACCTACTTCTTCTTCTTCCATTGATAAATTACTTAAGATTTAAGACCGACAGCTTTGTTTTCCTAATTAAGTAGACAAGAAGCAGAAGAAGAAAGAATCTTCTTGGTTCTTCGTTGGGATCTTTTTGGAGATATTTTCTTGCAACTAATTTGTTGGTAGCTCTTATTAGCTCTATTTATTATCATGTAAAAGCCATATATACTACTAATTTATTTTCGAGGAAATGACACAGAGTTGGACAAGTCAAAGTTTCTTGGGGAAGAAGTTGGAAACACACACACACACACTCCTAGCTACTTCCCGTGGGGTTGGTTTCACACACTATACACGTCGTCTTAGGCAACTTTTTGTTGTTGAGAAAAACGAATCAGGCAACTTGACGAATTATTCAATCAGCTGTTAAGTATGACTGTATGAGCAGCATAACCCTCTTTTGAAAGAAAATAAAAATAAAAAGGAGTAATTAAAATTGGCCACACATCGCTACGATAAACTAGTCCAAAAGACAAACAAAACAAAAATCCACACGAGGTACGGACGTGGCAAATTAGGGACGTTGGAAGCCCTCGTGTAATTAATAAGACTCTGTCACGTTACCGACATATAACTAGGGCCTAGAATGCTCGACACATATTCAATCCAGAGTTATTGATTAACTCCACTAATACCTTATCATTATCCTATTAATCTCAGAACCCCTGCAGCTGTCTTTATTACACGATTCAAGGTTACCTAAAACCACGGTTGACTTTATTAGGACAAGATGGGTCATATCGTAGACCATGCTATATGTTTCCTTAACGACCCTATCAACCATCATGTTAGGAATTTTAAACCAGGAATGTCATATGTATGACCTAGAATCATGAGTCCAACTATTCATTGTCAAATTCATGATTTTAAGTTGGATAATTACTTAACATATCATCTCTGTCTACTTCATTCCAAATATTTTAAATCTATCGCTCTTCAACCAGCTTGAATTAAACTTTCACAGCTCAAACTAGCTAAGAATCAAACTAAAAAACTACCTATCCACAAAGTTTCCCAATAATAAACGCAAAGTTTTGTTCCATGCATCAAAGCTTGAATAGAGACCAAACTGAAACAGAATGTTGTACTTTATATATATATTCTACTTTGGTTAATTTCTAATATTCTCATGACCTTCAATTCGTTCCTTTTTTTTGAAAAAATGGACCCTTCTCTAAGTAATCGTCGAGGTTCTCCATATAAATTTTGGATACGAATCTGTACCTAGGCTATAGGAGTATGCTTTTCTCACGCGCCGGTCAAAGAATCTTGGATCTTATAACAGCGACAACATGGTGAATCTGGTTCTTACTTCTTACACGTCTTATACAACTTCCGCTTAGTTATTCTCCCAACTCCAAAGATCCCAAGAAGCTGGAGGTCAAGAAAAGTTGTTCCATACATCTTGTAAAGCCCCTTCTACTTTTCTTATTTCCCTTCCACCTTTTGAGCTCAAGAGAATCATATTTTCGTAGAAACTCAAAGGTCTATGTAGGCGGCTTTTTACATGCGCTCTTGATTGGATAATTTTTAAGTATACTAGTCAATTGTGTTAACTTCAAGTAAAATTATTTCTTAGTAAAGTAATCCATCCGTTTCTCAATAAAGTATACTGGATCATGTCCTTCTAGTTGAAAATCTGGTTAACTGACTTTCTGTTATCGAGTTTACTCACTCACCTCTAGACTATGTCAAATGGTTTAAATCGAATTATATTCTGGATCAACCATGATTATATACAAAACAAAGAAAATTTCTCTTGTTAGTATCAAAAGTTCAAGACAATAATAAAACGAGAGATTCTCAAGAAAAGAAAAAGAAATGATTTCGTCTATATTTTGGACCGCAAAAGATCTTATATTCTCTTCCTTAAATTGCTCTTTATTTATTTGTTTTCTTTACAAAAAAAAACTATAGAACTCTCTTTGGGTGAAAACTGAAAACTATGGTGATATTTTTCACATGGGATTTTATGTGAAGAAAAGTACGCTCTAAACACTAATCCTAAAGGCTAAATCTTAATATCGACCAGTATAGTCTTGCAAATATAGGTATAGATCAATGGGTCTTAATAATGACAATGAATACCTAATTAATGACGAGTTCATGTGGTTAGCAATTCTATTGTAACTTAATGTCGCATTTTTCCCCTAGAAAATAAGTACAAAAGTTGAAAGAGTGCAGTTTCTGATATTTGAGAATGCTATTCACGAGTTTGCATATGTTATTGAAACAAAACCCCTAAGTAATAGTCCGTTTCACATTCTTGATGAGTAGCCAATCTCAACGTCTTAATTATCGCTAAGTAAATATGTTGCTCATCACATATATATACATGAGTCTTTAGAGAGAGTATATAAATAAAAAGATCTTAATCCAAAGCGACTATTAACGTGGATAGAAATCCAGACTATTATGTTGTTGCCCATTGTTTGTATTTGTCGTAGTTAAAACTGAAAAGTATGGAAACTCTTTTTAGTCTTCGAGATCCAAATTTTTGTAAAGAAGATAACATGCACATGTATGTGGAATACTTGTTTTCATTAGCATAAACAGATAAAAGCTTATACATCAACATACTCCAGTTGATCTCAACTATAAACTGAAACACAAAAGAAGCTAAACAATAGAACATGCATATGATCTACGATACACATTTCAGACAAAGACCTCATCTGAATATCTAGCTAGTGGCTAGTGTATTGAGCTCACAGCTAAACAATAGAACATGCATATGATCTACGATACACATTTCAGACAAAGACCTCATCTGAATATCTAGCTAGTGGCTAGTGTATTGAGCTCACACTCAAGAGATAACGGTTTTTATTCTCATTATATAGCTAATAATTAGAGTACTTATATGGATCTTGAGCTGGTTCGATTTGCTAGTAAAGGAGGGACTGATAGGGCTTGATCAAGGGGACGAGAGAGCCGCTAAGGTGAAGGGACATGACTTCATTGGTGGAACCAACGAGCTTGCCTCCGACGAAGACAGCTGGCACCGACGTGGAGCAACCGAGACGGAGAAGAGCCTTCTCGATCTCACGGCAGTCCGGGTCGTTTTCTATCTCGTGGATCGTTGGTTGAACCCTAAGGTCACGGAACAGGATCTGAACGGCGTAGCAGAGACAGCATGAGCTCTTCGTGAAGATCACCACTCCTTTCTCTGACGACATTCTCATTACTCTGTCCATGAGTTTCGACGGCTAGGGTTTAAGCTTTGATTAGCGTTTTGACGTATGGTTTTGTTTTGGTTTGAGTATGTAAAATGCTTGAAATCTGCTTCGCCTTTTATAGGAAAGGCGTGTGAGTGAGAGTCTTTGGACAGTTGGTTTGTAGAAAGAATAACATTCAAAAAAGTAATTATTATAAGGAAATATGAAAAAGGAAAGATAAAATATCAGATGCCCAACGGAAATAATGCTAGAAAGACGGCTATTTGAGAATTTTCTTATTTATATTCTGTTTGACTGCATGCACAAGTTGCACATATTACTTAAGAAAACTATTAATCAATTTATTTTATTTTTACTGTAATGTTTCGATCGTCATTTAACAGTTAATTAAATGTTCTCGAATACGATTCGAACCATTGTTATTGATTTCACCTTTTTGCAAGTTTTATCGTGAATACTATTGACATGGTGAGTGATATATATCCATGCAAACCGGTATATATACATGCTAGATGAGAATGACTTAAAAAGTTAAAACCGGACTTCGATTCATCCGTGACAGGTTTGCAGAAAATTAAACCAAAATATATGTTCACCTACATGCAGGAATAAACGACATATGTTCATAGTTTCAGTTTGGAAAAAATCGGTGAATATACCCGCGATGTTAATTATAAACAAAAAGAAGAGTGTTAAAAGTAAAAACTGGTCAAAATAAGACTACAACAACATAACAACAACAATGATGGAAAATCAAACAATTTCTTATTAAACTTGGGTGAGCGGTTTAAGAAAACCGATATTCAAATCAAACGAGTTTGGTACGAAAAGTTATAATGATACTACTATTGTGAACCTCAAAGAAAAAGGAAAAAAAAAAAATCAATGAGTTGTCAATTTATAATCTAACGGATTCCGATAACGTATCTCCTTTGTTGATTGAATCTTTGCGCAACGGATTCTCATAACATTTCTCCTTTGATGAATGAATCTTTGCGCCAAAGAGAGGGAAATTGAGAAAAAGATTCGAGCTTTCGGTGAGAAAACATGTATATAAGCATATTATTCGGCCAACATCAATACCACCAACTTGCCAAAGACAAATATTCATTCTTTCTTCCTTCTTACATAATACATATATATTCTTCTCAATCAATGCCTGACGCTTGGATCACACACACGAGTTATCGGCTGCTTCATTCTTGGAATTTAATTTTCCAAATGTTCTTTTTTTGTTAATATTATATATAGCGTCATAGTTCGACTTTCATTTGTATACCGTTTAGTGTTAGTACACATCTACTACAGTTCCTTTTTTTTCTTTCTATTATCAGAAAATAATAATTATTTATTTTGGGGGGACATCCATTACATGCATGGTTCATAGCATATTATAATTCATCATGGTATCAGCATTTGAGACACATGAACTTGGATAAAATATTTATCATTCTCGAGATGACATGTTATAAGAAATGAGTACATGTAAGCGAAATAATAGTAAGATGAGAGGCGTGATGATGTGATCTCAACTCACAACCAAATGGCTTTGGACTCCTTTAGCATCTTCTTGAGCGACCCATCCAAGTGGAAGGAGATGACGTCTTTAGCTGAGCCAACGTACCTCCCGCCTATGAAAACCGCTGGAACAGCCTGGTTAGAGCCGAATGTCCTGAAGAGGGCTCGTTCCATCTCTCGGCCTTGTGGGTCCTTGTCGAGCTCATGGATCGCAGGACTTGCCCCGAGCTCGTAGAACAGAGTCTTGATGCTATGACACATGCAACACGAGCTCCTCGTGAATATCACTGCCGCTTTCTTCGACGCCAAATCTCTTACTCGTTCCATCGATGACTTTATGGGCGATGAAGAAATGTTGGAAGCAGCCAACAGTGAACGAGCCTTGTGTTTATTCTGAATTTCTGATGCTGGACAATCGCTTGGATCAGCTGTTATTTATATAGTTCCTCATGTGCTAGATTTTTAGATTTGTATATGTTAAAGCCAATGGAAAAAGTTACATAAAATGAGTTGTGTTGCTCTCTGTCTGCGACAAGCAGCAGCATCACATACCCTTAACATTTATTTATTCATACTACAGACTATAGTTATAGTATGTTTGGAACATTTTTAGGAACAAAAGGTGATATTCAATGCTTTTATTTTGTTAATTAGTTAAACTTTGATATAGTCAAAAGTATCTATAAAAGCAGAAATTTGGTGTTTACTGGTGTTGTGTCATACTGCGGATATTTTGATCAAAAGTTTACCCATTCTTTTCATTCATAGGCACTCTCCATTTCGTCAGATTTACCATTATTTTTTAACTAAATTCTCTCAGGAAATAATGATCACAATCCTAATGAGCATCTTTATCTAAATTCAGGTAAGACGGATAAAAATATCTTGTCGAGGATCTGAAGACGTGGCGAAAACAGGACCGATTATATAAAATGGATTATTTTCTAGTTAGCATCTCGACCGTCCGTAGATTTATAGGTGGTAAATTAGATTCCTTTGATCAGAATCATCACAACCCGTTGACATAATGCAAAGTTGCAAACAAACAAACCAAAGTCTCTCTAACCTGTAAAGAAGGATTCCTTTTTTAAGTTAAACTAAAAGGCCGTTGGTAATAATTGGGCCTACTTCGTAGAAAGGCCTTTCATTAACATTTCTTTACCCTGGCTTGCTTCTAATTTTATCTGCCTGAAATTGGCATGAGCTTAGACTGTCTGTGATGCAGTAACATTAACAAATTAACAGTATTCGACTACAAATAAAGAACAACAACCTTAACACGAGAAGTTTCACAAGCAACCAATTCCCAAAGTAAAAAAGAAAGAAATGATCTAAAAGAAGAAGAGAAGTTGAGCTCTTTTTGCCTGCTTTCCAGCCGCAAAAGGGTCTGAAAGTAGAAGTACGTACAAGACAAAGAAACCTTGTCCGTCTCTATACACAAGTTATACACACACAAAAAGCCTTTCTTGTCTTTTTTTTTTTTTTTTGGTTTATGATATATGCACATATACACTTGCTCTTAAATATATGCGATTCTCACTCGGTTCTTCTACTCAACAAGGCTTCTCTTTTTCAGGTACGGGGATTATATATATATATATAGAGATTCACATGACATGCTTCTATATAATTATAATAATAGTAATAATCATATAGATTAAGAATTGCAAAGGGTGATCCATAGGCCTGTGTATGCGTACCCATTTTGCTGAGGTGGATCAGTTCAAAAGGATCGACGGATTTCTCGGCCTTGTCTTGTGATTCTGCTACCGGTTAGAGGAAGAGAGGTCTGGCTCGAGAGCTGCAGCTCAGAGAATTGAATCGCGCCGCCGCTCTGAGAGAATATCAAACCTGCTGACATGTTTGATGTGCTTCTTGAGCTAGACAAGTAGGGATCTTTTGCAGCGCCGGGAATGATGAGCTCAGTCGATGAAGAAGAAGGAGCTGCTGCGAGAGCACCCAAAAGAGAGCCCACCGGGTAAGGAGCCACCGGTGCATCAGCGAGAGAGGACGCAGAAGGGTTGTATCTGATGGTTCCCATTGGATGATCAAATTTACAGGTTGATCCAAACTTGCAGAAGCCGTTTTGTACATAGAAAGTGCAGCGTTGCACACCCTGTTTTCAACCCCAAATCAAAACGGATTTAGATCAAGCCAGAGAGTGTGAGAGTCAAAAGTGTATGGAGCATACATACCGGACGCAGAGGAAGACCAATGGGGCTGAGGACGCAATTAGCTCTCGGTGGAACCCGATCTCGAGGATGATGAAACTTGCAAGAAGTTCCAAACTTGCAGTCTCCTGTTTTCAAATAGTATTGGCACTCTGGTTCGCCGGGTCTCTCTGGAAAGGTCTGTTCTTTCTGAAGAACACCTGTCGGAGAGGGCAGAGATGGATAAACCCCGGGAAGCGAAGGAGTGGTGGAAGAGAGCTGTGCAACTCCATACAAAGAAGTTGCCCCAACGGCATGCTGCGCACCAGGAGAGAGAGCAGGGCTCACAGGTGCCTGGATCAACAAAAAAGCAAAAGTGAGAGAAAGAGAGAGTGAGAGTGAGAGAAAGAAGAATGTATTGAAAGGATACAAGAAATCAGAAATCAAAAAGGGTTACCGAGTAAGGACTCCAGCCTGGAATAGGAACGACCCCTGGGGTTAAAAGCATTGGACCGTAGGCGCCTTGCATATAAGAAGCGGGGAGAAGAGTTCTTGCAACTCGCAAGCTAGAGGAAGGAGCTCCGTAGTGGTCAGGCATAAGTGACTGCACCGATGGATAAAACTGAGGTGCAGATGCAGAGGCTGGTGGTGGCGGTGGCGGTGGAGGTGGGACGGTTGTACTACCAGCAGGCTGAGGATGATGAAATTTACAGGTTATACCAAATTTGCATTGCCCCGTTTTCAAATAGTAGGAGCACTCGTTCTCACCCTACAAGAGAGGCATGCAATTGCAACTCAAACCTCAAACCATTTGCAGACGGCTATTTAGATAACGAGAGTTGAGTCACAAAGCTAGCTAACCTCTCTCACTGGGTATCCATACATATTTACAGCAACTTGGCTCATGGATCCACCTGCATTCTTTGGATGGTGGAATTTGCATGACGCCCCAAATTTACAAGTTCCAGTTTTCAAATAAAACTGCAAAACATAAACGAAACCCACAATCAGGTTGTTAATCACTAATTCACAATTAAAAAAAGAAACATGTTTGATCACTTTGAACATTCAAAAAATGGTCTCTTACCTGGCATGGGGTTTCACCTATGCGTTCTGGATACTGCCCTGTAGCTCTAACAGCTGCTTCAACCTAAACCAAAACAACATTGCAAAACTGAGTGAAATCCAAAAGTGAGAAAGAATCAGACTGGAACCACTCGAATCTCATCAGTTAACCAACCCCCAGGAACCACCCACATTACGGGGGAAAAAGAGCATATTTTTTTGTTATTTAGTAGACTTGAGAATGGAGGATCAAAGAAATTACCGAGGCACGATCGCGAGGATGGTTGTAACGGCATCTGTTAGCGTATCCACAGACTCCAGTCCGCATGTAGTAGGCACAGTCAGGCGCACCTGGTCTCTCTGGGTACGCTTCACTTGCCAGCCCTAATCGCCACATCGACTCTGCAGATTACCATCACAAACTCACTAATCTTACAAAAACCCAAAATCCACCCCATTTCCTCGAAACCCTAAAGAGACCGTACAGTTGCTGAGAATCAAGGCGCATGCGAATCAAAAGAAGAAGAAGAAGAAGAGAGGCACCTTCGAGTCCGGTGTCGGCATCTCCGGGACTCCATTCGGGACCTTGTGCTGATTGCGACACACTCATCGCCGGATTGCGTCCGTACATGTCCATCGAAGCTACAAAACGCCCCCTTTTTTTAGGGATTTCGTGTACAGTAAAGTTAGTAAGACTCACCTACTACACAACAGAGAGAGAGAGAGAGTAACGAAGAAATGTCAAAAATGCAATCGACGGAGATTACCGGAGCAGAAAGCGAGATTGCAGCGAAAGTAGAGAAAAAAGAAGAAGAGATGCTTCGAAGCAGTGATTCAGCTTCCTCTCTCTCTCTCTTTCCTTCTCTCGCTCTTGAGAATACCCGTACGGTCTGCCTCTGCAGTGTTTCTTTTTTTAGCTTTCAATTTCTCTTTCTTTTTCTTTTCATTTCCTTGCTCCCAATTTATTTTTTTCAGTTTTATTTTGTTTTCTCTTGGTCCTTGGGTTAAAAAGCATCCCAGAAAAGGGAAGATATTTCCAAGAAAAATACTTGAGAAACCAAATAAAATAATTATTTTGTTTTTGTTACTTTCTGTCAACATTATTTAAAAATGGTTTTGTTTTTCACGTCAATGACAATAAGGTCCTTGGGCGGAGATAGCGCGCGAGTGGCCAACAAGATGCCTAACTCGCGAGTGGTCTGCTCCGAATTCCCAAAGTGGGTCACTTTATTTCTCTCTCCTTAACTGCTCTCAGCCCATTAGGACAATACAAGCCCATTTATATATCGGCCCAAGTAACCCACCGGAGAAAGAGAAGATCGGAGAGCAACAGTCTCTCTCTCTCTCTCACATGGACATGAACATGGCCGTCGCAGCAATGCCTCCTCAATCTCAAGGCGCTTCCTTTCTCACGAAACAAACCTTTCAGTTTCCCATTACAACATTCTCCTTACTGCTGCCTGCTACTAATCGGAATCGGAAACCACTCTTCCTCTTCTCCACTCAGCTTTCTTCTCCGGTCACCTCCAAAAAAGATGAGCAGCGGAGACTCTCCTTCACCATAGATTATCTCGTCGATTCCTGCGGCTTATCTCCGGAATACGCCATCGCAGCCTCTCGGAAGCTTCTGCTGGACTCTCCGGAACGCCCCAACACCGTTGTAAAGCTTCTCCGGGAGCATGGATTCTCCACCGCCCAGATCTCGAGTCTCGTGAAGAAGCGACCCGTTCTGTTGTTAGCCAATGCCCAGTCCGTCCTCCTCCCGAAACTCCGATTCTTCCTCTCCATCGGAGTCTCCAAATCCTTACTCGCCCGAACCCTTTCCTCTGACCCGACCATTTTGACCAGAAGCCTCCTCAATCAGCTCATCCCTTCCTACAATTTCCTCAAGAGCGTCCTCTACGCCGACGACAAGATCGTTGCCGCGCTCCGCCGGACCACCTGGGTTTTCCTCGAGGACCACACCAAGAACCTCGTCCCCAACATCAACTTCATGTCGGAGACGGGGGTCCCGGAGAAATGCATACAGCTCCTCCTCACCCATTTCCCCGAAGCGGTGATGCAGAAGAACCAGGATTTCCGGGGAATCGCCAAGCAAGCTAAAGAGATGGGATTCGATCCCAAAAAATCAACCTTTGTGCTGGCCATTCACGCTCTCTCTGGGAAAGGCAACAAATCGATATGGGACAAGTGCTTCCAGGTGTACCACCACAGATGGGGCTGGTCGGAAGACGACATCTTGTGCGCATTCAAGAAGCATCCCCACTGTATGATGCTGTCGGAGAGGAAGATCAACCGAACAATGGAGTTTCTTGTCAAGGAGGTGAATCTGGCGCCAAGATCGATCGCACAATGTCCCGTCGTGCTCTTCTTCAGCCTAGAGAAGAGGATAATCCCAAGATGTTCCGTGATAAAGGTCTTGGCAGCAAAGGGGATGGTGAAGGAAGACTGGAGCTTGACGTCATTGTTGGTTCCAGTGGAGAAAGTGTTCTTGGAGAAGCTTGTGATCAAGTACGAGGAGGAGTTGCCTGAGTTGATGGATGTGTATCGAGGATACACCAAACTGTTGACCTCTCCGGAACATTTAGATTGAATCCTCTCTATAAATCCGGTCGTCAGATGACGCATATCTCATATACCAGCTGCTATGAATGTTTGTGAAAGACAGAAGAGTGTAGTGTATAAAAATCCAATTTTGGTAATAAAAGGAAGCTTGGTAGTTTTGTGAGTTTCTGGATCTAATCAAAATTGGCCTCAAAGAAAACATGTTACAATGAGTAAAGAAGAATTTCTTTGAACACGATTCATTCATCAATATGCACCAGAGTTGTAGAAGATGATCAAGGAGATATGGGGAGGCAGAGCAAGTTGTTGGTCTTGAATGCAAAACTGTTGAGTTAGGCTTTGATAGATCTGTGGACTCAAACGTGAATATGTAGTATCCTTGTCTTCAAGACCTCTCTCTGCAGACAGCAGACGCGCCATTTACCAAGCACCTGGGTCTCTGACTCCTCTCTCCTCAAGGCTTAAACCCCATTTTCTACGACTACCTTTAACTTAAAAATAAATAAATAAATATATATAATTGTTTCATTTTACGATGATGACGACTTTATGAGCAGCTAGAATTTTCTGCGATCAAAATAATTAGCGTACAGAGTTTGATCGGATTCTCAAATGTATCCCATTTGTAGGTCATCTCTCTCCAGATTATCCCTCCAAGGCCGTCATCTTCAATCCCCACTCGCATCTCTCCGGCAGTCTTGTTCGCAAAACTCTAGCTTCAATTTCTCCACTAGGTGGCATTTTGGCCACTCTCATCCCCCTGATCACCAAAGCTCCGGTGATGAAGGGGATAAAATTTTCCGGCTTGGTCTCACCGCTGATATCGGTTTATCTGTCGGAAAAGCTCTCGCCGGCTATCTCTGCGGCAGCACGGCGCTCATCGCGGATGCTGCTCACTCCGTTTCCGATGTGGTAATCTTCAATTCATTGCTGATTGCTTCGCTCTCGATAGTCGATTCACTCAGAAACGAGATGATCCTCTTTTCTCTTCTTTTCTCTTCTCACAGGTTCTGAGCGGTGTAGCGCTAGTCTCTTACAGAGCTGCAAATGTTCCCAAGGACAAAGAGCATCCCTATGGTTCTCTCTTCTCCTTACCTATCAATTCATCCTCCTTCATTCATCACTACCTATACTATACTTATTATGTTGTTTACGGATTTGAAAAGGTTTAGAAATGCGCAGGTCATGGTAAATTCGAAACTCTGGGAGCCCTTGGAATCTCTGGCATGCTTTTGGCAACTGGCTGTGGTATTGCCTGGCATTCTTTAGAGCTTTTATCTGTATGCGCTTTTCACACATGACTCTCTCATTTCTTCATCTCTACTTATTCGCTCTTGCTGACATTTCTGCCTTCTTCTCTCATATGCAGGCTGCCCTATCCGCAGCTCCTGAGGTGCTTCATGGAAATCATAGCCACGGTTTAGATATGAGTCATCCTGTTCTCGCTTTGACTGTAACCATTGCCTCTATTTCTGTCAAAGAAGGGTACACTATATATATATACTCTCTTCTTCTTCTTCTTCTTCTTCTTCTTCTTTTTTGTATCACTTTTAGTTAGACTTTGTTCCTTATCCCTATCTCTTCTCTTATTTTGACCATTCTGCTTGAACCATACATATGCTTGTCAGGCTTTACTGGATCACAAAACGAGCAGGAGAAAAACAAGGCAGTGGTTTGATGATGGCAAATGCATGGCATCACCGATCAGATGCAATCTCTTCTGTATTTGCACTAGTAGGAGTTGGTAAGCCATTTTGTATCCCATGCAAATCAACTAGAGTCTATCTATTGCTTTATTGTAGCATCATAGCCTTTAAAGGGAATTATGTGCAGGAGGCTCTATTCTTGGAGTTAATTTTTTAGACCCTCTCGCTGGCCTTCTTGTCTCGACAATGATCATCGATGCTGGACTGAAAACAGGACGCCAAAGGTATTCACTCCCTCCTCCGTGTGGTGTGCATGTTATATGTATATGTTGCTTTTTGTTGTGTTAGCTTCCACATTGAATGATGGTTACAAATCTGTCTTTGGGGGAAATTACGTTTCTTTGTTTAGTGTCTTGGAACTGGTGGATGCTGCTATACCAGCTGAGAAACTAGAGCCAATTAGACAAACCATATTACAGGTTGAAGGAGTCAAGGTATGGACTCTACATTTCACAATGATAGGCATTCGATTATAACAATATGCTTCTATTTTTCTTGATTCAGTCTAAGCATGCCTTAATGTTTCTTTTGTTATTGATTTGCTAATGAATGTCAAGAGGACTTTCATGATTTTCTTTATCCATAGGGATGTCATCGGCTAAGGGGTAGGAGGGCTGGTTCATCATTGTATCTTGATGTACACATTGTAGTGAGTGTTTCTTCCTTTTTGTGTCGAGTAGAAAGAAGAATCCAACTAAAAATTATTCATTATCGCCTTATCCTTACAGGTAGATCCCTTTTCCAGTGTGAGTGTTGCACATGAGGTTGGAGAATATGTACGAGGACAGATCAATAAGAACCATCCTGAAGTGTCTGAAGTTTTCATTCATATAGGTAATGCACTATGCTTGGCGAAGAATATGTCTGATCAAATTATCCACTGCTTCTTGTTGGTCTTAGCTATCATCTCAAATTATCCTTGCAGATCCAGCATTTTTACAGTTTTCTTGTAGCATGGTGGATCACGATAGTGTAATTAAGAAGAGTAATCAAGAAATTAATATCTGCAAAGAGATTAACCATGTCGACGCCACTGTCTCAGACATTTTTTCGTCACACTTCTCTAAGGTACTCCTCTGTTTACTTTTTCCATAATCCAAAGTCCAAATTAAACCCGACCTCTAGTTATTTCTGTTTATTGGTTCCAAGGACAATGGAATTTTTCACATATCTGCAGAAAATGACGATCAGACGAATTACACCTCACTTGTTGCATAGCAAGATCTTGCTCCAAATCGAAGTCTCCATGCCATCAACAATGACAATACAGTAAGGCTCTTTCATGTCTGCACTTGTACTTGTAGGCCATTTGGTTACTCTTGCAAGCATCTGACAAGTATTGGTTGCCCTGCAGGGATGCCATGAGAGCCGCTGAAGATGCAGAAAAGGAGATTCTCAAGGCAGCCCCAAATGTGGCTCGCGTCAGCATTCAGCTTAGTCTTAAGGACTCTTTGCCCCAGTAATTATTCATTATCTCTGGTGGTGTTTGAAGGAAATAACAAGAGAAATCAGATCTGCGACAAGTGGAACTTTGAAAAAAAATATACAATGAACCAACTCTGTGTATAACTATGTGGGCGTGTTGTTGATATTTGTGGCGTCCTTTGCACTGCTCATCGAACTTCGTTCTTTGTGATGAGCAGTTTTAACCTCGAAAGTCTGAAACTTGATGAGAAAAGTTTTGGGATTGTAAATTTGTTGAGCACTACTGACTCTGCGTTGGATGGATAAGCTGAAAATAATATAACATGACAGCTCTTGAGCTTCTTTCAGCCCTGATCTTTGCTACAATGAGGGTAACATCAATAAGAAACGAAAGGCAAAACATTTCCTGTAACTATGTTTGCTATATATCGACTCTAACTGCTAATTTCCTCCCTATTTGGCGCTTGTTCTGGAGGTATATGCAGAAACGTCAACTTCAGATGAAAGCAGAGTCTCTTCATTCATTCTCGTCAGTGTTGGAAGCATCCTCCACAGTTCCGTTTCTGAACCCAGAGGACACAAGTGGGTGACGATGGATGCGCTTTGTTCTTGACTTGCTGCTTCCTGACTCCTCCGTAGTACCCTTTCTCTTCTTTTTCGAGTTTCCAAGGTACCCGAAAGCAATAGCTTCCAGTGCCCTTGCAGTCAACGGTCGAGTCCTTGTACTCTGTCTCCGCCCGGGAAGCAGCTCCGCTGTTACCTGCAGCTCTTGAGGCAGTGACTGCATTTCCACATCCATTTGAACACATGACTGCGAGCTCTCACTGTTGTGCACAACGTCTGTGATGCCAGTATCTGTAACATCAGCTTCACGTTCTGGTGAGACTTGCGAAACGTTCAAGTCAAAATCTTCTCTCGTCTCAGGTCTTTCTGGTGATATTTCTCGGTCTTCATTTCTTCCACAAGAGCTATCTTCTGCGAAGGAACCGGTCGAGGACAGTTTCACAGTTTGATCGATACTCTCTTTTCTCGTCAACACTACATCTTCTTGATCAGCTTCTGATGGGTTTGGTCTCATCTTCTTCACTGGTTTCTTCTTCCTGTAGTGAGTTTCACCAAAACAAGCTGATTCTCTCAATGTACAATCTGCCAAGCTACTCCTCCTTGCGCTGCAGACGGGTAACAGCTTTGGCTTTCTTGGTCTCCCGCCTTTCCGGTTCTTCTGCCGTCTATCATTGGTGCTTCGACTCGTGGCATTGTCCATGTTTGCAGAGCTGCTCTTACCAGAACTAATACTGCCCCCACCGCACACTCTCGAAGCCATTGACTTGGCTGTCATCTCTGCCTTGTTTTCAGATTCCTCAGACAGGTTACCCTCAGATTCACTCAAGTAACTCGGGGAGGTTGCTATTGAATTGCAAGTCTCAACAGGCAGAGATCTTAGCTCTTTCAGTGTACATCCTTCCACACCATTCGCTTCACTGGAATCCACAATCGTAAACATGGTGACATCCTGGCTTTTTCTTGTTTTGATGCGTGGTTGTAGGTACTTTCTCTTCTTCTTCTTGGTTGGTGAAGAATCATCAAACTCGTCTAAATCTATGGGCGGATCATTCTTGATCTCCTCTTCTGTCTTCTCAGGATCCCCATCAGATTTGAGCTCAAGAAGCGTGGGGTCTAAAGAAACTCTGTTCAAGACATCAGTGAGAGAATCAAAGTAGTGGTTTCCCTTTGACATCTTCCTCCTGGAAAACTTATTGGCTTCCGGTATGAGAAACACAAGAGAGTTCCTTGGACCGTCTTTGGGCTGCTCAGAGTGCCACCCTCTTGCCAACAACCGTGGCCAAACAGCTTCCCAGAAGAGGTCACAGGCCCTGGTTTTGCTCATCCTATACTGCCCTGTTAAGAATTTGACTATGTCCCCAATCGGAAGATCATTGCGTATTCGTACTCCATGATTCAACCTGGTTGGCTCTAACGCGCAGTTGCTCAAATCTTTTCCAACTTTACCTATACCAATCGCTTTTGTAAGCATATCGATGCCCACCGCATCCTTTAAAGTGAATACATACTCCTCCAGCGCAATCTTATCTTCTCTAAATGCTTTAGATACCTACAAAACCAAAACCAAAACCAACAGACAGAAATCTCAACGTTGTGCATTTGGATGAGTTTCATTTGAGTTTCAGTTCTCAGTTTCAATATAAACACTCAAAGCATACGTACGTAACGTACCTTAAGCAACAGAGTCTTACATTCCTCAGAAACAAGAGAGGAGATCCGAGAGAGCAGTTCTTGTTGCCTCCAGCCAGTTAATAACTTGTGGCCTTGAACAGAGCGTCTGCTTCTCGACTTGCGTCCATCTACCCATCTCCGGTATCCGCTAGTCCTGTAAAAGCTGCCGTAATAGTATGAGAGCACATCTCCCATCTTCTTGCTGCCAACAAATCTCTGCACCGAGACCAGGTTTTTCCCAAGACAGTAGAGGCCAAGAAGGAACCTCTCCTGCTCAGCGTCTTGCCAAGATTCACCCAAAGCCCCAGGGAATGGATAGAGGCTCTTGTCCAGCCACTCGAACTTGAACTTTGCATTTCTCTGGCATGGCAACGCAAGCACAACACTCCTCGGTTCCATTCTAGCAGACGCTTCCAAGGAAACACCGCTCCCGTTTTCACCATCGGCTTCATGGAAACCTCTGAATTGCTCACTTCTTGTCCACATAAGAGGGATAGGCAAACCAAATGTAGCAACTTCCTGCAGGTGAGGCTCTGATCTAATGAGCTTCAAACGGTCGCAGTCTGGGAGTAGAGCCGGGATATCTGCCTGGTACTGCTCTCCAACACGCGGAAGTACCTCAGGCTCTCCATCAATGCCAAGTAGATATGCTGAATATGGGGATTTCGGCTGCTTTGAGGATTCTAAACCTTCCATCTCATCTGACTCAATTGGCTCCATCTGATCAAATCACCAATAACATTTAAAACGGAAGCTTGTTAACTATCTGTTTCTGAGCGATTGGTACACAATGACACACATCCAACGCAATTCTCTGAAGACAAAGTTAGATAGATATCTCATCCCTACTAGGTACTTAAAAAACCGTTAACATTCAAAGAGAATGCAGATATATAAGTTCATGAAAAATCAAGTCTTGAGACACGAAGAACAGTTCCCAGGAGTCAACACTGACCAGTATTGAATGAAACGATTTCGAAACCCAAAGTTGCCGTTTTTAGGACCAGCGTGATGGAAGAAACAAACTCACCCAATTCATAAAACAAAAAATTAACTACAAAAATGACTTCAAATCCACACCAACAAAAAAAACGAGATACCTGATTGGTTTCGCGACGAACTTATTTATAAACAAAACCAGACTAGGAAAGAAACGAAACCATTTTGTAACGCAACTACACATTAGCGCCTCATATGCATACATATATATTCACATAAACAAGAGAAATGGGAAAGAAAGGAGCTTTGGTAGCTAACCTCCATGGAACAACTCCAACATTAACGTCGAGCCAACAAAACTAAAACCAGAGCAAAATCAAAAATGGGTGCCCAAAAGGTTTGTGAATCTATTGTGAATCTAGATGTCAACTTCGCGTATGATTCGTATAACCCATAGAGCTAACGATACGAACAACAAACGGCGAAACAGACAGAGCAATGAAAAAGAAAAGAGAAAAAGGGTTTATATATTATAATTTTTTTATACATTAAGATAAAAAAAAAAAAAAGAGAGAGACAAGTCGCGTTAAAAGACGGAGACGAAGAGGAAGAGGAAGACGTGGTAGAAAGGAAATACCTCTCGTCCCCGAAACACAAACTCAGCAGCTTTGCATCCACACCAAACTTTCGAATTCTCTCTCTCACAGCCTCTCTGAAACAAGAAGAGCCGATACCATAATTTTAGCAAATAAAAATGAAAACTGCAAAAGCCAAAGCCATCTGTATATTTTACATTTACATTATATGATGGATCTTACGCTTTGCTTTTTTATTTTTCTCTTTCCTTTCGAAATTCTATTAAGAGAGCGTGAGACCACGCGTTCTTCTACTAGATGGGCCTCTAGTAGACCTAAATTCCCTAAATTACCCTTGCTTTCACGACTGTTTCTTCGTATTCTTTATACCCGTTTCCGTAATTTAAACTGCTCTTGTTCTCGCTGTCGTGGCAACTGAACTCTTTTTAACTCTATCGGTCTCTAATTATAAGATTTACTTTACTCTCGGTAATTAATTTCTAAACTGCTGAAAAACGGTAAACAAAAACTCTAATTACGGTCTTAAAGTAATTACTAGTGTCTAACGTGACCAGAATACAGAAAGATACAACTATGACACTGTCGTCGTCTAACAACTCCGTACAAGCTTTTTGTAATCATCTTCTTTAAGGGTGTTTGGGCAGCTATATAATATATGGAACCTCAGCGACTTTGAGATTCAATCAAACTTAGTTTCTTTAGGTTTTTTTCAGACTTACAACAACAATAGGTGTTTTTCAATAAACAAATATCTAAATGGTGAATGATAATGATATACTAACACGTATCGAATGACTACCAGTTAAAGCATGAAAATATAAGTTTGATTAACAAAGGAAACAAAGAACATAGATCCATTAAACCTTGTTTTTCTATTTGAAGGAAAAAAGTACCTTCTGCTATATTCTTCAACCTTTTTGGATGAACACACATCATCAACAACAAAATATTTGCTTATGCATTTTTTCAAAAATGTATATGAACATACGCTGGTTTTATACACGAAATATAGAATTAGTTTGTTGGCAATGATATACTAATATAATAATTAATGTTTTAGGATTTATTGCCTCGTGTCAAATTTTTCGGTTAAATTTTTACGTTAAAAAGGTGATTTTACAGAAAATGATAATTTTATTTGTTTTGTAGTTATTTTCTTAGTAGAAGCTAACAAAAATAATAGAAAGTATATAAATTTTAAAATATTGAAACACTTTAATTAATTTCTATTTTAGTCTAGATATGAGTAAATAAATAAACAATTAGAAGAGTAGAAGGAGCCAAGTAGGTTTGAAATGTTCATATTAGGAAGAAGTAACCATTAAAATTGTTACATTCAATTAAAAAAAAAAAAAAAAAACATTAAAATTGTTTAATTTAAAACACAAAGTTGAGGCTAAGCCCATACTCATTACAAATCTGGAAGTCATATAACGCTGAAAACTGTCGATAAGCCCACTATGATTATCGTGTTAATACACCAAGCCCAAAGTTGAGCTGAAACCTTGTGCTGTGTGATCCCCACAATGTCATACGGTTTTAAATCGGTGGATTCGACCAGCTTACCCGCATCAGTTTTGGTCTGCTTGAACCGCTGCCCGACGGGTTTATTCTCTATACTCTTTAGCTTCTAGGACCCCGATCAAGGAGGTGATGTGTCTCCGACACGCAGGAACTAACATACAGTTTGAAGCATGTGATCAAACTCTGATACACTAATGGGTTTGGGTCAATAATTTCACCAGTTGGTGTGTGTTAATGTTTAGATTCTTTTTTTATATAACGAGGAAACTGAGAAAAGCATAAAAAAACTTTCACTCTGATCATATTACCTCGTTCTGCAATAAGTACAACATTGTCCACACCAGACTTACAGACGATTTGATTAATAATCGTAGAAAACACTTTGTAGAACCCAATTATTCAGTGATCCCGATTGATTCGCAATACCTTGGATATAATCTTCCTAACTCTATCAATTATTTTGGTGCAATACTCTATCAATTCTTATTTTATTTTATTTTGTTCTAACTCTAACTAATATGGATAAAAACTATGAAATGTTACATATTTTACATATAAAAACGAAAATCTATATTTTGTAGACACAAATCTGTTTTCCAAAACATTATATTTGGTTTAAAAAGGAAGAAAACAAAATTTCCAGTAAATTGAAATTTTAACCGTAGAGGATTTAGGAGAAATTAGCTTGACCTGCCACATTGTCTCCCCAATGACCTAGACCTCTCTCATTGGTTGTATGACACGTCATCACCATCTATGATCAAACAAACATAATGTAGATACTCTTCCTTTCTTTAGCTCCATTAATTAACTACTGTCTACTTATATAAAGCTTATTTAACAACACTAATCTTCGGTAAGGTAAGGTATGTTCTCTCACTCATTGATTTGTGTTTTTATCGAACTTTCATCAATTTCTCAAATCTTCGAAATTTGAAAAATTTGAAATCAGGAGCATTACGATACGCACGATCCCAAAGGGTACGCATTACCCTTCTTGATGAAACGAACGAGAGTCATCGAGATTGTGGCTGCGAGAGACATTGTCTTTGCGCTTGCTCATTCTGGTGTTTGCGCAGCTTTCAGCAGAGGTTTCTACTCTAAATTTGCACTTTGTCACTGTGATTTGATGCTGACATTTTTTTGGGATTTTTAAACTTTGGGTTTGTGTAATGTGATTGCAGAGACGAACAAAAGGGTTTGCTTTTTGAATGTTAGCCCTGATGAAGTCATCCGGAGCTTGTTCTACAACAAGAACAATGACTCTCTCATCACTGTTTCTGTTTACGCCTCTCTTTGAAATGCAGATCCACCAGAATCGAGTATGACTAACTCTTGTTGCTGCTGTGCCTTCTTAAGCTAGCTCTCACACTCTTAAAGCTAATCTGTTTTGCTCTTTTGGTACTGTTAGATATATTCTGAGGAGTCAACCAAACGCAGGGTATCCTCTTTTTGAGCCTGAGTCACTAAAATGGCCAGGCTTACATATTCTGCACAAGACAGGTACTTTCTGGTCTTCGTTTACATATTCTGCATATTCGTGTTGACTTGAAGTTTCTCAACTGAGCCAGAGCCTTGCTTTGCAGTGTTTACAAGGTGTTTGACCTGAATAACTATTCCATGCTGTATTATTCGATATCAGACAAGAGTGTCCAGGAAATTAAGATCAGGTGAGCTTTTCTATATCTGTCTTTCCCTTCCTGTGAGTGTTCGGTGTGCTTGATTGGATTGGATGATTTGTCAACTTTGCTATGTGTTATCTATAACTCGTGCATGTGTTTTTCCTGCAACAGTCCAGGGATAATGTTACTGACTTTCAAGAGAGCTACAAGCCATGTGCCTTTGCAGATTCTATCAATCGAAGATGGCACGGTTCTCAAGTCCTTCAACCATCTGCTTCACAAGAAGAAGAAAGTTGATTTCAAAGAATAATTCAACGAAAAGCTTCTTGTCAAGCAAGAGAATGAGAATCTTCAGATTCTTGACGTGAGTTATTCACATTCTTGGCTCAAACCTCTTTATGATATACTTGTGTGTTCTTTTTATGTTTCTAATAGAGTTTTTGTTCTTTAAAAGGTCCGAAACGCTGAGCAGATACAAGTTAGCAGAACTGAATTCATGACACCATCAGCATTCATATTTTTGTATGAGAACCAGTTGTTTCTAACGTTCAGGAACCGAAATGTCTCTGTGTGGAACTTCCGCGGAGAGCTCGTGACCTCGTTTGAGGATCACCTTCTTTGGCATCCAGACTGTAACACAAATAACATCTACATAACAAGCGATCAGGATATGATCATCTCATATTGCAAGGCAGATACTGAAGATCAGTGGATGGAAGGAAATGGTAAGCAAGACTCATCCACATTTTTTAATCAAGAAAGTTGATATGGTTTAAAAGAATGCAGCTTGAGAAATTGTTTGTGGTTTTGGTTGATGTTGCAGCGGGATCGATTAACATAAGCAATATCTTGACTGGGAAATGCTTAGCTAAGATGAAAGCAAACGATGGCCCTCCAAAGGAAGAGGAGGAGGAAGAGTGCAGTAGTAGCGGTTCGAGAAACTCCAAGCAAAGGAAAACTGCGGTTGCAGAGCCGTTGGAAAACATAACAGCTCTCTTCTATGATGAGGAACGTAATGAAATATACCCCGGAAACAGGCACGGCTTTCTCCATGTCTGGTCTAATTGAATCTACTCATCTTTTGTTTGTGTAGATTAATAGATATGGAGATCTCTCTGTACCTTGTGTTTTTTCTTTCTTAATTTGATTTGTAACTTACTAGTCTCTTGAGCAAGTGAGAAGCAATTGTGGTTGTAATGAAGCAGGAACCATTTGAGGGATTCGGCTCCCATTTATGTACACTAATATGTGTCTTCTTTTAAGAAGCAATTAGAGCATTTGAATACTTGTCTCTTTGCTGCAATTTGTCCTCCACTTAGCAGTTAGTGAGTTGATGAATTTGCCTTATTTATTTCCAGTTTATATGAACAAACAAAACTGCCCACTTTAGAAAAGAACAAATCACTCTTGATGAAACACATTGCATTCTCTTTCTTCAATTGGACAAACAAGCTTTTTCAGGTTTCTTCTGTAAAAGTACAAATCTCTAAAACACACAATACATGAGACACATGTGGAAATAAAGAACGTAATGCTAAAATCAACAAGATGATGATAGCAATAAAGAAGCAATCAATTTCCAAACTTTCAAATACAAGATTGCAATTTGCCAGAGGTGATGAGGAGAGTTTCGATCAGACAGTGCAGCTTCAGAAGTGAGACTTGTCAAGGCTGTCAAAGTAGGGATGGTCAAGAGCTGTTTTTGCTGAAATTCTTTCAGTTGGATTGTACTTCAGCATTTTCTGCATTTGTTCAAAGGTTCAAACTTTAAACCCTCACTCAAAACAAACAATCATCAACTAAAGAACCTAAGAAACAAACAGAACTTTTAAAGCTACAGAAGAGTCAAGTATGCAAGATAATATTAGACCACTTGTCAAAAATGATCATATTTTAGTCTTGAAGAGCATACCGTGAGAAGATCAACTCCTTCAGGGGACAGAGATGGAACAGCACGTGATAAGTCTTGCGGCTCCCACTTTGGATACACATGCCAGTCACGCAGAGCCATCACACCCGGCCATTGCTGATCAGTCGGTGTTCCTAGCAATCTCCAGGAGAACCAAAAAAAGAACAATGTGTTAAACATATAGTCCATATATTAGATTGCCAAAAGAGATCAGCTTCATGAGCCTAAATCAGTTTCACGAAAGCTGCATTATTTTAAACTCGTTAATCATTGATACACACACACAATGGCATCCAAACAAGAAGCATATACCTGAAAATGTGAAGCAACTGCTAAAACTCTGAGTCACCAGGGAAAAGAGCTTGCCTCCGAATCATCTCGGCTGCAAGATTTCGTGAACAGTCAATGAAAAAAAAAAAAACAATAAGAAGAAAACGATAAACAGAGCCGAGAACACTGACCAAAGATGCAGCCAACGGACCAAATGTCAACAGCAGTGGAGTAATGAGTGGAGCCAAGAAAAACTTCAGGAGCTCGATTACAAAGAGTAACAATCTCGTGAGTGTAAGACTTTAGAGGAACAATGAAAGCACGACCAAGACCCAAATCAGCGATCTTCAAACTTTAGGGTTTAAGTTCACGGTGAAGCACACCGTGGCTATGGCAATGAGCCACGCCTTTACAGAGCTGAAGCATGAGTTTCCGCACAAGAGAAGCTTCAAGCGGTCTAGGATTGGCACATTTCCTATGCGAATCGATTGATTTCTTGAGATCGATGTCGAGATACTCGAAAACGAGATAAAGATTGGATTTTTGGGCGTGAGGAGAAACAGGCGACGATGGAGAGACCGAGTCCTTGGATTGAAGAACGTGTTCGACGCAGAGGAGACGAACGACTTAGATCGATTGAGAGAGCATCTGGAGAAGTGAAATCTCGCGGAGAGCGGTCGGTGGTATGCCTTCTTCGTCCATTTCGAGCCTCGTCTTCTTCAAAGCATCAAGCTTTCCGGTGCCTTTCTTCATCGCCTTGTACACTTTCCCGTACGTTCCTTCGCCGACTTTCTCGAGCTTCTCCTACTTCTCCATCGTTGATGAGATCGGAGAAATGAAGAATGAAAGTGATGATTTCTCTTTGCTCGTTTGGAAGCCCCTTGTCGATTAGATCTGGTGTTTAAGCGCCTCCTCGCTTTAACGTTACCGAGACAGTTCCACGTGGCTTCTCTCGTTTCCCGCTCCTTTGGACTTCTGGAAGAACCGTGGACTTCTGGCTCACGTTCTTAAACAGGAACGTGGCATTTGTTGGGCCATCGCCTTGGTGAGGCATTATGCCTCCATTCTCAAGATGAAGGGTCTACTTCAACAAGATGATGATCTATCAGTTCAGGAGCTTCTTCAGCTCGCACGTCGTTATTATAAGCGACTCTGCAAGGATCCCCTTTATGCCGTCGCCGACATTGATTTTGAAGGAGAAATTCTGAAGAAGTTTGGTTTGGTCTCCGAAAAAGACAACCCCTTGGACCTACAATCCACTTGATGAACCAGACAGATTCAAGGCGAAGGGTATGAGGATCGTCCGCAACAATGGGATTCCTGTGTTTTTCCTAAAACGAGTTCTCAAGGATTTGAAGAGAGGTCCAATGGCATGCCGCATCGAAGTGTACGAATCCTATCAGTCTCTTTCCGGAAACAAGCTCTATGCACCAAAACCCAGAACCGAGAAAAGGTTAAACACCGATCACTATATGCTCTTAGTAGCTTACGGGAAGACGAAGCTTGGTAGACGATTTCTCGAATTTCAAGACTAGCGGATTGTTAAAAGGTAACAATGGATTTGTTAAGATGCTGATTCCATATGCAACTAACTTTATTACCGAGTATGTGAAGTTGAGAGTGTAATGTTGCTGAGTAGGTGAAGTTGAAAGTCTAATTTGCTGTTTTCAACTTATGGGTTATTTTAGCTTATCGACTTTGTTGAGGAATTCTTCTTTCGGATGTTTTGGTTGAATCCTTCTTTTTGGATGTTTTGGTTGAGGAATTCAATGTTTGATACTTTCTTGGCTACGCAATTTGTTAGTATTCAATTTCACTAGAAATGTTATGATTATATGAGATTTATGTGCTCTTATCGATTAAAAGAGCTATCTGTGTTCAACATGTTTAACGAGTCTAAAATTCGCTTGCATTATTCCATGTCAATGATTTTGGACCTAATCTTTTTGTTTCAATTAATTGGTACAAAATCTCACGCTCACCGTAATCTCTGCCAATCAAAAGCCTAATAAATTGTTCGTTTTTGTTAAGCACTTTCTTGGACACAAAAGACACGACAAAGATCTAAAGTCAAAAGTCCTAGAAGAGAGTTTGGGCCTAATGTTTAGGTTTCAATTCAAAGGCTCAGCGTAATCGAGGCCCATTAGGATTGTCGTAAATGCCAAAATCTTTAAGTGCAGGCCCAATCGTTTACAGCATATACACCAGTGTCGTCCTTTCCCTTATTTTTCCCCGAATCCCTCTGAACCTGGAGAATAACATCTCGAAGAAAACCTTGCCGTCGCCTCCGTCGCTCTACCTGTGAACGAGTCCGCCGCCGTCCAAGTAATTTTCTTCTCCTTGTTTGTTCTTCTTCTCAGATCTCGCGCACTGCGTGTCAATCTCTATTGAACCTAGAAAAATTTCTGTTTAAGTAGTAGATGGTATAGTCTCCTTCTGACTAGGTTCTGTTTTGTGTACTACTACTACCATAGGGGATGCAATTGGACGGGGCTGACGAGAGAGATGGACGAATGGGGTACGTGAATTGATTTTCCGTTTTGCTGTTGAGATTTAGTTAGCTATATCAAATTTACATGTGTACTGATATTAATGTAATGCAAACGATTGCAGTGAACGTATCCTCATTGTAGTTAAGGGATTTGACGTTTCGGTTCCTAAGGGCTGGACGCTTGGGGAACGTGTGCTTCGTGTGGAGAGCATGTTGAGAAATCACTTCTCTTCATGTGGAAAGATCAAGTCCGTTTGTATTCCTCATGTCTTTCGTTTCTCTACTATGACGAGGTGTTTGTGTGCTCGTTTATGACCTTAATGGCTCAAGTGTTTTGCTTGTTTAATACATGCTTTGTTTGTGTGGTAAAAGCCTAAAAACTTGTTTTTGTTACAGGCATGCTTACATAGAAATTCTGGGAGAGAACGCGAAAGAGAAGGCGATGAAGCTCAGGCGAAGTGAGATGGATGGGATGAAGGGACACAAACTAGCTGTTTCTTTACCATTGCCTCCCATGAGAACAATCCGTAGGGAAGAAATGTTAAACGACCAGTTCTTCAGGTAAAAACTGTTTGTATCTGCAAAGATGCTTGTGTAAGTGTTGATGATATGCAAAAACTTATTGCAATGCATGCAGGTGCGAGACGATGCTGGTTACGGGATATGACACCTCGCTTCCTCCTAACTCTGTCAAGAGCGCGTTGCGTAAACATTTCTCTTTATGTGGAGAGGTCATAAAGGTGGAATTAGAGCCCGAGAAACAAATCCCTTATAGCAGATTCGCCAGCGAGTTTGTGGCTTCTTCCTCCGGTTTGGGTGACAGATTCGCCTATGTTTCCATTTATGGAGAAGGCGCAAAGGCAAAGGCCCTGCAACTTTGTGGAAGTGACATGGGAGGTTGCAAACTTGTTGTTGAAAAGTCGTTTTCTGGCATGGGAGATTCCCCTCGGGTTTTCCCCATAGGCCTTCTTCCGAGCGAAGGTGCCTAATAATTTGTCTGCTTCATTATTGATTCTTGCAAACAAAAGTTTACACTTTGTCATTTTAACCATTTGTTTATTTCAGCCTTTTCAGAGCGTGTCCCCGACTTTCCTAAGCGGAGGAAGATGATGATGATGAAGATAAAGAATAACAACTAGAAAGCCAAGCAGCTCTATGATGCAATGCAACGCAACCTCTCTGTATATCAAATAATCTATATCATAAGACTATCTTGTTATGTATTGCCTATGTTGGCTTCTTTTGTCGTTTATATAATCTGTTTAATGAACAGTCTTGTGACTATTGTCAGTAGACTTTATCTAGCAATCATGTTGCAAACGCTCTGTTTCAGAACTCTCTATACGTAACACATTGCAAAAGATGTTCGTTTCTCATAGTCCTAAACCCCATAACACTAGTCCAATCTCCTCTTCTAAGCCTCGAGATCCCTTCAGCAGCAACCTCACCGAGCTCCAAACATGAATGCAAGCCCCAAGCAAAGTCCCCCAAATAACAACATCAGGCTCAAAAGGCACTCCCTTTATCAGCCTCTCTGCTTTATCCAACTCACCATCACGCAAAGCATAATGCTCTTTTTCTGCAGCTATCCTCTCCAAGCCTACCCATCAACATGAACTTCTTTTCCCCTTGTTCCACTAGCCCTGCGTGAGCACAAGTCATCAACCTGATCAGGCTTGTAACCGCATTCCATCATTTTCTCGAATTCCTCTAAAGCATCCGCTCCTAACCCATGTCTTGCAAAACCTCCTATCATCGAGTTCCATGAAGCCGGATTCTTCATTGGCATCACTTTAAATACACGTGAAGCAGCGGTGATATTACCTGACTAGGTCACAAGCCAGTCCACGCTTTGTGATCATCGAGTGCGCTTGTTTCCCCACAAGAATCGACGAAGAAGCTGCTGATGATGATGACGACTGAGATTAGATTGTGTGGTTTTAGTACTTAGGTAAAAACAGGATTATCTTTGGACTTACGAGGAGGGAATCCGCGGACTGTACAGGTTCTTTTTCCATCTCATCTCTCAGCACTTTTTGTCTGTTGACCTGATAAAATGTCTTTTTTTTTATATATTAAAATGTCTCTTTGTGGTACCAAACAGTGGTCTTGTGCCTGCACTAGCTGGTATTAGTCATGTTGCCATTCAGTTCCCTACCTATGAGATGATCAAAATCTACTTGGCCAAGAAAGGTAACACATTTCTTCATAAATCTTGTGAATTGGACGAATGAATTCCTAGAAAAAAGGTGAAATCTTTGTCGAGATAAGATAAGATAAACCAAGTTTTTGTGAATTCGACAGGTGATAAATCAATCGATAATCTGAGTGCTCGTGATGTAGCAATTGCCTCTTCCATTGCAAAGATATTTGCTTCCACATTAACCTATCCGCACGAGGTACTGATTTCAGTTTGGTTCTCAGCTTTGGTTTTTGAGGGTTGATTCGGTTGATTTGATATCTTAGTGTCACGCACGACGTTTGCAGGTTGTGAGAGCTAGGCTTCAAGAGCAAGGACACCACAGTGAGAAACGTTACTCGGGGGTAAGAGACTGCATAAGGAAAGTGTTTGAGCGAGATGGATTCGCCGGCTTTTACAGGGGATGTGCAACGAATCTGCTGAGAACAACTCCTGCTGCAGCTATCACATTCACTAGCTTCGAAATGGTTCATCGTTTCCTTGTCACTCGTTTGCCTTCTGAGCAAAGCTCTCTACTTTAAAATATTGTTATGTTTTGATGATGATGACGACGATTGAGGTTAGATTGTGTGGTTTTAGTACTTAGGTAAAAACAGGATTATCTTTATTTACACACTTAGAAAGTGTCCCTCGAATTAGGGACAATCTCACAGACTTGTGTTTCTGTCGGAGATATCAGAATTTGGGTGGGTTTCTCAAGAATTGGAAACTTGAAAGACCCTCAAAGAATATTTATTCTTGGCATTGTAAAAGACTGATTCTTTATTTCTTTTATGTATGTCTCACTCTCTATTTATTTATTGTTTCTTTCATAACTAAATGGTGATTGATAATGATATATATTTATAATAACACGTATCAAATGACTTCCAATTAAAGCATGAAAATATAAGTTTGATTTCTTATTCTAACAAAGGAAACAAAGAATCATCAAAACTTGTCTCTCTTTGAAGAAAAAAATGTACCTTCTGCTATATTCTTCTACCTTTTGTGGATGAACACACATCATCAACAAAACATATTTGCTTATACGTTTTTGAAAAATGTATATGAACATAAGCTGGTTTTATAGACAAAATATATGATTAGTTTGTTACCAATGATATACTACTACGGTAATTAATGAAATGTTTAGCGCGTTTCATGAAATGTTTGCGCCTTATGGTTATGGATTTTGAAATTACATTATACTATGTATTATTAGTAAATAAATGAAATAAAAGTAAAAAGCCAATCAAATCGAATAAAAACGAAATCGATGAAAGATAAAACTGGAGCATACTATAGCCTTTTAAAAACTGCTTAATAATGTACAAACTAGATCTTGACCCGGAAGCACGGGTAGTTATAATTTATGTTATGTTGATTTAAGTAATTAATTAATTAATTATGATTTTTAATATATTTGTTTTTTATTTGGGCTCGGAAATGTGTAATTATGTTCAAATGGGTTGTATAATCTATATGGGCTTAACTAAATTAATAGAATCGTTGCCAGACTGAGCAAAGTGACATCGTTTTATTAATTTCCAATTCAATAACGTTTTTCAAAATTGAATTGGGGGAAACAACTCACAAACCCTAGTTTGTCTGACGACACAATCGTGATTCTTTTAACTCTTATGTCAATTTTCGCTCACATCATCATCAATTGTCGAATCCGAATCGAGAGTTCGATCACATAAAGTTTTAGATCTTGACCCGTGCTTGAGAAGCACGGGATGTTGCAATTTTTTATAATAAAAATTTAAGTATTTATATTGTAGTTATGTAACCTATAGTATGTTTGTGATATATATTGATGAATTAATATTTAATTATCTAAGTATTAAATAAAATAAATATGTGATCATTAATTTTTGGGTTTATCGGGCAATAATGTTAAAAATGATGGACATTTGCTAGTAAAATATTATTGTTTTCATGAGATAAGTTGTGTCCCAACATGTATAATTTTTTCGTTGATGAAACTGATAATTATTGATTTTGTCGATATTGTAAACCTAATTTCACGATCATTGCGTTAAATTTCGACGTGTTGTCGACAGAACGACATGAGCGAATCAAATTCTTTTAATCTAAAATTAATTGTGACAAGTACTGATGAAACCTAGAATAATATATTTTCTGTTTGGAAATAGGAATAGACTCTTTTAAAAGGTTGAATTCTTATTATGTGCCACTCTTTTAATAGTATAGATGCTTTGAATATCATAATGCATCGTTTGGATTAATTAAATAACCAAAGACATACTTAATTTGTTAATCCGTTACAAGGTGGTCCGATCCACCATTGGCCTGACACATGTCCTCGGTTTACATATATACAACTGAAACTACTTAACAACCTGACTTAGGTTTTTGGGGGAAAACAAATAAAGTAAAATAATACCCAAATATCATACTTCTAGAACATTATTGTCACCAAAAATCATGTAATATAAAGGTTCACTACCTTTAAATTCAAATGAAGAACACTAAGAGAGGAGTGACAAATTAATTGCATTTTATGCTTTAAAAAGAAGTAACCAAATACCTATTTATAGGCTCTTCAATTTTGGCAAGCATACTATTAATTATAGACCACAATACGTGCTCATATACGGTCCACACGTTAGATATGGTTTCTTACTAAATTAACTTCTAGTTCTTATTTTATTATTTAATTGCTGATAGATGAGTACTAATTATAGATATTTATATTGTTATATAATTGTATCTCTTTCATCATATACTGATATACCTCGTTCTCAATAAGTACACCATTTATGCACACCAGACTCAGACGACTTGATTAACAATGGTAGAAAACACTTGGTAGAACGCAATTATTCAGTGATCTCAGTTCATTCGCAATACCTAATATATAATCTTCCTTACTCTATCAATTCTTTTGGTGTAGTACTCTATCAATTCTTATTTTATTTTATTTTGTTCTAACTCTAACTAATAGTCTAATATGGATAAAAAGTTAAAAACTATGAAATGTTACATAGTTTACAAATAAAAACGAAAATATATCTTTTGTAGACACAAATTTGTTTTCCAAAACATTATACTGGGTTTAAAAAGGGAGAAACAAATATTTTTGCAGTAAATTGAATTTTGAACCGTAAAGGGTTTAGGAGAAACTTAAAACAACTTTGACAGAAAAAAAAATCATAACGGAGAATAAAATAAACAAAAAAAAAGGAGAATTTAGCTTGACCTGCCACATTGTCTCCCCAATGACCTAGACCTCTCTCATTGGTTGTATGACACGTCATCACCATCTATAATCAAACAAACATAATGTAGATACTCCTTTCTTTAGCTCCATTAATTAACTACTGTCTACTTATATAAAGCTGATTTAACAACACTAATCTCCTTCAAAACGAATATTTCTCAGATTTATACTTATAAACATAATGTAAAATCTCTTCTTTCTCTTTTCTTTCCTATTTTGCCATATCATTTGGCTAATTACATTATTTCATTTCAAGATTTCAGTATCAACCGTTGTTCTAACTAAAATTTCAGTCTTAAACACCCCAAAAAAAAAAGAGAAGAAAAAACGGTTCTCCTCTGTTTTATAAGATTTGATGGCGGGGAACTACCCTTCGTTCCAAAATCCAATCCCTAGATTCCAAAATTACAACTTTGCGAGCGGCTCATCTCATCATCATGGCTTAGTGGTGGAGGATCAACATCAAGAAGAAGACATGACGATTAAAGAACAAGACAGGCTACTTCCGATTGCAAACGTAGGAAGAATCATGAAGAACATTCTCCCACCAAACGCAAAGATCTCTAAAGAAGCGAAAGAGACGATGCAAGAATGTGTCTCTGAGTTCATAAGCTTCGTCACCGGAGAAGCCTCCGACAAATGCCACAAGGAGAAGAGAAAGACTGTTAATGGAGACGATATCTGTTGGGCTATGGCAAATCTAGGGTTTGATGATTACGCCGACCAGCTCAGGAAGTACTTACATCGCTACCGGGTTATTGAAGGTGAGAGAGCTAATCATCAAGGCAAAGGAGGAGCTAAATCCTCGCCGGACAATCAACTAATCGGTGATTGATTGCTTGATTTCCCTTTTAATCATCTCATCTTGTTTAATATCCGGACTACCTTCTTTCATCATTTCATATAATATATCATATATAGTTCTAAATATGTTGAACGAAAAATAAAAAAATCCTACATATATATGATTATATAAGAAAGTTTGGCCAAAAAAAAAATATATTATATAAGATGTATGTGGTTTGAGATCTGTGTTATTTCTTCCTGATTTTGTTAGTTCCTATCGTGCAATTTAAGAGTACCGCTTTCCAAATTGGTTTTAATTCATGTTCATATCACATATCTATATCGTATAAATTTAGTAGAACATCATACAAGTACGTGTTGGCATAACCCACATAACCGGTTTTTAATCATGAAGAGGAACCAATGCAATGCAAAAATCAAGTCTGAAGACTTCTTCTTTGATTTGGACAGGGGTTGTGCTATATATGGACTAGTTTAACAGATCACAATTATGTTTAGCTTAATTAATCAGTTTTATCCCAAGTTTAAAAAAAAAAAAAAAAACAATTTCCAGTATTCGTATATATTTGTATAAAGTCAGCATTAGCATTTGCATGCAGATTTTCACATCAACTAGCTAGTCAATACGAAAATGTCATTTCGTAAAGAAATCGTGTAGATATAAACTTACTACTTCGGTATCGTTTCCTTAAACTAATCAATATTAAAACTTTATGTAGATATGAATTTACTATTTTGGTACTTCACCTTAATGTTAAACTAACTAGTACTAGAAAATAATATTAAAAAATGGTTAAATTGATTTGTTAAGCGAATGGTCCATTAATCCAGACCAATTCTCACTTGTTCTTCTTTTGATTTTTATAAACCCTCGATGCCTGGACCATCGATCCAAATAAAGAAAGCTGTATATAAATACTCTTATATCTGACTCATGCTAGGAACTGTTTTTGAAATTCGAAGTTGACCGTATTTCGACTGTTTTTTTTTGTTAATACCATTTAAAACTTAGATAAGTTTGAAATCCTCATTTGCTTGAATTTGTTTATGAGAAAATATGTAACACACGTACACATGCAATTTGAATCTTCATTTTGCTCGAATTCGGGCCTAGAAAATTGAAACAAATGTAGTATAATCTGTAAAACTAATCACACTTGGATCGATATTTGAAGCACCTGGTGATGGAAACAAAAAGATTGGATAAGATTTGGGTCGTACGTCTTCGATCTCCCACAAGTGAGAACGCAGACTCGAGTTCCAAGGTCTTATTAATTAAGTTGTTAGATTTAAACGGTAAGATGTCACATACTTTCTCCGCCAAGTGCTCATAGCACGTGTCCAAAATGATGAGGCTAATTTGTCTGAAAAATTGAATCATATACATTTTTGTAGTAACACAAGGGTATTATACATATATATACCGAATCACCGTTGATATATCATACATGATGTATAAATTTTGAAATTAAATCGTCATTAAAATGTTCTCAACTCTCGAGCTAAAGAGGAGAAAAATATTTTGCATGTAATAAGCTCTTAAAATAGACAATATAGAGAATGGTTCAGCATATGTTAAACACACACAAAACAGTGTATTTATAGTTATAGGTAAGTTTTAGTTTGTCTTCTTATGTGAAATTAAACCTTTTAAAAATTTATTTTTCAGAAACAAAGGGTGTACAGTATTATATATGACATACATACATTTATTCTCAAATATCATAAATTAAATAACTATACTAGTGCTAATTAATTAGTGATTTGGGTCTTGGGTTTCTTGACAATCATGACGGTGCAATGAGCATGATGAGAACAATAGTCGCTCACACTCCCCAGAACCGCCCTGCAAATTAAGAGAGAGATCACCAAACAATAAAAATAGTTAATGTAATGAATGAATCCGAGATTAGACGAGAGATGGAGTTATATAGATTTAATGGTGAGTAAAATGAGTAAATGACCTTTTAATAGCTCCGTAGCCATGGCTACCGATAACAAGAATAGAGGCAGCATGTTTGTCGACAGCATCACATAGAACTTGTCTCGGGTCTCCTTCAGCCACTTCGAATGTTACATCCTTCACCTACAATTTTTCATTAATTAACCACCAACACCATACGACTAAAAAAAGAAGGTGATTATATTTTTGAAAAACGTTAAAAAAAAAGGGAGATGTTTACCGATTTGGTACTACAAATATGCTTAGCCTTTTCAACAGTTCTGGCCGACATTTTCTTCAAATCCGAGTCTACAAAAGGTAATGCTTGTGCAGCTCCTGCATGCGTACGTTTTCAAATCCAAGAAAAAACATTAATGAGATTCGCATTGGAATTTTCAATTGAAATGGAGAGAGATTGTGATTACCCGGCCCGGAGACGCAGAGAGCAGATATGGCATGAGGTCTGGCGTGGAGGATGTGAAGCTTGAAGGGAGGATTCTCATTCTCATCCGAGAGGAAGAAACGATCCAATGTCCACTCAAGCGCGTACATGCTGTGCTCGCTCTCGTCTATCCCTACCATCATCACCGCCGCCATATTCAATCCTCAAGCTCAGGGTTTTTCCACAAATATGATGAGGGTCACCCAAATTAAAACCAACACTTAAATAGTAATAAAGAAGACTCTGGAAGATTTTACGTTACGTTACATGAGTAATGAATTTATTATATCTGTTAAGCTTTTGGGTCACATGTAACATGTTAATGGTTGGGTCACATGTAACATGTTAATGGTTTACAGAAAAACAGAGCATTATTCACACGTTACTGTTATCTGTTACTCTGTTACTCTGTTAGTTAGTTACATGAACTAGACAGTGTCAGTGACACACTGACAGTGACAGATGAAAGAAAAGAAAAGAATGGACGGTGGTGAGATTGGGTCAGAAATGGGCCGCAAAATGAAAATGGGCCATATAACCTTTGGAACCGGTTTAGAGAGTTGGAGCTAATCATTTTCAACAAACCCTAAACTGACAGTTAAACCCTTTGAAGCAGAGAAAACCATGGACGGAGGAGCGTCGTCGGAGATGGAAGTCGAGGTGCCAAATCGTCAACTTCCGGATTCTTCTTCGCCTCAACCCGTCAAGAAATTTGGCCTCAAAAACTCTATTCCGACCAACTTCGGCTCTGACTACGTCTTCCAGATTGTTCCCAAGTAAGGATTCTCTCGTCTGATTATTACTCTTGCTCTAATTTTCCCATAACCAAACAAATTCGGTTATTGAGAGAGAACCAGCTCTGCTTTTTTGACAGAGTCGATTGGACAGCAATCGCGGTGTCGCTATCCACCAACACCGTGAAGCTTTACTCGCCGGTGACTGGTCAATACTACGGCGAGTGTAAAGGTCACTCGGATACAGTCAATCAAATTGCGTTTTCGTCGGACTCGGCGGCGTCTCCTCACGTTCTGCACTCTTGCTCCTCCGATGGCACAATCAGATCTTGGGACACGCGTTGTTTCCAGCAGGTGCTTCACTTTCTTTTCTTTTCATTTTGGTCATACAGTCAGTGTGACAACGCTTATCTGATTGAAATTCATGCTTCTGGTTACAGATTTTGTGTATTGATGCTGAGAATGACCAAAAGATTTTTAGCTTCTCCCATGGAGGTGCTGGAGACAATCTTTTGGCTGGTGCTTGCAATGAGCAGGTTAGGCATCCAAAGCCAAAAACAAAAGGCCAATTTTTGTTTGTTTTGAGTTACTATGTTACAATCTCAATCTCAAGTGATGGTTGGCGCGCAGGTTCTTGTGTGGGACTGGAGAAACTCAAAGCAAGTTGCTTGTTTAGAGGAATCCCACATGGACGACGTCACTCAGGTTTGTTGCTCTCTGATGTCTCTGCTCAACTGAAGTCTTCTCTATCTCTCTCTCTCTCTCAAGGGTCAAACTAATTCTTGTTAATCACAGGTACACTTTGCTCCTAACAATCGGAACAAGCTTCTTTCAGCTTCTGTGGATGGATTGATATGTGTATTCAACACTGAAGGTGATATCAATGATGATGATCATCTCGAATCTGTGAGTTTCATATTTAAGACTACTTATTAACCCTTTTTCCCTCTGCTGCAATAGTAATTAGATGGAGAGTAATAATACTAAACCCCCTGTTGTTGTTCCCTTGACCTCTCTCATTAGGTGATCAACGTGGGAACTTCGATTGGGAAAATAGGCTTCCTCGGAGACTCCTATCAGAAACTCTGGTGTCTCTCTCATATAGAAACTCTAAGGTACCCACTCTTTCACCCACTTGTCTTGTATTTGTATCCATCATTTCAATAGTCTGTTAATCTCTAATTTAATTTGTTTCCTCCTTAATTTCTAGTATTTGGAATTGGCAAGATGGAAGCTGTGAAGTGAACCTAGAGAATGCTCGGGAACTCGCATCTGATAGTTGGACTCAAGATAATGTAAACATCATCTCATTCCGCATTAACAACACGCACGAGAAACCTAATGGTTACTAAAAGACTAAAATCTTTCCCCATTGCTCTTTTGCAGGTTGATTATTTTGTTGATTGCCATTGTCCAGGAGGTGAAGACTTATGGGTGGTCGGTGGAACCTGCGCAGGCACCATCGGTTATTTTCCGGTGGACTATAAAAGGCCTGGCTCAATTGGTTCCGCTGAAGCTATTCTTGGTGGCGGTCATATTGATGTAGTCAGGAGCGTTCTGCAGATGCCATGCGAGTATGGAGGAGCTGCTGGGTTATTCGGATGGACCGGCGGTGAAGATGGACGGTTATGCTGCTGGAAGTCCGATGAGAACTCTGCTCAGATCAACCGGTCTTGGACTTCAAGCGAGTTGGTCGTTAAGCCGTCAAAGAACCGCAAGAAAAACAGACACTCTCCGTATTAGATAAACACACTTGTACTCTGCGTCTTTTGTCTTATAACAGTGAAGAGGACAGTTCGTTTTACATCACTTAAATGCTCTTGTTATTAAAAGGAAAATCCGTTTTTAGTGAAAGAAAGATTGCATCTTCAAATGGAAACACACAAAACAGAGAAATGCTGTAAAAAAAAGGAAATCTTCACAGAGCTATTCTTGGTTGAACTAGTCGGCTCGACACTGATCTTGTTCCAAAATGTGAGAGATCTTCTCGATAGGAATCATTGGTAGATACTCTGCCACGTAGTAGTCTCTGTCCCCGACGTAACGAACCGCATCGTTGTACTTCTCCGACCAGTAAAACGCCGTCGGGATCACCAACTGCGCAACTTCGGGGAACAAGGGCACGTGATTCAGCAACCGCCACACCTTGGTTGCGTAATACTCCGCCACTGGCTCGTACTTATCGCGGACGTTCCTGGCGATGCTCTTGGTCGTGTCGACGACGCCGGATCGTTGCACCTCCGTGGCCACCGTGAGCGCTTGGCTAGAAGCTTGCTTCACCAAAGACGGAACGTACGTTTCCACATCGTAGAACACATCATCCACCTGCAACGCAAATCACAATCACGTGTAAAAGGAGGGTACAAAAGACTCAAGAGAAGGGGGTAAAGTTAAAAATCGGAATTGATGTTACCTTACGATCAACGAATAAGAGAAGCTTGAAAGGAACGTCGTGGAATTTGTCGTATAATGGTGAAAGCACCACTCGAACGGAATCTTCGATGTTCTCGACACCGAGTTTGAGTGGTCCTGCGTTGTCTTTAGCGAATTCGTAGACCGTCGAGAAACAGACGGCCAAGTAGATCGCCGCGGTTTGGACAAAATCCAAGTGTTTGAGCTTCGGCTCATCGTTTTCTTCCACCATCAGTGAAGCCGCAGAAGAAGATGGAATAACTTCCTGTGTTTGCTCATCCTCTTCGACTACTATTTCATTTTCAGCCATTGTCAAACTTGGAGATTTTGGAGAATGACGAAAATCGTCTTTAAAAAGACACTCCCCGGACCGAAGATCGACGGCTGATATTTGAATTGGGCAGTGACGTGACGTGACAGTGCTGACCAATGACCATGCTCTTTTTTTAGCTTTTACGCGAAAGAGATTGGGTAGTACAGCTGTCAGATCGACACGTGTATAGTTTCCATTGGACCGTTTTCAACACGTGGCGGGGTATGGATCGAGAATGTTGCTGACGCCCATTCCGTTGGCACGAGAGTCGAGGCTAAAAGAAACTAAACATCAAAAGGACCTTTCGTTCGTTATCTAATCAGTTTTCTGTAGCACGTCACGAAATTTACTGGGCCTAAATTCTTTGTGTCAAGTATTCAATTGAAAAAGCCCAAATAAAAACAGTTTGGAAAGATACGAGTATACTGCAGTGATTTTCCATACAAACTTTGGTGAAGTCACAAGTTACTGAAGTACTACAGTAACTTCTTGTGTTTGGACTTTGGAGTTTGGAGATATATACAGAATGATTCGGCTTGGCTTTTAGAATGATTCACACTTCTATTTCAGCTTTTCGGTTTATTCGCGGCTCAAAACGTTCTCAAAACATTATAATAACCATCGTTTAAACTTGGAAAGCTAAAAATTTGTATCACAAAGACATCTTTTATGCATATATCACAAAACACTCATAAAACGCTTGTACCGACTCTACAACATCGTATCACAAAGACCATGACGTTCATCGTTGTCGTTTACAGCTCTCTCTCACCCCATTGCAAGCTTTACATTAACGGCGGCTACAAACGCAGCCGAAGCCAAACATGGCTTCACCAGATTACCAGCGACCGGACTGATCTCATTAAAGGCCTTGTAACATCCAACCAAGGCCGCAGACTGACCCAACCACACCGCAAGACCAGCTATTCCATACCCGAGCCGAAACGTAACCGGATCCCAGAGGAAACAAAGCATAAACTGAGCCAAGTATAGATACAGAGCATTGGGCTTTTTGTGGAAGCCACCGTCCACCCATACGAGCCACGCAGCCAAGCCCATCAGACCGCTCGACGCAAGACACGTGGTGTGTAGGAGCCACAGAGGTGGGATCCACGACGAGGATCGAGCTCGGTTCCCGTAGCTGTCGCTTGTGCCTAGGAAATACGTCGCGAAGAGCGTCACGAGCACAGGAGCCGCAACCGCTACCGTCAGCGATTTGAGGCCGCGTTTCGCCATGGCCCTCTTTTGATCGCGTTTGCCTTTGTTGTCGTCAGCGTTTTTCCTCTCTGTCTCGGCCATAGCCGTCGTTGCGGCGTCTCTGTCTTCTCCGCCACGGTGCCTGATGTCCTGAGAATCCATTTGAACGTCCTAAACAGAGTTGAAGGAACAAGATTTCGAGATATCAGATCGAAAGATTGATTGGGAAGAAGAAGAAGCTTGGTCAGAGAATAATCAGGAGATGAAGCTTATAAAGAAGAAGGCGAAGAGTGGAAGCTCTGGTGTTGGAGAGACACGTGGGGAGAAAACAAGGCGAGTAGTTGACAGAGATGTGTACACGTGGAATACAAATTAATTGTTTTTTTCGGATATTAATCGACTTTGTGAAAAAGCGTGGACACGTGTTTTTTTGGACGATTACGATGCCTATTTAATATTTATCGGTTAGTATATGGTTTCATTATTAAAAAGGGAAAATCATTTGGGATTTACACCGACTAAAGATAATAAGCCCAATAGTTACATTAAGCATTTGGGCTTTTATGGGCTAAGTAAGAGTCACTCAAAAGTAGTTACCAGTTAGTTAGTTAGTCTCCGTTATCAGCATCATCGCCGGCGGACATGGAGGCGAGTTTGGGAGGCTCTCGTAGCCGTCGACATGGGAAGGAGACGAATCGATCCGATCTGTTCAAAAATCCTAAAATCCCATTCGCCTTGGCCTTAATTATCGCTGATGCAGTCCTCGTCACACTTATCGTCGCCTATGTTCCATGTAAGATCTAATTTCCTACATTTCTTCTGCCCCTCGAAACGTGCATTGGACTTAAAAATCTTTTTTTTTTCCTTATAAACAGACACGAAGATCGATTGGGATGCTTATATGTCACAGGTTAGAGTCGGGACTTGTAATACATGTCAGTGGTGAAATGAGTTTTTAGTAATGAGTGAAAGCTTTGGCATTTTGAAATTGGGGCAGGTAAGTGGATTTCTCGGGGGAGAGAGAGAGTATGGGAACTTAAAAGGCGACACAGGGCCGTTGGTTTATCCAGCGGGCTTCCTCTACGTTTACTCGGCAGTGCAGAGCGTAACTGGAGGAGAAGTCTACCCTGCTCAGGTGTTTTGATTCTCCTCTCCTATCCTCTCCTCTCTTCTCTCTATCATGTTGCAGATTTTAGTTTTACTTAAACCTCTTACAAATGTTGCAGATTCTTTTTGGTCTTCTCTATATTGCCAATCTGGCGATCGTCTTGTTCATCTATGCCAAGACTGATGTGGTATAAATGAAGCTCTCTCTTTTTATTTCTTTCTTCTCATCAAGTATCAGTAGACGTCTTCCCACAGACTATCCTTTTCCCATGCTAGTACAAGTACATAATCAGGGATGCTATTTCTCTTGGCCTATTACAGGTGCCATGGTGGGCGCTAAGTCTACTCTGTTTGTCCAAGAGAATGCATTCCATCTTTGTTCTCCGCCTCTTTAATGATTGTTTTGCCATGACTCTCTTACATGCCTCTATCGCTCTCTTTCTCTTTCGTAAATGGCATCTCGGCATGCTTCTCTTCAGGTATGTTTCCTGCTTTTTCCTATCGATATCTTTTTCTTCTCTATCCTTGTGATTGACTAGTCTTTTTTTTTTTTTTTTTTAATACACAGCGGAGCTGTTTCTATAAAGATGAATGTCCTTTTGTATGCCCCGCCTTTGTTACTTGTGCTACTAAAGGTATATATCTCCGAGGAAGAGAATTATTTTATGGATTTCCTCTATTCTTGTTCTAGCATGGATGCTTCATATGTGAAGTTGTACTATTCACAGGCCATGAATATAATTGGAGTGGTATCTGCTTTAGCTGGTGCAGCTCTTCTTCAGGTTTCACTTTATCTCTTACAAGTCCCATTTATTCTGCCTATTATTACTTCCCCATGGCAAGCTGGAAACTTGTTAAACTGTTTGTTCAATGTAAATAGGTGAGTTGCAGAATCCAGCGAATTATAATTTTGATAATGCAAGAAAAGTACCATTCAACTGGTCAATGAATTGTTAATACAGATACTCGTGGGGTTGCCCTTTCTGATGACATATCCGGTTTCATACATAGCCAACGCCTTTGATCTTGGACGTGTTTTTATTCACTTCTGGTATTGTTCTCTCCTCTCACGCTAAATCTAATAAGAATCCTTATGTGATCTGAATATTTCTTCTGAGCACTAACGCTACTTTGAGCTCTCAACAGGTCTGTTAACTTCAAATTTGTTCCGGAGCGAATTTTTGTGTCCAAAGAATTTGCAGTATGCTTGCTCATTGCTCACCTCTGTCTCCTTGCCGTATTTGCAAATTATAAATGGTGCAAGTAAGTACAAGCACCAGTTGTTTTCTCTTAATAGCACTACATCAATCATCATTGCTCATAGATGAAATAGTCCGTATGCTTTGTGTATAGCATCGGTTTTAGTGATCAATCTGTTGACTTTCGTAGGCATGAAGGCGGGATTATAGGGTTCATGCGTTCGAGGCATTTTTTCTTGACTCTTCCGTCTTCCCTATCGTTCAGTGATGACTCAGCATCAGGAGTTCTTACAAAAGAACGTAAGCTTTTACTGTTTTTTTTAATTTTATTTTGCAATGATTCGTCTGTGCCCATACTTACACGCTTTCCACTTGATTGACAGATATTGTAACGACTATGTTTGTTGGGAATTTCATTGGTCTTGTATGTGCTCGTTCTCTGCACTACCAGTTCTACTCATGGTAACTAAAGAAAAACCTGAATTTTTTGAATCTCTTTCTTGACATCAAACCCAATACTTATATATATGACCATGACAGGTACTTTTATTCGCTGCCTTTTCTGCTATGGAGAACATCGTTTCCTACTTGGCTGCGGTAAATCAATCATTCTCTGCATCCTTTGTCCTTAACCACAGTTAAAAAACAAGGCGCTAATGTATTTTTTGTTTATCTTTTGACTGAGAAAGCTTGATCTTGTTCGTGGGTATCGAGCTGTGCTGGAACGTGTATCCATCAACAGCAGTCTCGTCGGCTCTGTTACTGAGTCTACACTTGACCGTCCTATGGGGTCTCTGGTTTGCTCCGTCAGATTACCCTTACCAACACAAAGAAGACCATAAATCCCAAAGACACAAAAAGAAAGCATAAATGAACCGTTGATAATATGTGCTACTACTTACTTAGAAAGATGGAAACACAAATGATTTCACTTTTTCTTTTTCTTTTAAAAAGCTTTGCTGTCGTCACGAGTGTTCTACTTGTAAGTTTAGTCAGACATCTCTCAATCTCAATCTCAAGAACATATTTGTTTTCCAATTGGCGTTTGGGAATCTTCCTGTACTGCAAACAAGAACAAAGAATAGCATTTAAATTGTAGTTTATAATCGTTGTGCTCTGAAACTAGGTTCTTTTGCTTTTCCTTGATTTGACAAGGTGTAGAATATGTGCTTCTTTAGAAATCAACTGCTTAGTTTTCTTCCACAGATGGCAACTTATGGATTAGACTTTTTTACTGTGTTTAATCCATGGTAATATCTTCCCTTCTTTGTTTATTCTCTTAGTAACTTCTTTGGCCTTGAACTTGATCATGTAGCATACAAGTACAACCTAGCATGGAAGTGGGAGCAACAAAAACGACCAAGGTACGCCGTAGAAAGTATCTCCAAAGGACTCGAGGTCATTCAGTTATCGCCTTCATGATTCACGTTGTATAATAAAACCACGAGGTTTTATTAGACAACTGTTTCCATAACCTTCAGAGTGATTAGGACAGGATGACTTAGGATTTTCTCTGTGATCTTAGTTAATTAGTCACTGTCTGTCCTTGTGTACTATTGATTATTTCCTAAAGGAAGTAAACACTGGTAGAATCTGTCTCTGTTGAAACATTAGTTGGTGCTGCCAAATGAAGGCTCGAGGCCAGAAAAAGGAAGACGTGAGCTTATTTTCGTAGGCTGTTGCTTCACCTTGTCTATCCATTTCTATTTCTTTTACTTATTTTGTTCCTTACCATGTCTCATGCATCATCTTCATTTTTTCTTTCTTTCTGTTATAATATAAGATAAGACTCAGTGGTTACATAGTCTTTATACATATATACAAATGATATGATACGTACAGCGTTCTGCATCCATTGAATCTAAAGTTTTTTTTTTTTTTTTTTTTTTTTTTTTCTCTTTCATGAGTTAATTCTTGAAAAACGTTTTTTTAACAACCTTTCCTTTCCGATTGCCTTACATAGACAAGTTATTCTTACAGTTGATAACAGCTTGTGTGTTGCTTTTTTGTTGATTGTGGACTCCTTTAACACGGAAATTCCAAATAAAGTGAAGTCTTTAGCCTTTTTACCACTTGCACAAGAAGAATAAACATGTCACCGAAATAGTCTAAAGTTTGATTGTGACACTAGAACAGCCATGTAACTTCGTGTAATAAGTTAAAATATTGGTTTACAAGATGATTTCTTGAAGTTGAGATAGATACATCTCTTTTGTTTTGAGGATGCCGATATGTCTAGATAGGAAAAGAAAATTATCCGTACTAGTCAGCTTTAAGCAGGGAATCTGAAGAGGGAACAGATCCAGCTTGTGGATAAGGCTGTGAACCAATAAACTTTAAAGACGTTAGATAGATAGATCTCTTTTGTTTATTGTATTTATGGGGATGGTGAGAAGTGAATCACTATGCATGGATTACTCCCAAAAGAGCTAATAGTGCGATACATTATATGCTAAACTGAGTCACCAAAATAACAGAGAGGGAGAGAGGGACCAAAAGTTGAGGTTTCTCATGTGTGCTTTGTTTGTCACTAACCTTGCTGCATATGGAAAAAGAATCCACACCCAACATCCTCCACAATGTCTGGTTAGAGTTGTTCCTCTTGAGGGACAGAGTAGCGTCAGCAATTGTTTACTTAGTGGTGGACTTTGGCTAAATTATCAGATGCGGCGAGCACCAAACGCATCATATTTTAAAGCCTGACGATCATGACAGTGGTTGATTTGATCATCCAAACAAAATGATGTGGTCCCGTTTTGATATTTCTTGATAGGAAATGGATGGCTGAGATTGTTTCTCTGATTCTCGTGCTGAACAAAGTCTACTCATTTACTGAGAACTCTTGTTAACCACTACTCTTTGATAGCTGTAACATGGCTCAGGCTGTTGTAGACTTACCTTAATCATTTCCATTAAGGTTCCCTTTTTGAGCTGCATGCCATTGACCAGAACATGTGTTGCGTGACACAAAGTCAACTTAATATATATTGATATGCTAGATTTTGTTCAAAGTAAAAAAGTAGAGAGAAGCTATGTGTTTACGCAATATTGTTTTGTTAGTGTCTTTAAGTACATATTTTTCTTATACGTATTGTCCTTGCATTATTGATGAGATCAGCACTGATCTCTTCTTTTTTTTGGTTTTCCATTAACTGATATATTGTAAGGACAGAGTTAATACCCATTTCTGGATATACGGCTAAAACCACTATAAATACACCTCCTTGCTTTGAGTCATGAGGCATTCATTACCTCTCTTCTTCTTCTTCTTGTTTAGTATTTGGTTTCAGCTGAAGAATGGACGTAGTGAAGCTTGATTACAACTACAAAGGTGAAAATGCATTAAAAGAGCTGGAGAGGATCACCTCGAAAGCTGCTGAAGTTCAAGATAACATTTTACGTGGGATCTTAGAAAGAAACAAGGACACAGAGTACCTGAGGAAGTACATGAAAGGGTCCAAAGACGTTATGGAGTTTAAACGCTCTGTACCAATCATCAAGTACACAGATGTGTGTCCTTACATTCAGAGAATTGCAAATGGAGAAGACTCTTCTCTAATTACTGGTCATCCTATCACTGAACTATTATGCAGGTCGGTTTCTATTTCTGCTATATATATATATATATATATATATATATACATATTCCTTAGTCGCTGGCCTCCTTACTTTGCGTTTCAATATTTATGTTTGTGTAGCTGAAGAAATGTTTTTGCTTTTTTGCAATATTTGCAGCTCAGGGACTTCTGGTGGAGAGCCAAAGCTAATGCCAACCATTCCAGAAGATCTTGATCGCCGCACTTTTCTCTACAATCTTATAGCTCCAATCATGAACAAGTTAGTAAAGCCCTGCCTTGTTTGCTTTTTAATCTCTAAAATCCTCCTTGATGCTGTTTAAAAGGGGAAGCTCTTTAACTTCTTTCTTACTTAATACGTGACCATAAATCTCTGGAAAAACAAAGTGGCTGATCTCATATTCCATAAAAGAACCTTTACTATTGTTCCTGTAGTTCTTATGGTAATGGATTTGTCTCAAAAGCTAATGTAATCTACGGGAAGTGGAAGGACATCACATCACAGTCCTCAATGTTATCCATTGGAAATATTGAAAGAAAAAACGCTTTTTAAAATCTTTTTCCGAGAAGCCTCAGTGTGAATATAGTTTCATAATCATTCTAGCACTAACATATGGGATCTGGATACATATATGTATATATGCACTCATACATGTACTGGCCGTGGTACCAATAAAATCATCATAATAGGTTTTTGACTAAGGAAGACAAACAAGTTTGCTTTCTTCTTTCTTCTTTTGAGTTTTGTTTTTTTGGGTAATTGGTGGTATCATGTCATGTACTATGTAAAGTTTGCATCCATCATCTTTTAGCCACACGCTATTTTGATGTCCCCACCAAAGATTCTCACTAAACCTCAAGAATCTTTCACATCACCATTTTGAGGTTTTCTATTTTTTTTACCTCTTTCACCGTTGCACTGTTGTGGTTTGGACAGGTATATCCCTGGACTTGACAAAGGAAAAGCAATGTACCTTAACTTCGTCAAAGCTGAAACATCAACTCCTTGTGGTTTACCAATCCGAGCAGTGCTCACCAGTTACTACAAGAGCAAACAGTTCCAGTGCCGGCCTTACGATCCTTTCAACGACTTAACCAGTCCGATCCAAGCCATCCTCTGTGAAGACAGCAACCAAAGCATGTACTGTCAGTTACTAGCCGCTCTAATTCACCGCCACCAAGTCATGCGTTTAGGAGCCGTCTTCGCTTCAGCGTTTCTCCGTGCAATCTCTTACCTGGAGCTGAAATGGAGGCAGCTCTGTCAGGACATCCGCACCGGCCATCTCAGTCCCATGATCACCGATCCTGGATGCCAGATCGCAATGTCTTGTCTTCTGGCGTCGCCGGATCCAGACTTAGCTGACGAGATCGAAGAAATCTGTGGACGCTCGTCGTGGAAAGGGATCTTGTGCCATCTATGGCCCAAAGCAAAGTTCATCGAAGCAGTAGTGACGGGATCAATGGCTCAGTACATACCAGCACTCGAGTTCTTTAGCCAAGCCAAGATTCCATTGGTTTGTCCCATGTATGCTTCCTCTGAGACTTACTTTGGCGTCAACGTCAAACCGCTCTCCAAGCCGTCCGACGTCGTTTTCACACTCTTGCCTAACATGTGCTACTTCGAGTTTATCCCTCTCGCCAAAAACAGGACCCTCTCTTTTGACCTTGACGACGATCATGTCCCTTCTGATAATGTCGTTGACTTGGTCAACGTCAAACTCGGTCGCTACTACGAATTAGTCGTCACAACTTTCGCAGGTACAGAGTAATTAGTGATATCGAGTGTTCTGTTTTCTCTGTTCTTCTTAGGAAGAAAAAATCTTGATTTGGACCGATTCAAAATTGGCAGGGTTGTGCCGTTACAGAATCGGCGATGTACTTCAAGTGGCGGGTTTCTACAACAAGGCTCCACAGTTCCGGTTTATATGCAGGAGGAACGTGGTTCTAAGCATAGATTTAGACAAAACGAACGAGGAAGATCTTCACAGGAGCATCACACTAGCCAAGAAGAAGCTTCAAAGCAACGCATTCCTCGCAGAATACACGAGCTACGCGGACACGTCATCAGTGCCAGGTCACTACGTGATCTTCTGGGAGATCCAAGGGCTCGAACGAGCTGATGAGGAGCCGAAGCTGATGGAAGAATGTTGCATTGCGATCGAGGAAGAGCTTGATTACATATACAGGCAATGCAGGACGAAAGAGAGATCGATCGGGCCGTTAGAGATAAGAGTGGTGAAAGCAGGAACGTTCGAGAAACTTATGGATCTGATTATAAGCCAAGGAGGGTCGTTTAATCAGTACAAAACCCCGAGATGTGTCAAGTCCAACAGTGTTACGCTCAAGCTCTTGAACGGACACGTCACCGGTTCCTTCTTCAGCCCTCGTGACCCGACTTGGGCCCCGTGATCAGACTCTCATGAGAGTCTCCGTAATAACCCATCTCATCAGGCTTGCTGTAATGCTTATGCTGCTACTTAGGATGTTATGCGAGTGTGTGTTTTTTGTTGCTACTTTTATCGATGGGTTTGAAGGAAATAAAAAAGAAGATAATCCGGTTTTTATTTTTGGTCTAGTTCTGAAGTTGGTGCTAAGAACAATATATCCACAACATACACTGATGACGATGATTTGTTAATTACATGATAAAGCACCCACCAGCTTGTTCGTCTTCATACTCGTCGGCATTGGATCTTATCGGATCCATGACTCCGACCATGTACGGATCCGTACCGTTATTAACTGGTAGATTGCTTGGATCCAACGGCGGTAAAGTCGGCACAGGAGATCCAACGACTGTCATTGCGTTGCGCCCAGTTCCACTCTGTTTCTCCTTCTCCTTTTTCTTCTTCTTCTTCATCTTCTTCCCCCGATTTCCTACATCGCCGCCGGTGTTGAGGTCCTCCGCAGCCATGCCGGCTTTGCTTTCGCTCCCGGTGTCTTCCTGGTAGCTCTGTTTTGCGTTTTTGCTCTGTTTCTTATTATTCTCTTTCTTCTCCGGTAAAATCAACTCTGCATGCTTTCCTGATCTACCCAATCTCTTTATCAACTTATCGGCGTCAACGGCGCCTGTAACAGTAACTTTATTGTGCTGAGCATCGACAACCGTAGCATAAACACCTGCAAGTCATAACCATTCTCAAAATCACTCATTTGAGCTAATTAATTAACCATAAACACCTCCTCATAAGTCATAACCATTACCTTGAATGCCTCCAAGTATTTTTTGGACTTTCTTCTGACAGCCTTGGCAGTCGATGGAGACTTTCAAGACCCATGTCTGCTTATACAAGATGTCTGAGAGACTTTTCAAGTAATGACTACACACAAGAGACAAGTGTATACGTTACGTTACCTTAAGCTCAAGTGTCTGGTCTGTGACTGGTTTCTTCGTCATGAGTTTTGAGTTTATACTTAAAAAGAATTTTACAATCCAAGGATTTTATGAGGTGAAGCCGTTAGCTCGGTTAATACATAATATATAGACCCACCAAACAGGTCTTTGAGGATTAAAGTTAGTATTATAAACGATGACAGACCCATAAGCCTTTGTCTGTGAAATTTATTTTTACTATATCCGATTCATCTTTTAGCGTGAAACTCAAAGAAGTACATGTTTTAGACACCTGTGTATGATCTGTAAAAATAGCTTCTGACAGAAAACCACGTTTCGAATCCTCACCTTGTTTTACCCAAAAAGTTACAGTTCATTTTTTGATAAGATTGAAATGAAGTCGTAATCATGATTGTTGTTGTTTTAGTTTCCCTCTTGGGTTGAGAAACGAAAATCGCTTGCGTTCTTTTTAATTAATAAATATTAAGTTCAGAGATGTTACAACAAGCGCATCTGGTGTAGTGGTATCATAGTACCCTCCCACGGTACTGACCAGGGTTCGATTCCCTGGATGCGCACTTTTTTTAGTATTTTTTTAATCCGTTAATGTGAAACTGTCACCGGCTACGTAAGACAACCAGAGTTCTGTTTCGCTAATTATAGCAGTTCCTTCATTATTACAGAACCTTTTTTTTTTTGAACAACCTTTATCATTACTGCTTAAACCAAACCGGCAACTACAAGTGTGGGTCCCAGTCGGGAATTTAAGTCGCCATTATTACAGAACTCAGCAAAAATCAATGGTTTTTTTTATTTCTAAAAAAGGAAACGACCAGCTACTAAAACCCCACCTTATTTACTCATCCAAGTACCACCAAAAAGGGACCAGATATAAAATGAAGACTAATGGAACTGGATGCAGAGACTTGGTTGATCCTTGGTCACACAAAGCGGAGTAGGTTTGATTGCGAGAGCCTACTACTTAGGTTTCATCGAACACTGGAGCATGGAGGCAAGAGTCAGAGATAGAGAGTGAAATGGATCTGATGGTTACCATTTTGGTGGCTCTCGCTTTATCAGCTGGGAGATGCAGCGATGCTTACACGAGGAACGATTTTCCCACGGGCTTCGCTTTTGGATCCGCCATTTCTGCTTATCAGGTTGGCTTTTCCATTTTTGATAATGTATTTGGATCATCTCAAATAAAAGAACAATGTTTGGTGTGTGTTGTGAATTAAAGTGGGAAGGAGCTGTTGATCAAGACGGGAAGAAGCCTAGCGTCTGGGACACTTTCGTTCACTCTCGTAAGCTTTCTTTTCCAAAATGATTTGCTTCTTAACACATTTTAGTCAATTTTAGTGTTTAGAGAATATATTGGCTCTTAACATCAGTTGTGGAAATTCAAGTAAAATGGTTTCAACTTGTTCCGCAGGCAACCTAGATAATGGGGACATAACTTGTGATGGGTATCACAAGTACAAGGTCCTTTTTCTCTTTCTATATATGGATATCATTCATTCACCTTTTTTTTTTTTTTTTTCCTTATTACATCAAATCAAAGGTTTTTGTGCAGGAAGATGTGCAGCTCATGGTGGATACTGGCTTAGATGCACTCAGGTTTTCCATCTCTTGGTCTAGGCTTATACCCAGTAAGTCTTTGTTGTTGAACATTATAAGCCAGTAAAAACTTAGAAAAGATGAAACTCATGAGCTCTTATCTCATTAGATGGACGAGGTCCTGTTAACCCAGAAGGTCTACAGTTCTACAAGAACTTCATCCAAGAACTTGTTAGCCATGGTACGTGACACCCCTCTTCATATCCATTTAGTCATTTTTTGCATAATTTTCTATTAACTGCAAACTTACTAACAGGAACTGAACCACATGTTACACTGTACCACGATGATCATCCTCAAGATCTGGAGGATGAATATGGAGGCTGGACCGACCGCAGAATGATGTAGGCTGAAAAAGGCGGGCATTTACTTGGCTTCTTTTACAAAATGATAAAACAAAATTAACTTGTTGTTATCTGCGCGCCATTGCAGCCAGGACTTTACTGCTTATGCAGATGTTTGCTTCAGAGAGTTTGGGAGCCAGGTCAAATTCTGGACGACGATCAACGAGGCTAATATATTCATTATTGGAGGTTACGTCGGTGGGGATACACCGCCTGGTCGTTGCTCTACCTGCTTGACTGGGAACTCTTCCACTGAGCCATACATGGTAGCCCATAATTTGCTGCTTGCACACGCCTCTGCTTCTCGACTGTATAGGCAAAAGTACAAGGTACGTGTGTATATATGTTTTATCATATGTAACCCTCTCTAGTCTCTCCTCTCCTGAATGTGTATTTGTGTGAGTTGATGACATATAACGCGTAGGATTTGCAAGGAGGTTCTGTAGGCTTTAGCTTCTTTGCAGTAGGATTCACTCCTCTTGCAAGCTCCAAGGATGATCAAGTTGCAATTGAAAGATTCAAAGCTTTCTTCTTCGGCTGGTGAGTCAGGGTTCACAAGTAGGGTACCAAAATATCCATGGTTTAATTAGGGTTTAAGATCAAGACAAGTAAATATAATCTTAAAAACAAAAAAATCAGGATGCTTGGGCCTCTTACATATGGAGACTATCCGGAAGAAATGAAAAGAATCGTTGGAACAAGACTGCCAGTTTTCTCAAAGGAAGAGTCAGAACAAGTGAAAGGCTCTTCTGACTTCATAGGAGTCATTCACTATATCGCGGCTACAAGCATCAAACCCCAACCGTCTCTTTCAGGAGACCCCCCTGATTTCAGCTCAGACTTGGGCGTATCTGTGATTTGTACGAATATTCAAACTCAATCATATCTCTAGAACAAACACTTGGCTCCATATTTTGTTATTGCTAATCATATCTCTTCTTCGTTGTACTGCTTGGTGATGGACAGACGCTGGGAATTTCACGGATCTCGACGTAAGAGAGTTTCAAGCCTGCCTTCGTATACACTCAAGCCTGTTTCTTACTTGTTTTGTTTTTGTTTGGACAAGTATGCTGTTGCTCCATGGGCTATGGAAGGTGTCCTTGAGTATATGAAGCAGACCTATGGCAATCCTCCTATCTACATTCTAGAGAATGGTCTCTCTCTCTCTCTCGCTTGTTTTTTTGGTTTGTGTGGTCTAACTCTACTCAATCCTCCTAGGTAAACCGCTGAAGCAAGATTTGGAGCTGCAACAGAATGACACACCAAGGGTTGAGTTCTTAGATGCTTACATTGGTGCTGTGCTCAAAGCCGTTAGGTAAGTCAAGTGTTTCTTACTGCATCTTCTCTTCTCTGCTCTTGTCGGCGTTAATAAAGAAAAGAAGATGTAAACTACATGCAGGAATGGATCAGACACGAGAGGCTTCTTCGTGTGGTCCTTTATGGATTTGTACGAGTTACTGAGCGGATACGAGTACAGTTTTGGATTGTACTCTGTCAATTTCAGCGATCCGCATCGCAAGAGATCTCCGAAGCTGTCTGCTCATTGGTACTCTGCTTTTCTCAAGGGCAACACCACCACATCTCTTGGCTCCCAAGGCATCACGCAATTGCAGAGCAACTTGTCTTCTTCCATCTAGTGTTCTGCTGCATTTATATATTACTATGTTTGAAGCAATAAGAGGAAGATTATGTGTTTTACTTGCATATATGTTTATCTTATCTTATACCAATTGCACATAAATATTTGACGAAGAAAGAGTCAAACAAGACAAGAAACAGAATCATTTATTTGGCAAAAGAAGAAGTGAAACATGAAAACAAAGACAAGTCTTCTTCTTCTTCTCAGTTCTCACTGCTTGAGGAGGGCAACAACCTTAGTCCAAGCTGGCCTGGAAGTGATCTTCTGGACCCACTCGTGAACCTTAGAGCGAGACTCAAAGAGCTTCTTGGAGTCGGTGCCCATCAAGTAATGGAGGGCAGGAAGGTGGTGAAGATCAGCCAAAGTGAAGCAATCACAGGCCAAGAACTCGGATTTGGAGAGCCTTGCCTCGTAGATATCCAAGACCTTGACGAGCTTCCCTTCGAGCTCTTCGACGGCGGCAGGGTCAGTGGTCTTGCCGAACATGCCTTTGAAGACACGCTCGAAGGCTAACTTGGAGGCGACTGGGTCAAACTGTTGACCTTCCACCTGAAGCCATACCTTGGTGGTTGCCTTGACTTTCTTGCAGCCTGGGCACTCGAGCTTCTCACCTTTCTCACTGTATTCCTCTGCTATGTACTCTGTGATGGCTCTTGACTCTGCAACAACAAAATAACAAAAAGTTAAATCATGATTCTACTACTACTAGTCGGAGATTTATTCTATATACTTAAAGGAGCTAAAAGTCGAATTTCGGCTTAATAATCATTGTCAACAATCAAAATCACGACATCTGATTTTGTTCATGGCGTGAGGTAGACTGGTCACCAACCACTTTTGAGTTTTGAGGAAAAGGACTCACCGAAAAGTGACAAATCACCGTCTTGGAGAGCAGGAATTTGACCGAAAGGCTGAAACAAAGGAAGAGCATAATAATCGTCACATTCTCATGAAACCAAGTTTCAATACTTGCTAGAGATTAGAAATGGATGAAAAGGAGGATCGGGTTACGTTGAGGGAGAGGAAGGGCTCCTGCTTGTGAGCACCGGCTCTCATGTCGACGGGGATGAGCTCGAAATCGAGATCCTTCTCGTAAAGAGCTGCGAGGACGCGCATGGTGGCTGTGGACATGGGAACTCCGTGAACCTTGATGCCGGCCATGGTGACTGAGACTGTCGGAGATGGAGAAGCTTTGGATCTGAATTTGAGATTAGAATTGGAACTGGAATTGGAATTGGAATGGGATGGAGACAAGTGAAGGGAGGAATGGAGTGGTTTTATAGGAGGAGCCAAGAAGCTGCTCTGTAAGGGAATGGCCACAAATCTTTGAATAGTTCCCATTTTTGTTTCTCTTTTTCCAGAAACTTCTCAACAGCTCCCCCCTTCTCCCACTTTATTTATCTTTCTTCTTCCCTTTATTCCATTTTTTCTAATATTTATTACATTATCTCTCGCCAAGTGTCTCAGGTATTATTTACACATCTCACATTTTCTGGACTTGTTTATTTGTTTCATCTCTTTTTCTTTCTGATGCCAAATTGCCAATGTTATGATATTTAATTATTTCTCTTAGATACAAAATTATATTAATTTTAACTTTTTAAGTAGTGGGATATCTTTAACTTTTTCAGATATATACTTATCAATTGAATATTAATATTTTACACATCTATTAACAGAATTTGTTGATGTGATCATTAGTGACGTCAGGTTTGATCAACAACTATCCATATGGATCCTCAAAATGTATAGTATAATTTGTCATGTGATCATTAGTGACGTCAGGTTTGTTCATTCCAAAGTTTCGTTGTTATGGTAGAAATGTATCAGGCCAAGTCCAACGCACTTGTTGGATAAACTGGTATCTTTTTGTATTCCACCGAACCTTATTTGGGCCTTTGCCGGAATGAGGAAGGAAGGAGGATGGGCCACGTCATCAAAGGCATCGCATTCCTCTTTCAGTTGTACTTGTACACAAACTCCTTTTTTTTTTCTTTTTCAATACAAATAGACGAATTGGATACGGTGAAAAAGCTCGCTTTCTTTTCTTTCTTTCTCTGCAACACTCTGGAATCTTCTTCATCCGCGTTTTCTTCACGCACACAGATCGGCGCCGGCGAACATTTGAGTGTGATGGCTTCGGGAGATGAGAAACCGGTGATGGTCGTCGGAGTCGACGAAAGCGAGCAGAGCACTTACGCCTTGGAGTGGACTCTCGATCGTTTCTTTGCTCCCTACGCTCCCAATTTTCCGTTCAAGCTCTTCATCGTCCACGCCAAACCCAACGCCGTCTCCGCCGTTGGTCTCGCTGGTCCCGGTACGCTCTTTGATTTCACCGCCCCCTTTCGATTGACACTGTTCTTCTAGGGTTCTCTGTTTTGGGAGAGAGGAATCATTTGGGGCTTCTCTTGTTAGTAGGAACCGCGGAGGTTGTGCCTTATGTTGATGCCGATTTGAAGCACACCGCTGCTAAGGTTGTCGAGAATTCCAAAGCTATTTGTCAGAGCAAATCGGTAAGAACTAAGCACACTAGTTGTTTTGTCAGAACATTTCTAGTGTGAATTGTTGTTTTTCTTAGCGCCAAAAGTTGCTGTTATCTTTAAATGTACAACATTCAAAAGCTTGGAGCTAAAAAAGCACTGCTTGTTTCTCTTACTGTCTTCTTTCTCATTCTCATTCTCAGTCATTCTGGAATTGTTGTGCTAGGTTCATGGCGTGATGATCGAAGTTTTTGAAGGGGATGCTAGAAACATCCTATGTGAAGTTGTAGATAAACACCATGCTTCTCTTCTTGTTGTTGGAAGCCATGGCTATGGAGCTATCAAGAGGTATATATGCCTTCTTCTCGTACCAATCTTTCAATAGTTTCAACTATTACCCATTTATTTTATCGGCATGTAAATTGACAATCATCATAACTTGTCCATCGGTTTGTGGCAGGGCGGTTCTCGGGAGCGTGAGCGACTACTGTGCTCATCATGCTCATTGCTCCGTCATGATCGTGAAGAAGCCTAAGATCAAGCTCTGAATACCTAATAACCAAGGCAAACAAAGTCTCTGCATAGTCAATTCTCGGTGAAGTGAAATAATTTTAGCTTGATGTGAAACGATTCAAGACAGTCTACATTTGCATCTATGTGTGATTTGTTTATTACATGTAATCTTTCATAATACATTCTTAAACTATATTCCCGTTTAATAATGCTACTGTTATAACTTATAAGTCTATGGTTTATCCATCTCTATCTCGGAACTTACACACTTCACAGTTACGTTATCAAAACTTAAAAAGTCGTGAGCTCATGATACGAACGAAACTGCGAAAGAAAGTAAATGGAAACAGATCTGAATATAGTTTCTTTTACCAGGATAAATTCTAAATTGGTTTTAGTTGGTGTTTTTCTGGAAGAATGTTGTTAGCTGAACTGGAACAACTTAAATAATGACTTATCCAATGTATTTTTTTTTTTTTGAACATCGACTTATCCAATGTGCAAGAACAAAAAAAGAAAAAGGAAAAAGAAATGAAGAGTCCAATGTCATTGTCTGGTTTTCAACCACGTCATCTTTAACAGGTCGGACGAGAGAGAGAGAGAGAGAGAGAGAGAGCAAAGGAAGGAGAGATATGTAAGATTATTACCGCATCGGCTTTCGAAAAGGTAGACTAACTCAGATAGAGAGAGAGAGAGGAGAGAGAAAGCGAGAGCGAGGAAGATGAGTTTTCATTGATTTTTGTTTGACAATTTTTTTTCTCAATTTTTATCTTTTGAAAACAATATTTTGCTGTGGGATTGCTGGCCAACCGGTAGATTCCGACGGTGGTGGAGAGATGGCCGGAGCTAATGATTCGGGTTGCGACGATGATCGTAAACCCCGCCGTGTTGCTGGCCAACCGGTAGATTCCGAGGGCGAATGTGTCCCTGGAAAACGCGGGAACGAGGATTCTGTGTCATGCTCGATTTGCCTCGAGTTGGTGGTCGACGACGGTACCAGATCCAGGGCTAAGCTCCAATGTGGTCACCAATTCCATTTGGGTATTCCAATCAAACTTTCCTTCATTTGATTGATACTTGTTATGGGGCTTTTGTTGGATCAAAATTTCCTAGTCTGCATTCTCGTTTGGATCTACTTTCTGAACCGATGAACATAACAGGGTTTGCCCATCTGCTTAGCAAGTTTCAAAGTAGCCACTTTATGCATATTATCTAATGGTAGATTTCGAGGATAACCCAATGAACATTATTAGCATGTATTATTATTAGAAGCTTAAATCGCCATGACTCTGCACTTTGTATGAATATCCAAGAAATGCGAATAAAGTGGGTGGTATCTTGTGAATCGGTTTCTTTTTGCTGTGTGGAGATGTAAGGTTTGCAAGTTCCCATTGCGTGACTGCTGGAATTTGTTGCTATATATACTTAGCTTGCCTTTATCTGTTACTCCTGGTTTCTTGCAGACTGTATCGGATCAGCTTTTAACATGAAAGGAGCAATGCAATGCCCAAACTGTCGGAATGTGGAAAAGGGTCAGTGGTTGTATGCAAATGGGTCTGCTCGGGCGTTTCCAGAGTTTGTCATGGAAGATTGGATCCCCGAAGAAGATTTGTATGCTTTAAGTTATCCCGAAATGGTAAAAGCTCTCTAACTACTCTGTGCAACGATATGCTTTTCTCTTCGTGTGCTTTTATCACACAGCCCGTTGTGATTCTATCAACAATGTGTTTGCAGCAATATCGGGTCCATTGGTGCCCGTTTGGTGAACTCTCTCAGGCAGCTTCTTTCGAGTAAGCTTACAACTTTACCATCATTTTGCTCTTATCTCTCTTTGCGTCACCATCTCCTTATTGTTACTCTGCTTTTGCTCTGTGCGTTTCAGGGAGCTGGAGCCTGAAACCACTACATGTAAGTCAGACGCTGACTGATCGATCCATTGTTCTCTCTCTATATATGATCATTTCATTTTGTTTAGCAAACCGTTGGTGATAGATTTAAGAAGCTGCATTTTTCTCTGGTCTTGCTTAGATCACAATGAGTTCCATGGGCACCACGCGGATGCTGTGAATCATTCATATCTTGCATACGTTGGACCGGGCCCAGCCGCTACCCCGAGGACTAGCGACAACAGCAACAACATAGATGACCATCCCTGGAACAGCCACTCTCACGATCACTTTCACCAGCTTGCTCTTGCTCCCCAATATCATCATCATCATCATCATCATCATCATCATTCCCAACCCTTTTCTGCTCATGTGGTTGATGCTGAAATCGACTCTTCAGCAGCTGCAGCAAGGGGCATATCTCATCCCCACCCATTTCTCTTTAGTTACCGGTTAGCTAGCTTCTCCAGCAACCTCATATTGATCTCAAAGTTGTTTTGCCTTTTTGCCGCAACTTTCTTACAAAAGTCTTTTGTTTGGATTTGAGCTGTGCAGTTCTAATCCAAGGACATCACCAGCAATCAACGGTCACCAAGGAGGCAGCACCCAAATGCGTGAACACCATGCTTTTAATCATCAAAGGGAACGTCATGCTAATGGTCCCAGTCTCGCATCTCCTACAAGAAGAGGATTGCCGCCGCCACCGCCACCGCCAATGCCTGATCAGAACCTCGGATTCTTCATTTATCCACCACCAGAAACAGATCAATTTCATGGTTGGGAGAGAGATTGGTTTCCACAATTCCCTGTCCCGTCGAATCACCACCGCACGGTCTCTAGCTTTTGGCAGAGACATTTCTGAGAGAAATGGTGTGTCCTAAACTCATGCAAGAATTCTACCAGGCTTATAAACAATGTATAAAAGAAAAATTGGGGACTTGTTTGATCGATGAAAAACTTGTTAATGATGTAACTATAACTGGTTTCCAATGTACATTGTGAGGTTTCCAAGTAACACTTGTTTGTTATTAAACCAAATAAATCGAACAGTTAAGTTAACCCTTTGTTCCTAGTTGGGTGGAGATGAAGTGAATAAATGTTGCAACTTGCACATATCTCCATACCATAATTCAGGTGAAAAGACAACACGTCTCAAGGTATGTGTTGAGAGTTGAGACAATGAACATGAAAAGAAAGCACAAGATGATTCCATAGTTGAAAAACGATCAAAACGTTTTGAGATTCTGTATTGGACAAGATACAAGACAACATTCCATGAACCTTTGTGTTTATTCATTCTTGTACTGGAATCGGATGAAAATGCAAACAAACTTGGAGGAGGATTGTTGGCTAGTGATGAGTATTAGTCCCATCCCCGCCATCTTCACCTTTCCTCGAGGCCGCTCTTAGTTTACGCTGCTCCTCCTTGTATATCCTGTTTCTTCTTTGAAACTTGCAACAGGTACACAAACAAATGCTTCGATATCAGTCCAAAATTCAGTCATGATTTATGAAACAACAGCTACTTAATACTAACACATTTGCTTCCAATGTATTAGAACAGAGACATTCAGAACAGAGAAGATATTCCAGTGTTGAATCCATCTTAATTATGCAGCAAAATGCCAAATCGAAGAATGTATGGAGCTCAGTGATCCAAATGAATGATATGAAGCTTTCTACTCTGAATTTCGCTGGTTTCATAACCAGTATACAATCAAAATCCATATAGTAGACAGACCTACCATTAAACCATTACGAATTTGCAGAAAGATGCAACTAATTATAAGGAAATCGACTCGTTTCCGTTTTGCTGCAACTGATCTAGGATGTTGGAATTACTCTTAACAGTGGCTAACATGATGACAATCGAATCAAGGAAGATTCTTAAAGCAAAATAATTAATGAATGGTACCTCTTTGGAATGGTGGAGACACTCGAGGTAGTCTTCACGAAGAAGAGTGCAATCCTTGGGCTCTCTGCAGTGGGACATACATTCGCTGAAATCCATCCAGAAATCGTAGCATCTCCCTTTGTTTCCCGTTATTCCCCATCCCGACGCCATTTCAGATTTCTCTCTCTCTCTCTCTCCAACCCAATCGACACCAACGAAACCAGGAGATTGCTAGATCGATCTTCGTCAACTTCGCTTGATTGGGTCCCCGGGTGACCCGAAATATCCTCTATTGGACTTTTATTTAATGGGCTAATAATACTTCTGGGCTGATTCATATCGTTACACTTTAGATAACAACATTAAACACATCGTTGCGTTTTTTTGGGACATTTTCAGCTTTTTTCAATTTTTTCATTGGCGGCACTTTTTTATTTTTATATATATCCGAATTCCCATATTACCTCCTAGTGGGACCCACATGGTTCGTACTGCAACTCGCGGCACGCTCTCAAGTGTTGCGTGGAGCACCATACACCCTCACTTCAATAGTCTCTCATTTGACCAGTCAGAGTAAGTCAACTATTCAGACTTAAATCAACGCTTTTTCTACAAAGCTGAGTGTATACTCGTCGCACCAGATTTACGCTCCCCGAGGGCTCAAAAAGCATCGTAGAGGAGGTGATTTGGCGTGTCACAGACTGCCTAGTCGAGTCGGGGCTGTGGAAGAACCAGACGTCTTCACTGATTTGAGCTTTTTTTCAACGACAATGGCGGTTTCCTCACCGACTTCGTCTTGCGACTCCTCGGAATCCTTTCCGTTACCCTCGTCGAACTTCGCTTCGCTTCCGATTGTGGCGATGAAGAGGAGAATCATCGAGAAAATCCTCGAGAATCGCGTCACCCTCATCGTCGGCGAGCCGGGTTGCGGTAAGTGCCTTCGCTCCGTTTTTTTCTCAGTCTCAATGTTTTTTCTGTTATCCTACCTTCACACTACTTTGTTCCTTCGTTCGCGGACGTGTTATTCTGTAACCTGAAGTCATATGCATTGCCGTTGTTTTTTTCCCTTTTCCTTCTTCTTCGTCATTTTTTTTTACATAGATGCTCCGTCGATTCTGGATTTATTTTTTTTCCATTTTGCTCGTATGGTATTTGTACAAACTACAAACGCATATGACACTGGATTTTGAATGTTTTCTATGAATGGATGGTTCATTTGATTCGTAAAACTAGGGCAACATTTAGCTTTCGTGCGCCTTTAAAATGCCTTTTTTATTGTAATGAAATCAACTATTTGATCTGTGTTTTCTGGTTGCTCGTCGTTGATTTTCCCTCATTTTGTCCTTGCTGGCTTCAGGGAAGAGTTCACAAGCTCCACAGTTCCTTCTGGAAGCCAATATGGCACCTATTTTGTGTACACAGCCAAGGAGATTTGCGGTTGTAGCTGTTGCTAAGATGGTTGCAAAATCTCGCAACACGGATTTAGGTGGAGAAGTTGGTTACCACATTGGACATTCAAAGATATTGACTGAAGGGTAACTTTGACACACCATAGTCTCACTGCATTGTTTTGAATCTTCATGACTTATTGAACAGTATCCGCTTTTTAGTATCTTCTTTGTGTCCCAGTTTTCAGGACAAATGTAAACTAACGATGACATTTGGCCTTTTCCTCCTTTGCATGCAGCTCCAAAATTCTGTTCAAAACTGCTGGAGTTCTGTTGGATGAAATGCTCGACAAGGGGTTGAACGCACTTAAGTACAAGGTTATCATTCTTGATGAAGTGCATGAAAGATCTGTGGAATCCGACCTTGTTCTTGTCTGTATTAAGCAGTTTCTCATGAAGAACAATGACCTCAGGTTACACCCCTTTTCTATAATATGATGTTCTTCTTTTAAGGTTCTTAACACTTGGTTGTATTTGCTGAATAAAGAGAAATCACTCTAATACTATTCCGCTTCAAGTTTGAGTTGAGATCACGGTCTTTAAAGAGGTGATGTAATTTGTTTTGACAGGGTGGTATTAATGTCTGCAACTGCTGATATAACAAGGTACAGAGACTACTTTAAGGAACTTGGCAGGGGTGAAAGGGTAGAAGTTGTTGCTATTCCTAGCCCCGACCAGAGAACCATTTTCCAGAGAAGAGTATTATATCTTGACCAGGTTAAACTTTTTGCTGATTTTCTTCCACTTATAGCTTCTTTTAAATGTCTACTTTTGCTTAACTATCTTTCCATTACCGGAGGATATTGCTTCATTGTTGCCTTGCTCTCTGCACCCCAATATTAGACATTAGAATTTCACACGTTGTTACTCTATCGATCCTGGAGATGAACTAACAAGCTTTGCGATAATATTAGAATCCTGTTGTTTCCATCTAGGACTCAGATGAGTTACTTCAGTTTTAGCGAACTAGAATATTCATGCTTATCATAGTATGCTTATTAGTAGTAGAACCATTTTAGAATATATTTAAAAGTTGCCTAGCAAAATGAAATAACGAAATAACAGATTTTCTGCCTCCATCAGAGTATTTGTGGAAGGACTTGTGTGACCTTTTTTCCTCGTTTTCTGTTTCACGACGAGCCTCTCCCTGCTAATTGAATGTGACTATGTTTCATGAAGCAGGTTGCAGGATTGCTTGGTGTGAGTTCTGATTTGTCAGCTTACTGTCCTGGTCCAAGTCCTTCTTCAGCTGATACTGAAATCAAACCTCAACTGCAGAATCTTATTCATGATCTCATTTTATATATTGATTCTAAGGAACCAGACATTGAGAAGAGCATTTTGGTTTTCCTTCCAACATACTATTCACTTGAGCAGCAGTGGTATCAATTGCAACCCTTTCGCTCATCTTTTGAGGTTCACATATTGCACCGAAGCATTGACACCGAGCAAGCCCTGGCTTCTATGAAGATATGCAGATCCCGTCGCAAGGTTTATCTTTTAACTTTCCATATTTTTCTTTTTCCTTGAGAGGTGTGCATTATTAATTATTACCTGCAAGTGAGAGGACCCAACTGAAATCTATATAACTAGGGAAGATCTTAATTTAAGAGTGATGCAAACACTTATATTTTCACATGTATGGTGTTGGACATCTTGTGTGTCCAGTCATCATTTTGTTGAGCTGGTGTAGTTTAGTACTTGATTTGATAATAAAATTTGAACTTCCGTTTCAGCTTTCCTAACAGTTCAAAAGTTGTTGTACGTTTTAGAGTAGAAAAAGTTGTCATATTATTGGGGAGACATCAAAATCGTATCGATGCAAGTTCGGATTCCATCAGTTGTAACTACCATTTTGTGGCTTCAATGATTTCATAGGTAAGATAACTTTCAAAACCATTATTTTCAGGTAATATTGGCTACAAATATTGCGGAATCTTCGGTGACAATACCCAAAGTAGCCTATGTCATTGACTCGTGCCGATCTCTTCAAGTGTTCTGGGATCCATCCAGGAAAAGAGATGCAGTTCAGCTTGTTTGGGTCTCTAGATCTCAGGTATTGCTTGAATTACCATTTATGAAACTAACGTGGATGTCCTAAATTTAATCTCTCGTCTTATGTGGAGTTATAGGCTGAGCAACGTAGAGGGAGGACAGGTCGAACATGTGATGGTGAGGTGTATCGCCTGGTACCGAGTGCATTTTTCAACAAGCTTGAAGAACATGAGCCCCCAGCTATACTTAAGCTGTCATTAAGACAACAAGTTCTCCAGATATGCTGCACAGAATCCAGAGCTATTAATGACGCAAATGGTAATAATGTTGGAATTGTACAGAGAATGCTTGACTTCTTTTCAACAGTCGAGGTCAGACTTGGGTTGCTTGTGAACTAGTTAGGACAGTCAGGTTTGCTAGGTCTTCTAAATTGCATACATACTTATCACAGAGATTTCTCTTTACATATTCCCTTCTAAATTGCATACATACTTATCACAGAGATTTCCTTTTACATATTTCCTTCTAAATTGCATTAGCATACATACTTATCACAGAGATTTCTTTTTACATATTCCCTTCTGGCCTAAAGAAGGATCTGTAGATATAGTATTAGTAATTGAACATTAACAATGAAGTAGCTTAGATGAAGCTAAATGCTTGCGGTGGAATTATTCTTTCATTATTTTCAAGAAATGGGTGCTCTTATAAGATTTACGACTACAGGAGAATGAATTAAAGACCGTATTTAAATTCTTTTTGCGTCTGTCTAGTCAGTTTCCGTTGGTTGAGTTGACTGTAATTTTTTTCTGTAAAACTCAGCGTTGCTGGCAAAAGCTATGGATCCACCGACCACAGATGTCATTGATGATGCATTGAGTATGTTATTAAGCATACAAGCATTGCGGAAATCGTCTAGGGGACGCTACGAGCCCACATTTTATGGACGGTTGCTTGCTAGCTTCCCATTGTCCTTTGATGCATCCATTCTTGCCGTCAAGTTTGGTGAAATGGGAATGTTAAGAGAAGGGATTCTATTAGGTGTCCTGATGGATACCCAACCGCTTCCTATTAGTCATCCTTTTGGAGCTGATTCACTGGTATTTCCTATTTCCTATTAGTGAATATTTCCGCAATTCTGCCTGCCTTTTTAATAGTGATGTTAAACATCTACACATGTGTCTTCTTTTACAGTTTCTGGAGTATGTTGACCACTATTTTGGTGGAGATAGCAGCAAGACCGTTTCTGGTGGCCGGAGGGAGGTGGTACTCATGGCAAACCTATGTGCTTTTCAGTTTTGGCAGCGTGTCTTTAAGGTAATAAAATAGTTTCATCAGAGTCCCAAGGAGAAATAGCTTTTATTCTTGTTGGTCTTACCAATGTTTCTCTCCTTGAAGGATAAGCATCGCCTTGAAAACTTGAAACAAGTTCTGTCGAAGAAGAAAGACAAAGATCTCAAGTCGATGTTTCCTGAGATTGAACAAGAGTGGTGTGATTTCCACAATGTTGTCCGGTCATCGTTCTATCATGTGTCTGAGATGTGTAAGTTCACTGTGCATCTTTCCATTTTACTCATGGAAAACAATTACGTAAAAATATCAACATGTTAATATAATAACTCTCTTTTTTTCATATCTCCATTTTCTTCTGGCCCTTCATTGGAGTTTTTGCCTGTTTTACAGATGAAGATACACTTGCTTCATTTCATCGCTTCAGACCTCAATTCATCAGCTCTTCTGATTCTCTACCAACCTATTACAATCCATATGAATTTAATCACACATGCTATGTGGAGTGCCAACCCTCTGAGGATAGATATCTACACTCTGAGGATGAAGATAACAATCAGTCACCTCTTGAAGTAAGAAATTGCGTATCAGTGCCGTATGTTCCTCCTAACGCATTCCAAGCTGATGCTATTGCAAAACACATGGCCAATATTATCAAAGAGGTATTCATTTGCCGACCTTGTTTCTTCTAAATACCATTGGCATTTAGAGCTGGGTGTATGCTAGAGAAACAATGTCTCTTCTTTACAGTCTTCTACTGTTTCAATTTTGCCACAGATAAGAACTCAGGGCACATCATCTGATAATGGATATGGAGCAATCGAACCTAAGGATTACGCTGAGGATGGAGATGTCCCAGTCTGTGTATATTTCCTTAACGGATCTTGCAAGCGAGGGGAGCAGTGCGCGTTCTCTCATACTCTTCAGTCAACAAGACCACCCTGCAAGTTTTTCGCGTCATTGCAGGTTTGTTTTGTTGCCATCCTAGTTGTGGGTTATATTCAGTTGCTCTGCTAATGAGTCGGTCTTGCAGGGATGTCGAAATGGAGAATTGTGTTTGTATTCCCATGTCATGCCAAGACAGGCAACATCATACTATTCTCCTCCTCCATGCCTTCCAGAAGAAGACCACCCATCCTCATCGCCTCTTCTGGATCTATTTCCAACTTCTTCTGAGGGATGCATCCTTGTGTTCGATGACTGTGACATGCATTTCACTTCCAGTATTGCCAGTCGTTATCCGTCCTGGAGAGTACTCTCCACGTCATCTTCTTCGGAGACGCTTTTCTGTGATTCATCAGTCGCAGACGTAAGAATCTTCTGGGGTCTCAATCATCCTTACCAGACCATCATCTCGAAAGCAGGAGAAGAGAACTCAATCCCATGGAATGAAGTGAAATGTGTCTTGTGGTTCCTAAACCCAGACAGCTACGCTGAGACTCCTGAGAAACAGAAAACTATCCTGCAGAATTTCTTCGAGTACATGGCAGTCAGAATACTCGGGGATGCTCTCTACGAAATCCGAGTAGTTCTTACTATGAACAACATCGCATTCTCACACTTACAGGTAAAATATAGTCTTGTTGCTTTCAGGTTCTCCATTTGTTTTGTCCACTCCGTTCATCTTGTGTTTTGTTTTTTGTTGTGAAGGTTGAGAAGCTAGCCAGAGAGAGTTTCTTCTTTCTTGGAGAGTCTTTCCCGCACAATTCAATAAGCTTCGGGGGATTCTCAGACACGTTCAACACCCAGAAGCCTATGCTAGCCTCGAGACCAATCTCCTATGTCTTTGATCTCCACCCACCTACTGACATCCAGTTTGGTGACTACACCTCTGTCCTTCACAATTCTCTTCACACCCAGTGATCACAAGGTGAGGGAAAAACAAAAAAAAACAAAAAAGAATTCTGAAACTTATTTCAGCTCTACTGGGGTAGATAATATCTTTTGAGGACTGAGAATAATGCTACTTTGATAATATCTTTTTTGTCAGCCTCTACTTTATGTTATTATCTGTCATCAAAGATGAGGTCCCTTAGCATAGCTTGTTTTGATTGCAGATTATTCGCTAGGCTATTGGTCAATTGGTCCCCATTTCATCTACTCTTTGCTTATTATTAAATCACATCAGCTTTGTCTCTGTTTCATACAACCAGCCTTAGAGCGCTTCCTCAATTCTTGCTTGTCCATAAATGTTCGGTAGGAAGTTCGTACCATTTTAAGAACCAAAGCTCTCTTACTCGTTATAAAGTATGCCATTTAATATATTTGCAGCCATGTTATCTTATGATCGAATGTGTAGATTCATGTGTCTCATATCATCCCTCCGTTTTTTTTTTTTTTTTTTTTTTTTTTGTTGTTGTCTGCTATCATCCATCCGTTTTAATCGGCCCGTTTTTTGCTTTCTTTCTTTTCTGCTGAATCTCCTCATGTTTCATCCCGATCATGTGAACTGCCATAACCATATCTCGACCCTTCCCTTCTTCATGTGAGCTGAATCTATACACGACATTGGTTTTCCACGATCTCTTTTATTGATCTGATATTTTATGTTGTCTTATTCGAATCGAACCATACTCATAAATACAATGATGATATTGATAATCATATCTACCAGAAGTGAGGTCAGGCACGTAAAAATGTGGTTAGGTCGTGAATTTTGGGTTAACATATACATAACTCGGTGGGCTCGATCATTTTCAATGCAAATACACGTCATATTAAATGTGATTCAACCGGTTTAGATAACGATATTGTAACCGGTCCTTTTTGGTAGTATTGAATGATTTGATTCAGACCCGGAGTTTGCTAGCTATAATTGTGAAACCAACTCCACGTTCCCTAATGTTTCAATAACTTCTAAAATTTCCCTCTTGCTTCAAGAAAAACAATAATCTTATTCATAACATTAAATGATTAGGGGGGATCAAAAATTAAGCTTAAAGAATTACCAATCCGTCGATTCCAAGTGACTTATTATACCTTTTTTAACTTTCATTATTGCTTATCACCTTTCTCTCGCTTCCTCCGTAACCCTCTTTTGTTTTGCATCTTCTCCTTACTGCTTTTATTGGTAATCCGATGATTCTACCATATATTGTTTATCACACACTTTATAAGTAAAAAATTATAACGAATTATGTTAATAATTACCACTATTCTAATATTTTAATCTGGAAACCATTTGACAACCAACAAAAATGTAACTAGGCAAAAAGCTAATCAGTTAAAATTTTGAAAGAGAAGAAAAACCATATATCTAGTTTTAGGAAGTAGAGGTAGTTTTATCTCAAATGATCAAAGAAATTAAAACCGACGTTCAAAACTACAACATAGACTTAAACCCAAAAATGGCTAATAGACTTAAACCACCAATATAATGCTTAATCGTTTGTAATGATTACTACAACACTTACAAATGGACCACCCAATACTCTAAACTTCAGTTTCACGTCCTGACATCTCAATTTAAAAGGTTAAAAGTTAATCCTTAACAAGTTTAGAAGTTAAATGAATCCGATCGGCTCCTTCGTCTGTCTATATATATACTCTCTCTCTCTCTCTCTCACTCGATCTAAAATATCGTCCCAATTTCTTAAAAATTTGGATCTTTCTTACAACAACAAAATAAACTCATGAATTCTTCTTCCATCATCACGTTTGCTCTTCTCTCTCTTCTTCTGGCACTAAACCCAAATCCGTCATTAGCGTCAGGACGCAACGACACAGACGACGATACAGCCGCGAGTACCGTAACGCGGTACAGCAGATACGTTAAAAACGCGTGCAGCATAACGCAGTACCAAAGGCTATGCGTCCGAACGCTATGGCCGTTTGCAATCGTCGCTAAAGACAACACGAGCAAGTGGGCCCGAGCTAGCGTCGCGGTGACCATAACCGACACCAAACAGATCCTAAGACTACTGCTCAAATCGCGGCGTTCAGCGGTTGGGAAACGCGAGCGAGTCGCGCTTTCGGATTGCCGAGAGCTGTTCGTGGACTCCCTCGACAGTCTATACAAGTCGCTCGCCGTTCTCCGGAAACTGGACGCCGATGACTTTCAGGAGCAGATGAGCGATCTCGCCACGTGGCTAAGCGCTTCTCTCACGGATGAGGACACGTGTCTCGATGGATTTGAAGAGGCGTCGCTTAGATCATCGACGGTCAGGAAGATCCGGAGGAAGGCCACCAAGTGTATGCACTTATCCAGCAATGCTCTCGCTCTCCTTAACAAGCTCGCTTATGATGGCTTGTAATCTACGTTAATCATTAGATTCATTACAAATACAATCAATATACACATTAAAGAACTCTATTTTACTTGGAAATGTTAGATTGGTTATAAATTATACGGTTGTGGTCCGCTTAATAACTCGCGGAGGTTATCATATGAATTTATGATTCCATAATAATTGATTTCCGTTACTATTCTTTTGTGTTAATTTCGTTTTTGTTTTGTATATATAATTTTACAATGCTTGATCAGTCAAATCGTGATTTATATCCTAACTACTTTTTCATTCCTCAAGTTGAATAATGACATACAATTTTTTAAAATGTTGTTTCAATTACATTTCAGATAATATAGATAATGATTTATGATTTATTCCACGAGTTAATTTTATTTTTAACAATTTCTTCATTTCATGACGCGATATTAGTGAACTATGTATGTATATTAGTAACACAAACCCCTAATCTACATAGGACCAGAAAGAAAGAACAAACAAAACAAACAATTATGATGGTGAGAAAGAATGACACCACTAACCTTTATAGTCTCCTTAGTCATATGTGTATCTCATTTAGTACTTTCGATTTATATATTTAATAAACTTCAAGGAATATAATTTGAAAAAACAAAAAAAAAAAACGATTATTAATGGAGGCGAATATATATCAAATGGGGTTGGGGACAATCTATAATTTGCTAAATAAGCCCAAATTCGAAATCGACGGGCCTGTAATGTTTGAGAATAACCATCGTTCTCTCGTTTTCTTCTCAAGATGCCCTAATAACGCCTACATTCAGCTCAAGATGCGGATCCATATTTCTTCTAACCATCGTTCTCTCGGTGGTGTCAACCTCGTGTCCAAGGCCTACTCCTAACTTAACCTAAGAACGTAACATTACTATCTTTCCGTTACAAATACGTTCAACATAATTAACAAAGGCACACCCATTGAGCAATTTACCATTAGCCTGAGAGAATAATCGGCTTCTTACTTTATCAGATCAATTTGGTGCGATCTAATATTATTAAAATGGTCCAATCATCGAATGTTGATCACTTGATTGATCCCAACAAACTTATTTGGTTTTGATATCACCATTCACAACCCATCCGTTTTAATTATTAATAAATTTAAACAAAAACGAACAAACACAATAGTACATCCTAACACAATAGTAAAGCCAAGTCATTGTCACGATTCACGTACATCTACTGCAGCCATTACCAAACATAATAATCGAATAACGTCCGATAATCATCAGTTCAATACGTACAGCAACTACATAGTTTGTTTTCTTGTGAATCGATGAAATATTTAAATACTTAGATGCAAGCATTGTTAAGACGTACTTATCACATAAATAGTTCTTTAAAGCCTCTATAATTTGTACTTAGCATTCTCATAATTAAAAATAAAAGTATACTAATGTTCTCCATTACAGTTCTAAGGTTGTGTTGATAATTGATATCTGTATTTTAGTCTCTGATTTTATTATATGTGCGGCTTACAGGGCCAAATAAAATTGACACATGAGAGGATCTGAAATGATAAAGAACGGGTGCAATGAATTTCAAATGTGTTGTCGAGCGAGAGAAAAGAAGGCTCGAAATGGGGAAAAGGAGAGTGCAGTAAACGTGGGAGATTAATAGCAAATATCCACGTGGCATATTCTGAGTCAACGACCTCTCTGTCTTCTCCGACGTGCGACCCACCTCCTCTGACTCGTGGGCATTTCTGTCATTTCCACTTGTTCCTTCCTCTTTTTAATATTTTACTTGCTCTTTTGATTTTGCTGGCGGAAAGCATGTCGAAAGGTAGTTTTTCGAAGTATTCTGAGAGTTGTAATGGTCTTATTGGACTAAAACATACCTCTAGATTCCAAAAAGACCATGTAATTGTTTATTCAAAATCTACATTTTTTTTGCCAAAAGAACTAGTGCCTCAGTTTTAGTAGTCTGTTTCTTGCCTTGGAACCTTCTGTCTCGGTTTAATTAGTGTTAACACCCTGTTCTAATCTAACTCATATAGGACAAAGTTCTAATGCAAACTTTGTATCGGTAACAGAGAGTTCACGTTTTTATACCACGTATGTCACGTTTCTCAGCAAAATATAAAAACGCCATCAATGTGAATTTATAAAACTGTCAAGAAACGTTTACGGTGAAATATTTATCTTTTTGTTCTATCGTTTCAGGTGGAATATTTATCTTTTTGTTTCTAGGTGAATCACTAACAGGAAATTTTGATTTTTAAAAAGAAATGAACGTTGAAATCACTCAAAGTTGTCATCAAACTGGCTTTCCGTGCCAATTAGGCGTTTATTGACTTTCTCAATGTATATACTTAGCTACTCATGTTTAGAAGAAGCTTTCAAAACTTACTTCATTTGTCATAATAGTCCTTGCTCTTAATGACAATGAATAGTACATAAGTTATAATTTATGAAATCCAAAAATGCAAAGAAAAATATCACTAGTTATTTAATTTCAGGATAAATACTAATAGTACATTGATTCACAAGAAGTTATAGATACATACCAAAATTCATCATTAATATTTTCAACTTTAATTGTAATTTATTTTTGGAAGACATATTAAAAAAAAAACTGTAATTGGTCAAGAAATGAACAAAGAAGTAATCAATGTCCGATTTTGAAGAATCGTTTACTTTTCAAATCTGAAAAACGCCTATAGGAGAAAAAGAAAATGTTTTTTTCCTACTAATTGCAAGGGCATTGTCGTAAATAAAAGCGAAGAATGAGGCTTAAAAAATAAGGCATCTTCTACTTAAATACAGAAAACCCATTTTCGCATTTCACTCCCGTCCTAAGGTCGACTCAGTCTCCGGCGAGTTCGACTCGGAAATCAAAGACACTCCGATAACTTCTCCTACTATTTCTTTCTCTCTCCCTCTCTTTCTCTTTACCCCGATCCTGGATCCATAATTCCGTCGCTGATCCCCGATTCCCGATTCCAATTGAGTAAGAAGAAGAAGAAGGAGAAGAAGATGGCGTCAGAGCTGACATACCGGCGACACGAGACGGAGCAACCAGAAGCGCAAGCGTACTACCCGAAGCCAATCAAGCCGTGGTTCGTAGCGATTCGTCCGATCCGTTACATGCTCCGGGAACAGAGACTCGTCTTCGTCCTCGTCGGCATTGCAATCGCCACATTAGGTTTCACAATTTTCTCTCGATCATCCAACCAACAGAATCCCTACGCGGATCCGCTATCCGGATACGGGATGAGATCGGAATCCTCGTACCTCCCGGCGCAGAGGAAAGCAATCAATAGCATCGAGTACACGAGCCGGATAGGATCGGCAGGGGGGAAAATCCCTCTGGGTCTGAAACGCAAAGGTCTTCGGGTCGTGGTTACGGGCGGGGCCGGTTTCGTCGGGTCACACCTGGTGGACCGGTTGATCGCGAGAGGAGACAACGTGATCGTCGTTGACAATTTCTTCACGGGTCGCAAGGAGAACGTGATGCACCATTTCGGAAACCCGAATTTCGAACTGATCAGGCACGACGTCGTGGAACCGCTCCTCCTGGAGGTTGATCAGATCTATCATTTGGCATGCCCGGCCTCTCCGGTTCACTACAAATTCAATCCGGTGAAGACGATCAAGACGAATGTGGTGGGAACGTTGAACATGCTGGGTCTGGCGAAGCGAGTGGGCGCGAGATTTCTGCTGACGAGCACGAGTGAGGTGTACGGAGATCCTCTGCAACACCCTCAGGTCGAGACTTACTGGGGCAACGTTAATCCCATCGGTAATTCCCTTGTCTTCTCTTTGCTTATTTTCTAATCTGAAAACGTAAACAAGGCGCATGTTAGCAGCGAGCGTATGGAAATTGGAAACAGAGGATATTCGCACAAAAAAAAGATTTGTTTCTCATTTCATTTGCTTCCCTTTCCGCTCCGATCTGGTCAAACCGTTAAAAGTAATGGGTCCCTTGATCCTACGGCTCTGAGACCGGCGGGTCCCTCTCTTTTAGATAGACGCTCCCGCAGAGGATCTTGCTCCGTTGATTAATTTTACAGAAATACAGTATATATTGAGTGAGCTAAGCTTCGTTGTATTGGAATTTAAAAATGTGAAATGGGAACAACTGGAACAGGTGTTCGGAGTTGTTACGACGAAGGAAAACGTACGGCCGAGACTTTGACCATGGACTACCACAGAGGCGCTAATGTTGAGGTCTGTGTTTTTTTTTTTTATTACGGTTCCTCGTCAATCGTCATCGTAATTCGTAAACAATTCAGGTTTGGTAACAAAAATGAGTGATTAATAACAGGTAAGGATTGCTCGGATCTTCAACACTTATGGCCCAAGGATGTGTATCGATGACGGTCGTGTGGTTAGCAACTTCGTTGCGCAGGTGGGGGAATATTAGTAATGCAATTGGCATAAATTAGTAAAAAAATCAATGGTTGTTTAATCAAGGAGAAAAGTGTTACTTGGTCAAGTAATGAAATGATAGTGATAATGATTGATTGGTGCAGGCATTAAGAAAAGAGCCATTGACTGTTTATGGTGATGGTAAGCAGACAAGGAGTTTCCAGTTTGTCTCTGATTTGGTAAAGCCCCTTTTTCTTTTTCCTCTTAAAAGTATAAAAGTATTCGATAAAAGCCAAGGAAAAGTTCAATTCAATGTAGCCCCTACTGCTTCAAATTGCCAAGAAGACTATACCTTTTTTTTTTGTGGTTTCTCAACTCAATTAAACTTGTTGTGGAAAATGTGGTTGAATGTGATTAGGTGGAAGGTCTAATGAGGTTGATGGAGGGAGAACATGTTGGTCCATTTAACCTCGGTAACCCTGGTGAATTCACCATGCTTGAGCTCGCCAAGGTCCCTCTCTTTCTACTCTGGTCTCCTTTTGCATGCGTATTTATATGATGTGTTGTTTTTATCAAAAGTCTGTGTGTATCTGACCAAAATGGGTGTGGGTATGGGTGCAGGTGGTGCAAGAGACGATAGACCCGAATGCAAAGATAGAGTTTAGACCAAACACAGAGGACGACCCACACAAGAGGAAGCCAGACATCACAAAGGCCAAAGAGCTTCTAGGATGGGAACCAAAGGTGGCTCTACGCCAAGGACTCCCTCTTATGGTCAAAGATTTCCGCCAACGTGTCTTTGGCGACCAAAAGCAGAGTGGCTCCGGCTCCACTTCTGAGTAATTTCTTATATAGAGAGACAGGACTTCCCCTCTTTTCTTTTCTTTTCAACTTTTACTTGCCTTTTTTCCCTTCTTGTTTAAGTTTCCGTTTTGCTATTCGTGTTAATGTTAGTGGACATCGGAACTCACACCCGATTTTTAACTTATCATTTTTTGTTAATGCTATTTACCTTAAGTCTGGTGATTAAGGGTAAACCGAACCAATACAAATGAGATTAAGGGTAAACTCCTCCAAAACGATATTGCTGTCAATTCGGTCATCATGTTATGTTGCTCAAGATATTAACGAAAACGAGACACATAACTATTGTCAAAATAACTACATGCAATCTAAAGCACAAACAAGAAAGTAAGAAACAACATATGCCTCTTAAGGAGTATCTCTCTCCCACTCTCTCTCTCACTCACTTGGGATTCCTGAGGACGATAATGACAGAGTCTCCACGTAGAAACATCTTGCTGATGAAGCGATCTCTGTTGACAGGAAGTGCCTTCTTCTTTCCTTTTCCAGTTTTCGGAACCTACACACCCAGACAAAAACATAGAACATAAGAGGTCATTTGATTTGAGAATGTTAAAGCTGAGACAACACAAACAGATATGAGGTTGAGGAAAGAATTGAGCTAACCTCGGTCCACATCTCTCTGACATTTTCAAGAACCATGTTGCAGTGTCTGTCAAACGCCCTCACTCGCCCAAGTAGTTTCCTGTTGTTCCTGCAGTTGATCAACACCTGCATTCCCACACAAACCTCTAGCTCGTTACCACTAGAAAAGAATCACTCTTCACACACCAGTCTCATCAACATTTCCTCTTAAGGATGATCTCTATATCTATTACCTGAGTGTTATTCTTGACGCTCATCATCAGAACAGAGAGTGGCCCCGTGTTGAATTCCTCCTCCTCTGTCTTTCCCTGCTAACACCACCCGTAAACCATAAAAACTCAATAAGAAGGAATCCAGTGCAAGACCGAAGAGTTGATTTCACACACAAAAAAAATCAATGAAAATCTAGTGAAGTGTCTATCAAAATAATCTATAGAAATTCCTCACAAACATTCACCCACAAAAAGAATCACGGAAAATCTGTAGAGGTTCAGTCCTAGTGAAGCATAATATTGACATGACAATTTGTGAGGGAGAAAGAAGGTGCTTAGAACAAAACGATAAAGCAGTAAGGAGTGAAAGGTACACTTACGTTGTTATCTTCTTCCATTGGCCTACTGCGAATACAATAGAAAATCAAGAGAAACTCAGTGTGAGAGAAAATGCTAAATTAACAACAAGGAAGGTAAAACGGAGAGCCAAGTTTAGAGCCATTGAGAGAGATACCTCATGTTTGCTTGTCTCGATAACCGTTCACCGGATTCGTTTTCGTTGAGCCTATCAATGTTAAACAACACGAAAGAGATTCAGTACAGCACAATCACAGATTTTCACACAAGGCAGACTGGATCGAAGAGATTAGGGTTTTACCCAAAATTTTAATTCGCTTTCGGTTACCTGAGATCTCACTGGCAGAACAACAACGACGACGGCTCGAAAGCAGTTCCGCGCCGATGCACAACAGAACTGATTTGGGCCTGTGAAATTATTGGGCCCTTCTGACTTTATTGCCCATTTGGTTTTTTCTTTTATTATTCTAGACGTGTTTTTGTAAATGTTCACTTTTCATCAGTAGCTTTTGATTGTAAGATTCGCAACCAAATCTATTAAATTAAAGTGACATATGCTAGCACCAATCACACTTTTAGCTCAAAAGGGGAATAAAGAAAGTTTTATGCTGCCTTGGGTAATAATAATCCACATACTCACTCACAAGTCTAAAAGGGAACAAATTCTCTTATCTTTAAAAGAAAACACTTAGTAGTATTACATAGCAGATGATCGAGGAACCAAACGGCCACCGTTCAAACCACAGAGGAGACCGAAATAGGAACGTTTAGGTCTCCTTTGACCGTTACAAACGCCGTCAACAATAGCCCTCTGGACACTAGCCCTACTGTTAGTAGCAACTCGTATAGGAGTGACAGAGAGAGAGGCCGTGTCTGCGGTTCGAAGGTCGAGCCAAGTGATGATGTCAGCGAAAACAAGGTCAACGTTAAAGTCGGGCTCGCCTGACGTCAGAGCGTGCCACATCCCAGGATAAAGCTTGAGAGTCTTGTCCCTTGTACTTGCTTTCTCGTACAACGCTTTGCTTATCTCTGGATCTGTCACTGTATCTGCTTCTCCGTGTAGTACAAAGAACGGCATTGTTATCTGCAAAATAACCATATATATAGTGAGATTCGAACTTACAACTGATGCACTGTATATAGCTAGGAAATTCAGTAAAAGTGATCAACCTCGTGGAGAGTGTCTTCGAGGTTCATGCTTGTCCTGAGCATTTCAAGTGCGGTTTTGAGCCTAGGCTTGTCTTGATAAATCAGCTTGTTGTTTTTTACCTGCATTCACCACCAAACCATACATATATATATATATATATATCCATTTGTTTATATAACAGGTGAGTAATTACTATATATATTGAGACCTCTTCTCGCTTGGCAAGATCCTTGAAAGCAGCGTTGATGACATTCTTTGTTGGAACTATTTTCCATTTCGGTATGATCTCTTCGACTTGAGTTAACATACTAATCACCACCGGATGTGGTTTCACCTTCTCAGATATCTGCATTTTTGAGTAATAACATATATAGCTGCATTTCATTATCTCCCAAAAGACTCAAGACTCTCTCTATAATCTTTTTATTTTTACGGATTTACTACCTTACACATTGGAGCGACAAGAACGGCGCCGTTCCAAAAGGATGGATCTTTTTTGTGAAGCAATAAAGTGACTGCACCTCCCATAGATTCTCCATACAAGAATCTTCCTTTCTCCATGTACTCCTCTTGTGCTATAACGTCGCATAAAATTGGGGTTAATTAAGAACTATTGATAAATGGAGAAGAAAGAGACTAGTTCCCAAAAACAAAAAGAGATGAATGTTGTTGACTTGTAATACTTGTTGTTATGTAAAAGTTTAAGTATATACCACAAATAGAGGTGTAATACTCGTAGCAATCGTTGACAACGTTCCCAAACTTTTTGATATAGCAACGAGTTCCCATGGACCGACCATGCCCTTCATAGTCCATTCCAAAAACCGCGTATCCTGCTGAAGCCAGCCTGATTCCGCATTCTAATATATGCCAAAAACATGTATTATTCGGTCAATATCGATCGGTTTAGTTTCAAACACCTGATCCTGATAGAATCAATTTTCTCAACCACCAAGCCATATATATCAAAGTTGTTAAGTTCATGTAAATGATAGTAAGAAAGAATGGTACTATTTTTTTTTTAAAGTAAAATGCGATTTTGAGTAATTTTGATAGAGATGATTTACTCTTCAACACGGAGCAAAACCAATAATGAAAGGAAGCAATAAAATAATGTAAATGGCTAGGGTCGTTCTCCAACCCAAGCCAACCACCCTAAGACTTGTTGACCTACCGGCTCCTAACACCTTCCTCCATGACTTCCTTTTCATACGCATTTAAGACCCCTTTTATTATCACACATACCCTTTAAATGGTTACAAGGTCCACTTTAAAACGAGACAAAAATGTCCTAACATGATAAGCTTGCTTGCTACATGAAAATCTACCTCATAATATATTTACTAGTAAGATCACACAGTTTGATTAACAAAATTTGGATGAAAGTTTGATTTTTCTTGTTTTTGTGGCTCCGATTAAGATGAGTCTAAGATCATTGATAGCCATATATAGCAAACAATAATGCATCAGTCTCAAGCATAAATTAAAAGATTGGCAACATTTCTACAGAGTTAATTGATTTCTTCAAATATTTTAAAATGCGTAACTTGATACACATTAAATGCTATGTGACATGTATTCAATGTAAAATCGCATCGCAAAGTAATTGCTCTGTCAAATTCATGAACTTGGAAAAAATAATCATTATTTTTTTGAGATATTTAATACTCCTTTGGTCTAAAGAAAGGTTATCAAAAATGAAGACAAGTAAATTACCTCTCATGGAGTCGCTACACTCCATTCCGTAACCTGCACAAATCACCAAATCCATCATATTTATTGGATTTTTTTTTTTTTTGCTGATTTCTGTTGTTAAGGCTATAGAATAATTAATCAGAAAAGATGAAATGACTTTACCATGGCAGAGGAAAACCAAAGCTTTGGGAGAAGAAGATGATGGAATCCATCTACAAGCGAACAACTCAACACCTCTTGAATTTCTTATGTAATCCTGTTTTAGTAAATATGTTCCATCATCTCACCACGCTTTCCATCGAGAGAGAGAGAGAGAGAGAGAAAGAGCAGAGAAAGAGATAGAGAGCGAGAGAGAGAGAGTACCTCGTGGTATTGGAATTCCGATTTCATCTGTTTGATTGGAGTTGTAGAATGCTTTGCGATTGATGACCGGAGCGAGATCTCTTTGGTACTCTCACTCGCAGAGGAGAGAGAGAGAGAGAGAGAGAGAGAGAGAGACGAGGGAGGTGAAGGTTTTGAGGTGTTATATAGAGTGAGTCACACACTACGCTATTTTTACTTTTATACTCACTCTTGTATTTATTTACTTTTCGAATCGATTTTAATCAGAAAATGTTTTTGGGAAATTTGATTGACGTCACACTGAGCATATGAGTTTACTAGAGACCCATCCAAATCCAATCTCTTGGTCAGACAAATCGACAAAGAGGTATGTAATGATACCTATATTTTTATCTACTCATTAAAGTCGATAATTCTTCCACGTTTAATAATCGGACAAATGTCAACAACAAAACAAATCGATTTTTCTCAAGCATTCTACAGACAAACAAATCTACTACAAGAACATCACCTAGAAAAGGAAAAAAAAGATCACTTCACGTACGTATGATCCCAACGTTTGGTGATACCGCCACGAAACGCGCATTGCAAAACGCTAATCCTCTCTTGGAGAGTTGTTTCTTTGACACCCTCCATCCATTTCTCTTCCTCATCCATTATCATTTCCAAGTGGTCCAGAAACTTCAACTTGCTCTTCAGTTTCTTCAGCTGCTGTTCTATCACACTCGCTGCTAAATGTTCCATCTCTCTTTCTTCTTGATCAGCCAGCATTTTCGCGTGTGCAGCCGCTGCTCCTAGAGCTGTTCCCACAGACGCCCTTATCCTTAGAGCTACAGGAAGTTCCTCTGTCCCGTCTTCTGCAAATATACACAAGGATTACATCAAATCTACGATTCTAATCCTCCGGTTAACCGCAAATCTTATCATAACACGAGTTACCTTTGTCTTCTTGCTGTTCCTCTGCATCTCTGCCTCCATCAGCTCTGTGAATATCCAGTACAGTGAACGGTGTTTAGATTAGACTTGACAACGACATGAGAGGCAAAACCATAAGAAATTATAGGCGTTGCAGAACCGAACCTGTCAGCTGCAGAATTTGTGTAATCACCATTCTCGAAAATCTCTTTTGGACATGAGGCTTCTTCACAAAGAGCCGCAATTGCAGCTTTTGCAGCAGCGGTTGAGATAGATGGACCAGCTTTGCTTGCCATTGCTGCCACCTGTTCCACAATATGTAAAGATGTTATGTTATCTCCTCCGAATATGGAAGATAATGATGAACACAAGGCACCAATTGTTTCACCTGTTTCATAAGTGAACTATCACCGTCTGATATTAGTGAACCACGTTTCCTTTTTGCTGGAGGCTCATCATCATCCGCGTGATCTTCCTTTTCTTCCCTCGCCTCTGTTTCCTTGTGTGATTGACCGTCGATTTCCATCTGTTCTACAGGATGGGATGGAGACGAATGGTGTCCACCATTTTCATCCTCGGTGGGGACAGAGGAACTGAGTCTTCCAGAAGCAGAACCCATGAGAAACTCTCCAAAGGGGAGCTCAATGAGCTTCGAAATGCAATCAAGTCTAGTCTTTGTAGAAACACTCTGTGCAATGAGTTCCCAATCGTCCCCATGCTTCAGCACAGACTCTAGCAAGAGGAGGGTCTCTTCCTCGGTCCACACAGCTGCAGCAGAGTCCCCAATCAACTTGAAATCATCAGAGGAATTGTTCTCCCCGTAGTCTCCGTTCTTGAAACACTTTTCGCATAACTTAAAAACACTCTGCCAGTATAAAATCATCATGTTATGTTAATGAAAACAGAAGAGTTGAAACAATGCTCTGCTAAACTTAAAATATAACAATAAAAAAGGATTACCTTGTTATGTTCATAGAAAGCAGAAGCACAAGGTTGTGCACAATGCCCACAAACCAATTCATCAGGCTTACTGAAAACATCTGAATAAGAGGTCAGAGGCGGTAATTTGACGGCGGTCTCAGTGATTTCGTCAACAAGGGTCGGCACGGTGATAGGCCTCATCGAATTTGGGGTTGCAGTGACTCGAATCCCAAGTGGAGTGCCTTGTTCGAACTTAGCGTGATGCTTCCCTTCACTCTCATGATCACTTTTGGAGCCGAAATTGATCAATCCCCAATTTTCGAGGAAGAGAAAGACTTTCTGAAGCAGATTGACATCGCCGACGAGAAACTTGCGGATGCTGGTGAAGGTAAGCCTCCGAGAAGTGTCTTCCCTGTACATGTTGATAATGAAATCTCTGTATTCCTTGTACACTTTCGGTGTTCTAGTGATTGAGCTCTCACTGAAGAACTCCTCAAACTCGCGTCTCTCAATTTCGTGTATATCATCCCATAAGAACCAACCTGTAATATATAACACAAAATCCCCAAATCAATTTCGCCGGGGGAACGAACCAAAACCTAGAAAGCATACTAATTCGTGATACAAAGACAACAGCAGCAGCCCAGGAAAGCAAAGCAACAACAATCTAGAAGATGTTCATCGATTCCGCGCAATGGCGAGAAACCTAGAGTCGAAGGGCATTGGAGAGAAAAGGGAAGAAGACGTACTGGATTGAGCAGGGATGGTGTAGAGCTCAACTTCTGCTTCTTTCGAGCTCGGATCAGTAGTGCCTTCCATCTCCCTCCAATTCTATTTGGAACCAACTCTCAGATTAATCTCTCTCTCTCTCTCTCTCTCTCTCTCTCTCTCACTCTCTTTTTGCTTGCAAATTCGCAAGGATGTCGATAATTATTAAAATTAAGGGTCAAATTACGAAAGTGTTTGAAACTTGCAGGAACCTCCGTGTAATTATATAAAGATATTCAATTAAAAGGCCGAAACTGTTAGCGTTCTGTCAAAGCCCACTATCATTTGCCAAGCCCACTTGTTTAAATTGTTTGTCTTAGAAAACGCTTCTTCTAACTTTTTAACGTTTTTTTGTTATAAAGTACGTAATTAAGAAGAATATGACACATTTTCCAGTTTAACAGAATGTTAATCAGCTTCGATGATAATAGTTTCTTGGAAGTTTCGATGATAATTAGTTTCTTGGAAGTTTAAGTAGTTAAGACAAAATGAAAACGATCGTGCTAGAAGAACAAAAAAAGTGCAAATATCCATCGATAAAGAAGAGTTGCAACTAATAAAAATGGTACTTGAAGAAACAGCTAAACAAAAAGCTCTATTAAGTTTTACGAATCCAACGAGCAAACGACTTTTTGACCCACACAAAAAGATCCTTCTTAGTTCAATCTCTGGGCAGCCTCCTTTGCAAGGACTCTTTCCTTGGCCTTTGTCTTAGCCTGAGATTTGGAACCCATAATGCCTCCTCCCCACTTCTTCCTGTACTCGTCGTACTTGTCATTGAAGTTCGCCTAACAAAAACCATAACCATGTTTAACATCAAAATCATCTCCAACTAAATATGTTTTGTCTACAATTCACCATTCTACTGTCAAAAGTAAGCTTGACTATGTTTATGTACCTTGATGGCTTCAAGGATTTTGCTGAACTCAAGCTTGTCCTCGTTCTTGACAGTGGTCAAACACAAGCAAGAAGCAGTCTTCTGGTGAACAACCTGAGAGTAGGAAACACAAAGAAATAGATGATGACCCCACTACTTTCAATACACTAGAGGTTTGTGTGAGCAAAACTTAAAGAGGCCCGAGATGGACATAATGCATACCGCTCCAAGACGAGATTTGCCCTTGACAATGCAGTAAGGGACTTCCATCTTCCTACAGAGAGCAGGCAACCAGACGACCAACTCAATAGGGTCGACATCGTGAGCGATGATAACAAGCTGTGCCTTGTTCTGCTCGATCAGGTAGGTCACATGGTTGAGCCCGTACTTGACAACAATAGGCTTCTTCGATTCAGATGGCTTTCCCTCAGCTTCTGCTTGAGCCTTCTTCACAAGACGCTCTTTCTTTGCAGCCTTGTCTTCTGGCCTATACTTGAGACACAACTTGAAGAGGTTGGTCGCTGCAATTATGAAAATACAGGTAACGGTAAGACACCCAATTAAAGGCAGAAGCAAAACACAGAAACACACAAAGCAAAGCGTTCTCATAACCATATAGCAGTAACAACCAACAGAGTGCATACATTTTACTTAACAACCGAAGAAGCAAACTCCAGAAACCATCGACTGAAGAATGTAACAATAGACTTACCAAGATTCTTGTCAAGAGTCTTGGTGAATTGGTTGAGAGCTGGAGGGACCTTCAACCTCTGCTTAAGGATCCTCTTCTGCCTTTGAAGACGGATTGACTTTGGCCATTTGATGTACCTGGTTAGGTCCTTCTTCGGAGGCAAAGCTCCACCGATTCCGAATTGCTTCGGCCTTCTCTCGAATAGAGGGTTCGTAACTTTCTCCTGTAAAATCAGAAATCACAACATAAACTTAAGAAGAACAAAAAAAAGAAGACTAGAGTAAGTTGGAAAATCAGATTAAGAACATACCGTCTTCTTCTTGGCAGCAACCACCTTCACTCCTTTCTTTGGGGCCTGAAACCATATAGCCACGACTTAATTAGATAAACAAGGTAAACTAATGAACATTGGTGAAAATGAGATGAGAGAGCCATTACATGAATTCAGTCATTAGCTCTCTAATACGAATCTGGGAAATACTAAATCCTAAGTGGGAATCTAATGCTCGTCTAACCATCATCAGAGAAAACGAAACCCATTTGTAATCATCGATGATTCGAAACAAATTTCTAGTTCGATGATTCTACCATGAGACCAAACAACTAAACGATCCCAATCGATCAAAATCATGAGAAGATAAAAATGAAGAAAGCGAAGAGAGATGTACCATCGTCGTCCTCCTAAGCTTCAACTTCAAATGGTTTCTGAAAACGGACGGCTGTGTCAAAAGAGCTTCCCTTAGGGTTTTCCTTTATATATAGTGCAATTTGATAGGGCTTCTTTAGTTTTCGTATTTATTTTTCATTTTCAATTGCCAGCCCCACTTATTTACAAATATACCCTTATTAGTTGTTTCTCTTTCACTTTGTTACCATTTACTACGACCATATGTTTTCTGAAAATTTATATTCACTTTTACCGGCAGTTTTTTTTTGTTTTTTGAACAAAAAAGATTAAGAGTTACTGTTTGAATATGAGTTACTGTTTTGAGTAAAAGAAATATCGTATGCTAGCGCTTTAGTGCTTTCTTACCCTTGAGATCATGCACATCATTATAAAGCTTTCGTTTTTTTTTCATGATAGACGGAAGCAAAACCATTAATGTGCATTTTTTTTTTTTTTTGTCGACAGCATAAGTTCCTAATTCGGCACGGAAAGCGTGACCGGTGAAACTGTGTTTACATAATACACGTCATAAGGTTGATCTCGAGTACTCCGTGCTAACTTGTCCGCCTTCGTGTTCTTCGTCCTTGGGATATGAGTTAGAGAGAATGCCTGGAAACTCCTTTTGCACTTCTCCACATCTTCAAGCAAAATCGCAAAAGCCGGTCAGCTGAGGTTTTGACACCATAGTTACCAACTCTGAACAATCTGTTTGAAAATTCATTTACCTTTTGTTGTGGGTTAGCATACTTTGCATAGCCCAAACTAATGTGCATCTATGTAAACAGGTATAGATTCATTAGTTTAAAATTGTTGGAAAACAAACCTATCTAAGAAAACAAGTAAAAGGAGAAGAAAAATTTGTAAGTACACTCAAGAATATGTGCTATCATAAACTCGAAGAAAAAAATGTGAGAACTTTGAATCAAGTGGTACCTCTATGTCTTCTTGTAGCTGGTTGAGTTATTTAAATTGTCGATTTGTCATTTATTCGTAAAAATTATGACTATTCTAATTCGTTTCATCTTCTCTCGGAGCTGCTTTTAACATTTACACGAGATAATTCATTTGATTAGAAGAATCTTGACACATAAGAACATATTTTATGAACTAACCAATGCGTCAAAGAGATAGAAGAATCAGAAAAAAAAAAAAAAAAAAAGAAAAAAAAACTTTTGAATAATCTTCTTTCTTTTAACTCGAAAGTGTTCTAGCCAATTTGAACCTTAGGGGAAGACCAGAGTAACTTATAAGCATCCCATTCCCCATGTGTCAGTGTCATGTGTGTTGAGACCCCATCAAAAATATTTTTTTGATCAAAAAGAAAAAAATCATGAATTGTGAGTCCTGCACATGAACAAGTTGTTTTAGTTGTGAGAAAATTCTTGAAAGCATTAAAATAAACAAAATTTACCCTATGAAAATATTTGCATAAATGTATTATGAATATCTGTTACAAATGTAAGCATACCATATATTTTTATCTTTCAAAGAAATACACATTTTGGGGACTTGCTAGTTTTACACGAGTTGGGCATGATAAATAAGAAAGGTGGATGTCAATTCAAAAAAAGAAAAAAACAAAGGTGGATTGATGTCAATGTCAAACATAATTCATCACCTAAAAATGCTACATCAAGTGAAACGTATAACTCATAAATATCTCTATATACGTAATCGCGCCACGATATTTCTGATTTGCTACTGCGTTCATAATTATATATATCATCATGATATAATGAGTTACATCAGGGTTTTTACTTTTTAGTATAGATATCTAAATTCGAGGGCATAAAACTTAAAATTACTTAGTTCTGGGCTGTTTTGAGATTTAAAGCAAAGATTCCATGGATGATATGAAACTAAGTTGAGGGACCTACATAGTAATTCAAAAACTTACAAGTAGGGGTCTCGTATTCTTAAACCTTACAAAATAAAGACGACGTAAATAAATCCCAGTAAGTCAACGAGATCATCCAGTAAAATTAGACCACGTGTCGGTGTTTATACGATGCAATCTATGGACACCAATCCGTGTTAGCTACCATTATTGAAGAGTCATGCAGGAGATTAGATGTGTACTATTTGCAAATTGCAATAAATTGGTCACGGAGACTCCTACGCATTATACAACTCTTTGACGGAAACGAATTCCAATCAGCGACTCTCGCCTCTGCTCTGCTCGGAAAAGCTCTCGCGTGATCGGCGGATTGTTGAATGCCGTTCACTGAGACTTTCTCAGGTACGTTCGCTCGCATTGATTGATCTCCTTTTGTCACGTGGGTCACTCTGTTTCATCCGATTTCCCTTCGTGCTCTGCTCTGTTCTTCCCATTTTCCTTGAGATTTGTTCGAGACCATCCTCGAGAAATTGGAGGGTTTTGGCTAAAAAAACATCAACTTGTTTGACTCTGACCCAACCCATGATGAAAATTTTAAATTTTGTTCTTTGTTTCTCTCTAGTCTGGTGGTGACATCTGGATTTTTCTGACGACCCCTGTGGAACATGCAACTGTTATTAGCTTTGTTAATAGTATTAGTTTATTCACTAGATCCTTATGGCAGTGTTTAGTTTGTGTTACGGATTCTCTGGAAAATCTTTATTGCATGTTCCGTTTTGATTGCCGTTTATCCTGTTACTATTCGATTGATCAGGCTATGAGGAGTCTTTTGTGTCTCAGATTCTTTTTCCCAGTGAGGACAACTGGTTCAGTTGTGAATATAAGCATCGAGATGGCCTCGATTCTTAATCAAACACAGGAGCACATAGAAGCTTCTAAGGTTACTGGGCATGTAAGATGTGAAAGCTTCTTTATATTCCCCGGAGAAAGTGGTTTTTCAGATGCTTGGAGGGGTGTTTTCTATTTTCTCTGTCTCGCCTACTGCTTCATCGGCTTGTCAGCGATCACTGCTCGCTTCTTCAAGTCTATGGAGAACGTCGTGAAACATTCGCGGAAAGTGGTTTCAGTCGATCCAGTCACTAGAGCTGAAGTCATCACGTACAGGAAAGTTTGGAACTTTACTATTGCAGACATCAGTTTGTTGGCCTTTGGAACTAGCTTCCCTCAGATCTCTTTGGCTACCATTGATGCTATCCGGAATATTGGGCAGAAGTATGCTGGAGGTCTGCTTCTTTCTTGAGTCTTACTTAACTCTAAATCTCGTCACACCATGAATTAGTTTATCATATAATGTTTAATGTTGTGTTGTATAGGTCTTGGTCCTGGAACACTTGTTGGCTCAGCTGCGTTTGATCTTTTCCCAATCCATGCTCTTTGTGTTCTGATGCCAAAAGCTGGAGAACTGAAAAAGATATCCGACTTGGGGGTTTGGCTAGTTGAGCTTGTTTGGTCCTTTTGGGCTTACATTTGGCTGTACATAATCCTTGAGGTAACTGTGAAAAGCAGTCTAAACACATTATTTTTCTGTTGAGTTTTTGCTCATGATGTAGGTCTAATAATGGTGTTTGTTTTCATGTGGACTACACAGGTGTGGTCACCAAATGTAATTACACTTGTGGAGGCATTGTTGACAGTTTTGCAGTACGGATTACTTCTAGTTCATGCGTATGCGCAAGACAAGCGATGGCCTTACTTGTCCTTACCAATGTTTGTTTCTTTCTTCTCCACACAATAATAGTATTAGTTTTACTGCAAAATGGATTCTCAATCTTTGTGCTTGTTTTTTTGATAATTTGAAGGTCAAGAGGTGATAGGCCAGAGGAGTGGGTACCAGATGAGATTGATCCATCCAAAGATGACAATGATGTTCATGACGTGTATTCGGATCCTGCTCAAGAATCTGTTGAATCCGGAAACAGAAACATTGTTGATATCTTCTCCATTCATTCAGCTACTAATGATTCAGGTAATTTCCAAATCATTTATATTGATCTCTGTTACTGTTATAAATCAATCAAATCTCCCATGTAACGGATGCTTTTGCAGGGATCACCTATCATACAGTGGCAGATACTCCACCAGGATCTGCTACTAAGAGGGGTAAGGCCAAGAATTCTACTGTTTTCGACATTTGGAAACATCAGTTCGTGGATGCAGTAACGGTAAAAGATCTTCAACTTACCATGTCTTCTTAGAATCTTCTGATCACTATCGTTCTTTAACATGTTGTTTCTTTTTCCAAACAGTTGGAATCATCAGAGTCAAAGAAAGTTGATAGCATTTATCTTCGAGTCTTGAAATGCTTGTGGCAATTGCTCCTAGCCCCATGGAAAATTCTGTTTGCGTTTGTGCCTCCATGCAACATTGCTCACGGTTGGATCGCATTCATCTGCTCTCTAATCTTCATCAGTGGAGTTGCCTTTGTCGTCACCAGACTCACCGACCTTATAAGCTGTGTCACTGGTATGCTCTCTCACACACACTTAGCTTTTTTACATGTCCATTAACATGTGTTAGGTGTTGAACATTTTGAAACTCTTTTTCGGTTTTGCAGGAATAAACCCATATGTGATAGCATTCACAGCGCTCGCGGCAGGAACTTCATGGCCAGATTTGGTAGCAAGTAAAATCGCAGCAGAAAGACAACTCACTGCAGATTCAGCCATAGCAAACATCACCTGCAGTAACTCGGTGAACATTTATGTGGGGATCGGAGTTCCGTGGCTGATAAACACAGTATACAACTACTTCGCATACAGAGAGCCTTTATACATAGAAAACGCGAAAGGGCTAAGCTTTTCGCTGCTTATATTCTTTGCGACGTCGGTGGGATGTATAGTGGTGCTTGTGTTGAGACGGTTGATCCTAGGAGCTGAGCTTGGAGGTCCAAGGCTATGGGCTTGGCTTACTTCTATCTATTTCATGATGCTTTGGGTGGTCTTCGTTGTTCTCTCTTCTTTGAAAGTTTCAAACATCATATAGAAGCCAAAGTAAGCAACAACATGAGACAGAAGGAGAAGAAGTTTTATGTTACCTCACATGTCTCATCTTCTTTTTACTTGTTTTCATATAACTTATCAAAGGCAGTGGGCTAAATATGTGTATGTGTTGCGAATACAAAACCATATTAAAAATGATTTTGGAGGCTTTTATCTTTTTAGTTAGGACAGGTACAGAAAAAAAAAACATTTGAAAGAGTACTTGTAAAGTAATAGTTAGGAGGCTGCTAATATTATTATTTTCGTATAGTTTCATTGTTAACTTGGTGATAACATCGCATTCATATCACAAATTCTAGAGACTTTTATTGGAATTGAGGATATGAAATGTTTAAAACTTTGATTGAGCATAATAAAAGCAAAAGTCTAAACCCAAGTGGGTTCTAATTTTCGAAGGTTTAAGCAAAAGCGCCGGTACAGGCTGTAGCAGGAGCAGCCTCGACCTGCGTCTTCGCAGAGCTGTACTTCTTGGTTATAAACCTGCTCCAAAGTACATATAACACATGAAAGCCAGATTCAAACAAAAGACAAATGCTAAATGGGGACAAGTAAAGAAAGCAAGAGCTCACCTGAAGAAATCCCTCCATAGCAACTCATACATTAACCAGTTGAGTCCTGTATCCCCCGGTCCGTTCCTGATATAACCATTTACATATATTAAGGTAATTGTCACAGGACACACACACCCTTACTATCTCCAAAGCGGTTCGCGTCATTACCTTGGAGTTGAGGGGGTGGTAACTGAAGCAGAGATGGTTTTCTTGAGCTCATCGAACATGGAACGAGGAGAGATGCTTCCCATGGCTAACCAAGGTGATATCTTGCACGAGAAGTTTGCACCAAACACACTGTTATTGCATCCTTTCTGATTCCCCTTGCTCAGTCGAGCTTGACAATCCGCCGCAAAGCTCTTTAGCCTAGTCAACGCCTCTGTCTCTCCTCCTACCATTGTCGGTTTCCCCTCCTGGACCAAACACAATATGTTATGCTCCTAAGAATACGTGTAAGAGCAGCAGACGCAGAGTGCAAGAAATTGGACTAACAGAGAAACGTTCATTGATTCATCCTCACAATGGACTTTCACAAAGCGTTACAACCGTCACAATGCACATCCTCACAAATTATGATGAAACCTACAATCCCACAAGTTTCCACCTTTCTAAATGCTAAACTAAACCTAACTCCATTGAAGCTAAAGGAATATGAGGTAAAACCCAAACCTGGCTGGTTCTAGCACTCGGGTTGATGCCGAGATCCAAGAGAGAAGGAATCTCGCCAAGCTCTACGTCTCCTCGAGCGGGCAATCTTTTCAACTGATCAAGAGCTGCGATTGTCTTCCTAATCTCCAGTTTCTGGACTTTGTCCTTGAAAGCTCCGTAATTTGACGGCAATTCTTCAATTTTGAATGGTAAGTCGTCCAAATGGTACAGAGTGCTTCCCCAAAAGTACTTGACTTCAACGCCTTCCTCCTTCATCGCCGTCTCTATCTTCCCTTCCGCTTTAACCTCGTCATGAGACACTTCCCTGTGCGCATATATCGCGTCGGCTCCGATCTCCTTGGCCATTTCCACCAGAACTGATTCGGGTTTCCCGACCCGGACGACCAGGTTCGACCCTCTCGCCTGGAGATTCTTCCGGAGCTCCGTAACGGACTCGATCAGAAACTGGGCACGGAAAGGGCCCGTTTTGTCGAAACCGGAGGATGATTTGCCGTAGTCTCTGGGGTCGAAGCAGTAGACGGGCAGAACGGAGACGCATTCCTCGTTGGCGGAGGTGAGACACTCGTTGTCGTGGACACGGAGGTCATTTCGGAACCATACGACGGCGGCGCGCCGGAGAGCGGCGGCGGAGGAAGGATCGGAGGGACGACGCGGGACGATTGAGAGAGGGGATTGGAGCGGGTTTGCGGCGATGGTAGATTTGAAGGAGACTCTGGAAGGTAGAGGAGAAGGAGAGACCGAAGAAAGAGAGAGGTGGGTGAGGTAAGAGGCTTGAGTGGGGATCTTAACCTTGTTTGGATGGTGAGAAAAGAGGCGAGTGAATCTGGGATTGATGAGAAATTGGTTGAATGTGGGAAACAGTGATAATGATAGAGAAATGGAGGCGATGGGTAGAGAAGAAGGGATAATCGCGAGGGGGTTTTGTTCTTCTTCAGGATTTAGGTTTTCTTCAAGTTTCGAATCCATTTTTTGTTTCAGAAAGAGAAGAGAAGAGAAGACTGTTGTTGAGTGAGAATGAACGGAGGATGATAAGCTCTCCTCGATTCTCTACCTCTTCCCACACATTTTCAGTTTGGAAAAATAAAATAAAAAGGGTAATTATATATTTAGAGATATTAAAAAATTGTTTTCTGTTGACATGAAAGGAAATTTCTGTTTACTGAATGACATTGATCGTGTACTATATATCAAATACAAATTTTAAAAACCAAAATGTTGCATCATCCAAATTTCAATACTTTTCTATTGAACATGAATATTACTTATCAAAAATGTTACATCATCCATTAACATATGCTGGCCTGCAAGACATTAAGAGAAACATTCACAAAAGCTATTAAATAGAAGATGTAGGATTCTTTAGGATATATATTTTGAGACGAATTAACGGTGTATGGAGTGAAGTGTGTATATACGACAACAAGGTCGAAAATACTCTCTTGAGGGAAGCCAAAGACAACTTTGGAGAAGACAGAGCTTGAAACCTTCTAGTTTCATGGACACCCTACCTAACTGATTTCAACGAACATTAACTGATTGATTTATTTGGTTTATGTTTTGAGTTCCTACTTTAAGCACACTTGTGCTCTCTCTTGTTCAAGTTAAGGAAAGGTTCTTCACAATTATGTTACAAATGTTGAATCTTAACGATTTCTAGATTACAGTACACTACTGTGAAACATTTTCTTCACATAATGCATTTAAAAAGCTTCATCATCAGACTTGATCTCGGGAGCAACTTCAAACAGGTGATGTGACGATTTTAAAGGAGTTTATTTCCAGAAAGAAAAAACATATACTGTTACGGATCAACCAACTTTACTTGGACCATTCTTAAACAGATTTTGCTGAAAATTAAGATAAATCAATGTGTAGACTCAGACATCAATTCTTAATCAAAAGCATTAGCACATTGCCGGTTTAGGACTCAGGAAACCTCTCTTTTTTTGAAAAAAACGATTGCCGGCGACTTCAAATGCGCTGGAGAAAGAAAAGAAAAACGAAAATGCTGGCGTAAAGCCAGTAAACATGCAATAAGGGGTTTCAAGTCGTAAATCCCATCGTGAAACTATCCGTTTTGGCCATATTCTTTTTGTCATCAAATGAAGTTCAAACTTCAAAATAACCAAAGCCCGCGCGCACACACACATGCCTGAGAGTTTACTAACCATCATGATTCTTACTTTATTATATATAAAAAGAGTTGAAGAACAAAAGAAAAAAAAATAACTTGATCAGTTGCTAGAAACTATGAGAGAAGCATGAATGCCAATGGTGAGGAGCTCATGTTGGAGGAGGGGAGCACGTGCAAAGCACATTAGACAGATTTCGTGTTTCTTGGTTTGCACGTGCCCTGCTTCTCCAACGTGAAGATTCTCACCCGCAGTTATGTTATTATGTGAGCTTTTGTGATATATATGAGAGAGAGAGACCTTTTGTAATATATATGAGAGAGAGCTTTGGTTATGGAAGCTCTGTATATATAGGCCCAAAGATTGCATTAATGGAATACACACACAAATGTGTATATATGTATATATCTATGTATGTTGGCGTGAGTGTGTTTTACGTAAGGCAAAAGAACCATGCCATGCCATCATGATGGCAGCTCGCGCAAAAGAAGGGTTGAAGAAGAAAAGTGAGAGAGAGAGTGATCAAGGGAAGCCTATTAGAAACTTGGTTCAAATCAATATATACACTGTCTAACAATTGCCAAGTTTCAAAGCTTTCCATTCCATAAAATTAATTTGATCCTTTTCTTTTTGTCTAAACGTTGTCTGCCCTAAATTTCACAAACTCTACATAAACCCTATAGGTGTGCTGCCATATTTTGTGTTATTGCAGGATCCTATGCAGCTGGTCACGTTTTGACAAGCAATATCTTAGACACCTCTCTCTCTCTCTGTCTCTCTCTCTCCCCTCTCTTGTTTGGTCACGTCTCTCTTTTAATCTTAGCATCTAGTCTAGGGTACAAACAAAAATATTCGCTACCATCCTCTCAAAATTCTCTAGTTTTTCTTTCGACTAGATAAAAATGTTTTGTTTAATTTATGGGTCTGGGATGAAGTATCATCCGTAACAATATTTAGACTCTGTCTTACTTTTATTCTGGATATTCGCTAATTCCGGATCCATACTGTTACTCTGTCTTACTTTCCCTTAAGTTAGTATTGAAACTTTTTGGAAACTAAATATCGAATTGTACATTTCCTCTCTGTAAATTGTATATACTGCATAAATGAAATGTTATAATGTGTTCTCTATATATCATGATGATAAAGGCCAAAGTATATATATACATCAGAATCATTTGAATTAATAACGTGTTTGTATGTGACTGTGTGTGTGTGTGTGAGAGAGAGAGAGAGAGAGAGTGGTAAAAAAAAGGGGAAGGTGGAGGTGGGTCGTCAAAGACTGTTGGGGGCAAAAGAAGAGAGGAATAATGAAAGAGTGCACGTAGGGCTTTGCGTGTTGGCCTCACTTTCTCTAACATTCATAATATCATGAGCTTCTAAGGTCCCTATGTTGTTATCATTCCTCCCTCTCACATTAATTGTGTATAATATATGGTCTACGATAGTGTATAATCCTCTTCTCTTAGACTCATGATATGTAACTATGAACTCTAGGCTCTAGCTATAGGCCTTGCTAACTTCCTATATTAATCGAAGAGCCTAATTACGTAATGTTAGCAATATCCAACATGAACAATCTAAATTCGCATCTGCGAATCAAATGCTTATTGCAAAAGTGAGATGATCATAGAGAAACAGCATGAACCAAATTGCTGTAGTTAGTTGAAAAAGATCCGGTACTTACACATCTACATGTTTTACTACTAAAATAAGCGTCGGCCGATGATTAAGAAGAAAAATAGACAAAAACTATAACGCAACTAATGAAGCAAGAAGTGCGATACACTAATAAGATGGGGTCACTGATCAGAGAGATAAAAACAGCAAAAAAGAAGAAGAAATCTTTAGACTTGTAAAAAGAGGAGACAGAGTCAGACAATGAAGTCATCAGCCAAATCTATAAACACATTAATGCTTACGTGTCCGTATCACGCTCGTGTTTCCTACTAAATGCTCTCACTCATTTATTGGACCATCGTCTAGTTAATGCTTTTGTTGTTTGATCACTTAAATGCATCGCATTGAGTGAGTAGAGTAGTGTCACAATATTTCAAAGGCTTTCGTTTTGATGAGTGATGAGCTGAGCTGTGAGAGCTCCACTCGATTCTCTTCACGCACGAGTTTTGACTAATAATCGCTGGCGTCATCAGTAGCAAAGAAAAACAGCTACACAACAAAGACTTTTCTTTGACGAATCCAACATCACATAATGATTGCTTGTTTTTTCTTTTCCCAACAAAAAGAGCTCTTACTAATCGACATCCATGAATTGATAATTAAGCAAGTCTGCTCTTTTGTAGCCAATGAGATAGACGAGAAGCTAGCATATATTGTTGTGGATGGAAGTAAGTTAAATAACTGTAACATTCTAAGAAAATTCTACAACAAAACAGAAAAATGAAAACAGTGACAAATCACAATAGAGACCTTGGAAGAGGTGACATTGACAAGATACAAAGAAGACCAAACAGACGAAACGGTCTATTTCTTGGCATAGGTGATGAGCATCGGGTTTTGCTGAATCCTGAAACCTTGAAGTGCATGCATGGCAACCGTTGACTGCATCTCATCCGCAAACTCGACAAAGGCAATACCCGGTTTGGCTTCAACCATCCTAACCTCCTTAAAACCAGGGTACTGGCTGAATAGAGCCTGAAGAATCATCGGAGCAGTCTCGTGAGGAAGGTTTTGGACAAAGAGGATGCTATTTGGCGGTGCCGGTGCCTCTGGAAGCATTGGTTTCGCACCACCAGGGTATGGTACTTGCGATAGCTGTCAAAAGCATGGCCAATAGGAAGTAACGATTAGAAGAAGAATCATGAAAACAATAATAAGAGAAAGAGCAGAAGAGTTGAGATAACTCACAGGAGGTGCAGCTCCATAGAGACCTGGGTATCCTGAGGGCATGCCCATCTGTGTAGCATCATGGTGCTGCTCTTTCTTTTTCTTGCCTCCTGCAATCCCAAAGTCAGATTTATTAGACACATATACAACATACTATCTATAAGCAAAGACATCGCAAAGTCATGGAATGATGATACCAAAGACGGTTTCACATTAACATACTACTTATGCAGCAATGGTCCAACAGAAGCAAGGAATCAATATAAAAAGAAGAAAAAAATGAAAACTTGAAAGTCTGTCTCACCTTTCTCTTCGTGTCTCTTTCTTTTCTCGCGGGGAACAAATGTACCATCCGCCTTGGCCACAACATCTGATTTTGTTTTCGCAAATTGTATTCTCTGCCAATATTGGTGTTGTATATAGTTAAAGAGATGATACAGAAAAGTGATTGACTGATAACTAAGTAAAAGATGAGAGAATTTCTCAGCCTAAAATATCAATTTGTTCAGTAATAAGGCTCTCTCTAAGCTCACTGAAATCAAACATCCACTTAGTAAATTCGAATCCTACTTATGCATTCCACGAACTAAAACGAGTGTAAAATCGAGGGGATGAATAATGGTACCATGGGTTTGTCGTAGAAGGGAAATTCATTCATTTTAGAAATAGCAGAGGAAGCAGAATCGGCGTTCTCGAAGACAACCCAAGCTTGTCCTTTGTGCTTCAATGTCTTAAACGCCTGCACCTCCACTATCTTCCCGAACTGAGAGAACACGGCGTTCAGCGATTTCTTCAGCTCTGTAGTGTAGGGGTTCCAAAGCAAACAACAATTAAAATCTCAATTCAATCAACTGAAAATCGGGAGCAATTAAAAGAAGAAGAAGAAGAAATTGATCACCATCGAGCTTCACTTTCTCGTTGAGATTGTTGATGTAAATCGTCTGATTCGGAGTAACCTCCGGTCTCTGATTAGCTTCCTGCATCTCCATCTTTCCTCTCTGATTTACGATTTCTCCGGCGAAATAGCGAAACCGGACTGTTATATCAGGAAAGCCAAAATTACGAGGTTTTACTCCAACATCCGGTTTCGCTAAAGCCCTAAGCCCATCAATCAGCCCAATATTTCTAAAAATGGGCCCAATTAAGCAAAAATTTAATCAAAATCCAGTGTATTGGATTGTAGCTCAAGGAAGTCGTAAAAACCCTAACAATTCGTATCAGAGAGAGACGATTCCTTTGAGAAGGAGAAGGCCGTTTCACGACTAGCTGCAACAATGGTTCACTTCTGAGCTCCCTAGCAATCGTCATTTTCTGCATGTTCTAAATTTAAGAATTGGGGTCTGAGTTTGGCTTCTGTGTGTTTGTGTTAGGGTATTGATTTGATTGCCGGAGGAAAGAGCAAGAAGACGAAGCGTACTGCGCCTAAATCAGACGATGTCTATCTCAAGCTCCTTGTCAAGGTACAGCTCAAGCTACGCAAAGTGTTGTGATTCTCGTAATTTGATCAAGTCTTATTGGTCTATCGATTCGATTTTCCGGCAAATTTTGAATTTTTAGGTGTACCGATTTCTGGAGAGGAGAACGGGGAGCAAGTTCAGTGCTGTGATTCTGAAGCGGTTGTTCATGAGCAAAGTGAACAAAGCGCCATTGTCTCTCTCTCGTCTGATCCGATTCATGGATGGAAAGGTAACCAACTTTTAATGTTACTCGACTATACTCATGAAGTAACATTATAGTAACAATGGTGTGTGTGTTTGATTAATCAGGATGGAAAGATTGCTGTTCTTGTTGGCGCTGTAACTGATGACGTAAGAGTCCACGATGTTCCTGCTCTTAAAGTGACCGCACTGAGGTTCACCGAGAGAGCTAGAGCAAGGATCGAGAAGGCTGGTGGAGAGTGCCTGACATTTGATCAGCTCGCTCTCCGTGCCCCACTTGGTCAGAACACGGTATGACAATTACATCACTTGGCTTGGCTGGTATTAAAGCACTTGTTGAAACCTTTTTTTGGTTTTCCTTGATGATTTCATGCAGGTGCTACTGAGAGGTCCTAAGAACGCACGTGAAGCAGTGAAGCACTTTGGACCAGCACCTGGAGTGCCACATAGCCACAGCAAACCTTATGTGCGTAACACTGCTGGTACAAAGTTTGAGAGAGCCAGAGGAAGAAGAAAGAGCAGAGGCTTCAAGGTCTAAGCTCTACATCTTCACTTTCTTCCATAGTCGTTATGGTCAGTTTATGTATGACTTGAGTTTATCTATGCATGTCTTTTTTCTTCAAAACTTTCCACGCACTATATCGGGTTTTGGAATATTAGATCAAATGTTTCATCTTTATCTATTTTGGTATCTCTCTGTCAATAACTTTGATTGATCCTAAATAATATTACGCTTCCCACGCTATGTTGGAGAGTATTTTTTTTTGTTTTAACTTGTTATAGCAAAGAACATATTGGCTCCTGTTTGTCTGAAATAGTTTTCGTCAAACAAGCAATTCTCTCTGATTGGTACGAAGAAAGCTACTAAGTGTTATTATATTTGTTCAATTTTTTATAAAAAAGAAATTGGATTCGATATGACGTGAAAGAAAAACTGAAATAAAAAAAAAGGTGGAATAAAAGTTAAACGTTAAAACAAAACAAAAATGAAAAGGGAGAAAAGGAATGAGCTGGCCATGACTAGGCACGATGTGTGAGCTTGACTCGCTGTTACACCTACCTAATTACACACCTTCTCACACGGTTCCGTTCGTTAGTAGCAGCTATCCTTCTTCATTTTTTTTTTTTTTTTTCACAAATACTCGATAAAGTAATAATCACTATAAGATAATAAATTTTTCCGGTCCCAATTCGGGCCAATGTAAAAATAAGCAAAATGCGATAAGATGATAAGATAATAATATTTTTGAAACTCTATGTAAAAATATGGTCCCAATTATAAGTTAAAGTAATAATTATATAAAATTATACATTGTATATGCCTAAACCAATTATTAAATTATGAATTGAAGTTTATCTTTAACTTTTTCTTATATAAAAAACTCATAATGCAATTTTTATATGCATGTAAAATTGTTAAATATGTTCTAAACATATCATTTTCAACTTCATTAGTAGCTATAATTATTTATAAAATTTTAACATTTATTATGTATCAAATTTTATATAAATAAATATTTATAGAAACTAATAATATATGTTTTATTATGATATCCAAAAGATTTGATAATAATTTCAAGTTTATATATGTCATATTAATGAATAAATATTTTCATTTCTTAATATATTATCATATCGAGAATAATTTTCGAAGATTATGAGAATACATGAATATTGAATTTATTCATAAAGTAATACCTCTATAAGATAATAAATTTTCAAAGTCCCAACATTATTACTTTATAGAGGTTTTACTGTAACCATATTTTCAAGTCTTACTCTTTTGTAAATGTTTTTCTCCATATTTGGAGAGTTATCAACCACGGTCGACGTAAAAATATGGCAAAAGAAAAGTACTTGATATTTTGATAGATTTCTAGATTCGCTGCACGGCACATCACATGGCAGAGCAAGAAAATAGAAGTTTCTCCCAACTTGGGGAATGTTTTGACCAATTATCGTATCTTGTTCATAAGTCACTATATCACCTTTTTCTCCCTATGTTGTAATTGGTTAAACAATAATCAAATAACAAATTTACCCAACATGGCAACAGATTGAATACTACCCATAGATTTGCTACTTCTACGGCCGCCAAGAGCATGCATATATTTCTATATATATACAGTAGTAGAAAGCTGAAATAATGATAATCAATATAAAAATTAAGTGTTTTCTACACTTTTATTTTATAAGTACATGTTATTTTTGGGAAAGTCCCAATGTTATTTTCCAATATATTTCGAAGACCATTGTCATTTGTTTTTATATGTAGACCAATGTTATTTAAAGTAGAAACAAGACATAAAAAAGGCGTAGAGCACTAAGGTCGATATCAATTGTAAAACAGACTAGAAAATTCCAACGGGAACCCAATTTACATCCTCTTCACGACAAAACACTTATTAGGTTCTGATGTGTAAAAATGGTCTTAAAGCCATATTTTGAAAATGACTCGAACGAAATTAAAAAGCTACAATTGACTAAAATATAAAAAAGAAAGAATTGAGAAGTGCAAGTCTGCAAGATCCATCAACGCAAAGGACGGTCTAAGATTGAGACAGTCTCTTAGCATCCAAGCAAGCACACTTTGTTGATATTCTCCTGTGTCTGTTAATTTACTAAAATTACCAAATCATAATATAATAAAAAGTTGTACAATTGCCTTATCGTTGTTTGATTTTGCCGGTTGCTAATCATCATCATAGATTTCTTAACAACTCTTTAATATATATTATAAAAAAAAAACCCCGGAAAAAGCTCACAAAGTCCATAGTATTAGTAGCAAAAAGTTGGGAAAAAAGGTTGCTGTGGGTGCTCAAGTAATTTTCAATAGACTGAGAAGTCACAAGTGGATTCAGGTTTTCGTTCAAAAACTTGTCGTCCTTCTTTATGCATGTCAATCAATATACTGAGAAGTGTGAGAAGTCACAAGTGGGTTCAAGAACTTGTAGACTTTCCTTTAGGCATATGACAAACTCTATGATTTGTGAAGAAAGCGGCAAACACTTTTCTGTTTTGACTTAAAAGGACTTCATAGTGCAGCATTCAATAACTATGCACCTTCCAACTGTTATCATTAGTACCGTGTGTTATACGAATTTTTATACGATCCCTTGTTCTTTTCCACACATTAGTGGCTAATTTGAGGATAAATTAGTACGGTAATTAACAACATATGAAAGGAAACTTTGCAAAGGTAATGAAGAATTACATGTTTAATTACATCAAACAAAAGGAAATGCTTACAGAAAAAAATGATTTCTAATGTCTACTGTCTAATATCACAAAAGAAGAAATTATTAATGTAGCAAATATTTGTGATTTACAGCAATAAAAAAAATTATAGGTTAAAAATAGGAAATTATGTTTTTTGATAAAAATTATCCAGAAATAGTTACACAAAGTTATGAACCAATACAAGTGTTGTCTACATGTTCATATTGCAAAATAATTTATTTCTTAATCATCGACAAATAAAATTAAAACAAATTAAGAAATGGGGACCAAATGATTTGAAACTTGGCTTATAAATAAAAGGGATCTAAAACACACACATAAGCAAGCAGCTACGAAACTTCCTACGCTCTTTCCTTCTGCATAAACCCTCTCATCTTTCTCTCTCTCTCTCTCTCTCTGTCTACTGATCTAAATCTCCATCACTGTCTTTCTCTCTCTCTCTCTCTCTCTCTCTCTCTGTAGAAAGTAGAAACCATGGGAATCGGAGAAGAAAGCAGCAAGCCAATGTGGGGAAGCGTGATCCACGCGCCTTCGGGCTACGTTCTCAACGGCAAAATCATGCTCTCCTCCGTCATCATCCTATTCGTCGCCGTCATTATGATCCTCTGCTTCCACACCTACGCCAGATGGTTATTCCGTCGTCAAAACCGTCGCATTCGCCGCCGGATTCGTGCCCACCTCCGCTCTCTCTCCCGAGACCCGACCATCTCATCCTCCCTTTCCCCTCTCGATCCGGCGGTTCTCGAGAAGATTCCGATCTTCGTTTACTCCTCCAAAACTCACCAATCGGCATCAGAGGAGTGCTCCGTTTGCTTGTCGGAGTTCGAGGAAGACGACGAAGGCCGTCTTCTCCCGAAATGTGGCCACGCTTTTCACGTCGATTGCATCGATACTTGGTTCCGTTCCAGATCCACTTGCCCGCTTTGCAGAGCTCCGGTTCAACCCGAAACCGCGTCGACCCGACCCGAATTCACCGAACCAGCCGCTCCGGTTAAACCGATAGAGGACGTAGAAACCGGAAGCTCCTCTTCTTCGTCTTCGTCTTCGTCTTCCCCCGCATCTTCGCCGTTGAGATTTCCGATGGAGCCGTGCGAGAGAGTACCGATAGATCTACTCGGTATCACAGTGGAGATTCCCAGAGGATTCGAAAAAATCTAATCCGGTTCTACCCAGCCAAAACGGATACAATTTTCCGGGTAATCGGGTTTTATCTCTGAAAGGACTATGGAGCATCTAAAATGGTTTGTACTTTTTTCTTCTCAAAACCTCATGAAAATTGGACACGTTGCACTAATGTCAGTCCACGTGGCCGTTAATCCTGGACCAAATTAGATTCTTGAAGAACAATGTGTATAAAGACAACGGCGTCGTTTTGTTAATCGTTGAGGAAGCTACAAGCCTAGTGGACTAGAAAGAGCTTACATAAAATTCATTTGTGAATAAATTCCGAAGAAAATGATTCGGTTGTTAATATTGTAGCTAAACAAGTACTAGTAATTATTATTATCATCATTTATGACAAATCGTAGATCATGGAACCAGGCACCACCAAATTGACCCGAATTCACAATTATTTGACTACAAAAAAAGGAACACATGAATGATATTAATTAAATGATAGTATAACTAACATAGAGACATGTTATAGAATAAAGTTAACTATGCGATGAGTCCACCGACGAAAGGCACTCCGGTTTGTCCGATCCAACCTTCACCAACAAGGAAATTTGTGACCGTGAAGTTGGAAGCATCAGAAGCGTTAATGACGTGATAACCGGGCCAAGTGACTCGGCTTGTCGTGTTGGAACCAGGTCCGGTGTTATTGTATTCCGCATAGTAAAGTGTGCTTAATGCGAAATCGCCGGACCATGCGTTCCAACCAGTCGGGTCAAGAAAACGATCAATGTAAGTTTGCATGACAACGGTCCTAGAATATTCCTTCCACGGCCGGCCAAGATATGTTTTGACTGTATAATTGCTCGTAGCCAAATCATCTGCCGGTCTTATTGTACAACCATGGATCGTTGTTCCAGTGTTCTGGTTCGGATCGGTACGTCCTTGAGCCGTGACTTCGTTCGCTTGACCTTTGCGTGGTTGGCGTGGATACAGATTACAGTTCTGTAACACCACCGCAGCATTACCGAATATGAAATCAACCGTACCGTAAACATCGCATTCACGGTAAAACTGTCGGAGAGAATGCGTGTATAAAGTATCTTGGTAGGCTTCAAAACTGCAACTATAGAAAACAGAGAAGTCTCCACCGCTTCTCAATGCGACGGCTTGGCCCTTGGTTGGTCCTGCCGTGTTCCGGATTGTCATTTCCACCCCGATAAAGTTAGGACCTGAGAGAACTGCAATTTGTGAACAAAAGGTAGAGTTAGTTAATATCATTTCATTAAAACAATTAAGGCTACTAGATTCAGATTAAAGGAAAATAGTTCGTTAGAAGTGGTTATGACAAAGAAAACTACAAAACATTAAAGTTTAGGGAAACAAATTAATTAGAGAAATATTTTAGTTTAGTGGACGACTATGCATGGTAGTTGAGGACACGACGAATTGATGTGGAGTCAAGACTTTTGGTGGACCATCCGACCAAGTCGCATTCGATTGCATGGGAAAGTCTATTAAAAGCGAATTGCAATTATTTTTATGTTTTGCTGATTAATATTATTGCTTATTATAATAGTTTATTATTTTTAAAAAGAAAGGTTTCTAAAGAGAATATAGTTACATCGCGCACTTGCACGAAGAAGCCATGTTTTATGCACATGTCTTCATTAATCTGTGGTGACGAAACTCGAATCCTAGCTTCTTTTTATATATATAACTAGGAACCGCAGATTATATAATGTAGGTTCTATTGATAAAAATATTGGTTTTTGTTTTATGTATTGTGAGATTATATATATGTGGGTTTACTTACTAAATGTGGCGGAATTGAAAGTGGTCCATCCATCACCGACGCTCCGATTTCCGGTGATAACCGTTTGGTTAATGCCGTCACCGACCATCATGACATATCTCTTGTACTTTGGAATATCCACGTATTCCTCGTACAATCCCGCTGTTACGTAGATCAAGAAGTAACCCTTACTACCGTCAGTTTTATTTGGCGCGGCTGCAACGGCTTCGTTTATGGTTGTGAAGTTTCCCGTCCCGTTCTGGATCACGGTCACGATATCGCTCACCTGAACGGCGTCTGCTTGAGCTTGGAGAAGCCTTCTCCCACTCACGGTGTTGTAAATGGCACGTGCCTTCTCCGTCATATTTATCGGTAGTCTACCGTTACGGAAACCGAAAAACTTTTTGAATCTTGCTTGTGGTTGCCAAGCCGGTCTCGATCTTTTCCTTATTGGCACCCAACCTACAATAGTCATGCACATATATCAATTCATAATTGTAATATCATAGAGGTAAATTAAGAAAGAAAACAAAAGCAAGTTTGTATATTTTTGTTACTGAAATATATTTTCAACCACTCTATATATGGTGGTTCCTTCAATTATTACACCTGAATACTCAGTAGTTGGTTCCTAGCGATTTTCTCTTTATTCATTAAAGCAAAATTTGTAGAAAATGAAATGCAGATTTCGTGCCACGTTATAGAAGATTACGTGCATATATCTAAATAAAAAGAAATGTAGATTACGTGCATGCATGTTTAGAATTTTTTATTGTTATATACCTTTGGAAAAAAGGGCAAGAGAGACTCCATAGAGTTTTGTATCGTTGAAAAGATCACCGGAGAGATCACTTTCCGACGCGGAGGATTTTAGTCCTTCAAGACAAGTCTGTTCGTTGGTGATCGCAGCACTCAGAAAAGTATGAACATCATCGGCCCTTGACAAGGACAGTGTGTTGGTGGCATCGACGGTCCGCGAGCTACTAAGGATGAAGTCCGTAGTCAGACTGGCAAGAAATTTGCAGTCTTCGAGAGCCTGCACGGTGGATTTAGCAGCCACTTTGCCTTTCCGGTTTAGTTGATCTTCGATCATCGACATGAACCGGTTGGCACGTGAGAGGGACCGTCGGAGAGAGAAACGGCCGTAAGAGTAAATATCTCCAGGCTGGTTTGGGAGAACCGATCTACAGTAAGATGGATCGGGCGCGAATCGACATACATTTCCAATGGCTGGAAAATCGGCGGCGAGAGAAGGAGATGACGATAAAGAGAGGAAGCAAAGGGTGACCAAGAACATGAGTATTTGAGGCATCTTTTGATTTTTTTTCGTAGAGCTTAATTGTGTTTTGGTTGGATAGATTGTGTTAAGTGTTTCGGATTATTTATAGGGTTTTTAACGTTGAATTTGAATATATTCAAGTTCATCAAGTCAATAATAATGTGTGTGTACATATATATTTGTGACGGTGTCACGAAATTCAAACATATATACCATAATGTTATAATATTCACACGTATATAGATCTGTCTCTCACTAAAACCAGAAAATTAATCACCGTACTGAGTAACTAAATTCCATCTTTGACAGTTATAAATGGTTTTTTAAGCTGGTTAGTTGAGTTTTTATTTGATTACTTGAAAAAGTCTACTACGGCAATTTGAGTTTGTATAATCAGGGAGGTTTTCGTAATTTAAAATTGTCAACCAATGTTAGGCATTCCAAGGAAAATTTTCATTATATTTATAACATGTTGGTAAAACAGCACATTACTCATTAACAAAAAGTCAACATCTTGACATTATAAACTTGGATAGACTATAAAGACCATTGCAAATAAAATTCGTTTTAAAACGGTATAGTGGGAAGTTTTCATGAATGTGCGAGTAAATAAGATTACAAATTTGGATGGAATAACACTTTTTGGATCCAAATAAAAACTTCGATTGCGCAATCAAAATGTACATTTCTTTTGTTGCAAAAGAAAAAGAGTGCATATCTATAATTCTATTAGTTGTAACAAATCTAATTATTGATCAATCAGTTAATTGCTGCATAAAATTGGTTGGGTATAATTATTTGTTTTTGTTTAGAGGGACAGCCGAGAGCTAAAAATTTGGATATATGTTTGTAGATAGATATATATAGTGACACATGAAATTACTCAGCTTAAAGTTTAAATAGAATGTTATAGATATTGATATCTTTTTGTCGATAGATATTTAATATATGCTATCTTCATTCAATACCTTTTTTTTTTGTCAAAGTCTTCATTCAATACCTACACATGCATTTGACCTAATTTCGTTACACAAAATGAATTAAAGCCTATTAGAATTATTATACTTGTATGAGGCTTGAGACTTATAGGTTCTTTCTCACCAAAAAAAAAAAAAAAAAAAAAAAGAAGACTTATAGGTAGCCTAGTTTATTTGATGGCAAACATGAAACAAACACTAATGTCTGCGAACTTTGAATTTTCTTTTTAATGTCATGTAAATTAATTTTGTCTTCCAGCAGCAATACAGTGAATAGTGTGAGATTGTGAATCATTATAATCAATAGTAAATATTATTTTAGTTTTCAGCTGTAAAATTAATCATAAGTTTAGTTTTAATGTTTGGATAGACGTGAAATGAAATGGAAAGGAACTAAATTTGGTAAGACATTGACGTTGACTTGTTACTAAACCGTGTCTAAATTCTCAAGTCTCTCTCGGTTTTGCTGCAAAAAAACGGTGACGTTTTCGTGGTTTGAACTTTGAAGTTACAACGCGTGAAGAAACCCAAGCAATGCCAATGGAGTTGGACCGTTTGCGTAACTCAAGAAAATTTAAACGACTTCTCTATGTAATATTGTATTGTACTTAAGCGAAACCCACTAGCACTAGTTGTTCGAATTACGCGGATCAATCATGTGCCTTCTTCTCTTCTTCATACTACTGCATGTTTAATCTTATTGCTTCTTAATTATTTGACTTTATTTTTTTGTGTTTTTCTCCCCATTGCTACTCTAAATCCTAGAGTAATGATCACTATTCACTGGCAAAAATAAAATAGATTATACGAAGCACTTGTCCAAATTATGTGTAATAATTGGTTATATCATATTCATATATCTTGGCATGTTGCCTATTGGAAAAGACATTAACGAAGGCCAATGTAATGCATACAGTTACAAATCACCACACTATAATCAGATGAAATTTAAGATGCTAAATTCTTAAATTCGTCACCAAATTATGCGTAAACTTAATCGAATCAAACCATAATAATCGTGGGAATAGACTTGTCCCAGTCCCACCTATTATGATGGCCATTAAGGTATTTATAAGAAACAAACATCGTTTAAATTTAGTAGCCGTTGGGAATAGACTTGTCCTGATCAGATTCCTCCGGCGAGAAGACGAAAGGGCCAACGGTGAAGAGCTTCATCTCTTGCTTGTTTTCTAGAAGACGATAATTTTGGAGGATGGCTCCGCTGATTCCACGGTTGATCTCAGTCGGAAAAGAACAAGTGTCAGCCGGAGATAGCTCAAGAAACGCTCTGCACTCTTTGATCCTCTTCTTCTTATAATCCTTCACCTCCGACGGAGAAAGCGTCGCCAGAAAATAACCCTTTGCATCTGTCGCTTGGCTAAGCACCGTCACATCCTCTGCCTCATAACCGTATTCGTCCGACGTCTCACACGTCACCCTCGCTACTGCACCTGCCCACGTGTGCATATTAGTTTTATCATTAAAACATTTTTATTTTTATGATGTATTGTTAAAATATACACACATTAGCCAATATAACGCCATTGATAAATGGGCATATATGATTTCGTGTTTTTCATTATATGTAATCAGTTTACAGTATATGATGAATTTACCTTGGAGAGGAGTAAGCTTAGATTCTTGTTTACAGTAGATGAGACCTTGAACTCCGATCATCGAAGAAAGCAGTTCTCTGTCGGTGATTGTGGCTACTCCAGCTGCAAACATGGACGAGAGAAGCATAATGAAGAAAAACGAACATTTTAGGGCCATTTTCTAGTTTTTTACTATATGAGCTTTGTTCAATCTTCAGCTGCACTGTAGATGTAGAAATGTGTTTTTATATATCGAAGAACGAAAGGTGTACGATGAGAGACATATATAGGGTTTTAGTGATAAGGTTAATAAATCCAAAATATATGAGAATAAGGGATGTGACTTGGGCGCACGTTTTAGCTCGTGATTCTAATCATTGCATTATTATGCACCCAAAGTGTCTAATTTTGCTGCATTAGAGGACGTGCATCCACTTTTTTTTTGTATTCAAAATATTATTGGTTTCAATTTTTTCCCCATGATATGTTGTTATATAAATGTTAAACAAAGTATTTTTTTTTTATAAATTAATAATATAAAAAATTAACGATTAATTTATATAGAGGCGTCTAAAAATTTCTGATTTTTGTATGTATGGAACTTGGAAGCAAACATTGTGTTTAGAACTGTTCACAGTTGCAAGAAAATGTTAATTTGTGAGAAGTCAAATAGTGAGTTTTTATTATAACAAGAAAATTTAGAAATGAACTAGTATACAGATTTTAAGAAGAAAAAGCAATTGAGAATCATAACTTTGTCCTACGTAATTATGTTTGTATATATTTATACATTTATTAATTTATGAGATTGATGAACTTTCATATATTCAAAATGGCAGGGCCAAGGTTCATGGTGTGAAGTTTTTTATTCAAAAATCATGGCTAAAAATCAATGAATAAATATGAATAGAGCAAAAGCAACCAAACAATAGAAAGAAAAACTGTGATCTAATAACTGGTTGTAAATTTGTAATCCCTAGCTAGTGAACCGGCCGTTTGGGAGCCACGGGGCTAGAGAAATAGAAAGGTTCAAAGGTGTAGAGGTTCAAGTTGTCGTCGCTAAGAAACTTTGATTTGTCGGTAGAGAGTGGAGCTCCGGTGAATCCTTTATTTACATTGGTCGGAGTTTTACAAGAAGAAACCGGAGAGCTCTCCAGCTTCACATTGCAGCCATTGATGTTCTTCAGTTTATGGGAGAGTCCGTACGTGATGAAATAGAAGTATCCCTTCAAGTCCGTTGGGTAGCTTGAGAGTGTAATCTTAGCGATTAGCTTTCCGTATGAGTCCACGATTGGACACACAACCTTAACCTTGGCCCCTATCAAGTACATAAACCGTTTTGTTTCAGTCCGTGCTAGAGTAAGCCATGAGCTCAAAAAGAGAAAGCTTGGACGGTACAACATTACAGATATTTTGGAGACACGACGTTACTAAAAATTTCAGACAAAAAAATCACAAAGTTTAAAAAACAAAAGTGGACCTCCAATCCAAGTTTCATGGTTAAAACTTAAAAGTATAATGTGTATTTAAATTCTAAAGATATATTAAAAAGAAAAAAAATAATCATCAGCAAACGATTCTTCATAGTTTTCTAACGACTCAATTTCGATAACAAATAATCAATTTATTCCAAAATTACTTCACCAAGTGAGTTATTTGGTTTGCAATTTACTTTTTTTGTAAGATGTAATGAAATGTATGGAAAATATGGAATTGCACCTTGGATAGGGTAGGTTTCGTAGCCAGATTTGCAGAAGATGAAACCTTGGATGGCTATGTCAGGGTTTGGTTTTGGCACGCATGGAGTCTGAACCGGTGATGTGGAGGAGGTAGGTGGTTTAGTCACCGGTTTGGGAACGTCAGGTTGTGGTGGCACGTAGTATTCGGCAGTGGCCACAACCACCACCAGTGCGAGGATGAGAACGGAAGGGGCGGCGCATGTGGATGCCATTGTTAAAAGCTCTTGTTCTTGTGTGATTTGGTTCGTTAAAGTTTGATCTCGATAATGATCCTTACTGTATATAGAACAAAATGATATAAATATGAAAAATCTTGAGATTATGAGACAAGTGTTAACTAGATGTTGGAGGAAAGAGACTTAATTGGGTGCACGTTTTTAAATCCATGTCAACATAGTAATATCTCTCACTTCCCAAATAGAAAACTGATAGGATTTGTTTTAATAATTATAGTCTTCATCAAACTCCACCAACAATCCGAATCAAACCGGTGAAATGATGTGTGTGGTGCTATTATTTGTCGGCCCAAGAGGCGCCCTAGCGCTAAAAGAAAGACTTGTATACAAAGATACACCCTCCCGGGTACTATAAACTTCAATAAAAGTTCGTAAGAGATACAAATTTATACAAAGATACACCTCCCGGTACTATATAGTATAATTTATTTACAAATTACATCCAACAAAATCCCAATATAAGGTAATAAATTAGATCATACAGTCCGATCGGTCATGCATAACAACCCTTGTCCTCTTTTTTTTTGTTTTCTTGTTGTGTAGTTAAAGAATGTCTCCTTGAATATAAAAAGTCACAACATTTTGTTTAAATCGTGTAATGTATCACCAGTTCCAAGATCTGGTTTGTGACTTAGCTGCAAGACGTAGCGCCATTGAGCCGCTGCTACTGCCAGGACCGTTGCAAATACCGAGCCTGATGATGAACGACGCAGTGCAGCCTTTCTCTAGTCCTTCACTTTCTATCCATATGTATCCTCCCATTAGCCCAACGAACCTAACCATAGACACATAAAACTCAACCTTAGGCTATTTGTGAAACCATCCATATGCTTCTATTCATATATATATCGTTAAGTAATTTACCGTTTGCAGAGAGCTAGACCGAGCCCTGCACCGGAATGGTTCCTCGGAGCTCCAGTCCGAGGCTGTACGAATTTGGTGAAGAGAAAAGGAATGTCTTGCGTGTGAATCCCACACCCTGTGTCCTTCACCTGCACCCACCAAGATCACAACATTTACAACACTAAGTCAGAACTAATCAAAGCTTTATTTTATATTTTTCTTGTTTTGATAGTGTATAGATTGGGATCAAACCTGGACGCAGAGGTAGAAGTGACTGTCACTTGGAACTGGAAAGAATTCAGGAGATGGTAGTTCTCGTAAGGACTCGGGTTTCATGATAGAGGCTATTACGGAGACGTATCCTTCCTTTGTGAATTTCACTGCATTTCCCATTATGTTGAGAATGGTCTGCATCAGACGTTTCTCATCACCTATTGCATAAGCCGGCAAGTCTGCAGAGAGAATCAGATTCGTCGACAGTTTCTTCACCGATGCTATTGGCTTTATCAGAGATATGACCTGCACATTCCGGTTATAAGCTAATGTGGACTTCACAACTGGTTCATATTAAGGAGTTAATTTAATTACCTCTTCAAAAATCGCTTGGAGACTGAATGGTTCACTTTCCAAGAGTAAGCTCCCATCTTCCAATCTCGACAGATCCAGAACGTCGCTGATGAGTGTCGCCACAAGATTGCTACTTTTCAGTATCGTCTCGATCATGACTCTCTGCTCTGGAGATAGCTCAGTCTCAAGGAGAAGAGAAGACAAAGAGATGATGGCATGCATCGGTGTCCTCATCTCGTGGTTCATAACGGCTAGGAAATCATTCCGAGCATGCACAGCCATCTCTGCCTCCTGACGAGCCTTATCTAATGCAAAATTCTGCTCCATCAGCTGGTCACGAGCGTGCATTGATTCCTCCAGAATTGCAGCGTGTGAGAGAGCCACAGCCACCTGAATCAATCAAAGTGAGAGAGTCAAGAGACTAAAAAAGAAACCAATAACAAACATATTAAAAGAAAGAGATCCCCCTCCATATGAACCTGATCCGCCACGACTTCGACAAGTTCCAACTCATGGTCCCTCCATTTTCTTGCACCATCAGTGGGGAGAATCAGGACCATGATAGCGTAACCTTTGCCAGAGAGATCAGACCAGTCACTGCCTTGGAAATTCGAGAGGTGTAGAAGAGGTACACGGACAGAAACAACCTCTGGAGGCGAATATCTGCCAACTGGAGGTCCAATCTTAGCCAAGGGACATGTATGAGGTATGTGCATCGCCTGAGGGCTATTGAAGAGCTCGTTAATTATCGGCAGATTAATCGGCACACTGCTTCCAACTTGTATTTTGTGGCTCAGAGTATGAGAAAGCTGCAGATAAAGACCGCTCTGTGAAGGCATCCACAAGGCGCATTCCTCGAGGCAGAGAGTTTTACCGAGCTCGACGAGAGTGGTTCTGAGAATAGTATGCCTATCAAGCGTGCTTCTGATCTCATGAGTAAGCATCCTCACATGCCTTCCAGTCTCCTCTTGCGTTAGAATCAGGCCCATTTCTCTGTCTAGCTCGTCGGCTTTCTTCTTGAGAAACAGCTCTCGGTTTTTGACGCTCAAAAGATCAGGGATGATGTGAACCAGCATCAACGCGGTTGCACACGACACGACGGCGCAGGAGACTTTGGCGATAGTCATCACAACCGCAACGGCTTTCGAGTGCATGAAGAACATCCACAGGTTGATGAAATGTGTGGCTCCGCAGAGGATGATGAAGGCTCCAAACTGCATCAGCACCCATTTGTAAGGGAAGAAGGCAGACTTCTGCACGAAGTATATGAGCTCGAGTGGGATTGAGAAGTAGGCGAGAGCTATCAACGCATCGGAGATGTATTGATATTTCACTAATAGATCGTCCTGATTCACATGCGTCTCGAAACAATCACACGACTCCATTGTTGGAGCTCAGGACCCTCTCTTTGACTTTGACCTGGTCAAAATTAGCCCAAACAAGAAACATCACTCAGTCAAAAATTCCAGAAAATTGATTTAGCATTTGACTCGAGAAAACCACGAGACATGATCAGCTCCAGAGATTTGGATTAGAGTCACCTAACTGAGAAAGTATGATTTATTTATTTTTTCAGAAAAACAATCAGATGAATTTGGAAACACGAAGAAATTAATCGATCTAGCTACAAAAGTCGATCTAGAATTGAATCTACAATCCTCGTCGCTAATCGATGCGACGATAAAAGCCGAGGCCGATCTGAGAAACTTAACCAAGTCACCACACAGATCGATCAGAAGAAATGCTAAAGCAGTGAAGTGAAATCAATCCTCCATTAACGTTTCACCTAAAGCTAAAGTGAGTCTCATCGAAAACTCCTAATTCACAAAACTTGTACAGATTCGAACATAATAATGCGGAAAGCGAGACGATTCAATTTCAAGGAGAAGGGAAAGATAAGATATCACTAACCTTGAAAGGTCGTCAAACGAGGGACAGTGGCTTTTTACAGAAATGGAAAGCTCTCTCTCAGAGATCTCTAGTTTAAGGAAGTTTTCATGGGAAAAGAGACGACGACAGTGAAACTGGGAGAAGAGAGAGAGAGGGAAAGCAAAGAGAAAAAAGCGTCACGGAGGGAGCGAGAGAGAGAGTGATGGCACGTGCGGAAGATGACGTGGATTATAGAGGGTGAAGCTCAATCCACACGTGGGAATAATAATCGGTGACATGGCGGTAGGTAATTGGATGAAATTAGGGGCTCCCATTCTCAAAGGTCTATAGGGGGCTGTAAGAGTCAATCTCAACCTATCAACTCTCAACTGGTACGTCAATTCAGTGATATATTATTCTTTGATTCAGTCTCGGATATTTCAATATTTTAGTTAATGATTTTACTTTATCGATTTCAATGGTCAAATGCAATGTTTCTACTTATTGTAAGGGGAAAAATGCGCCTTCTATCAAATGAATATTTAATATTAAGCACATGCCACGAGTAAAATACAAGAAGCTTCTCAAAAAAGAAAACAGCGTGTAGTTAATTACTTAATTTTACTGGTAATTAGTGTTAGGAACAAAATCGTACAAAGAATAAAAATCTATAAACATTAGAATTATCTGGCCAAACATACAGAAGTTGGTCCAAGATCATGAACTAAACAAAACGGCTTTGGTTTAAGATGAGATGAGCTAAGAAAAGAATCGTAATTTCAAGTCAGACAATACAAAAAACAAAAAAAAAATAAGACTGAAATGGGAAGATGCATTGAACCAACGGCAAGTAAGCATTGATTGAGACAGAAAATAAATAAATAAACGAAAAAAGAGTGGAAACAAATCCAATAAAAACGGAAAAGTGTGAGACAGATACATTGGACTGGACATCCTGCTTTTCTAATTTTATGCGTACAAGTGGATTCTGCGATATCCCCCACGCGCCGCCTTTTCTTTTTCCAGATAACTTTGTAGCGCGTGGAGATCATTTTCATAAAGATTTCTCAGATGCACTCATTTTTGGGCTGGTTTAATCTGGCCCACACTAAAAGCCTATGAAGATATGCATTTCTATGTTTCCAGCCGTGTATACTGTATACACAATTTATACTCCTAGGTTCACTTCTAAGTTAGAGGCTTAGAAGTTAGAGCATTCTCAAAATCCAAAACCCGACCTTGACACGAAAATTCATTTTGCTTAAATTCGTATTATCTTTTCCTGATTAGAAGAAAACGTTACTCTTATTGAGCAAAATAATCGTTACATAAACCCTCAAGAATTGAAGAAGAAACCATGTTGTCCTTCCCATGAAAAATTGAATTTATAGTTTCACGATTTGCTCACTTATTATATAACCTAAACCAAGTAAATAAAATCATCAGAAGAATAATGGTAACTGAAGTTTCGGTCGATAACAACATCAATCGGAGGGACCGATCATCTTCTCCGGAACAACAAGAGTATCAAACTCTTCCGCAGTCAGAACACCTAACTTCAGAGCCGCTTCCTGTAGGATTAAGGTAAAGCTCAATATTTTAAAAAAGAATCTCATGTACAAATATATTCACAACCTGATTACTGTACTGCTAACCAACTGATACTTAGTGTTTAAGTCCGTTTGATTTCGTGATGAATTGTAAGGAGTTCATTGTTTACCTTCAATGTAGATCCTTCTTTGTGAGCTTTCTTGGCAACTGCTGCAGCATTGTCATAGCCGATTTTCTGGTAAAGGAGACAAAGATTCGAGAATTTAGCATTGAGGTAAATTCATCTGTAAAAGCGGAGTTTATGTATTCGGAGACTTACAGGATTCAATGATGTCACCAGCATAAGAGACTACAGAGAAATACATAAAAACAAAGGAAAAAAATCAGTCCCTGAGAGATGATCATTTTCACATTGATGGGTAATTTTTAGGCCAGTACATAAAGGAGAAGAAGCCTACCTCGTGCAATAGCTTTGCGATCCTTTCTCTGTTGGCCTCAATGCCCCTCACACAGTTCTTCTCAAAAGAAACCGAAGCATCTGCTATCAGTCTGATGGACTGTCAAAAAGGATAGATCAAATGATTAAGATTGGCATATATTATATAGAATCACAGAAATATATGCACAAAGGAAAGAGACTAATATGTATACATGCAAAAGAGCGCTTGCGATCACCGGCTTGAATACATTCAATTCGAAATGACCATTTGACCCACCAACTGTCACAGCTACATGATTTCCCATAACCTGCAATTTTGTAGGATGTAAACCAAAGAGAGTCAGGGACAATACAACCTTAGCAATTTAGACTTAAATGTCAGTAAGAATGTATTGATAAATAGATTTTACCTGAGCACAAACCATAGTCAAGGCCTCACACTGAGTAGGATTTACCTTCCCCTGAGAAAGAGAGAGAAAGAGAGAGCGATTAAAATATCATTTGAATCAAAATTAGTGAGAAGGACAGAAAAAGAAAGGAAGACTGCATTCATACAGGCATGATGCTGCTTCCTGGCTCATTTTCAGGCAGAACAAGTTCACCAAGACCACATCTTGGGCCACTATATGAAGACATGTTTAACCATAAGAACATAGTAGTACATTTTGGAGAAAGATTAAACAAATGCCTAAAGATTAGATACATACCTTCCAAGAAAACGTATATCATTGGCGATCTTCATCAATGATGTGGCGATTGTGTTTAGTGATCCACTTGTTTCAACACAAGCATCGTGTGCAGCCTGGAAAAAACAGAATAATTCAGCTACTGATTTCACCATTCATAAGCACCTTATCTCGTTTAGAGGCTAACCAGAGCTTCAAACTTGTTTTCTGCAGTGATAAATGGCAATCTTGTTTCTTCAGCTACTGCAGCAGCTATCTTCACATCAAACCTGAACAGATATTACTAGTGTTACCAACGGTGGACTAAGCAAAAGAGAGAGATGAACTTTGGGATAGAAATTAAAAATGAGAAATTAGATATACCCTTTCTTGGTGTTTAATCCTGTCCCAACAGCAGTTCCACCTTGTGCAAGCTGGCCAAAACATGATGGCAAGTTAGAGCCCAGTGAAAAGTGGACAAGTACAGTAAATCAGATTCTAACAAAAATATCATCTCCCGAACCTGATAGAGGCGGGGTAGAGTGCATGTCACCCTATGAAGTCCATACTTAACCTGCAATCATGAGATAAAAAAGTTTGAAAATGAATACCAGATTGCATGTGATTTTCAATTGTGTTAGATGAACCAAGTTTTCTGAACAAACAGCTTACCTGAGTAGCATAGCCACCAAATTCTTGTCCTAGCGTCAAAGGTGTGGCATCTTGAGTGTGAGTTCTTCCGATTTTCACAATATCTTTGAACTCGAATGACTGCCAGAAACCAAGCAAGATAAGGTAAGTTTGAAAGATGTCAGCATATAGAGCAGATAGACCATTAAGCCTGAGTGCATATTCAACAGATATGTGAAGAGGACTAGAAAGAGGTCTAGAAAATCAGGATTAAATAACATCTACAAAGCAACTCTCAACTATACATAGTACCACACTGAAGTGAACTGCGGTCAGAATTGATTCACGACACCATTTAGGTCAGAGCAAGTTTCAATATTAAAAGAGTAGTGTGTTGCAATTTTAGCGAAAAGATTAAGTGTGTCACTTGAAAAAGAGCGGAAAAAGGTCAGACCTTAGAGTCCAAAGTGCTATGCAAGGTTTTCAAACTAGGGATGAGCCTCGAATTAATCTCGGTTGCAGCTGCAATGTGCATGACCTAGACAGATCCGAAACAATATCACAGTCAATTAACAGAGCAATGAGCATACATATAAGATAAGAAGAGCAACCTTTTTCATAAAGTGCGTAAGCAATTCAAAACTTACAGTTGGAAAGGTGTCATTAGAAGACTGCGATCTATTCACATGGTCATTTGGGTGCACACTTTTGTCACCACGTTTGTGACCAAGAATCTCAGCTGCTCTATTCGCAATAACCTGTGAAGAGCAAAACAAAAAAGAAACACAACGCTTTATGATGCATCAAAAAGATCCTACGAAGACAAAATTTCATAAAACTGCACACAAATTACCTCATTAGCATTCATATTACTCTGAGTGCCACTACCAGTTTGCCACACAACAAGCGGGAAATGATCATTGAGCTTTCCCTCAGCTACTTCCTGTGAAGCTTCCATAATCGCTTTCCCAATCGTCGGATCAAGACCATATTCCATGTTCACCTAAATTATAGTTATCTCAGTTTATCACGAACCAATACGATATAGCAAATGAGAATTTAGATGCAAATTTTCACCAAAATTCCCAAATCCCAGAAGCTATAGCTAGAGTGTTACCTTGGCAGCGCATTTCTTCAAGACGCCAAAAGCGCGGACGATTGGTTCAGGCATTCGCTCGCGCTCACCGCCGATTTCAAAGTTCTGCAGCGATCTCTGCGTCTGGGCTCCCCACAATCTGACACAGAACAACGATTAAAACCATGAAATGTCACTGTGAAATATCGTTTTCCAAATATTCAACGATCTGGTAAAGATGAGATTCCGAACTTATCGGAAGGAACTTGGATCGGCCCGAAGGTGTCCCTCTCCTCCCTAAACGACGTCGAATAAGATCTCAGCGCGGTGGCGTAACGCAGCGCCGTCGCACTTGTTCTGCTGGAGAGCCGCCGCGATGCGACGTAAATCGCCATGGGTTCTTCTACCTAAGAGTAATACTGCACCGAGCGAAGAGGCGAGAGAAGAATCATCAAATTACGCATTTCTAAAACCAGAAAAACACTAGGATTTAACGAATCTGTAAACGTCAATAGCGAAAGAGAACCTTCGAAGAGGAAGATGGAGAGTTGAAAGATGACGACGGATCAAGTTGCAGACGAGCAGAGCAGAAAGAGAGATAGACGAAAGATAGGGCAAACAAAAACAAAATTTTAATATTAGAGAAATGAAATGATTCAACGAATCAACATGGGTTGGTCCGAATTTGAAAAGTATGGGGGCGAATAACGATTTTGAGAAAAGTATTAATACTTTTTCTAACAAATGATAAATAACTCTTCATTATTCATTTTACAAAAGATAAATAGTTTGTATATTTCAGTTTTCAAAAAGCAAAAAAAATATTATTTGTAGTTTCTAATAGGGAAGATGATGACCAATAAGATAGCCAAAGTTCGTATAACTAGCTAGAAATGAATTAGATAAATTATGGTAATGTTACCATTTTTAACTCTGCAAATCATAACAACTTATCTCAAGAAAAATAGTGTAGATACAAATGTTTCAAATCTTTGTTTATGTCCAGCTAGTGAATATACATACATACAACAAACCCAAGAATGAAAACCAAAGCAACAAGAAGAAAACTATTGCTGCATTGTGTGTAGCTATGTCTGTGTCATATATATATAAGAAACATGCACAGCCAAAAGAGAGAGAGATGAAACAAGAAATCAGTGGAAGAAGAATCAGAAAGAAAACGAATCAAATCAAAAACGAATAAAAAACCAGGTGAAATGTGTATGTAGTATAATGTATGCGTGTGAGTGAATCGCTTATCGCCTTCAATGTCTGACGGTAGCTTTCCGCTTCATATCAGCAGGACCAAACTGTTTCGTGCCACGAGGACCATTCGCAAGCTTAAGCTTCTGTGAAGCTGAAGGACGTGTAACCGTGATTGAGTTCCTACATTTTTTGGAAACAAAATCAGAAAACTGCTAAAGATTCCATATTGTTTGATATGGTTTTAGTTAGTATAAGAGAGTTGGTGAAAAGAACCTTAATTGAGGAGGACTTTTTATCGATTTAGAGACAGGTTTCTTGGGTTTTGACTCAATATGGCTTGTTGTTGATGATGTCTTGGAGGATTGGTTAAACTGCCACAGCAAATCTGGCTCAGACGAGTCACTTGTGGCTGCATCTAGATCGTCTGTGTTGTTGTTTCCCATGAAGATGTTGTAAGAATGTTCAGAGAATAATCTTGAAGTGTCTGAAGAAAGTTCTCTCGTGTAAAAATCTTCAGGCAGAACACTGATCCCACTGTCTGTTGTTCCTCCTCCCCAAAGACTCTCCACTCTTCTCATCTCGTCTTGCCTGTGATTCACCATTACCTTATCAACCCACTCACTTCTGTCTTCGTCTCTGTATGTTTGGCCTGGACTTGCTACTGGTGGCCATGGTGGTGAGTTCACTGTAATCTCCTCCACTTCACAGCTTTCAGTTTTCTGCAATCACTCAAAACATAAAGAACGTCCAATTTGAGAAATGATTTTTTTTTTTTAATTAGAAAACTAACTTCAACAGTTTGAAAAGAGAGAAGAATCACCTCTACTTCACCAGTTTTGGCTTTGTGTTTCTCAGAGCCACCAGGAGTTGTTAAGATCTTGTTGTTCAGTTGTGACTCTGCTTCTTTTCTCGCGAGTGCTGCTTTAAGAGTAGCAACCTATTAACAAAGCAAAGCCCATGTGTGAGTCAGTCAAACATATACTTTTAGCCAAGAAACTAAAACCATTATGTTCATCAGTTAAAGCAAAAACAAACCTGTTCTTTGAGTTCCTTGACGTCTGAAGTATCATTGTTCACCCGAGCAGCACCGAGCTCAACCGTAGCTACTCTCTCTGCAAATTTCAAAGTGCTTATTGTTTCCCCAACTGCATCTGCCTCGGGACTGATATGGACAAACATCAATGTCTTTGCTTGTCCTCCTTATATAACACATTTGCAATCCCAAGTTAAGAGAGAAGCGAGTTTTCTATGGCTGCAAATATTGGTGAATAAATAATTCATATTCTTTACCAAGAGAGTCTTGAAGGAGTTGTGTGAGTTTGCTGTTTCTGTAAGGAACATGTGGGTTCTTGTGAGCTAGTGAAGCAATCACATCTCCTAAAGCAGAGAGAGATCTGTTGATGTGTTGTGCTTCTTTTAGTCTGTCTCCAGTAACCTCAGATTTGTCCACCCTTTCACTGCCTGCTAGATCCACAAGGTGCATGCATCCTCGCAGAACAGCTCCTGAAGTCAAGTCTCTACCTTGAACATGTACAGTCAAGCAACTACAAAACAAAAATTTGACAATGTTAAACTGAATATACATAAGACATTTGAAGACTAATGGGTTCTCTCTTTGCTCTTGAAAAGATTTTCATGTTTACCTGTGAGAACGACTGCTTCGATCATTCAAGGCTGTTGATCCAACAGCACGATTCTTATGCCCAACTTTCATCACATCAATAACATCTAATGTTGAAGAAACCGGCACAAGACTTGCATCCGGTACACTTAGACCCTTTTGAGAGCTGCTCCTAATCTCTAACGTAACAAAAACGTTAAGGAATATAAATCAAAACATAAAAATGAACTATCTCTCTCTATCTCTCTAACCAGCTCATTGAGAAGCAGAACCATTCATGAAAGAAAAAAAGGATATCTTTTAGTGCTTCCATCAGTAACCAAAAGGTCTCTGACTTGCTCATTGTAAATCTCAATCATCTGAACAGCTATATCATAACGGAATGTGTCTTTTCTCTGTTCAGCAAGAAGAAACAGATCACCAAGTGCTCTATAGTTAACTCCTTGACTCTTCTCTGTTAGATCTCTTGGTCCACTCTAGAGAAGTTACACAAAAGGGAAAACATTTAAGATACCTTCAAAATGTCACAATCGTTGATAATCGTAGTTTCAACTACAATCTTACCATTGTGTGTGTTTTTCCAGATCCAGTTTGACCATATGCAAATATGCAAACATTGAATCCATCAAGAACAGAACGGATCAATGGCTGCATATCAGAGAATACCTCCTCTACAAAGAGCAAGATAGAGATCCTTCAGGTTCAATTCAATCACTGAAGAGTAAGAGATCAGCATTTCAGTTTCATTACCTTGACTAGCTGATGGGCCAAAGACTTTGTTGAAAGTGAAGGACTTGAGTGATTTTCCATGTCTTGATGCAGTACTAATCGCTATAGTATCGTCCTCCATGTTCCCAATTGTACTAGAAAAGCTGGATTGTCCAGGCAAAAATGGTCGGACCCGGCAATAGACACGGATGCTACCTTTGAGGTCCTGAACTTGGTTATAAAGTTTTCGGTTTTCTTCAAGAACTCGGTGATAGCCAGAAGCAGCATGAGCAAGACCATGAACATGCATACCTTCAGAAGACAGATATTGATTCATAAGTTTCAAATTGTTGAATATTTAAAGCTCTTAGAAAAAGGAGAAAAAAAAGTTTTGAATACCAAGAGAAGAGAACTCTTCTTGAAATTTCTTCTGCATGTATTGCATACCAGCCCTTGTAGTGTAAAGTGTTTGCCTTAGTCCCTAAAAAGAACATAAAGAACACTAACTACACTCAGAATCTATGGTATTCTAAAACGGAAGAAGTGGTAAGAAGTTTGAATGGAGCTGCTTAGTGCCTACTTCTATATCTTGTTGTTGTTGGTTGAAGATTGTCAATTGTTGATTTTTCATCTCCTTGTCAAGAATCAGGCTTTTCTGATTGGTTTCATCTTTCTTCATTGCTTTGAAACTCTTCTCTTCTCTCTACAAAGGCATTTTAATAATCAGCGTAATCTTCTAACCTATCTTTTACAGAGAAGAAGAGTGAAGACTTTACCTCTCTTTCACCAAGAGGTTGAACAAATGATTTGTTGTTATGAGAAGAAGTTGTTTCTCTTGGAGCTTCTCTAACCTTCACATGACAAAGTTCATTTGATTAGAAGAATTTTGACACAGCCAAAGAACATATTTTGTAAATTAATCAATGAGCCAAAGAGATGCAAGAAACATGAAACATACCAAATGATACTGATTTGAAACTCGATTTTCAAACTCTTGGACAACTTTGCTAAGCAGAGATTCAATCAGCTGTTACCACACAACATTAGTCACTTACATCAAGAACATAACAAAGCCAAACGATTTAAAGAAACAAGAAGAAACAGAAATGGCAAAGTGAAGAAGTGTGAAACTCACGTTAGGCACATCCTCAGGCTTTTTATCCGATAGAACAGCGCGAACAAGTGTGCTCAAGGAACCTGAATTTGACTGAAAACAGAGGCACAGAGACAAATCAACATCAAACATTCTCACTTGAGAAGACAAAACAAACCAGAGACAGTTGAAGAGACCAACCCCTTTGTTAGAAGCAGTCTCAGAGGTGGATTTCTCGTTGTTGATCGATGAGGTTCTCGATAAAGAGTTCATGAAGGGCTCAGAGTTTTTCCTCACAAATGAAGATTTCCCAATTGTAGGAGCCTTTATGCTACCGCCAAATTTCCAAACTCCAATTCCACCACTTTGTTTCCACTCATCATACGATTTGATTGCCAAAACACAGTTGACTACACGAGAAGCTTTTCCTCCCTACCAAAATAAAATAAAATATTCATGATCAGTTTCTTAAAGAGTCTTGAAATTAATTCATAAGAGACGAATGATTCCAAGACTACGTACTTGCTCAAGATCAGATGCTTCAAAAGTTGGAAAGCCCATTTCCTGGATAGCAACGAGGAAGTTCCTAACATTCTCAAAATACTGAAACGCTGACAACGGCGCTCCATCGGCGACGACAAGGGCATCACAAGGACTTTCCACAACCTGATGACTCAACAAAAGAATGATCAAAATTCTCAACAAACAGGGATCACATTTCTGATTTCTGATTCAGACCAAAGTCTTTATGTATGTTACCTTGGAAACAGCGCCAGGCTGGACCTTGTTGAGGACTTTGCAAAGGATGATTCCACTTCTCAGTCCAAGCCTAAGCCCTTCCTCTGTTGGCTCTGCTGGCAAATCTTTAGCTCCAACCACTCCCACCATCTTCCTCAGCCAGCTGGCCGCTTCGTATCTCCTCGATGCTACGCAAATTAAATGCACAAACAAGATCCAAGGAAGATGATTCATATTGGATTCATCATAAATTCAGACATTCTCTGTTAATCGTCAATGAGAGTAGAGAGAGATAGAGATACCAGCTTCTTCAGCTCGACGAGACTCTAGATCGTCATCTCTCAGCCCATTCCCGTGTTGCTGCAACACATCCTCCATTACTGACGCCACCGTGAAGCTCAATCCTACCTCCTCCGTCGCCATCAGCTCCAACAATTTAATCTAACAAAATCTCACAGCTCCAGCAGCATCAAAAGCAAAAATCCACTGCAGAGTTTCAGAACAATCACACTGATCCGGATCGGAGAGAGAGAGAGAGAGAGAGAGAGACTAGAGAAACGGTAGAAAAAAAAGAGAGAGAATGTTGGAGATTTCTTTTTTTTTTCCCAGAAGAGAGAGAGAGCTTGGGCTGAGATTATAAAAGGTAGTGTGAGATTTGATAATGAATTAATGGAGAAGAAGAATACTCATAACCTCCATGAGAGCGCTCTCAAATACAAGGTTGTAAAGCTAACTGCTTTATACTCTGTCCTCTTCACTCTTCCTTTCTCTCTAAATTCTCTCCGCTCTCCGAACCTCTAGCTTCGGAATTGACATGTAAATAAAAATAAAAAATAAAACACGAGACGCTTCGCTTTTTCCCTCCCTAACCAGCAACCAACCCAAACCTCTATTATAATAAGAAACGTATTCTCAGGTTTTCTCTTTTCCCGCGCGTATCCATCACGCGAAGAATCTTTTTCGGTTAACCTCTCCCCTCTACCGTTTGGATTTTATAACCTTTCTATTTTTATCGATTTATTAGGCTCCTTGTTATTATTGTTGCGTAAACTGGATTATATCATGTCATAACTCCTAAGTGTGTATTTGTTCCTACCGTTACATTATACTACAATTTTAGTTATTACAATAGTATTTTGTCTGATCCAGTTTTTTTTGCATTTTTGGTACATTATCGAATTTTGCCGTTTGAAGAAAGTTTCGTGGGATCGTGTTTTGTTTGTATCACGATCAGATCATCCTCGACGTATTTTTTTATTATTGCAAATTAGTTAGCTACTCCAATTGTATTTGTTTTTAATTCATCGTTGATGCTACTAGTGTTACTCCATTTTCTAGTTCAATTTTATGCTCTATTAGTAGTGCTTAGTATGCATTCTGAAATTTTATAAGAAACTTCGATTGTTACTAACCCAACCTATTTAAAAATGATAAAATTTGATGGTTTAAGATCCGATCTTCATATTGTTTTGAAAATAGGATTTCTTGTTTCTATGTTTTATTCATTTGCTCGTAAAAAGTATAACGTAAGTTTGTTTGTCAAGATGAAATAAGATAATGGATCACTAAAATCGGTAACAAATCAAAGTAGCTATAACGGTAGTTGTGAGCTAGTTGATTCCATGTGTCCTTTGTAATGCTTTAGAAGCAAAGAAACAATTAAATATAAGTTTTTCTTTAGTATTGACTAGTATTGAGTATTGAGTGACATAATCGAAACAATTAATTATAATGAATGCTTGTGTTTTATAATGTTGTTATATAAGTAGAATGTTATAAGTAGAATGTTATAAGTAGAATGTTAGGCGAGACATTCCTTTCCAAATATACCTTGAGGAATTAGGGAGTTAGTTGAAAGTTACTGCAGTTAGGTCCATTACCCAATCTCTTCATCATTTTGACTAGCTATAGCATAGGATCCTTTTCCCGTTTAAATTATGTGTTTGTGTAACGGTTGGTTAATTTTATGTCCCATTTTATACATGAACATTACTACATTACCCAAAGATATTCATTAAGAAGTCGGGAAATGCAGAGAGTTAAAGTAAGAACAATATTCACATGACTATTTTGCTAAGACTACTGTATTATATCTATAACACATGGTTAGTTTATGTTATATATTGGTTGGTAAACACAATGAAATCCATCTTAAGACCATATGGATATTGGCCTTTAGGAAAGACAATCTTATTTTTAAACTGGCAATAAAAAAAATTTGTAATTAAGATATTGATCATTTTCTTTTCATAACGGCCGCACTAAGTGACATTGAAATTTATTATTCCAAATAGGCAAATCGGTAGATAATAAACATTGTATATGGGCAACGTGTTAACATCCTACGGTGTCAATGAGATCCCCACACCACCAAACATTGAAGGCGATATTTTGATTAAGACATCCGATTATTTCTAGATTGTTAGTATAATTCTGTAATTTTAAAATTCTAAGAAAATGAAATATGAATGTTTGTAGAGAGATAGAGACGACTCCAAGTAGGTTAGCTTCAACGTTCAAGAAATTCAAATGAGTGACTCGGAACCGAACCTAGTCAGGTTCGGGATGCGAGCCTAGCAGGTAACCCCACGTAGAGCGTCTCTGGCGGAGACCCACGTCGCACAAAATTAATCGACTTGGATGGTGCTACCACCGTCTGTCACCAAAGTCAATAACACAAACGAACAGATCACTGCCACGTGGCTTTGGTGACATTTTCATCTCTGTTCTGTATGAGGAGGAAAGACCAATCGCATACTTTAGCGCGTGTCATGCCCCCGCTTCTTTCACGCCTAGCCCAAAGAAGAAAATTAGCATAAGTAGATGAAAATTATGCTCCGAGTTGAAATTTTGAAATTTTGAAATGCTACCTGATCATTGAGCAGAATAATAATAAAATAAAAAGTATTTGATTTTTGATGAATAAACAGAAGAACCATGAGTTATGAATATATATTGTCCTTATCTAAACAGAGTTTAGTGTATTCACCTTTAGAAAAACTTTCGATTAAGGAGAAAGAATAAAGAGGAGAGAAACAGAGCATGTGGGAATTCAATCATAATTTTGATGTTCCAATACCTTTTTTTTGTATTAAAGCATCTTTCCCCCCTAATAATCCACTTTTCCCATTGTTTTAAAGGGATTAGGGAAATAACGTTTATTTTTCTATATATAGACCATGAAAAATATACAATTTCTCACAACTTTAGACTAAGAGCAATTGAATAAATTTAATTATTTTTTGAAGTTCATAATTCACCATCAGTAGTAGTTAATAAAAGTACGTAAAAAAACTTTTAAAAATTATAATAATTTATAATTTGTATTTTGATATGATATGTAATATTATAATTTCGAAAGAAATAAACTCCACAATTTAATTTCAATTTATTTGTTAGCAATTGACTTTCAAATATATATTTTTTGCATCATACTATATTTCCCCTCAACTCTATGTGTTTACTCATCGTTAGATATAATAGATTCTAATTCCCGTCATCGCTTTTCGCTGGATGGATTTCTCTATATATTAGGATAATTTATATATTAAATAATAACTTAAAATTGAAGTCGAAAAGTAACAGTTTTGGAATAATTGAGTAGTTTCCGTTATAACAAGAGGAATCTTTAAAAGTGACTTATTATCTTCACACATAATAAGTTTGTATATTGTAACTTATTACTTTCTAAACGGGAAAAGACAATAAAAATTTAATTTTTGGTTTTTTAAAATTGAAAACTCTTATGGCACATGTTATCTTCTCATGTGTGCATATATCCAAAATATGGAGATAATTGTTTTTTTTTCATATATATATATAATAATAAAGTGGTTTTAATTATAATAAACTATATGTTTAGTATTAAAGATGGAAACTGAAGTATAATAGTTTTAAAATAACAATGTGATTTTAATTACAATAAATTAAATAAGATTTAAATTTATTAATTGAAAAGAAAAGAAAAAGTCATTCCACATGTCAATTATAGAAGTGTCTACATGTCACATATATGGAGATAGTTGGCCTCTTTTCATATATATGATTTCAAGATAAAGATAAAACATCTCTTAAGCTCACATTAGTACAGAAATACTTATCAACTAAAAATGTCTTATAGTTTAGTCTGTTCAAGTATGCAATAAAATCATTATTCCAAAACATAACGGCGTCATTTACTATCCATCATCTATTCTGTAAACTTTATCCGTAATCACAACAAGAGATGATTAGTAACTTTATTACTGTAGCACACGATCTGTTTTGTCGTTTTATATTATCATCACATTCACATCCTATGCACTCGCAAAACACTATTTGGTATTTAAATTAAATTCACCGCACTCGCATCACATGTAATCCCGATCCCACAAAAGCATGATTGTACATCGTATGGGAATTACAAAATGTTGCGATCACATGTTGTCATCTATGCTTCACAAAACATGCGCTTTCGAATCATATGTTTCCTTTTTCCGTTTTTCCTTGTCTCTTGTCTAGCTTAATCAGGATATTTTACAAATAACATACATCAAGTAGGCAAATGTACGCAAGAGGTAATGTAAAACAAAATGAACAAATAAGGTTAGTAACTTCTTTTACAAGAAAAAAAAAACGTGATCGGAGAAAATAGTGATTAAATGATGGTTTATAATTATTTTTTTTGGTCCAAATGATTTATTTTCAAATCAATTTCTGATATTTTAAAGAACTGCTTGTTTTTTTGTTTTTGCTTCTCTAAGTGGTCGTGCCGCTAGCAAGGTATACATTTGCTGAATTTCAAACAAATTTACCAATCATTTGCATCCATCAAAAGTGTTTTTTACTTTATTTTGCTTGCCTTAAAAATGAAACCGTATGAGATTTATTTCTATATCTATAACAAATTAGGAGCAGAAAAAAAAAAAAAAGAAGTATCCCATGTTTTGATAGACACTGGAAAAGAAAAAGCAAAGTGCAACAACAACCCATCAATTTCACTATTATTCGATTTGATTGGCTTTTTCCTTTTCATTTATTTTTTAATATGGATCCAAAGCTCATCTAATGATACAGCAGGTATAATTGAAAAGGAAAAACACAGTCTAATCCATAACCATAAGGCCCAAAGATTTCATAAAATGTATGTTTACTATTAGTAACATGAAGCACAGCTGTTCGACGATCATTGCGAATTGAGAGACCAGCACAAACTTTCTTTCTTTCACAAATAGATGAAAGAACCAAAAAAAGAATCAGTCTTTTACAATGCCAAGAATAAATATTCTTTGAGGGTCTTTCAAGTTTCCAATTCTTGAGAAACCCACCCAAATTCTGATATCTCCGACAGAAACACGTCTGTGAGATTGTCCCTAATTCGAGGGACACTTTCTAAGTGTGTAAATAAAGATAATCCTGTTTTTACCTAAGTACTAAAACCACACAATCTAACCTCAATCGTCGTCATCATCATCAAAACATAACAATATTTTAAAGTAGAGAGCTTTGCTCAGAAGGCAAACGAGTGACAAGGAAACGATGAACCATTTCGAAGCTAGTGAATGTGATAGCTGCAGCAGGAGTTGTTCTCAGCAGATTCGTTGCACATCCCCTGTAAAAGCCGGCGAATCCATCTCGCTCAAACACTTTCCTTATGCAGTCTCTTACCCCCGAGTAACGTTTCTCACTGTGGTGTCCTTGCTCTTGAAGCCTCGTCTCACAACCTGCAAACGTCGTGCGTGACACTAAGATCAAATCAACCGAATCAACTCTCAAAAACCAAAGCTGAGAACCAAACTGAAATCAGTACCTCGTGCGGATAGGTTAATGTGGAAGCAAATATCTTTGCAATGGAAGAGGCAATTGCTACATCACGAGCACTCAGATTATCGATTGATTTATCACCTGTCGAATTCACAAAAACTTGGTTTATCTTATCTTATCTCGACAAAGATTTCACCTTTTTTCTAGGAATTCATTCGTCCAATTCACAAGATTTATGAAGAAATGTGTTACCTTTCTTGGCCAAGTAGATTTTGATCATCTCATAGGTAGGGAACTGAATGGCAACATGACTAATACCAGCTAGTGCAGGCACAAGACCACTGTTTGGTACCACAAAGAGACATTTTAATATATAAAAAAAAAGACATTTTATCAGGTCAACAGACAAAAAGTGCTGAGAGATGAGATGGAAAAAGAACCTGTACAGTCCGCGGATTCCTTCCTCGTAACCTTTTCTCCTTAAAGCAGACAGTGTGCTTTTGTACGGCATTATATTCGCTCTCATTCCTTGTGTCTGAACAGGAATCAAATAGATTCTTATTCTTCAGGACCAGATGGCATATATATATATATCAATGCAACAAGAGAAGGAAAAAAAAAGGACCTGAAGTCTGGTCTTGACAACCCAAAGAGGATTAGTGGCAATAGTAGTAGCAGCTCCAGCACCAGAGGCAGCCATTACGTTAGCACCAACGCTGAGTTTGTGGTCAGCATCTGTAATTATATGTCAAAGTGTAAAGGTGTAAACAAACAGATTGATTGAAACCGAAGCAAGTCACTAAAGCTTATATATATACTAAATGTTGTGTGTTTTGAGGACTAACCATTTGAAATAAGAAAGCTCTTGAGCTGGTCATACATTGTAAATAAACCTGCACAACAAAAAATATCACAACTTGTTCAGTTTCATAAGAGCTAAGATGAAAGGAAGCAATCGAAGAAAGCTTTAAACTCACAGCCCAATTGGAGAGAAGAGCCATCACGGTTGGGGAGAGACCTCTGTATAAGCCACGCATCCCTTCTTTCTTGAAGATCTGCTCTAGACTCCCAACTATTAGGCTACCTGATCACAACACACACACACACAACACACAAATTAAAAACATGGAAAAGCAATTTAGAGAACTTGGAAGAAAAAGAAAAGAAAAAAAGGACAAACGTTTGATGTTAGCATCGCCAAGCTTTGGCAGACCATGAACTTGAAACCTCGTTTTTATAACATCGAGAGGACACACAAACGTAGCCGCGAAAACCCCTTCAGAAAATTCAGAAACTTTCAATTGTTAGATATCGAGAGGCCACCTACGCAATTTTGTAACGAAACAATCAGATCGTGGAATTACCGGCGGCGGCACCGGCGGCTGCATTACAGAGGACGTTTTGGGAATTAGGAGGATGGGAATTAGCGGACATCTTTTAGATATACAGAGACTTGTGAAACAGAGCATTTGCAATTCTGTTTGAGTAATGTAAGATTCTTTCAATGGACATAAACAAACGACAAAGTAGCCAACATAGAAAATCAAGAACAAGGCAGTCTTTATGACAAGAGATTATTTGAGTTTCAGTTTTTAGGTCAGGACACAAAAACAGACAATCATATATAGTAGTAATAAAAGAAAGAAAAGAAAGAGCAGAGGGCGCTGCAAGACACTGATTCTGCTTTCTACTTGATAGTTGCCTTCTTCTTTCTCCCTCCAGTTAGGCTCTTCATTTTTTTTCTGGAAGTTCCAGCTTGAGAAACTCGGCTATCAAACCTCTACCGGCAGCGATTCTGACGTATCCTTTGTGACCAATCTCTTCTGTGCCATTGCTATCCTGAAACTCGAAAAATCTTTTTCCTTTGTATCTCCCATTCGCCACAAGCAGCATAGCGTGTCTTTCAAATTTCTGGCCAAACTCAGGAGGATCATACACTCCCTTGCCATAACTGTCAAAGTCATCAGTTACATTGACAACACAAGCTACGGGATGCTTCTTCAGCTCTCTAATCAACATCCTCTCAAACTTATTCTTAACTTTCTTTGCAAAAATCGTTTTCATGCTCTTAATCTTGAAGGACTCAGGTCAGTTAGCAGGAGAGTACACTTTCTGCTTCTCAAAATTATAGAGCAATGGATTATCCCGTTCCCTAACTATCCCAAAAGTCCTAAGCACCCATTCCAGTTCGTCAAAAATACACAAGCCATAATCATTTTCCGGACCGATGAGCAATGGAAAATACTCACGCATATACTGGACCAGATCTTCAATAGAAAGTTCTTCCTCCTCAGTGAGATCACCATTCTGGATCAGAAGGGCGGTGAAATGCCTAACAGTAGCAATAGTCAAGCATATACCCACATTTTGCTCGAGGACTTCCTTCAAAAGTTTGCTCTTCTTCCAGGTATTGAAGTAACAATTCAGGAGACATCGAACTTTCTTCTTCCGTTTCGACTCCAGAAGTCTCTTCTTTCGTTTCGACACCTGAAGTCTTCTGAGGATCCGGATCTAGAAATTAAAGCAAACAAGATTAATAAATGGAAACAAAAGAAGCAAATCATCAAAAAAATCGGAAACGGAAAGACTTACCGCCACCATTGTAGGCGTTTTGTCGGCGCAAATCGAGATCTAGGTCCCAGACGGCGACAACGAAGGATCATCAGTCCTTCTATACTCTGGTTTCGCCAAAATTGGGCCATTTTGCGTGGGCCGTTTGATGAGAAATGGTTCACAAAACGTACGCAACTGGTCCGATTGTAATAGATTCACAGTTTACTGCATCATTTTTTCATGTTTTCATGGGCTTCTACTGGATCAAAAAGGTAAAAAGATGACTAGAAATGAGACAAACAAACAAAATGGTAGACTTAATTTTTGTAGAAATATGCTCTTTAGCTTGTGTTGATCTTTTGGTATTGAATACATGGTATAAGAAGAGATTCACAGTTTTGAGGATCAAAACAATCAAGAGAAATGATTAATAGAATTGAAACAAACGGATCAGATGCTAGATTTAATCGAAATTTTATTTTTGTAGGAGTTAATTTCTCTTTAAATTGTGTTGATCTTTTCGTATTGAATAGATCCGATTAGAAGAGATACACAGTTTTCTGGATCAAAACAATCAAGAGAAATGATTAATAGAATTGAAACAAACAAATCAGATGCTAGATTTAATCGAAATTTTATTTTTGAAGAAGTTAATTTCTCTTCACCTTATGCTGATCTCTTGGAATTGAATTGATCCGATTAGAAGAGATTCACAGTTTTCTGGATCAAAACAATCAAGAGAAATGATTAATAGAATTGAAACAAACAAATCAGATGCTAGATTTAATCGAAATTTTATTTTTGAAGAAGTTAATTTCTCTTCACCTTATGCTGATCTCTTGGAATTGAATTGATCCGATTAGAAGAGATTCACAGTTTTCTGGATCAAAACAATCAAGAGAAATGATTAATAGAATTGAAACAAACAAATCAGATGCTAGATTTAATCGAAATTTTGTTTTTGAAGAAGTTAATTTCTCTTTACCTCATGCTGATCTTTTGGAATTGAACTGATCCGATTAGAGGAGATACAGATTTTGAATCACGATTTGTAAAGGCTTTCTGTGATACAATCAAATATGAAACAATCAGAAAGAAAAAGAGAGACGGAGGAGTGATCAGATTAATAGAAGGAGGAGCGTTTTTGTGATAAGATGTAGTAACATAATAATGAGAGGAGGAGGAAGAGTTGATTATATAAGGAATAGGCGTGAGTATGATAGGTCAACTACTTTGGTCATAAAAAGGTGCAATGTATTTTTCCCAGATTTCACGCCTGATTTATTTTATATTTTCCTATATTGCATTTATTTTTTTAAGATATATGGTCGACAGCAAATTTACTATTTTTGGGAAGATAAATCGTTAGCTGGATTTTACGACCTTTTCCAAAACTTATTTATTAAAGATTCTGGCCATTATTTTTGAAATTCCAACTGTAAATCACAATGTAATTCATTCTCCTTATTAATTATAAATGTCCCCACATAGCTTTCCTATTGTGTGACTAGCGTGAAATCTTCTCTTACGCATTATATACTCCTATTTTGCTTTTATCATTCAAATCTTCTCTCCTCGTTAGAACTTAGAAGCTCTGTTTAAAAAGAATTAAAAATTAAAAATGTCTTCCTTACCTAAACGTCTCTATTTTTATATTTTACTTTTATTATTTTGAGATTAGGTCGGCAACGACTATTATGGGGAAGATACATTCGCCGGATATTATGCCTCTTTCCAAAACGTCTTTTAAAGTATTTAATACTCATTATTATTAAAAAAATCTCGTCAAATCTCTATATATTTATTGTCTTCTCTCTCTCTCTCATTAAAAATGTTCCCAGTTCCCACAAAGCTTTTCAAATCGCCTCTTTAGTCGTGTCAAATCATTTCTTAATAGCGTAAAATCTTTCTGTAATTCAAATCTCCTCTCTTTAATACTACTAATGTAAAGTAAAGTAAAGTAATCTCCGGGGTATATTATTCTCTTTCTCTTTTTATAAAGTACAAAAGAACAAAATCTTAGTGGCAAGTGGGTTGCATGCAAGTGGGACGTGGCTGGACCAAAAATGCGGTGGCCATGCTCTGCCATTTTGTTATAGTAAAAGGCTATAAGCATGACTTTAGACCCAAAAACAAAAACATACTTATGTTTATTTCTGTCACTCTATTGTATTCTTCTGTACGTCGACCCAATATTATTCGTTAACATATAATTTCTCTTAATTCTTATATGATCCAAAACTTGAACCCAAAACCGAAGAGAACCAACTATAACCCGACCCAAATATCCAAATGTCCTAACCTAACTCTGGTATCAACTATCAGCCATAATCAACCCCATTTTCAAAATACATTTAAACATTGTTCCCTTTATTGTATGATTACTACAAATTTCTTTACCCTTGTTTTTTCAGTAGTTAGACTTTAGTTAGGTAGATGTTACAATATCGAAAGCCTATTATTAACTCCCTAACTCTGACTTTTGCTTCTTCCGAACAAAGCCACAGATTTTTATTTACTGCAAGGGGAAATATCACTCTCAGAGTCAGACTTATAAAGTCACAGCTGTGTCAAAAACGACAGCTTCTAATGTCAGAACCATTTTGTATAAAATTGATTAGACTCTTTTGTATATCTCTATTAGTGTTTCACACAGATTTTGAATGTTTAAATAAATACAAAATGTGTTTTATCTGTTTTAGAAATTCTGAATATTTCAAGTACAAACCTATGTAAGTTAAGATTATTTGAGTGAAGATTTAAGGTCCGGACACAAAAACAGAATCATATATATAAGTAGTAATAAAAAAAAAAGGAAAAAAAAGAGGAGAGGTTGCGTTGCATGACACTGATTCTGCTTTTTACTTGCTAGTTGTCTTCTTCTTTCTTCTCCCCCAAGTTAGGGTCTTCCTTTTCATTCTCCTCCACGTTAAGGAGAAGAATACGGCTCCTAATATACTTCTCCCTCCAGTTAGGGTCTTCTTCTTCTTTCTTCTGAAATTTAAGGAGACGGCTATGGAACTTCTCCCTCCAGTTAGGATCGGAACGACGCACTGATATGAAACAAGAAAGAATTAAATGACCAAGAATAACAGTAATAGCAAAAATCAAGAATGAAGAAGACAATTACTATATAGCTACCTTTGACAGGAGGATAGCAAATGGGGATATCCCGGGGTTTGACTGGGACTTCGGGTTGATTGAGAAGAAACGGGTCTTCAACAACAAGTTTGAAGCCTCCCAAGTCACTTCCACCAAGTTGCAAGGCCTTCTCCTTTGCGCCTTCTCCATAAATGGAAACACCGGCGCAACTGTCACCAAAAACAAAACATAACAAAAAAAAAGTCAATTAGTTAATTTTAGGGAAATTTATATATATATAAAAAAAAACTAGTGGAGGAAGATGCCACAAACTCGGTGTTATCAGGTTTTCTGTTGCGGGGATATAACAAGTCCACCTCCAAGACCTCTCCACATGAAGAGAAGTGTTTACCCAACGCCCTCTTGATAATCTTCCTAGGAATCGAGGTGTCATATCCCCTAACAAAAATCAGTTCGCTCCTGCATGGCAATCATTTTTTGCATATATATCATCAACAGTTACACAAGCATCTTTTACAGATACAAAATTAATCTCAACTTTTTACCTGCCGGATCGATGGCTTTTAGCTGATTTTAAATCCTCTCTGAGAGTCCTTTCCAAGAGCAGCAATGGCGCAGTAACAACTAGTTTGTGTCCATCCATCTCAATTCCACTAAGATGCAACGCATTCTCTTTTGCGCACTCTCCCAGAATTTCTATGTAAGCATGACTGTAACAAATACAAATTCTAGGTATAGCAAGCTTTAAAAAAAAAACAAGGCATGTATTATACAAGCAAAACACTTGAGCCATTAAGGTCAAAAACAAGCAAACAAACCTCTTGATAGCAGAGCTATAATAGGGATGAGGGATACAAACGGACTTGATCTTTCCACATGAAGAGAAATGATCTCTCAACTCGCTCTCCAGATGAAACACATGTTTCCTCGGCGTACAACCCTGAGGAACCGAAACGTCAAATCCCTCAGCTACAATGAGGACACGTTTACTGCAATAATTTGCATTACATTAATATCAACACAGTTGAAAACAACACATCAAAATTTATACATAACAACATCTCAACTACAACAACAACAAGACGGAAAATCAATTTACGTACCGGCTTTGTCGATCTCTCTTTACGTACCGGCTTCGTCGTTTTCTCTCTTCAGAGATACATTTACCGTTCAATTGCATCCCCTAAGGAAGTACACAAGATCTAATCATAGAAAGTTAAATCATCTACTACTTAAAACAGAAAATTTTCTAGGTTAAAAAACGATTAATTAACAAGCAGTGTGAGTATTGTAAGAAGAAGAACAAACAAGGAGAAGAAGATTACTTGGACGGCGGCGGTCTCGTCCATTGATAGAGCGACGACGGCTAGGTTTTCTTCGAGGTATTATTATTTCCAGATTTGGATTCGGGGAAGAATGAGGATACTCTGTGTGTGTAAATGTAAATAGGCAAACGATTGGGCCGTGAATTAAAGATTTTGTCATTTACGACAACTAAAGGGCCGCAATTACGTTGAGCATGAATGTTGGGCCTATGGAATGGAACCTATTGATTTGGCCCAAAATCACTTTCGATCAGAAAGGTGCCGAAGTTATATTTTATCTTTGTATATCTAGAGGTTGGATTTGTGCGGAAGATGATGGATGGTTTGGTGATCTTTGATGATTTTCAAAATATTTTTGAAGATTATTTAGTTTTTACTTATTCTTTTCAAGATTATTTAGATTCTCAAATCTACCGCGTTAAGAGCTTGAAAACAAGCATAATAATGTAATTTGTAATACACATAAAGACAAGATCAAGTTCTATGCGCATAGAAGTCAATAGAAGACTGGACTAAACGAATACGTTAACTATTTCCTATTTTTCTTCTTCCCTTATGCCGATCTTGTTGTATTTGGTACGGTAAATTTTTGAAACAATCAGAATGACAAACAAAATGAAAAATTGAAAACAAAAAAAACTTGCAAATAATCCACTTTCAACCATATCGGAGAAACTAGTGCAGCCAAATAATATCATAACAACTAACCAACAACAAACGCTTTACAGAAATTCTCTTGTGTTCAGTGACATGTCTCAGTTAGCAATTGAAATGTTCGAACTTGATTCTAACGATGAACCATTACTCTTTATAGAAGAATTACTGAAACCATCGTTTCTTGAGCTTGACTCTAACTGCTTTATACTCTGTCCTCTTCACTCTTCCTTTCTCTCCGCTCTTCGAGCCTGTAGCTTCGGAATAAATAAAACACGAGACGCTTCGCTTTTTCCCTCCCTAACCAGCAACCAACCCAACCTCTCCTTTCCCGCGCGTATCGATCACGCGAAGAATTTTTTCGGTTAAGCTCTCTCCTTTCTATTTTTATCGTTTTAGGCTCCTTATTTCTATTGTTGCGTAAACTGGATTATATCATGTCATAACTCGTAAGTGTATATTTGTTCCTACCGTTACATTAAACTACAATTTAGTTATTACTAAAGTATTCTGTCGGATCCAGTTTTATTGCATTTTTGGTACATGATCGAATTTTGCCGTTTGAAGAAAGTTTCGTGCATGGGATCGTGTTTTGTTTGTATTACGATCATCTTCGACGTATTTTTTTTTTTATTATTGCAAATTGATGTGATAACTAATGATAATATTTGATGGTTTAAGATCCGACTTTCATATTGTTTTGAAAATAGGATTTCGTATTTCTATGTTTTATTCATTTCGTCGTGAAAAGTATAACGCAAGTTTGTCAAGATGAAATAAGATGATGGATCGCTAAAATCGGTAACAAATCAAAGTAGCTATAACGGTAGTTGTGAGCTAGTTGATTCCATGTGTCCTTGTAATGCTGTAGAAGCAAAGAAACAAATAAATATAAGTTTTTTTTTTGTTCAAACTCTTAATTCTATTAATTAAGCTTGGGTGTTACACAATGAAGAGGAATTAAACATCCTCTTTGAATACTACCATACAACATCAGAAAATTAAAGCATAAGAAAGATAAATCTTCAAATGACAGCAGGTTATAAGCAAAGCTTAAACGCGTCGGAAGATACATCACGGGGCCGGATTTTTGTAGCCTAGTCACAATCATTGAGATCAAAGGTGACGTTGAAAAACAATTTCTTCCTCCGAGATTTGATGAATCAAATCTGGTTGCATCTTCAAGTTCCATGTAGACAGAAATGCAAGATGACAAAAAGGTAAGAAAATTGTAGAGCTTACTCGGGTGTGATTCCGAGAAGTATCCGCTTCTCATGGAGAAGGGAAGAGGTGGAGAATTTCTCTCTCTGTAAAGAGAGGAAGGTGGGAGCGATCTCTCCATGCCAACGGAGGAGGTTGAAATGTTAAACAACTCCCAAACAGGAAGAATTGGAAACATTCCGGCAATGAGTCTTCGTACAATTTCACGAAGCTTTGAGACCTTACTGTCAAAATGAGCCGCAACATCAGTTGGACTAGCTTTGAAATGCGTTGAAGGGAGCTTCCTTGATATAGACTTCTTCAGAACAGAGCTCCAGTGGACAGGACATGGACGAAGTCCAAAATTATACAACACCGGACCAAAATATGCAAATTGACGTTGACGGGAATCCAAGATCCCGATGTCCCTTCGCCGGCGAGGAGTAGGACGAGAAGCTTCGGTTGGCCAAAGCTTTGGAAGATGGTGGAGGGAAATGACAGATCTGGAACGAGGGAAGGAGATGGGTGTGAGGAGAATGGTAGCAGGGATGACCGTAAAGGTTAGAGAACCCAGGAACGAGATCGCGGATGTAGATCCGGAGGCTTCGACGGAGGTTTCGGAATCACCATAAGGATGCTCACTCGGAGTGAGAAAGGCTCGATGACCAGACGTACTGGCTGCTCTGGTAAGTTGAAGAAGAGAGGCGAGAGATCCGTCCTCAAGATCTCTGCAGATCCATTCTGTCACCGGAGGAGCAGCACGGCCGAGCAGCAAAAAGAGATAAAAAAAGTCTCGTCGGTAAAGATATCACCGGCGGAAAGAGAGTCATAGTCATCGGACGCCAAGTCGGAGCCCGGGAAAAAGCAAACCACGCTCCAATTTCAGGAGAAGAACCACCGGTGAAGGGGATTCATCCCGAAATCAAAGCAGAGCAACGGTTCGACGATCATTGCGAATTGAGAGACCAGCACAAACTCTTTCTTTCACAAATAGATGAAAGAAACAAAAAAAAACATAGAGAGAGAGAGAGAGACATAGATAAAAGAATCAGTCTTTTACAATGCCAAGAATAAATATTCTTTGAGGGTCTTTCAAGTTTCCAATTCTTGAGAAACCCACCCAAATTCTGATATCTCCGACAGAAACACAAGTCTGTGAGATTGTCCCTAATTCGAGGGACACTTTCTAAGTGTGTAAATAAAGATAATCCTGTTTTTACCTAAGTACTAAAACCACACAATCTAACCTCAATCGTCGTCATCATCATCAAAACATAACAATATTTTAAAGTAGAGAGCTTTGCTCAGAAGGCAAACGAGTGACAAGGAAACGATGAACCATTTCGAAGCTAGTGAATGTGATAGCTGCAGCAGGAGTTGTTCTCAGCAGATTCGTTGCACATCCCCTGTAAAAGCCGGCGAATCCATCTCGCTCAAACACTTTCCTTATGCAGTCTCTTACCCCCGAGTAACGTTTCTCACTGTGGTGTCCTTGCTCTTGAAGCCTCGCTCTCACAACCTGCAAACGTCGTGCGTGACACCAAGATATCAAATCAACCGAATCAACCTCTCAAAAACCAAAGCTGAGAACCAAAGAAATCAGTACCTCGTGCGGATAGGTTAATGTGGAAGCAAATATCTTTGCAATGGAAGAGGCAATTGCTACATCACGAGCACTCAGATTATCGATTGATTTATCACCTGTCGAATTCACAAAAACTTGGTTTATCTTATCTTATCTCGACAAAGATTTCACCTTTTTTCTAGGAATTCATTCGTCCAATTCACAAGATTTATGAAGAAATGTGTTACCTTTCTTGGCCAAGTAGATTTTGATCATCTCATAGGTAGGGAACTGAATGGCAACATGACTAATACCAGCTAGTGCAGGCACAAGACCACTGTTTGGTACCACAAAGAGACATTTTAATATATAAAAAAAAAGACATTTTATCAGGTCAACAGACAAAAAGTGCTGTGAGATGAGATGGAAAAAGAACCTGTACAGTCCGCGGATTCCCTCCTCGTAACCTATTCTCCTTAAAGCAGACAGTGTGCTTTTGTACGGCACTATATTCGCTCTCATTCCTTGTGTCTGAAGACCGAATCAAGATGGTGTTCAAATAGATTCTTATTCTTCAGGACCAGATGGCATATATATATATATCAATGCAACAAGAAGAGAAATAAAAAAACGGACCTGAAGTCTAGTCTTGACAACCCAAAGAGGATTAGTGGCAATAGTAGTAGCAGCTCCAGCACCAGAGGCAGCCATTACGTTAGCACCAACGCTGAGTTTGTGGTCAGCATCTGTAATTATATGTAAAGAGTAAAGAGTAAAGGTGTAAACAAGCAGATTGATTGAAACCGAAGCAAGTCACTAAAGCTTATATATATACTAAATGTTGTGTGTTTTGAGGACTAACCATTTGAAATAAGAAAGCTCTTGAGCTGGTCATACATTGTAAAATAAACCTGCACAACAAAAAATATCACAACTTGTTAAGTTTCATAAGAGCTAAGATGAAAGGAAGCAATCGAAGAAAGCTTTAAACTCACAGCCCAATTGGAGAGAAGAGCCATCACGGTTGGGGAGAGACCTCTGTATAAGCCACGCATCCCTTCTTTCTTGAAGATCTGCTCTAGACTCCCAACTATTAGGCTACCTGATCACAACACACACACACACAACACACAAATTAAAAACATGGAAAAGCAATTTAGAGAACTTGGAAGAAAAAGAAAAGAAAAAAAGGACAAACGTTTGATGTTAGCATCGCCAAGCTTTGGCAGTCCATGAACTTGAAACCTCGTTTTTATTACATCAAGAGGGCACACAAACGTAGCCGCGAAAACCCCTTCAAAAATTCAGAAACTTTCAATTGTTAGATATCGAGAGGCCACCTACGCAATTTTGTAACGAAACAATCAGATCGTGGAATTACCGGCGGCGGCACCGGCGGCTGCATTACAGAGGACGTTTTGGGAATTAGGAGGATGGGAATTAGCGGACATCTCTTCGATCTGAACGGAGAGGACGAAGAAGAAGAAGAGAATTTTTGGATACTTGCGTCGCCGGAGAATCAGAGAATGACAAAAAGTTTGTTTCCTCTCTCGAGAGGGATTTCGCGGCGAACCACCGTCGCATTGCCAACAAGGATCCGGAGTCCGAGTCTTATTTCTCCCTCTTCTGATAAAATGAGTCAACGGAAGTTAATTGAATCTGATGATGACGACGAAGAACATGGAAGAAATCGCAGAAACCGGCCGTGATTGTTTCGTTTACCGGAGGAGACGACTATTCAACGAGAGGGAGAGAGACGATAAGCAATTCAATAATTTTTTTCTAATTTTAAAAATTCGCTTTTCTTTTAGATATAAGAAATTAAAATTAAGTTTTTTTACTTGGCTCTTGTTTTTTTAGTTAATTCCTAAAATTATTGTACTCTCCACCAGACAAATCAGACCAAACCAAACACCAAACTCTGGTCCCATCAGCATGCCTTAATTTCCCATTGACATTACCACAATTTTTTTTCAGCTTTTTATATCGTCATAAATATTTTCTGATACAATTTTGTTTTTAACAAAATATTTTCTGATACAGTTGTTTATTTATATAGTCATGATTGTTAAGTTCTTGAATGATTTAAAATAAAATTTCTAAATTTGCATGTGTGAGGTGTGACTGTGTGAGAGAGGGAGGCTTGGCTCTATGGACCTCACCTGAGCATGTTACTTCCAAGCCAATGATATTACAGACTATGGGCCACGTGGAATCCAACTAGGACGTTGATGTTTGGTCCTCTTGCCATTAAGATCACCCACCACCAATCAAATAAAAAGTAGCTACAATTCCAAATCTCTAATTTTATTTGGGCCTAAAAGACTTGTATAAATTTATTGGGCTGATAAATATGATAACGCCTATGTGGTCAGCGGCTATGGTGAAAGAGTGAAGTTTCTGTTTAACCGATGAGTAAAAATTAATCAACCATATGCCAGACAAGACAACGATGTTAAGGTGTACTGGTTAGATTTCAACGGAATCGCAAATAATAAAAAAAGCAGAAACCAAAATCATTGAATCGCTATGTATGAGTATGACTAATGATGTAAGCAATGACGGTTCTTAGAGACTCGGTGGCTCGTTGCTTTGGACAGGAACATCATCATCAACTACTCGTCACTTGTACGATCTTATAAAAAATTGGTCGTCACTTACGGATTTGCAAATCATAACCACACGTAAAGATACGATTTCAAAGTGTAATGGTCAAGCAAACAGAAAGTCAACCAAACAATAAATCATTTGAAAAATAAAAATCTCGATTCCAACACAACACGTCCCCGTATATATACTTTTAAAAATGTAGTTAGATGTTACGACGTAAATGCAAACCGTGATCGACTATAGTATTTTATTAATTTTATTATTTTAGATTCACTTTTGATGTTTAATAATACAGATGACAATAACAACAACCTTAACATCGATATAGTCTCCATATGGATTTAATTTACCGTAAGGGGTGAGAGTACAAGAGAATCGGAAGGAAGCTTAGGTGTGTCGCGGTGCACGAGACTCCCCTGCTTCATCAGAATCGATTTGTAAATCTCCACCAGCTTCTTCTCATCGTACTCTCTCGACGGTAAACTCAACCCGTACCCGTATTCGCCGTACCCGTAGGACGACTCGATGACCCGAGAATTGGCCAGGCGCAGCATCATGTTGACGTAAGCATCTCGAAGCCACGTCAAAACCTTCTTAGGAGACCCCTTTTTGAAGATCCTCAGCTTCGGCACTATCTTGATCCTCCAAAACCGTCTCTTCCGGGTCGTCGAGTCTAACTTGACCCGCTTCACATTTCTCCGACCAGACTTTGCGTTCTTCGCCGACCCATCTAGCCTTTCGTAGCCTCTCGACCTCCGCCAATACCTAATCTCCATCACACTCTATCGCTGTTGTAGTTATAGATCTAGAGAGAGAAAGAGTGAGCAGTGGAGAAATTTAGTGAGAGAGAGAGAAGGAGACTTTTGGTTTATTTATAGAAGACCCACGGATCGATGATATGCATTGTATTATTCGATATAATTAATTTATTCCCAAAGTAATGAATCTTTCACGTAGGAGGTAGCTAGTAATGTATGTAGTAGTAGTAATAAAGGTACGAATTTCTGATCCGACAACAACGAAACGAACATATCCATAACAGAAAGTCAAAAGCTCAGAATTAATGAAGCATACTGAGTTTTCGTTAATTTCAACGCTTTCCTTTTTGGTGGAAGGAATTAAATTCATAAAACGCAATCAGATGCGCGTTTACAGCGAGACAGATTGGTGTTGCAATAAATGGGGCAACATGTGTTTGTAGTAAACGCAGTACTCTCAACACATCCTCTGGATCCCTTTTCGTGCCGTAAAGTAAAGTTAGTGTACGGTACTTTTTGGGGGTTTATAAAGTTGATGGTTTATTTTGTGTATTTGGACTTCGTTTACTACTAAATTAGGAAAGTAAAAGCAGTCAGTCCAATTTTCTTGTCAATATATAATTGTGTGAATAACATGGTGAGTTGGTGACGTGAAATTTGTTGATAAAGAAATAAAAAATCTCTTTGTAGAAAAAAAGAGAAAATAATAATCAGACCAGCAAAATCTGAGTGTAGCATGCCGCTTCCTTCTTGATTGAGCTTTTGTTTGTATTGTATAAAGACGACTGACACGGCAACTACCACCAAACGTAATTGTGTGTGTGTGATTCCGATTCTGGTCTTTACTATTCGGGAAATGGCCTAATGACTGTATCTGACCCATTGTGTTTTAATAATTCTTCTAGAAAGGCTATATTTAATTGTCCAGTTCATGTTTCCGCGCGCATGTCAGCAGCATATTTAAAGAATCGGTTTGTAATGGAAATTAACAGCTGTTATTATTTACACAAAATCCAAGTCGTGATTACCAAAAACAAAAAAGCAAGAATCAAATTCAGTGAATACACAAGTGTATGTGAGGGTAGATTTCATGTGACAGGTGGTTAAAGCATTTGAGGAATCCTAAGCTTGTAAGCTGTTATTTATTTTGATGCAGCTGTTAATTATTCAACGTATGTTAATAACAGCTACTCACCAATACATAAAATACCTAAATTTGATGTCCATATATTATTATTTATTTTTTTCTTTATAAGAAGAAAACAAGGCCGGCCAAATACGAGTTGGCTCTCGTCTAACGAGTCCTATAAAATTTGCTTACAAACTCGGGATATATAATTCGATCTTCTGCAACTGAACGGAGCTCCGGCGTAAGTGAAAAATGGATGGTCAAGATGGGTTTGGGTACGGGTCGGATCAAAGAAGTTACACCGTTAATCGGAGGACAGAAATCGTGAGCGGTAAGGGAGGAAGTAATGAGATCTACGGGAGTCCTCCCGCGGGGGAAATGGCAGCGCGTAGGAGCAATGCGTCGTCGGTGAGGCCGTCTTGGGGTGGTTTAAATGATGCGGAGATGAAGAGGAAGAAGAGAATCGCGAGATATAAAGCTTATACCGTGGAAGGAAAAGTTAAATCGAGTTTGAAGAATGGTTTTCGATGGATTCGGAATAAATGTTGTCAGATTGTTCATCGGTTTTGACTTTATTTCATTTTCCAACGCATATGAATCTTATGCGGTGTTGTGCGTTTTAGTCGGAGTTAATTTGAATATTTGATTAGTCATATCATATCACAACCACATGCATTTGAGTACTACTATCGATGTGGCCACAATGAAACGCCAGTGTACTTAACGGTTTAAGCCCGTAGCTTGAACCCAGTCTCATCCAGGTAAAACCGTTAACGGTAGACACTAATATTAACGGTCATTTTACCGGTCCGATTCGTTCGGTTTATTTTATGTCAAGATTGTGGCCCATATTAACAAGCGAGTGTCGTATATTACCACAATTTATTAGCTCTGCTCATTTGTCTCACCAATTCATGTAATTTTTGGTACTTGGTACTCAGTTTCGGGAGTTTGTAAGGGAAAGAAAGAGAGAGAATAACGTTTATGATGGTTTACGAAAAGACAAGGAAACTTTGGTTCAAAAGAGTTCCAGAAATAACCACAAATCTCGACAGACTTAAAATCTCCAAAACACCGATTCTAGAAATCGTATTTGTTATAATGAGGTCTATCGACTCCTCCTATTCTCTCAGGCTGCGCCTTGTTGGCTTCTAAGAAGAAGCGACGAACGTGTTAAGGATATTTTTCTTCACTGTCAATTCATCAGCTTTCCCCGGACTTATCGACTGCACCCACACAAAAAGCCATTCGAAAATGTTTAGTCTCTATAAAACGTCCGATTCCAAAGCAACTAGCTAATCTAGAGAGAATAAATTTAGGGGTAGACCTTGCTAAGGACGCGTCCAAGCCGCTCGACTTCTTTGGAAGCATAATCAGAACCTTTTTCTGTGTACTTCTTTGCGAGCTTCGAGTAAAGCTCTCCATACCTATACAGAAGAAGCTTAATCATGAATCAATGGAATAACAAGAAGAAACCTTTACACTCTTTAATGATCAAAAGCTGCTACACACTTTGCTGTGGAGCCCTTAAGGTTGCTAGCTTCCTCTTCGATGCGAGACAAGATTGCTTTCTTCTCATCTTCACTCGCTGCAACAAGCTCCTTCACCAACGCATCTAAGCTTTCAACCACACCAGCCTTTGAAGTAAGCTGGCCTTTACTGTCCCTGCTCGTCCCTGCTTTCTCGTTGATGAAGTTTACAAAGTCATCTACATCCCTGCCACCGTCATAATCTTGCCCGGCTTTGTTGTCTTTTGGGAAGAATTTCAATGTTGGGAATCCGCTTACTCCAAACCTGTGGAACCAAATATGTAGTTGCTTTATATCATCTGCGGTTTTACCATAATAATAACATGATTTTATACAGTAAAATCAGAAAGTCCAAAATCCTTACTTCTCGCCAAGGCCTTTGTGTGCATCAGCATCCAAATTGGCAATGACTACACCTTCTTCCTGCTTAAACACTGTAGCTACCTTCTCGTATACCTGATGAATTAACAAAAACATTAATAACAAAATGAAAGAGGATTGTTGATATATCAAAAGTAGACAAAATAGTTGAACTTACAGGAGCGAGGGACTTGCAGTGGCCACACCTGGAAAAAACGCAATTTCGAAATTTAGAAAACATAGCATGAAACCAAAACTAAGACAGTGGAGAAAGGAGATACTACCATGGAGCATAAAACTCGACCAAGACATCTTTGTTTTGATCCAGAACAATCTCATCGAAATTATCAGGTGTTAACACAACAACGTTCTGTGGAACTGCAGCTAACTTCACGTTGGTACCTGATAACATATTTGTTCAACAATAAGCAAAGTAGTTTCATGCCTAAGTAAGAAAATTTGGAAAGATGGAAGTTATAAATCCCAAAAATGGGAGAGAATCAACGAAAGTACCTCCTTCTTTGTTCACATATTCAGCCAAGGCTTCCGCATTGCGTGGACCTTCGTACCTGTTCATAAGATAGATGAGAAAAAACCATCACTCATTATCTATAACATAAACTTAAATCCAGTAAATAATCTGCTTAAGGGAATCTGTAAAAGCTTACTTTTGAGGTTCAAGGGATCCTTTGGGAAACCATTGAATAGTTGGATATCCACTAACACCAAACTTAGTGCAGACAGTCTTATGCTCATCACAATCCACCTTCACCACAATACACGAAAATTAACCAACGAATCGGTCATCTCTCAAACATTGGAGCTACATAGCAAATCAAGAATAACACTGACCTTTGCAATTAAAACTGACTTAGCTTTCTTGAAGCTTGCCCCAAGCTTCTCATACTCTGGAGCAAGTTTCTTGCAGTGCCCACACCTGTAATCACAACACAACAACCATTTTTAACTTTAAGAAACAATTCCAAAGTGGATTCTTAATAACTTCATCCTCTATCATAAGAGATCAGAAATCCACTCTTGAGTTTCGAACTGTCAAATTCACCAGCACATCAGTAACTCTAGTTGCTCAATAAACCATCTCAATCGATTTCAAAAATCTACATACTCAAAAAAATCATGACTATCAGCTCAGAAAACTGCAATCACAAATCAAAACATTTCCCCAGACAAATCGAACAGAAGATTTACAGATCAAAATCACTAATCTAACAAAAAGGATCGCATAAGCATCCTTGAACCTATAGCTACTTAGATCACGAAGAATAAACGATTCGATGAATTGATCCATACCAGGGAGCGTAAAACTCGACAAGAGCTCCTTTATCTTGACCGACCTCCTTCTCGAAGCTATCGTCCGTCAAAACAAGCACGTCGTCTGCTATGGCTGACACCAGAAGCAACGCGAGTAACGCAAACCCAAACCAGATCTGAGATTTCGCCATTTTTTTGTTCGTCTTTCACTTGGAGCTTCGATCTTTCTGAGAAGTGCTCTCTGTTATTAAACGTAGCTCATAATTTTCGCTTAGTGAAGAAGCTACAGAAACAGAGAGAAAATAAAATAATAAAATAATGACATGGCGTGATGTGGGTCGTCGATGTAATCACAGATTAATACGGACGGTGATCGAGAGTTGTAGCTACGTGGCTGGATTACATGTCGGATTATGAATGGTTTCGCTCTCCACATCTTTCACGGAGACGAGAAGAGAAAAAGTCTTCCCAAAATAATAAGGAAGTCCCTCAACTTTCCTATAGTTTCGTTATTCACCCTTGCTTTTGAAATTTGTAATCTAACACAGCACCAGAGAATTAACGGCAATACGACGTCGTAATACTAGTCATCGACCGATAAAACGAATCTAATTTGTTTGGGCCTGAATGGGTTTTCTTTGCAATTATATAGCTGAAATACAGACAGCCCAATAAAATGTCATACCTGCCGACAAAGAAAAACTATTTGTCTTGTCTAAAATAACTTGCTATTTTTTGTTTTAATCTTTCTTATGTGAATATATTACTGACAGAGCTGAACAAAACATAGAATTTAAAAAGAATAATGTAAGAGAGAGAAGAAAAAAAATGCGTTGAAATTTGTATTTGTAGATTGTGTTGTGAACATTGTACTTGTGTATATATAAGAGCTAGTATAGCTTAACCAACCTTAATAACAATGTTATAAATCTTAGCATAACAAAGTGTCATCTATTCTTAAAACGCGTTCTTCAAAAGTTCAAATAGTAACATTTTTAACCTGGAAGATAGAAGCTTCAAAACTTGTATTTTGAAAGCAAAGCTCCTCTTAAAATCTTACTAGTATGAAAATGCAGATGTTAAACAAACTTACGTTATCATTCAAGTACATTTTTTTAGAGGAACCATGTTTTAAAGTTTAGAAATCACATACATTTTTATATATATTACCGGGACATAATATACAACGAATAAGAAGAGACAAGGAGTTTGAACAAAAAAAAAAAAAAAAAAAAAAAAAAGAAGAGACAAGGAGTGGAAATGCTAAGAGGAGAAGTAGACAAGAAGAAAAAGTACATGGCGTCACGTGGGAGTTTCCAAAGACTATGGAACCAATTCGGACTTATAAGAAAGCGACCGTTTTAATTTCCCTTGTATTATGCGTATATTCAAAATATCAACTTTGGAAAGAAAACAAAAATCTCCTTTGTATTTTGGGACATGCCAAGTTGCCGCCAACTGGTATTCCATGAATCAATCTTCCAAACATAAGTTTAATGCGTAGGGTCCTTCGTTCTTGCCCAACAAATAATCTCTACGTCCCTTTTCTGTTATATAGAGTTTACTAAAATTCGTTAAAGCTTGATAACGAATTGTTAGTGGTCATAGTTGGCTATTTGGCCGTATTGTAAAGCCGGTTGAAATGTAGTCCAAATTAAATGTACACCTATATTTTGTTCCTCTTTATTAGATTACATGAAAAAGGAAATAAGTAAGACGAAACCTACAGCCAGATTAGCTTTTCTTACCCTACAACGCCGATGATGACTTATTTTTACTTTACCAAAATCAAACCATAACGAAAGAGAATGTATACGCCAATATGTCGATAATAATATCATGCGTTCATGCCAAATGAAATGGATTCAAACTGTAATTGCTACAGCAACAAAAAACAAAACAAAACAGATTTCACTTGAATTATTTATAGATACTTCTACCCCAAAAAAGAAAATACAGAAATATCTCTAAGAGAGCAGCCAAGCGACCAACGCATTTTCCTCGTCATGATCCAACGGTTCACCAAAGTTCTCGCAGTTACTTTTCCCGATCGTGGCCTCATCATCACCGTCCAAAAGCCACGAGACCATTGAATCAGGACTGTCTTTCTCATCCCAAAGCTTATTCTTGTCACCTCCTTGCCAAACACAGTCCCAATCAATAAACTCATCCGTCAACGACGCACCGTTGACTTGTTGCTGCTCGTAGTTGACAAACGACTCCACCGACGGACAAGATTCTAGATTCCCTTGCTTCGAAGTCTCCGAGAACCCTCTGGCTCCTTGAGAGTCTCCTAAATGATCACCACCACACGACGTGAACACGTGGCCTGGGTCCGAGTCGTCCAACAAAAGATCAATGATGTCATCATCAAAGGACAAAACTCCATTATCGCCATCAATGCTCATGAGGTTATTGTTATCGCAATAAGCTCCTCCTTCATGACAGGCTTCATAGCAGTCACATGGTCCTAGCTCAGCCTCGGCTCCACTTAGCTCCATCATTAATGCTTCTTCTTCCGCCACCGCTTTAACCGCTACGTCGTCGGCGACTGGCTTCGACGTTTTCTTCGTCTTTCGAGTTTTAGGGCTGTGGGTTTTGGGTTTCATGGCGGATCTGCTGGTCCTCCCTGGTCTACGTTTTGCTTGTGGCTGCGGCGACGACAGAGGAGCGTTCATGATCACGGCGGAGACGTCGTGGGAGATGGACGGCTTTCTGATGAAGTTGTGGAGTTTACGGCTGAGATGAGAGTTCCAATAGTTTTTTATTTCGTTGTCTGTTCTCCCTGGTAGATGGCCCGCAATTAGTGACCACCTGCATTATTAGACTAATTAATTAATTATTTATCCCCTAATAGTAACAATTTCTTGAACAACCTTAAAGAACAAATGAAATAAAAGATGTTCGTGGCCCGACGGGAATCAATAGAATAATGGCAAGAACAGTTTTAAATCTGATTTTGCCATGCGGATATGACTGATTGACTACTGACCTAACCGTGCTTCTAGAAATAAAATTATTAATTACCATAAATTCGTATATATACTAGAAATCACTCGAGCAATGTCAATAATGAGTGAGAGTGACTAATTTGTATTGATGTCCTTGTCCGATTTTCAATAGAGGAAACAAGCACAATGACATTTACTTTAGCAGACCTATATTTGTTTACAACTTCCATCAATCATAGATACTCTCTGTACAACCTTGAATGGTTGGATCATCAATAAAAAAATCATCCAGCTCTTTCGCTTAACTATGAATTTTTAAATATGTTAACTCATATTTTAAAATTTCATATGTTTTATCTTTTATGTGTTCCAGTTAGTGCGTATGTAATATATGTAGAGTACATTTAGTTTGTCTCAACTAATATAAAAAAAAGTCTGACAACCAAGGCTTATAAAAGCACCTAGAGCTAGAGAGACCCACAACGGAAGAAAAAAAAAAGAGTTTTACAAAGAAAACAGGACTTCACGACTGTAAGTTTGGTAATCTACTGTCAAAATTTAAACTCCAGACCATGGAGAAAATGTTCACACAAAGGCAAAGAAAATTAACTAGAGAAAATAACATTAAAATTATCCTTTATTAGTTAAAAAGCCTTATTTATCTGAGAATACAATGCATATAAATCATTGTCCGATAGTAAATTGGAATAATGAAAATGATTAAAGTGATAGAATACCTGTTTCCCAAAGTGGAATGCAATTTAACAACGAGTTCTTCTTCTTCTGGAGTTATATTCCCACGCTTGAGGTCAGCTCTGAGATAGTTTATCCATCTCAATCTACAGCTCTTTCCACACCTTTTCAATCCTTTTAATAAGAAAAAAATTAACAAATATTAAAACACGTCAGAATTTATATATAACTATACAAACATCTGTTTGTTTGTTCCTTTAGTACACGTTTAGTTTTCAAAATATGTATTTAAAAAATAATGTATTCGTCAAAGAAGTACTCCGTTGATACATATTTATTTTTATGGGGTCTGATATATGACTGATCACGAGTTCCTTAGCAGTCAGATATTTGTATTCGCATATTATAACATACACAACTACAAAAATTCCTCAACTACTGAATTAATTAATCTTGTATTAAAAGCGAAGTTGAATAATATAAACAAAGTTAGAGATGAATTAGATCTGATTCTTGAAATGACACACAACGGACAAAATATATAAATACGCACATCAATTTGAAGCATACACTTTGGCAGACTATAAGTCTATAACCAACCCTTTAAAGCTTACTTTGGCAGCACTTTACATACGTATATTTACAACCCATTGTGACTGTGACACTGACAGATAACCAAAAAAACGTAAATGAATAATCGACACGAGATCAAAGAGACGTTGCAACTAAATTAGCTTATATCCTAACGAAATTTTACTTTGAAAATACTACTAAATAAATAAAACTTTGTAACAATCCATGGTTTATGAAGACTACACACGAGCCCCGATTACTTCTCTTTTCTCTTAAGACATTGTCATAGCTAGCTTGAAGTTTGTTGTACTTGTAAATTGTAATCACAATATGAAAAAAAAAAAACAAAATGTATAAATATAATTACCAGCATTTTTGGGGAGAGATCTCCAAGAGCCTTCACCGTTGGATTGAATATAGTTGGAGAGAATCTGGTCTTCCTCCGCCGTCCACCGCCCTCTCTTTATCCCCACCTTCTCGCAACACGGTGCTCTTCCCATTTTCTCCGGCGGTTATATGTATTTATGATTCTCGCAATGACCACAAAAGTCACGCTATGGAAACAGAGAGAAAGAAAGAAAGAAAGAGAGTGTGTAAGTATGAGAGAGAGGACAAGAAAAGAGAAGTTACCGAGTGACAGACAACAGAAGGAAAAGTGACTGATTTGGTATTTATAGCGGAAAGATCAACAATTTATTAAAAGCGGATTAAAGAGCTCGCGCGTTCTAGGGCGAAGTAGATGATGACACGTGGGTGGTGCATGAAGCGCCACGTCGTTTTGGGAAGAGACTGAAGTCGTGGCTCATTCACCATCGAGAGACTCGTGATCGGTACGTTCAGGCTCGTCGTGGTTCTCTTAGACGCTCGCTAATTGCCTAATTCTAGTGACTATTTGTGTGCCAATATGGCGAGATCACTACATCACCTTTTTCTTTTTCTTTAAACTTTGTTCATCAAAATATCTTAAATTGGATGAAATTTAGTTATTGTGGGTCACGTGAATACGTAGATCATATAGTAATCGCATGTTTTGAACAATTATATAAATAATCCGGATCTTGGTCTGTTGACCAAATCGTCTTTGACTCTTTGCTCGGACTACAAAACACGTGTGCGGTCGTTAACACGTGTAAGCTTTGGAGCTTTCATTAGCTATATCATATCAAAATTACGAGAACAAACCGAATGTAAGGTTTGTAACTTAGGAGAGTGGAACGTGAATTCGTGTCGCTTTCCACGTAATACATAGATTTAACTAATTATCTGCAGATGTTGTAAGTGTACGAAAACAAAGTGATCAAATGTATATACTGTAGTTGCTGAGTTTGGTCCTAATTAACCAAACGAGTTAAATTGTTTAATATCCTGATCTATACACGACGCAACAGCCTAATAAGTTGTATCGTCCGCGATATTCTTTGCCAGTTACGTACAAAATACTGAAATATACCAATTATATTCGAAGGAATCTTATGGAATCTGTGGAGGAAATAAATATGACAAGTTTGCATAACTAACAAAATACACGAAAACAAGAGGACAACCAACAAAATATGTTTCCCATTTACTGCTCATCTAACTACGTGTTCCCCACATGACTTTATTTTCCCTTTCGTTTATGTGTTGGCACTTCCGTTCGTATCTTATATAGGACGACTCATGGAGAAAGACCCTAGTACTACATAGTACTATTCAATTTTTCTAACACCAAACTATCTTCTTCTTTTTTCTTTCTTGTATTCAAATTTCATTGAAGGATCCAATACCCAAACTAATTAACTTTCAAGAGACATTATTTGTTCTCATTTAAAAGATTTTATTTTAGCATGATGAAATCACACTTACATTATTCAAACTATGATCCTATCAACTAGATTTTTTTCTTCCTACCAGTAGTACATCACCATGAAATGAGTTGAGAAATTCATATTAACTTGTGATGAGTATAGAAATATAAATGGTTATTTTCTTATGTACAAAAGTCAGCGAAACTAGTACTCTAATTGTTATGTTTCCTGCCATCTTTGCCTAGAAACACATACAAAGAAATGAGAATAGTATGTATAACCTTTGCCCAGAGTCGTCTCTGGCTATTATAGAAAGAAAAAAGGGACCTACTAAAATTTTTTTTACAGCTCAGAGTTTCAAACCTTTCACTAGAAGTCCAACTTTTGTTTATTAATATAGGCTTCACAGTTCAGAAGCCCATCTTCCTTGGCTTCTATCCAGGACCAAATCTGGTAATAACGAGAAAATTGGAATAACGTTTGTAAACCTTTGTTGTTTGTTTTGGTTGGTATAGTAACGTTTGTTCCATTTAGAGAATTTTGTAAAGATGTCAACATGAGAACAGATTTGAACACGGACTATGATGCCACATTTGTACTCCCGCACTTCGTCAGCCTTTTAAACCCGTAACCAACCTCTAATGGTAATACCCTCTAAAGTTAGAGAATAACAAAGTTCTTGAACAAGGAAAATCCACCAATTGCTACACCAAAAATCAAATCAACATCATTTGCAACACACATAAAGAAGATAAACTCCACAAACCATGATCCGGACTTTGCTTGGAAGATATTTAGGTCCCGTTAGGGGAGATGTATGAGTTTCACCTTATAATTCCTCAGTTTTCTTAAAAACGCAAGCACTCTCCATATAAAATACCAACGACTTATCTCACTACCAATAAACCTTTACATGACATTGATATTATTATCTTACAGCCTGTGCATCATCTTTGTTTTATTTAGGTTTTCTAATCTTAAACTAATTAATCATCCCAATACCATTAATGCATTAAATGGGAGTCAAACTATATAGATAGGATTCATCCACAAATTACTAACGGCTGCCCAACTAATCAACTCATTTCTAGGGCAATTCTCGAGAATCCAATTACAATAAAAAAATACCAAATTTTCAAATTCCCATCGGCTCAATTTAGTATTTTAATCTGATTTGTAGTTTGATTTACGTGAGCAAATTTGAGCTTTCGTGACTTTATATATATATGCACATTAAAAGAAAGAGACGTACTACATCGAAGATATAAAAGTAAAGTGACAAAATTTTCCTGCAGTGGAATAATCTTCAATACCTACTATCGTTTTCATACATAAATTCTTATTTTCTTCATTTATTTTTTTATGACGGCTGAATGATTTTTCTTTACTGTACGGATTATGGAGACGAAGAGTCTCCATCTTTTACAAGTTGCTGATTTGGTTCAAAAATACCGGTTCGATGCTTAGCAGGTGAGAGCTTCGTATTTAACCGGGATTGGATGGTTCAACCCAGCCCGGGTTAGAAGATTCCCAACAGCAGCGAGATCTCTACAGAACACTCCTTGGTACGCATTTGAATTGATCGGTTTCGTTTCATTGTTTTTGGTTATCTTAACTGAACCGTATTTTTCAACCGGTTTGCGTTCTTCAATCTTCTTCTGTATTGGCGTTTGAGCCTGAGCCTGGGCCTGAGCCGCCGCAGTGTTCTTTCTCAGCTTCTCTGCCGCCTCCTCTGCTATGATCGCCGTCACAGCAGAATATCCCTTCTGAATCAAACGGTAAAGCAACAACGAAGACATCTTCGCTCGATCTCTGACCGAATCGACGTCGGTTTGATCGGTGAACTCGCACCGTTCGATGAAAGACGAGGCTCGATCGGGTTTGTATCTCAAACACAGCAATAGATGAGCTCGGTCGAGCTCCGATCTGGTGCATCCGCGTCTGACTCCGATCAAGCCGTAATAGTCGACATTCCCAGTTTCTCCGTTTGCAATTTTCTGCTTCAGCTTCTGCGTTTTGGTTGTCAACACGCACAATTTCCCTGGGATTTCTCTGTATTTCACATTGTGACGCTTCCACACTGGACCTGGAAGTTTCCGATCTCGTAAAATGGTGTTGTAGAGAAGCTTCAAGTGTTCTAGATCGTGAAGCGAATCTGTGAAACACCGGACTGTTTCCAGGAGCGCAGCTCTCGTCTCCAGCGCTTGGATGCACGACGGTTCGAGAGCTAGAGTTTTGTTGCAATCGGCGATCGCCTCTGCGATTCTGCCGGCGGATCTATACGCGGCGGCTCGATGCATATAGCATTCGGCGAGGAATCCTTGCGGCGCAGGACGACGACCATCTACGATCTTCGAGAAGTGACGGATTGACTCAGAGAAAAGACCCGCGTCGAGTGCGGCGATTGCAGCGGCGCGACGACGGAGAAGGAGCTTTATGTGAGCGAGGAGGTGAGTGAAATTCTCACCCTCAGTGAGGTTGCGTGGTGGAGACGCGGAGGAGGATTCGGAGAGGAGAATGAAGCTATCGTCGGACCAGCAAACACTCCGACGACGAAACTCGGCGGAGGCGAGACGTTTACCGGTTTGAAGCAGAACCATCGCATCCTCCATTAGTCCTAGGTGGCAACAAGCTTGACCCAAAACAACGTACCTGAAAATTTAAAAGAAATTAAACTAATTAATAAACAACGTTTGCGTTTTGTGCGGCGCGTTTACTCAAAGTAATTAAATAAACGAGTGAAATACCTCCATTGCCCTTCTTTGTCGCACTTCTTACAGATGCCTGCCATTACTTTCTTCTTCAAATCAGAAACAGAGAAGCATTTAAACGACGACGAGTCACGTCCCGGCGAAGACCCGCCGGAGAGAAGCTTCACTCCGTCGCGAGGGGAGGAGGATGAAGAGGAGGAGGAAGAGGAGCCTTCCGATGAAGCGGATGCTTCTTCGTCGTTAGCGGCGAGCTTGAGACTGGGAATATACTCCTGAAGCATATCGGCGACTTCTTTGAAACGACGGAGGAAGAGCAGAGATCTAGCCTTGAGCTCTAAGGCCGTCTCGAAACGCGGCGATATGGATAACGCTGCGTCAAGTAAATGAAGAGCTGAAGTGACGTCGTTGAGCTCCTCACTTGCCATTAAGGTCCTTGCATCTTTAATGTACGTATCAACAAGCTGAGAGACCCAAAAAAGGAAGAAAATTTTAAAATCTTTGAATGGAATATTGATTTTTCTCAAGAACAGAGGAATTTGAGATTTTGTTACCTTTCTTTGAGTGAACCACCAGTGCTTCTTATCACCATTAACGTTAGGATAAATCACCGCCATTGGTTTTGTTTGAAATTATTCAATCGATTTAAATCATCAAGAACAGTAAAACCTTTCAATGCGTACAAGCTTTATAATCTCTCCCGCAAATTCCTTGCTTCTTCTTGCTTCTCCAAGATTGAAAAAGAAAGAGAAGTGATCGTAAAGGAACAGAGAAGAGAGAGAAGAGAGAGAAGAGATGGAGAGAGAGAGAGAGAGAGAGAGAGAGAGAGAGAGAGTGTGAATGTGGAGAGAAACAGAGTCACTATAAGGAAGAGAGAGAGAGAGAGATGACAGCTTTGGCCTTTGAGAGAAAGCTTTGATCCTTCAAATTCATAGCTGGCAACATTTCTCTTTTACATATTCTCTTCTTTCTTTCTCTCTCTCCAATGAAAAATCTCTAGTATTTTAGGTTTCACACTGTCATTCCCTAATCTTCGATTAATAATTCAATAGTGTCTTATTAATTAACCATATAATAAAATTACCATACCTTTGTAAATGTCTAGCCTATTATGTATGCATCAAGTTCAAGAACAAAGATTTAAGTAAAATGTTTTTTTTATACATGCTAAGTTAATATTTCAAAGTTTTTCATTATCAATTGTTCGACTCTATTTTTCCACCTTCGTGTTATTTGAAAAAATAAAAAAATTTAGCATGATAATGCGACATTTGAGTCTCGACCATGTGAATATTTGCGTATAGTGGCACGTTATAGTGCTTAGATAGTGGATACATGATATTTTGCATGTTGTATAGTTCAATGATGAATATCGAATTAACAAGTTGGATTTCATAAACATCTGTAAACAATTATTGTAGCGCTAGTTATTTCAAGAAGTGTATGATCTAAAATTCAAACTAAACAAAATAAATCCAAAATTAAACTCATCAGCTATTATACGTGGTGCCTAAGATGTATGGTATTACTGGAATTAAGTAGGTTATTAGTGGTAACATCATAAATCAGCTCTAATAAGCCTCTAATACCATGTGATTTGTTTTAAGGAAAAAAGTGGTTTGGTTCTCAAGTCATCTTGTAAGCTGTAAGGAGCAAGACAAGAATCAAGGCTTTTCGATTTGTACTCAACTATTTCATAAAATTTGTATTTGTATCTGTAATTACTAAACTGGACACTAGCATGTCTGTTGATTTTGACCTTAAAATGGAATTACGTACTGTGTGAGCAAATATGAATATAAGATACGGACCTTGCTCAATTTGTTTTTGTGGCTACGCTTGATTAGCCAATTTCGACAACGATACCTAAACTTGTCAAATCAAATAATTAAATGCATTGCCACGTAAGTAATAGTCCAGTTAACTTCGTGACACGTGTCAATCAATATCAGTTATAGGTGAACCAATGAACGAAAGGACTGGTACATGTACAGATCAGCGTTGTGCATTGCCACACATCATTATTATTATTGCCTATTTGGCATACCAAACTCTCCTATTTTGTAATTTACGTATATCATCAACTCATCATAATCGTGTTTTTTTTTTCTTTCTAAAAACATACCACAGATCGGGGTAATACGTTTTTTTTTTTCAAATCAAGTTAAAGGACATGCAAATATGTTGTATACATTTGTGTATTAGTTTCTAAACCTCTGAAACCGCCTAAATGACGATAACTTACTTGATATTTGAAGAATGAACAAGTGTGACATAGTAGTACTGTTTATGGATCCAAACATACAATTTTTCGCTTAAATTTAAAAAAAAAAATCAAAACTGCAATCACAATATTGAGAGAAATAGGTGAATTCGGCAGCTGTTGATTTTAATCTGATTGGAGCTGTGGCCTCTGCAATAATTGCGGAAGATTCCATTAGAGGCTGACTTAATATAAGTGGTGCCAATTATGTTCTGCAAGGAAAAGAAACTTGGGGGTCCATAGCCACGTTGCTTACAATCGTCACAACTATACATTATACTTTATAACTAAAAACATAGTAAATATGGTGTATATTTTGATCGCATAATAGAAAAATTGCTAGATTTTATAATATAATGTTTATAATGCTAGTAACAATAGTTTTTCCCCTCTTCTTTACTTGAGTATTGGTCAATTTTTCCACGATACTGTCATAGAAGTATATTAAAAAAAAACTAGCACTGCAAAATGGTTTGAATACAATTTAAAGAAAAAAAACAGTCGGTCAAATATATGCTTGATTGACTTGATGGCAAAAACAAAAAGACAGGCTCATCATAAAGAAATTAATGCATAAGTGGAAAAAACACATGTTGTGCCTCGACTTCCTTTGAATTAAATCAAATAAATTTGTTGCTAATAAAAATCAAATAAATATATAAACAAGACCATAGACAAATGCAATCTTATTCCATTTCGTCTCATACGATTCTTTTATTCTGTCAAGGGACAGTTAACCCTTATTATTGGGAACTCTATTTTCATGGATAAGAAAATCACTATAATCCAACAACAAGAGAAAAATGATTAACTGATTATTTTACAGGTATTGGTATGACTTAATCCCCCCACATTTATTTGCACCTATAGATAACATAATAATACTAATATACTCCTATAGTTCAGTCTCTTAAACTTCTATTATAATGAGAACTACAATCTTTGATGTTGATGAATTTTGGTTTTAAGACTGAGATAATAAGAGTGAAATAGCATGGATCATGAGAGATGAAAGAGGGAATATGCAATGGTTTGGGTCAAAAGTCTATCCTCATCTTCGGGAATTTGCTCATAAAAATCCTGAACTATTTGAAATGAGAATAAATATTCCCAAGTATCACTTGCGCAGTTTTATTCCTCATGTTAACGTTGACTGCTTAAAATTGAGATTAATGAAGTCAACCGTTTAACAGTAGACGGAACATCGTTAACGTATATCGCGATAATAATCGCGTTTTCTCTTTCTAAACACAAAACCCCAAATCCCTAATCGAAGAGAAGACCCAAATTCCGACAACTCCTGGCGGAATCCGACGATTAGAGGCGCAATCCGGCGAGGGAAGACGGATTCTGGCGTGCATAGCCAATTTCCGACATAAGAATGGTGAAAACTTTTACTGGAACAAGAGGAGGACGGAAAAAAATTCCTGTTCGAAGGCAGAATGAGATCCAATCTGAGATGGTTTCAAATGCAACAGAAGATGAAAGGTAAAATCAACTTCTCTGTGATTTTGATTGAAGTTAGTTTAAGAAAATTATAGTGGAGCAATTAGGGATTCGGATTTTGAAACAACAGTTAGAGATTTTCTATTACTGTATAGAGAAATTAGAAATTTGAAGATAAGATTTTGAGTTTGATTCAACTTGTTGCAGGCCACGAGATGCAGAATCAAATGTCCCTGAAGAAACAAACAGAGTTGGCGAAGCAGAAGAAGAAAGAATCACAAATATGACAGAAAATTGTGAAGAAGAGAGGTCCCGTGAAAAAGCAACTGAAGCTGAAAGAGAAGATATTGGGAATGAAGAAGAACCTGTAGAGTCAAGTGATGATTCATCAGTTGATGGAGATGATTGTGAAGTCATTGTTGAAGATAGAGCTGGATACCAAGAAACTGAGCCATCTTTGAGGATGAACGATGATGGTGATTTTTTTGAAGTAGAAGTTTGTGAGGAAGCCCATTTTGTGGAAGCTGGTTGTGAGGATGCAAATGCAAATGCAGATGACGATTCTGATGACATCGGCCATGATATGTGGGATGATGATCACATTCCAGATCCGCCTTCAGATGATGATTGCGAACAGGAAGAGCATGTCCAGCGATTCAACTATGGTCCTGAAGAGCTGTTAGCGTTAGGGAAAACATTCAATAACGCAGAGGAATTCAAACTTGCAGTCCTCAAGTATTCTTTGACGACACAATACGATATTGTGTTTTACAAATCATCGGTGGATAGGCTTGGTGCGAGGTGTACACAACACATTGAAGAAAAGTGTCAATGGAGAGTGTATTGCTCATTTGAGAGAGGCAGAAACAAGTTGCTGGTAAAAGTCTTCAACAACAATCACATCTGTGTGAGATCAGGTTACACAAAGCTTCTGAAAAGTGGAGCAATCGCACTGCTTTGGGAGGAAAGACTTCGGCTTAATTCTAAAATCAAATCGCAAGATATGGTTGACGAGATTAAACGAGAGCACAATATGATTGTTACTTACAGTCAGTGTCGAAGAGCAAAGTATCTTCTCTCAAGGAAAAGAAAGGCGTGTCACGAAGCTCATTTTGCTAGGATATGGGACTATCAAGAAGAGGTACTTGAATCTAATCCTGGATCGACTATGGAGATTGAAACAATTCCTGGACCAGTCCCTGGAGGCAAGCAACGATTCTACCGTCTTTATGTTTGCTTTGAAGCATTGAAATCGGCTTGGAAGCAGTCATGTAGACCCATAATTGGATTAGATGCTGCATTTATGAAATGGGATGTCAAAGGCCAAATGTTAGCTGCAGTTGGTAGAGATGGGGATAATAGAATCTTTCCTATTGCTTGGGCAGTGGTGGATGTGGAGGATAATCCGAATTGGTTGTGGTTTATGCAACTTTTAAAAAGGGATTTGGGACTTGAAGATGGAGCTAACATTACTATCATCTCTGACAAACATAATGTATGTCTATGTTTAACATTTTTTTTTCTGTGTGAAGATGATTTAGTTTTATGAAAACATTTTTCGCTTGGTTTTGATTTTTGTGTCTGTTTTGTTTCTCTTTGTGTGACAGGGAATTTTAGCTGCTGTTCATGAGGAGCTTCCAAAAGCAGAACATAGAATGTGTGCAAGACACATTCTTGAAAATTGGAAGAAGACTAACAAAGACATTGAGCTTGAGCGTAAGTTTTGGAAGATAGCACGAAGTTATACAATAGAAGCCTTTCAGAGTAACTTAGAAGCATTGAAGGAATACAACCAAGGTGCATATGATTCATTGCAATGCACACAACCAACAACATGGTCTCGGCCTTTCTTCAAACTCGGGTCTTATTGCAATGATAACCTCAACAACCTGTCAGAGTCTTTTAACAGAAGCGTTAGAGAGGCAAGAAGAAAACCTTTGCTTGATTTTTTAACAGATGTGAGGAGGCAATGCATGGTGAGAAACGCAAAGAGAAATCTTATAACTCATAGATGGAAGAAAAGGTTTACACCAAGAGCAGACAAAGAGATTGAGCTAAATAGGCAGAAAGCTAAAGACTGCAAGCGGTACATGAGCACATGAAGTTTACATGAGGTGGACTTTAATGGTACTGGTTACCGTGTGGATATGGAGAAGAAAACTTGTGGATGTGGCTATTGGCAAATGAATGGCATACCTTGTATGCATGCTATGTGTGTAATCACGACAACAAGGTTAGATCTCAATGATTATGTCTCTGATTTTTACTTGACTTCAAAGTGGAGGCAATTGTATTTTCGAGGTATGAGACCTGTCCAAGGAATGAAACTGTGGAGACGGTTAGGTAGGTTGCCTGTTTTACCACCACCACCAAGGAACAAAAAGGGAAAACCTCATGACCATGCTAGAAAAAAAGCTCCTCATGAGTCGTCCTCTAATCCTTACAAGTTAACACGGCATGGTCGTGTAGGAACTTGCTCAAACTGCAAAAAAGAAGGACATAATAAGACAAGGTGTCCGGATCCAAGTGTACCTCCTCCACCAAAACGGCCAAGAGGTCGTCCAAAAAAAAACCAGGTTTGAGACCGTTGATTTCAGATTTTATGCTTGATTGGTGGTTTGGATCTGTTGCTGCTTATGCTTAATTCATTGCTTTTGTTTGTGTTACACACAGGGAGAGTCATCTCAAGGTGGAGCTTCTCAAGGTGGAGATTCTCAAGCTGGATCATCACAAGTAGGAGCTTCTCAATCATCACAAGGAAGATTCGGTTTCTCTTCTTAATCGTGAAAAACTTGTGTTCTTGTTTTGTTGAATCATATCAAGCTTGAGCATTTACAACATGAAGTACGTTTTATGTTTTTTTTGTTTAGACTTGGTTTCTATTTTTTTGATTCTTTTTGTTTTAGACAAAACAGTATGTCTCAAAACCGTTTACACCACCATCTCTTACAAGTCTCCAAAGCTTTAACATCATCTCTTACATAATCTCTTACATCTATCTAATAAACTGATCATAGTACATAATCTATAATCACATTAGTTACCAAATACAAGAGTGCTTCATTCACCATGGTTAAACACAATGTGATACATTATCACAAATGCCAACAAACACAAACAAAAAACAAGCACAATGTTCTTGATCTTGAGTTTGTTTAGTTCCTTTTTGCATTCGATGACCTCTTCAACCATATTTTCCATCTCACTTGTCATATTCTTCACTTCAATCTTCTCAACCATAACCTTCAGCTCATTCACTTCTTCATACATCGCATCTTCACCCACCTGAATAAGTGACCTTTCTAAAATCAAGAAACAAGAGCTTAGTACCATTACAAATACGTTCCAACTACAGAAAACGAAGAAATTACTAGCTAACCTTACGAGAAGCACCACAGCGAAAGTATGGACGTCCAGGATTATCTATTGACTCTGATACATACTTCCTAACATGACTTCCACAAACACATTTTTTGGGAAATCCTTGTTCTCCATAGAAGAACCCATACCCAGATGAGTTCCCAAATTCGTCTCTACAATTGGAACTTATCTCCTCCTACACGTAATCAGATCCAGTTCCATCATTCTATCATTTCATCAATCGATTTTTATTTACAGAGATACACACACTTACATTTTTAGTGGCAGACAAGATTGGTTCTGTTTCTGGGCAACGATTTTTGTTCTTCGTGATGTTCTTCATGGCTTCTCACTGAACTTCGCCGGATCTCGTTTGCAATTGCCCAAAATCGTTTTTTCCCCCAAAATCGCAATGTTTAGGGATTGGAGGATTTGGGAATTAGGTCTAAATTAGGGATTTCGTTTTTCCGCTCTTTAACAGTTTGATTTTTGAGTTTAGAAAGAGAAAACGCGATTATTATCGCGATATACGTTAACAATGTTCCATCTACTGTTAAACAGTTGACTTCATTAATCTCAATTTTAAGCAGTCAACGTTAACATGAGGAATAAAACTGCGCAAGTGATACTTGGGGAATATTTATTCTCATTTCAAATAGTTCAGGATTTTTATGAGCAAATCCCCCCCTCATCTTCAAGCAATAATGGATGTCAAATGCTCCAAATGTTTTCCTCCAAATGCTCTGTTTGCTAACAAAATGTGAATGCTTGGACGACTGTTAGATTGAAACAAGTCGAATCCATCAAATGTTAACTATGCAAAACCTTTGACAAAAAGAGAGTATATATAACTAAATTGATGCACAAAAGTATAAACAATTATGGTATATACGTATATGTGTGAAACAAAGAAAAGAAGGGATGTATGTATATATACTAGACACTGTCATGGATGGAGACGTTAGGCTTAAAGGTAGTGGTCACAGGTTTAGCCAGGACGGTTCGAGTAAATTTAAAGCACTGAGAATCTATCTGTTATTATAATGACATCAGTAAGGTATTTTAATAGTACAGATATTCTTGGAGTAGTAATTTAATTTTATCATGGTAGTTGTAAACTTGTAATTTGTAAAGTCTTTAAAATACAAAATATTTAAAGTTGATGTTTGATTAAACGTAGTTAGCGGTCCCCGTTCTTTAAACATGTTTGTATCCCAGGAAGCACACAGTGACGTATAGACGCGTAATTGCATTGCCACAACAAAATCTCATTCAAGTTTTTTTTTAAGAAATCATACATAGCAATAAGATATGCTCATGTACTATAAAACATAACATACTGTATAACAGTGTGTTGAAATTAAATTACAATAATTACGGAGTTTATCCGTAGCCGTAACCCGTGCCGAAAAAAATAATTAAAAAATTATAATCAGTAATGAAATAAAGAGCCATTAAATGATGAATAAATCAATTTGGTTTCATTTTGTCATTGCCCATCCTGATCAAAATCTCGCCAAACAAGTGAAATTGCTCATCTCTAATTTGAGCAACTTTTAGGTACTTTCTTCAACTAAAATTTTCTTAAGAATTATTTTTTGGTCATCAGAAAAACTAGTATACATAGTGATACCATGGCATCATTCGTTGCATGGTTCCAAAGAAATCGGTCATATATAGTAAAATATCTCAAGTGGACTAACAAAATATTTTAATATAACTTTTTGGGTTGAAATATTCATATGCCTTCTGTGTCTGTTCCTTACATCTTGAGCGGAAAGAGTATATAGAACAAAATGCTCCGCAAATGGAACCATATCCCAAGACATGTTAGATAGAACAAAATAAGTACAAGTACAATTACAAACGTCATTATCTTTTTGTTATTTGTTTAAAAACTAAAAACAAAGGCTATGTACGTTGGGCACCAAACCAAGAATCTAGTTACGCTCGTATTCACACAATTTAGACCTCTTTTGATTTTGAACATTTTTTAAAAAAGTTTTTTTTTTCTTGTTTCTCCTATCTGCAGGAACTGAAACTAATCAAAAAAGTCAGAGAGACCTCTGTGGAAACTGGAAAGGCACGTGTTCTCGGATTAGATTTCACGTGGGAATGAGTTATCCATGTGCAATTCCGCTAAAAGCCCTAATTTTTCAAAAAAACTAATCATATTAAATTTCAACTTCTTTTTTTAACTCTGTTATTAAAGCTTTTTGATCTATATGTTAAGCAATATATGCCTTGTTTTATTCGTTTATTTTTGAAATAGGTAGTTGCTTAATGCTTATGAAGACGAGGTTGTTAGATTTGATTTACAATAGTCATAAAAAAACACATTCTAAGATTGATCGATGACGTCGAATGATTCAAATTAAAATTTAAATTGAAGACCAAGCTTCTGTCACAGGGAAGACTACATAGTTCTTTAAACTAGTATCTGGTTTTGAATTTGATGTCATTAAAATATCTAGTCAAGTAGTAGTATATCATAGACAAATATTTCCAAGTAGATAAATGTAAAGGAAAGCATCGAAAAAAGAGGGCGATGAACCAGCTTGGCAATGCTTTGCTGAAAAGTTGTGAATAATGCAACAAAAACTTGACGAAAACAAATAAAGAAGTATCAGAGAAATTCGATTGGAATATCGTAACTTATTTTATTTTATTTATGGAGACAAGAATCGATCCAAAGGTGTAATCTGGACTTGAAAGTAAAAATGAAAAGGGGATAGCAATAATTGGGAAAACATGTGAATAAAAGTCTGAATTCACAGACTTTGATAAATAGTTGTTTCATGGGCTTTTTCGCTCTCAGTCACAGGACAGAATCTTATCTTAATAGTAGCAGCCGCTAATATGGACTGTGTTTGGCGGTTACGATTTAGCGTTTAAGAATTAGACTTTGGAGTGTGTTTTATGGAGAGTGGGACACTTAGGAAAAGCATAAGGATACAACAATAGAGACACTCACATGTAAGCCACATAAGTGGATGGTCCTCAATGTGTTCTTTGTAGGACATTTGTGAGTATGTCAAAACTCATTTCACATGGTACACTCATACATTAGCCCCACTTTGGAGTGTCTACAAAAAGATTGGGGCTATACAAATATTCTTGGCTCGAATATGGTTACGATCGCCCTAATGAAATTCGGAAGTAATAGAAAAAGTTAAAATATCCAGGTTGTGCGGAATAGTTTCGAAATCCGACTACCTAAAATCCTAAATCTTTAGTTTACATCACTTGTTTTGAGTTTGGTCGGCCTATATATAACCGATTTTTTAATATATTTATTTATAACATTTTCTTATTTTGGGATTTATGACAGTGATTTTAAACGATTGCGCCTCTACGACTTGTGCCGCGGATCAGACCTTCCCACTATATAGCTAATCGTGTCATAATCGTGTTTTTCTTATTTGTGAATAAGCCAAAGTAGTTTAGTCTGAATCCTTCGATTTAAGTTGGATTTTGAATTTTGATCCACGGTTTTTGCTATAGCCTATACGTGATTTTAGTTAAAAAAATTCATATGCGTATAAGCCAAAATGGTCTAGATTTTGGGTTTTATGTATACTCGTTTTCATTAACTACGATTTATTGAAATAGATTTAGGCTATAAATTAAATCCTAAAATCTGAGATTGTTTCCTAAAATAAGATGATTGTTTTTGTATTTATTACCATAATTTGTTTGTATTAACTTCCCCTTTTCTCCTTTGTGATACATTATATGCATTGATATTTGTAATATTTTAAGTTCAAGATTTTCTTTGGTGGAAGATCTTATAACGATAGTATTTTACATTTTTTGTCGTCATATATAGTATGTTACGTATGCATGTATATACACACCAATATGCCACGGATAATTCTTACAAATACCACAGATCAAACTGTAAATTATTATCCAGAGCCACATATATAAACAATTTATTAAATCTAGTTAAGTTTTTCTAGATCAATAAATATATAGAAATGGATCTTGAGAATCAAAGTTATGAAGGGATAAAGAGATACACTTATTAAATACTTTGATTTTTCTTATTATTGTTTTGTGGATCTACACGTTTACAGAAGTGATGGTGAAAGTTACAAAGTTTGTGACTTCTCGTCCAGTTGTTGTCTTCTTAGTCCTGGTAATTTTTCTTCTACTAAATCATTTCTAACATCGTTGTCTGCCAATTTTGTGTGTGTTTAAGAATCAAAAATAAATTAATTAAACTTTTGTGTGCAATTAGATGATAACATAGCTTATTTCATTTTACTTTTTTACGGTTGGGTTTTAGGGTTTAGTTTCTTATGGATTTTTGTTTGGTATTCGATAGTTACGTTTGAGTCTTTTTTGTTTCTGTTTTGTTTGAACTCGAGCGAGGTTATGGATTTTTTGTACCATTGTAATTTATCTTAATCGTAGTTTCGTATGAGGTTTAATCTTCTAATTCTCTGTGAGGTAATTTTAAGGGACTCGACTGATTTTCAGACAAAATAATATTGTCATGCTAACAGCCTAACACGTATATATAAAGTGTTTACGCTCGATAATTGTATGTGACTATGTGTATACTTTTCTTATTTAGTTACTGTATCTATTGATGTGTATATCGTTTGTTAATTTTAGGCTTTTCTAGTGGTTGTTTTCGGATGCATACCGATCACGAATTGGCAAACAACAACGAAGAACATAACAAACGAAGTCTCTTTGTTCACTGAATATCTCCGGTCAAATCTTGTTTCCGAGATCGAAAACATCGGAAATTTCATTTATCCGAAGACAAATTCATCTACAATCGGTTTAGCAAGAGTTATAGACTTTTATCTCACCAGGAAAAGTACTCCTTTCAAAGAGATTCAAACACAGGTAATTAATCTCGTTTAATTATAAATCGTTGCATTAGCTTTGTGTTATTACATAACTAAATAATATTCAGTTGTTGTTGTTATTGTTCTTCAGATCGCACCATTGTTGTTTCAAGCTTATTCAACGATCCCTCAAGTCTCACAAGTTACGTACATTAGTACGGAGGGTCTCGTCTTTTCTTACATCACAGAAGTGAACACAAGTGTCGCTGTTTTTGCCAATTCAAGTAGTGGTGGAGACTACACTTGGTACACTCAAACCGTTAATCAGAGAACCGGTCGTCACAACGGTAATGCAGCGAGATCTCAGCCGTTCAATGTAACCAATACAGATTGGTTTCAAGCAGCACAGAGGAATCAAACCACCGCTTTTGTGGGACCTGGTTTGGGAGGAGAAGGTAACCAGACTCTGTTTCAAAGCGTGGTTAGCTTGGACAGCAAGAAAGGAGTTGTTTTGTTAGGGTTTCCCTTAAAGCCTTTAACTAGTGTCTTAAACCGTTTGAATCTTCACGGCGGAGAGCTTTACCTGTGGACTAAGGACGGTACGGTTCTTGTTCGTGAAGGTTCATTGAATGCTTCTTTATTCATCTCCAATGGCTCCATTTGCTCGAAAGCCGTGCGGTCTACATGCCTCCCCGGAAACTGCGGTTCCGGTGGCTACGGATTGGAGATCGAAAGATCGACATTCCAAGCTTTTTGCTCTGTTCTTGAAGTTGCCGGCGTGCCTCTGGTAAATGCTTCTTTATCATCTTAGTTCCTCAGACACTACTATAAGTCTATATCTCGAATTTCCAATGTTTCTTTTGTATTTATTAACAGAGATACACGCTTTTGTTTCCGGACAAAGGAGGAGGAACAAGCATCGAGAAGGATGCAAAAGCGGGGCTAATTCTGCTTATTCTTGTGACGATCTTCTATGCATTGTGTTGGCCTCTAGGGTTTGTGGCGTTTATGGTGCAAGCAGCAAGAAGAGAGATGCATATGCGTTCAATGTTGATAAACCAAATGGAAGCAACACAACAGGCTGAGAGGAAGAGCATGAACAAGAGCCAAGCGTTTGCAAGAGCTAGCCACGATATTAGAGGTTCCCTTGCCGGGATCACCGGTCTCATTGATCTATGCCGTGAGTCACGTGATGAAGTTAAGCCTGGCTCCGACCTAGACACTAGTCTCAAGCAAGTGAATGTATGCACCAGTGATCTGGTTGGTAAGACTCCTAATTCTTGATGCTTGATCGCACCAGTGTTGTTTTAAGCTTACTTAACAAAAGTCTTGTCATGTTGTAAAAAACAGCTCTGCTTAACTCTGTATTGGACATGAGCAAGATCGAGAGCGGGAAGATGCAGCTAGAGGAAGAAGATTTCAACCTAGCGAAGCTTCTTGAAGACGTTGTCGATGTTTTCCATCCCGTGGCGATGAAGAAAGGAGTTGATGTGGTTCTTGATCTTCAAGATGGCTCCATTTTCAAGTTCTCAAATGTGAGAGGGGATAGTGGCAAACTCAAGCAGATTCTGAACAATCTTGTAAGCAATGCGGTCAAGTTCACAGTTGAGGGTCACATTTCAATCCGAGCTTGGGCTCAGAGGCCAGGTTCCAAGAGCTCTGTGGTCTTGGCATCGGAGCTTGAAAGAGGTGTATCCTCCTGGTTTTCAAAGTTTATGTTCTGCAAGAACAAAGACCACCACAACTCAACATCAACCTATGAGATGGAAATTTCGAACTCCATAATAAACAATGCCAACACGATGGAGTTTGTGTTTGAAGTGGACGATACAGGTCAAGGAATACCTTTGGAGATGCGTAAATCGGTGTTTGAAAACTATGTTCAGGTAAGAGAAACAGCACAAGGGCAACAAGGAACAGGATTAGGGCTCGGGATTGTTCAGTCTCTGGTGAGACTAATGGGAGGTGAAATAAGAATCACTGAAAAGGCCATGGGAGAGAAGGGAACATGTTTCCAGTTCAATGTTTTGTTGACAACCTCAGAGTCTCCTCAAGTGAGTGACGTGAAAGTGAAGCAAGACCTTGAAGCAGGAGGAGGTGGAGGAGATTACATATCCACACCAAGCCTTGGCCTGACTATAAACACTTCTTTAGGAGGTAGTAGCATGAACATACGTAACCTTAGCCCTAGATTCAACAACTGTCTCAGCTCAAGTCCGAAGCAAGAAAGCTCTCGTGTGGTTCTCTTGCTCAAAGATGAAGAACGAAGAAGAGTCACAGAGAGAAACATAAAGCGTTTAGGAATAAAAGTCACGGTGGTGGAGAAATGGGAGCATTTGAATCATGCCTTGGAGAGACTTATTGGTTTTTCACCTCAGAGTTCCATTGGAAGAGCAGAGTCTAGTTTGAGAAACGAATTATCATCAGGTCCAAGCTCAAGGGAGTTGCCTCTGATTGGTATGGATGGCATTGATTCCAGAAGCCAAATCCCTAGAAGGAGAAGCAACAGTTCCATTGCAACTGTCCTTCTGGTGATTGATGCAAAAGCCGGACCATTTCTTGAGATGCAAGAAATCGTCCAAAAGTTTCGTAGAGGCTTGCACCGTGGGATATCCTGTAAAGTTGTTTGGCTCAACGAGCAGAGTGGCCAAGGAGTTGAGAGAGGAGACGTTACTTATTTGAAACCTTTGCACGGATCTCGTCTTAACCGAGTGCTCAACATGTTGCCTGAATTTGGAGGAATTGATCCAAAAGAAAGGGAATCGCTACTGAGGCATTCGCTTTTGGCAGAGACATCACCAAAACGTAAAAGTGGTGAAATCCAAGAAGAGGGACCAAGTTCGAGGTATAACAAAAAGCTAGGCAAGTCAATAATGGCACCAGCACCTTCAGAGAGGGCCAAGACAGTGCCTACTGGTCGAGAGCCTATTGGGAAACCAGAGGAGGAGAAAGGAACTTCAAGACCAAGCGGTGATGATGATGAAGAATTCCTAAGAGGAAAGAGAGTTATGGTGGTTGATGATAATCGTATAACATGTTCAGTTGCAGCAAGAAAGCTGAAGAAGATGGGAGTCTCTGAGGCCAGACAATGCGAGAGTGGGAAAGAAGCTGTGAGATTAGTCAGTGAAAAGCTTACACAAAGAGAGCAAGAAGAAGTAAACATGCTTCCCTTTGACTACATATTCATGGACTGCGAGGTAACCTAATTAATGACAAAGCTTAATTTCATTACGTTACACAATATATGTATGTGAAAAATGGATTACTCACTAGCTAAATGAGAATATCTTTATATTGCACAGATGCCAGAAATGGATGGATATGAAGCAACAAGAGAGATTAGGAAAGTGGAGAGAAACTATGGTGTTCGTATACCAATAATAGCAGTATCTGGTCATGATCCTGGTTCCAAGGAAGCAAGAGAAACCATAGAAGCTGGAATGGACGCCTTCTTAGAGAAAAACATGAATCAAGACCAACTTGCCAACATCATTAGAGATATCCAAAGCAAGAGTACACATGCGACCAGAGAAAGTAGTAGTTAGAAGTACGTAGATAGGAGGCTTATTTGTTGTTGTTATTGCTAATACCATTTGGGTTTTATTTTCTCATTCACATGAATATACAAGAAACGTTGTTATACAGTATGACAATATTATAGCATTTTAATTTTGATTGAAATAAGATCAAGGTTGGTTCATGTGATTTGACTAATAATCAAACTTTGATTAATTAATTCTTTCGTGGGTTGTTAAGAAAAAGAGGTGTCATAGTTGGGCTTTAAAGAAAAAGAAACCAATAAGCCACGCCACTAAACCCTAATCTAAGTAGGCGTGGTAAGACTACTAAGATTGTCCCAAGTCCCCCGATCCTTGTTCTTTTCTGCGTCGCCGTTCCCGGTGATCTTCTTTCCTCTTGTTCTACACGGTTCTCATCCATTTTCACTCCGTTAATTTGCTCCTACAATGGCAGAGGAAAGTAAACTTGACCTTGTGGTAAGATATTCTTTTTTTTTGTTCAACTCATCCCCTCGCCCAACATTAACAATTCAAATACTGTTCAACTAATAATCGTTTCTGTCATACAGGATGCTACAGAAAAGAGGTTTCGCACAGATCCCTCGCCTAAGCCAGAATATCCGAATTCAAAGGATGCTTTAAAAGAGATGGAGTCTGGAAACTCAGCGTTAAATGACAAGGTGAAGAAGAAGAAGAATAAAGGAAAGGGTAAAGAGAGTGAGGATACAGAGTTCACGACAAAGTTACCTACCGTGATGAAGAAGTCAAAGGGAAAGTATAAGATCGAATCTCCTTACGAATGGATCACATGCATGATAAGCTCTGATGACATGTGTGCACAGGTGGGGAAGCTCTTAAAGGACAACTACTCAAGCGTGGGAGCGTGCGATTACTCCAACGAGTTTCTAAGGTGGGCACTGCAGCCACCTGGTTATAGAAAGGACTGGCTTATTGGAGTACGTGTGATGCCCTCAAGCACTCTAGTTGGTTTCATCAGTGCCGTGCCAGCCATGATCAGCGTGGATGGTGACCTTGTTGAAATGGCCGAGATCAATATCGTGTGCGTTAAGAAAGACCACAGGAATAAAGGAATTTGCACTGCCATGATCAAGGAGCTGACTACAAGGGTAGGAGGAGGCCACACGGCTTTAATCAACTACAAACATGTACCGACAAGTATACCAACCGTTACCTGCCAGTATTGGAACAATACCTTGATCCACGTGTTACCAACTGGAGGAGAGGTGGTCGGGGAGAGATTCAGAGAAATGAAACCGGATGATGTGCCTTCTGTTACCCACTTGCTCAATGGTTACCTAAGCCGCTTTAGAGTTAGACCAGTTTTTGATGAAGACACGGTTTCACACTGGTTTCTTCCGAGGCAAGGAATCGTCTCCAGCTTTGTAAGGGCAAGCGGTGAAAAGCTCACCGACTTCGGGAGCTTTTACTGGCAGCGAGTGAATCAGCGAGTGGATAAGAAACTCCTCAACATCAAATATGGTTGCATGTTTTATTATGCGAGTGTAGAAACAGTTGAAAATGTGATAAGATACCTGGTGAAAGTCGCTAGAGAATCTAATTTGGACGCTTTCAGCATTGTGAGGGCGATGGAGTTGGAGGAAAGCTTTCTGACGAAGCTGCATTTCGAAAAGGGAGACTCTTTTCACTACCATCTACCGAGCTGTGTCACAGGGGTTGATCCCTTGGATATAGGGCTGCTTATCAAAGCCCTTGAGTAATCTGAAACTATTATCTTTTTTTTTTTTTTTTGCTTTTTGAGTTTGGCTGGGAACCAGATTCCTTATATGATTAGGCTTTGATCAATAACAATTTCATGTGAAAACAGAGAAATCCAACTCAATGAGAAAGCCTCTTGATTATTTTCATGTGTTAGATGTTTCAAGTTCACAGTAGAGATTTTTACTTTTTATACTAATTTAGCCTAATGGATGGATATGAAGCAACAAGAGAGATTAGGAAAGTGGAGGGAAACTATGGTGTTCGTATACCAATTATAGTAGTATCTGGTCATGATCCTGGTTCGAAGGAAGCAAGAGAAACCATAGAAGCTGGAATGGACGCCTTCTTAGAGAAAAACATGAACCAGAAACCGGCACAAGATAATTTGTTTTTACCAGCTTCTACTGCATCTTTCTTCAATCCTCTCCATCTTTGTTCCGCATGCACCTCTGCATCCATTTTGCATTTGCTTAAATATTGCAGCTCTCTCTTCTTCCATTTTGGTGTATTCATTCTCTCTGGATGGATGTTTTTCATTCTCTAAATCATCACTTTTCCTTTTTCTTTCCTCTTGACCATAACTCAATTTAGACTTTTGGACTTTTCATGTTTTTTAGGAAACAATCTCAGGCTTTAGTTAGATATATTAAGGAATATTATAGCAACTCCCCAACTCCCAAAACCCTGCTCGATATCTCGTAAACCCTAGCCACCGTCGCCGCAGCCCGCAGAATCAGCCTGAGAAAATCATGGGGAAACAGAAGAAGCCTGATAAAAAAGGCGTCAAAAGAACGGGACAAAATGTCCGCGTGGTTCTTTCACGGTCTCGCGCTGTTGATAAAAGGAACAAGACGCTGCTGAAAGAGTACGAGCACGAGCAGAGTTTAAAGTCTTCAACTTCTCTGGATAAGCGTATTGGAGAGCCGAACGATCATCATGGAGAATTCGTCAAGGATATATTCCGATCTCAGAGAGAGCGTCAGGTCAGTAATTGAACTGAAAACAATTTTTTTTGTATTTGTTTTTATCAGTTTGATTGATTGAAGCTGAAATTTATGTTTTCTCCTACTGGTTATGGTTATGCAGGTGAAACTAGCAAAGAAGAGTATTTATAATTTGTCTGATGGGGAGGAAGATATTTATGAAGATAGTGCTCTTTGTGAAACCTCTGGAGATGAAGAGGTAAAGAAGAGATGTTGTGGATTGTCGGTGTGTGATGGTTGATACATTTAGGCATTGCTCATGTTATTGGATTCTCTCTGCAGAGGCATCAGAGCAGGAACGAATTCGTGGAAGAGATCCTCACGAGGAGCAAACTTGTCAGGGTGAGTGATTATTCTGCTGTTTTTTTCTTTGTATTTTCTTTTGCATGGCATGTCAATTTACAGTTTGTTTTATTTTTGTAGATGGAGAAAGCTAAGCACAAGGAAGAAGATGAGAAGCTGATGGATAAAAACTTCAAGTCTCAGGCGATGGCACGTTTAACTCATCTCCCGGAGGTGAATGATGATCACATTTTGCACTTGTTTGCCATAGTGATAAGCTGTGTCTACGCTATGGGTGTTACCATATGCTTGAGATTGCTTATGATTTCTTATGCTTGAGGTTTTCTGTATTTAAGTAGAAGAGGCCTTATATTTTAAGACCCATTCTTCTTTTTTGTAATTGTTACAACAATGCCCATATAATTAGTACTAAAAGATTCTGTGACAGTAAATAAAATAAAAACTTAATTCTTGACTACTAAACCAAGAACACAAATAAAATCCCAAGTCATCATGTCCTAATCACTGTGATGGTCATGGAAATAGTTCTTGTATCCAAAAGTTATGTGCATAACAACATAATAGATTGAAAGAAAAAAGAAACCAATAGCCTAACAAAACTTTTTATAAGCAAATAAACTCAGTTTGATTCTCACATACAAATGTCAAATCCAAACTCCCAAAACAAACGAAAAGAAAGCTCAAAAGTAAGAGAAGACTCAAAAGTAATACAAGACTAGCCAAGCCTTTTTACTATGAACCCTATATGGGATGGCTTAACCCCTGCGACAGTGAAGTTATGTAGATGGTTGTTAATTGAAGAACCTACCTTAAAGAAATTCTGCTTGGTCAGATTGCCTTTCTCCAACCCCATCAACTCCACAATGTTGAAACTAGCGGATTCTAAATCTTGAGCTACATTTACCAAGTAGCTTATCAAATTCTCAAGGCTCTTTTTTGTACAGGCATATAGTAGAAAAAGCAAGTAAAATAATCATTGAGTATTCACCATGGACATCATGTGCTTCCATCAATGTGAATCCCTTGGTAACAACTCCTTCAATTGGTGGCTCACGGATCAAGTGCTTCATCCATAATTGACATGTGGTTGTTCCTTGACTTTCTTTATAATTGACAAAACCCGTGTGATATATGTTCTCGGACATGGCAATTCTGGTAAACTCCTTGATCATTGCAGTAGCAATTCCCCTATGCATGTGGTCCTTCTTCAGACCCAAGATGCTGATCTCCAATCATCAACTCCAATCAAACAAATTAATAACTCCAACACAACACACAGCACACAACTATCTAATGGAAAAAGTGCAAAATTTGATCACATTTGTGATTTGTCTATGACATTGACATTGACATTGAATGATTCATGCTCGTATGATAGGCTATGAGCAATTACAAAGTCTTTGTTTTGAAATAAGATCAAGCTGGTCATCGGAACAAGTGATAAATGATGATGTGTAGCAGCAAATATTAGAGAATTATGTTTATGAGCAAAAGAACATATATAGCGTTAATAACTCAATACATCAAATTGACTTTGGCATCCAAATGTTAAGGTTCAAAAACATGCACACTTTCTTCTTTAATTGATATGCATAATCGATATTTCTTAGTTAGAAACCAAAGAGAGTTTAAGACTTGAGATTGTTTTGTTTTGTTGGAACAAAAAACATATCTTTTAAACAAAAACATTCTGTGACAGTAAATAAAAACAAAGGACAAAACTTTTTCCACTTATGAGAAGTGAATACCGGACTTGTTGAATAAGGAAAGAAGATACAAAAACTCTTGTTGTGAAAGCTTTGAAGATCTCTTCTCCTCGAAATCGCCTTCCTTCAACACATTCATCACTTTCTCCTTGAACTCTGACGCTTGTCCTCCTTGTCCTTCATCCATCTCCATATCCTCATCATCATCATCCATTTCATCGTCATCTTCGAGTCCCATGCTCTGGTCACCAAGATCCATGCTCGTGGTGGTGGTGTTGAGAGCAGCAGCTTCGCCATTGTTCTGCAAGGAAGCAAGCACGGCCTGAAGAGTCTTGTAGTTCTTCTCGAGCATGGAAAGAACAGACTTCTGCTTGAAAATAGCCCCGAGGGTTTTGTTTTTCCTGATGAAGCAGACTCTCAAGAAGCCATCCCACTCCTTCTTGTTAACCGTAGGCTGTGGCCTCCTCGGCTCGATCCGAACAACAGAGGAGTCGACCTTGGGAGGCGGACGGAAGTTGTTCTTGCCGACTTTGAGGAGGTGGGAGACTCTGGCGTAGAGCTGAGTGTTGACAGAGAGACGGCAGTAGAGGTTGTCTCCAGGCTGAGCAACGAGCCTCATAGCGAACTCTCTTTGGTACATAATCACAGCGCATCTGAAGCTTGATTGGTGGAAGAGCAGCTTGAATGTCAGTGGCGATGATATCTGATACGGAATGTTCGCCACACATATGTCAAACCTTGGAAGCTCCGTCTTTAACACATCTCCTTGGATTACCTTTTAACAAAGCAATCACAATGAAATCAATCAAAAACAATCGATATCACACATGTCAAAGGCTATCAATTTCTAAAGCTCAGAGATGGTTCTTATGCCTCAAAAATCCTAAATTCTCATGACTCATGTCAAAGGCTAGCAATTTGTGAAGCTCAGAGATGGTTCCTAATCCTATGCTAACAAGAATGAAAAAGCAATTCATAATTTTGGTTTTGTTTACCTTGAGGCGGTTGGAATAGGGAGTTCCTTGAAAACGGCGCTGGAGCTCGAGAACCATACGAGAATCGAGCTCGATGGCGATAACTTCCTTACCAGCTTCGAGAAGCTTCTTGGTCAAGTTTCCGGTACCGGGACCGATCTCGAGGATGACATCGGTGCTCTTAATCCCGGCTTTCTGGACGATCGAATCGACGAGCAGGGGGTTCTTGAGGATATGCTGTCCTTTGGATTTGTGGAAGGATATTCCTCCTTGGTAATTGTTCGACGGAGCTCGATTCGACGCCTTTGGCTTCTCCTTCCTTATCTTGCCTCCCGCCATTGTCACGAGCTCAATTCTCTCTTTCACGCCGCTAATGCTTTCTTTTAGTCAGACACACACAGAATTATTAGGGTTTTAGGTTTCAGCCGCATTTCTATTTAATATGTTTTCTTCGTCGGTTTTTTTAAAGTTTGAGCTAATTTACTGATTACTCCCTTGGTACTGTTTTCGCATGTTATTACTTTCTAAACGAAAATGTTCATCTAATTAATTAAAGAACATAGAACAACAGATTTAAATAAAATCAGACTCGTTTAGGTCATCTTTCTAGTGAGAAAAGATTACATTTTTCTGTTACAGACATGTTACTGTTAGTCTTGTGGAACTAAAGCGACCCGATCTATACATGAACCTGTTTTGGGTGACTTCAACAAACAAAACCGATCTCTCTCTTTTTTTTCTAGACTTTATAATTTTCTTTCACTATGTAACTTTTAATCAGCAAGGATTAAAAAAAAGGGAAAAGAACCATCATCAACTTTGTAACGCCTTTCTTAAAGTTTTAGTGACTTTATCTCGGAGTCGCTTGATCTTAGAAGGCATCTGTGCGTTTGTTGTGAAATAAGATTCAGCGTTTGAGAGCATTGCGTCCATGTCGTGTTTAAACGATCCAACACTTCTGTAGTACTGATTCTCTAGTCTCTGGTGTATCAACTCTGGGTATAAAGGAACTGGGAACCTGCGAATTACAATCATGCATGAATCATAAGAACGAATATCCAAAGGATGTTTGTTTCAGTTGCCAAAAAATAAGCATTGACTCATTGCAAAGAGCAAAGAGCAAAGTGTTGCCAAAGTACCTATTGCAGAAATCCATCTTTTGAGCAGCTTCGTTTAGCTTTTGGATTCCATAACTATCCTGAAGAATGAATATACGTAACAGAAGCAAATAACGGTTAAATAGACGAATAAAGAGGAGGATGAGAAATGTTTATAGTTTTGGGAGAGAAGACGAAACCTGATGCTTGCTGATTGATTTGACTAGTCCAGCAAATAAAGAAAGTAGTTTCTCTCTTGTCGTTTCGTCCATACTTGAGTTTTCCCAAGGAAACTGTGGATTGTCAAACTCCCAGGGGCTGTGGAGATTTGTGTCCCCAGTTTCATAGACAACTTTGTATCTTTCCCATGGACTGTCTGGGAAGTCAGCGGATTTCACTTGTGAAGACTCGATCCTACCTTCCCACCAAGCACCGCCTTCGCCGGATTCATCTCTCCACCACACCCGGCATTCATCACCGATCTCCCAGTTTGTTTTTATTGCAGCCTCATATCGAGTCCTCTCCACAATAAAATCAGGGCAATTAATCAGGTCAGGAAGTGTTAGTTGGAACTCTTTTCGGGAGGCATGTGATGAAGAAGAATCCAGAACCCTGAGGGTCATTTTGCAGCAGCTCTCTCCAGAACCAGGATACGTATCGTAGTTGAGTTTCTCGACTTTGCATATCTCTACCGCTCCTAGGTTTCGAGGAAGGTACCTCGATCGGTCCCTGTCATTTAAATCTCTACTTTCAAGGAACTCTTGATGACCCTGAAAAGTGAAAACCACAACCAGAGAAAGTTGATTAATTCCAGATCTAGCAAATCAATACACGCAAGTGACAGAATCACCAGCTAAAAGGACCTACCTGCTTGAAGTAAACAACTTCATCCCCTAGCTGGGGTATATAACGGCAGCCTTCCTCGTGTTCTGACAACATTAACCATGAGATTTTTCTTGAGACATTATCCAACATAGTCCCAGCATTGAGACTTTGTTTGCTGGTGCCAGCGTTTGCAGATCTTGACCGAGACCCAGCTTTTGAAGTAGAAGGCCATTCTTCAAGTGCTGCACCATCATACACGCTTGTCGAACGAATTCCCTGTTTCTTTGCCTTATCTACAGATCCAGAGCCCAGCCTCGCACGTAATACACTATTTCTTGCACTACATTCACTTGAAGTGGCCTTCAGTCTCATAGATCTCTTCCTGCGTATCACATCGGCTGTAACTTCGTCAAACTCAAAGTCATGTGCAGGAGAGTATCTATCATTATCAGGTTCAGAATCCATAATCGGATTCATGGAAGAGGGAGCTATGGATGCAAAATCGTCTGTCAAATCATCTGCTACTTCATCAGGCTCTAGTTTTACAGGACTGCTGGGATTCCGAAGCTTTAATCTCAGTCGTCGAACTTTCTTTGGAAGAATCTCCTCAGCTTCCATGGAGGTATCTTTACTACAATGTCTCAACTGACCAGACAATGGTTCAACTCTTGACAGATCTTCGTCCCTGCAAGAGAAAACAAGGAATTAGATTTTGTGGAAATGTAATATGAACATAACTTTTCTTGCAATTCATAATCAGATTTCTCCTACCCGTTAAATGTTTGGGCTTCTTCAATGTTCCCAGACGCAGTTAACTCGGTGGATTCACAAACAGGAATGTCTTCCCTCCACTTGCAAATATTCTGGTCCTGATCCGAAGCTTTTATCAGCTGATCCTCTGCCAGTTCTCTCTGTGGCGTATTCATAGAATGGGGCATATCCTGACACCCTGAGCCACCTTTTGCATCTACAGAACTTGACCCAGGTTCTCTGGAGTATGTTCCAATCACTCTGTGATCCTCCTCCAAAGATTTAGAAGAAATATTCTCCAAAGCAGCTTGATTCATTACATCTCTCTTGCTGTCCACAGCCTCTGTTGGCTTCTTAAAAGGAATCTTTACGATCAATCTCCGCTTCTGTTTGTCATTTGAAAGAGATTCCAGCATCTGAGATGGTCTTGCCAACTGTTGTAAAGGGGGTACACTTCTATCAGATTCACTACTGGATGAATAATTATCGTCATCAACTTCATCCGAAGAGCTTCCAGAAATTTTTGAAAGCAAGGATCGAGCATTTTGGGCAGCTGCTCTTTGCGGTCGTGATGCCTTGACATCAGAATATTTTCTTTTTGAAGCCTTCACGCCAATACTTCGGTTCTTGGTTCTCTTATTTCCAATTTTGAAGCTATCAGTTTCATCCAAAATCCTCTTATCACGCCTTGCAGATGAAGTTGCGACCTCAGCCTGAGAAAACGGGAGTTAGTCAACAGATAACGACATATTTAACCGCATTAGTTGAACAAAAGTTACAAAACATACTCTAGGATGTTTTCTTCTTCTTTTCCGATGATAGCTATTTTCGTGACTCTTTTCAACGTCACTGTCCTCGGAACTGCACTCAAGTTCATTTGAAGAGTTGGAACATGGGCTTGCCCTAGCTCCATCAGAAGATACTTCCGCATTGTACTCCGAATCATTGTCGTCACTCAGAACTTCATGTTCTGGTTCCCAGTACAAAGCATCTATAAACTCAGGCAGTGGCTCGATCAATCTATCCAGATCTGCCAAAGGAGGCATAATATAATCTTGACCTAAACTAAAATCAGGGCCCACAGAAAACTTTATCGAGGAAGGACGCCATTCAACTCCTAATGCACCAAGTCGGCGCTGCTGAAACATTGTCTGGTCAGGTTCTGGATATGGAATCATACCTGGGAAAAGAAAATAAAACACCTTGAATATGTAACATCTTGCATAACCGACATAAAGATAAGCTTTTGGAAACAAACTTGAATCACAAAGAAGATCCTGAAGGTTTCTCCGATGGGGAAGAAGCTGCGTCTCCTGCACCACGTAAATTACAAAAGCTTAAAATTTAACAAGAAAGCAAGTGCAAGGATATCACTTATACACTCCGTTTTCTTAATCGGAATCGGAAAAAGATGCATTAAAGTGTGCATAGTTCGGTGAGGTCTCTTAAGAAGAACGCATCAGGAATTAGAAAGAAAACAGAAGATACAAGAATTTTAAACCAACCTGATCAAGAACATGTCCATTGGTATCTCGAATAAGAGGACGATAATCACCGAGGAAGAACTTAACCAAAACAAGACAAGACAAAGGATCAGAAAGCAATGAAGGATAACGAGAAACTACAGCAACATATTAGAAAATGGGCATGCATTTAGGATGCAAAATCCACCATACCTGATCGTATTTTGCATTTTTTTGAGATTCTCCTTGTCCTGTGTTAAGGAAGTATATCTGGCCAACTTCATCTGAAAGCACAATAGATGTCCCATCCCTACACAATGCCAAGGGAGAAAGTATCAGAATGAATTGATTCCATAACTTTAATGTGTCTAATGAAAGCTTCAAAAGCAGATGTCTTTGCTGAATGAAGTATGAATATTGTATACCCAGCTGGATATGCATAATATGACTATTTCTTCTAGTTTCAGACTCAAAGAGTAATATGCATGTTTTGCTATTAGTCATTTGCGAAACCCAGAAACTAAATATAGAAGATCTTATCCTGGATGTTTCATCGGTTACTTACTGTGAAAACTTTCCATCAACCAACTTAAATCGCCCAATTTCGTATACTTTGACTGGTATACCCTCCCATATCTAGAAGAAAAAAGTATAGAGGTAAGTGATGCTATTGATAAGATCAAGGACAGTTCATATCCCAAAAAAAAAGAAAGAAAAAACTCACATCCCAGATGATTGTTTTCCCATCATAGCCAGCACTCATCGCAATTCGAGGATTGAAAGGATGGACATCCAAAACATACGACTACTCAGAGGGTATACGTAAAACAGATCAATATTCCCCCATCTGACCTCAACTAAGATATCAAGATAAGGAGTACAAGTTTGGGTGACTGTTACCGATTCACTGTGACCTGTTAAGCAATGCACTAAGCTACCATCAGCCGCATTCCAAACACAAATCCTGCAATCTGAATAAACACCGACAGGTTAAGGGAAGCAGAAGACAGTGGCAAGCTCATGATCGACAACTGAAACAAATTGTGACTGAGAAAAAATCATCAAAATGGAATCTATGCATCACAATATTTTCTCTGATGATATTTACCCATGATAGCTGCAAGTACGAAACGATTGTCCAAACTCCATATAATCATATTGACCCCCCGAGGTGTTGGAAGAAACCTTTGACGTGGCCCTCCTCGAGGAGGTTGTGGAGGAAGTGGAGGAGGTGGAACCTTCAGATGATATCCTTTCATCCAACGTCCAGATTTCCCCTGGAAATATAACATTGAGGAGGTTGTGGAAAACTGGAAACTGGCGATAGAATCGAAAATTTTATACATTTGATATACCATTGCATTCCACGATTGATTGAAGAAACTTACATGGAATTTACGTGATCTTGGAGTCCATATAATAGCACTACCATCACGAGAGCAGGTTACTATGTTGTCATGACAAAACCTAGTAATCAAATGTATAAAATCTTAACCAGATGTGAAATAAGAATAAGAAGATAAAGCAATGACTATAGGTCCAACACAAAATGTGAAACAGACCAGGAATTTTTAAACTTTGGGTAACTATCTTCCTTCAGAGTATCAGCTGTTGAAGATCTTGGAGCCACTGCACAACCACTGAAAAAAAGAAATACGCTTTTAGATTTATTTCATGTTCTCCAACGGACAATGCACAATCTAAGAAAGGCACCATGTTCGCTGGAAAATACCTAAATTGCACATAGTTGACATCATTCTCATGGCCACGTAGGACATCCAGCTCATGAGTCGGCTGTTCAGCATCATCCACGTTAGGTTTTGAGGCACTCCAAACCTGAAAAAATATGGAAATACTGACAATCAAGACTAACAAGCGAACTAAAACCAAATAACATCTTCGCAGTTTCTGGATTACCAAGGAGGATAATTAAAGTTGAAAGTTTAACACAGACCCTCGCATTGCTGTCAGAGCTACCCGTGACGAATATGGTTCCATTAGCATTGTACGCACAACATAGTATTTGATGACTCTGAGATGCATTGCTCGTAGATGCCGCGTTAGAAGATGTAAAATTGCTTTTTCCTAAGAGAAACTTCCAGTGAGTTCTATAACCGAACAGGTTTTCGCATTGAACCAAATATGATTATGTGCCACATTCTTACCAGCATCCGATGGACTTGGAACATAGATTCGTGGAAGCCATTGAGAGTACCTAGCATCCCATATACGACAGGTTCCATCATCTGATGATCTACAGAGAGTAGAAAAAGCACAGAAACTGATTATCAATGCAGGAAGCAGTATGAAACATCCAAACTATATATACATGGGTAGTCTTGAACAGATAAATAACAAGTTCGAAAGGAGAAGAACTCACGATAAAAGTTGGTAAACAGAGGCTTGTCTGGGACTGAATGCAATCGCAGTAACAGCTCCAGTATGTCCCCGCAATACAGAAATTGGCATTCCATCAGGCAACCTCCACTGTCACAAGAATCAATACTATCTAACTGACAAATAAATAAAAGTTGTGAAGACACTAAAGAGATGAATTGTATTCTTACCACTCGAATCACAAAATCGTTTGAAGCTGATGCCACCAAAGCATTGTTAGAACTGACGGCCAAGTCTGTAATATCACCCTACAGGCAACACGCACAGGCGAGAACTAGTTTTAATAGACTGATCATCTGATCAACAATACATTTTAGACAGATATGGAAAACAATAGCTCACTTCATGCCCGCGGCAGCTAGCCAAGCAAAGTGCAGTTTCCATTGACCAAATTTTGACAAGCCGGTCATCAGAACCCGTGATAACATATCTTCCAGAACGATCAAATATAGCTGTGCGACAAAAATATAAATAGCCATATTGTTACCATTACACCCAACAAAAACATTCTATGACAAGAAAATGGTGCTCCTATGATGGACATACTGCATTATGACTTCCAGATGCTATAGTAAAAAAATATAAACAGATTGGTATAAATTCAAAGATTGCACACGTAACAAACACAGTATGGACATAGTCCAGATATCCAACACAAAAGATGTATTGTGAAGATCATACCGCAGTAAACAGCATTACGATGTCCTCTGAGCTTTTTTATGTTCTGCATCTTTTGAACCATTGTTGATGGTTTTGCTATTGCATGACATGCTGAAAGAATGGACGGTGCACGGTGGTGCTTCCTGAAACCTCCTCCAATTTCTCTGAGACTCAGGCCACGCACTTGATCGGCATGCATATGTGGCCAGCGTAAGTAGGACGCAACATGCCTAGCTTTCTGGTACTCCATATCTTTATCTTCACAGAGAAAAATATAACAATTGAAAAATCAAGGGCCTGATGTAAGAACCACAGAGATTAAAGAGGTTCTGAATTAAGTCATCCCTGAAAATAGACTTGGTGTCCCCTATATGATATAACTTTAGCAGAAATCCAAACACAAGTCATGATATCAAAAAAAGATTATCAAAAACCATGTATATATATACTTAAAAAAAAAATCATGGATACGCTCTTGAAATTCATGCACAAAAAGGTAGAGGAATAGGAGTTACTACGTACGATTGACAAGTGAAAAGGTGCCAGATCCCAATAGTGTTGGAACATCAGCTGCATTAGGAGTATTTCCGCCAACTCTCATGTGTGAAGGAAAAGGTGGATTTAAAATTAGTTGTTTGAGAAGCTTCACCAAGTGATCCTTTTCGATATGAGAATACCTATCAGTAAAAGAAACATGATAACAGAAGTCATGAGGGGTGGGGAACCCTCGAACAATGGAAGAGCAAAAAGAAAACTATACCTCTCGACCAAGTTATCATAGCTCAACGGGAGGGAGATGCCATCATCGTCAGCACGCCCACTGCAAAGGCCACTTCTTGAACACCAAGAATGATATCTACGGGGCAAAAGCCCTTTTTCCAAAATTTCATCTCTCAGGTGCGCAAAAGTTTGTTCGCAGGGGCTGGTAGAAAGAAAATGCAAAATCAGGAAATAGACTTCACTAAGGTCCATGTCTACATCCGTTAGCGAAGAACGGGAAACAAGTCTCCCCAGTCGCTGAAGAGGAGCATTTCCTTGAACCGAGTTTGCTAAATTCGAAGCTTCCATACAAGGAGTAGATTTGTGAATCCAATCCATGCTACGCACTCATTAACTAAAATGCCACTGCAAGAGTAAAAGATAGTCTCGTAAAATGGAGCACGGATACGCAGATGATATATTCAAGTATTTAATAGCAAGACATTCCTTGGAAATAAACAAGGGTACTAATTTTAATTGGAATCTGAGGTAACGTTATCTGTCAAATGAGAGGATCATCTGTCAATATATTGAAATCGACCCTTACACTACACCTAAACGAGAGCTTCCCCAAACCCAGCGACTGAAAAAAAACAATAGAAATTGATTCACCTCGCTACTGGATCAGAAAGCATCGACACAGTCTTTACTAATTTATCCCCCAATCAACATCCCATAGATCGAATTACACAGAAAAGCACCCATGACCCACGATACATACAAAATGAAATCCAACTACAAAAAACTCGCATTCCGTAGCTAAAGAAGGAGAAGGGAGAAAGCAGAAGGAGCTAACCTCGTAAAATCTAGGTTTGAGTTAGGTCGACAGAGATACAGCTACCAAGCACTTGACGAGTGGTTATGGAAATGAATCGCGATTCCTCGTTCAACGATTCGAAGCAGCCCAGAGAGACGGACAGCGAATTCGAATGATTCCGATATCGAGAAAACGAGAGACGGGGCAGGGACAACGTTACATTCTGCGAATTGCGTGCGTCTCCTGGTACGACATCGCCAGGTCGAGCGAGCAAGGAAGAAGGAAACAAAGACCAGTGACGCTTTTTCTCCCTTTTCTTATTTCTTTTGTTTTTTACCGCTGTGAGATTTTTCTGGGTGATGCAAATTTTGGAATATACAATTTTTATTTTGTGATGAGAGTGGAAATGAGGAGAAAAAATGAAACTCGGCTACGTATGCGTGAGAAGACAGATACACCCCTTACTTTTTGTCGCATATAAAACCGCCTGAAAAATCAAAAGGGATATAAATGACTTTCTAAGGCGGCCGGACAACTTAGATCTGCTTAATTTTTATTTTTGAGTCTTAACTATCAGATTTAAACTGGTCAATACTGATACGGTACCAATGCAGTTCCTGATAAAAACTACTTTTCTTACCGCCAAAAAATATATAACCGAACGAATTCAAAATTGCAAATTCACCCAAAAGCATGAAACAAGTAAAAAAAAAACTAGTAAATATTAACTGTTATAAGGTGTACGGTTTTATTTTTGAATCCATTCGGTTGAAGGTGGTAGCTTTCACAGACTTGTTATGAATATTTGTTAGTATTGTTGTTACATTTCTGTTTTTGAAATTCAATTAGGTTGCAATTTGCTTCACTTAATTCAATTAGTTGTTACTGTTTTGTTTTCTCACATGTGTCAGGACCGTGGGATGGCCCAAAGATGTTCTTCTACATTCCCAAATTGATGCCATGTGTAAGAAAACCAATATATTTCCGCAGCCCACAACAATATACTTTTTGTCCACAAAATTGTAATTAGTGTAGACATTTGCTTAGTTAGTTTAGGTTGTGCATGAATTAGCACGGTCTTCACACTTGACCCTAGTTCGTTCAACTCCACATTTTAACCAAACCAATTTTGGCCTTATCATTATATTTGTAATTATATTTGTATACACTATAGTCACCAAATAAACCCATGATTTAATCATTCCACCGTCTTGAGAAAATTATTCTACAAAGTGTCAAATTATTTACATTGTAAAAGTAATTAATTATTGTTCCTCATCATTTGACACATATCTTTCCAAACATGTCGATGATAATTATCCACACAGTCACACACACACAAACTTATGTGAAAGCAAAAGCAAATACGTAAAAAATTTCACCGATTCAAATTTAGAAACAATGATAAGAATTTGCCTCAATTCCACAGATCAAGAAGGTAATTCATGAAAGCTAACTGGAAAGAAAAACGTAGAAATCTATGAAACGTCTCATGTGTATTGTACTATTCATATTCAATATCACATTACAAGAGCACCAAACAAACCAAACCAAACATGACGACGATAGCAACAACAAGAAGAAAGATCGATCTGGTCGCACCTAAATTTTAAAACATTTATTTTGTTTAATTATCATAAGTACGACACTCATCAGTCTCAGGATTATCACTGCAGTATTCTTCCAGAGGATCGGATCCACCAGCTTTCTTCTTGTCCCTAGCGTGACTCGCCGCCGCACTCAGCTCCTCCACCTCGTCCCACGCCGCCACGCACTCTCCACTCACCGGATCGTCGGCGCAAGTCTCCTTCGCTTCCTGTATACTCTTCTCCACCTTCTCCGATATCCCTCCATCCGATGTCGCCTTCAACGGCTTAACCATAACCATCCGGTTCATCGAACCCGATTTCCACGGGTAATTCAAACAGACCGGGGCTGATAGACGAGCCGCTGGTCCAAAGACCGCTCTTGGAGTCGCGACGTTGAGACCAGTTGCAGCTATGGTTGTCATCGTTGGAGGATTTTTGTGGAGGAGAGATTTTTTCAAGTGAAGAGAAGAAGATGATGATAAATAACTAGTTCATGTTGAACTCTGTGAACACAATCCTCTTATCTCTTAACAACCAACCATATTGTGCCGCGTGTTTTTAGATATTTGAAAAAGGTTCCATTTCTGTAACCGTTGACGGAATGGGAGGACATTTGTTGGGCCATAATGTAGAAAAGAATCGCTGGTTAAGCCCACATAAGCAGTGACGTTCACGAAGATACAGTGCACTAGACCGTATCTTAAAACGCCTTTGCCGATATTTTCCTGATTTTTTCATGTTGATTTATGATTGGATAATGCAATACATTACAAACCGTCGAATAGAATAAGGGAATCATCACACTTTAAAAAGGCTAAGAGAAAGTCAGATTAAAAATGATGCGCTTTCACAAAGCTTGTCATCGTTTCTCTCTCTCGCCTCTCTGCCATTTATCTCCGCCGTCTCCGCCGTCTGCTTCTCTCCTTCTCCCTCACAAGCTTTCGGGATTGTCGACGCTGCGTGTACACCGTTGCGCGAGAGTTCGCCGATTCTCCGGAAACTCGTTGACCACTGCCATGTCTTCTTCACGTTCTGCTTCTAGGCTTAGCTGCCTCGCATCTGTATGTCCCGGAGGTGCCGAAGACGGTGGTGGTAGCAGCTCTAATGGCGTAGCTTCAGCTTCCGCTTCCGCAACTGAAGATGATGGTAATTGCTCCATTTCCGCCGATTTTGCTCGATTCAATTGATACGTGAAATTCTTCTTACTGCCAGTCGATTTTGTAGATGAAACTTGGATTTGACTTTTTATCGTATAGTTTCTGTTTGATACTTTCCACTGAACTCGAACCTCTCATCTGCAGAAAATTGCTTTTGATTGCTTGTTTTTTCGTTGAAAATCGACGATGCCTGCTTTCTAAATTCGTTCGATGCTAGCTTATGTGATTTCGTGTGTTTTTGAATTATGTAGAATTGGCTTTAGGCACTGGGTATCGTCTTCCCCCACCGGAGATCAGAGATATTGTCGATGCCCCACCAGTCCCGGCATTGTCATTTTCACCGCATAGGGATAAGATCCTGTTTCTGAAGCGGAGAGCTCTGCCTCCGTTGGCAGATTTAGCCAGACCTGAGGAGAAGCTCGCGGGTGTTCGGATTGATGGATATTGCAATACGAGAAGCAGGATGTCATTCTATACTGGTTTAGGAATCCATCAGTTATTGCCTGATGGTACATTGAGCCCAGAGAAGGAGATCACTGGCATTCCAGATGGCGGGAAGATCAACTTTGTTACGTGGTCCAATGATGGTAAGCATCTGGCTTTCAGCATCCGGGTCGATGAGAACGGAAATAGTAGTAAGCCTACAGTGTGGGTAGCTGATGTTGAGACTGGAGAAGCTAGACCACTATTCAAGTCTCAGGATATTTTTCTGAATGCGATTTTCGAGAGCTTTGTTTGGATTGATAACTCCACTTTGTTGGTGAGCACCATCCCTTCATCTCGTGGAGACCCACCAAAGAAACCTTTGGTCCCGTCTGGTCCCAAAACTCTCTCGAACGAGACGAGGGAAGTTGTCCAAGTTAGAACATTCCAGGATTTGCTTAAGGATGAATATGATGCTGATTTATTCGACTACTACGCCACATCACAACTAGTATTGGCTTCTTTGGATGGTACTACGAAGGAAGTTGGGCCACCTGCAGTATATACGTCGTTAGACCCTTCCACAGACCATAAGTACTTGTTAGTTTCATCCCTCCACAGGCCATATTCCTTCGTTGTACCTTGTGGTAGATTTCCAAAGAAGGTGGAAGTCTGGACAGCTGATGGTAAATTTGTAAGAGAGTTATGTGACTTGCCCCTAGCTGAAGATATCCCCATTGCCTCCAATAGTGTGCGGAAAGGAATGCGTTCAATTAACTGGCGAGCAGACAAGCCGTCAACCCTCTACTGGTAAATATTTGAGACTTTTAAAGTGATTCACATGTCTTACATGTTCTAAAATGTGATTTGGAAAGAATTTATTTACAACTGTCTGAGATATGTAGGGCAGAAACACAAGATGGAGGAGATGCCAAAGTGGAAGTTTCACCGCGTGATATAGTTTATATGCAGTCTGCGGAACCACTGGCAGGAGAAGAACCAGAAGTTTTGCACAAGCTTGATCTTCGCTATGGGTAAGAACTATAAACAAAGAAGACATTGTAGATTATCAATGCCATCTTCTATCAACAGATCAAGCTAACGTCATGGATCCAATTTGATTACTGCAGAGGGATTTCTTGGTGTGATGATACATTAGCTCTGGTTTATGAATCATGGTATAAAACACGAAGGACAAGGACGTGGGTTATCTCTCCTGGATCTAAGGATGTCAGTCCACGCATCCTGTTTGATAGATCATCGGAAGATGTGTACTCAGACCCTGGCTCAACCATGCTGAGGAGAACCGCTGCTGGAACCTATGTAATAGCAAAGATAAAGAAGGAAAACGATGAAGGCACTTATGTCTTACTGAACGGGAGTGGGGCTACACCACAAGGGAATGTACCTTTCCTCGACTTGTTTGACATGTAAGCCCTACCTGACAAAGACATCTCTTTCTTAAATTTTCTCTTGTTTTTATTGCCATCATGTGGTAACAAAACTTTGGAATATTCTGTACATTTTGTTTTCTAGAAACAATGGCAATAAAGAACGGATCTGGGAGAGCGACAAGGAAAAGTACTTCGAGACAGTTGTGGCCTTGATGTCTGACCAGAAAGAAGGGGATTTGAGAATGGAGGATCTGAAAATTCTGACATCAAAGGAGTCTAAAACAGAAAACACTCAATATTCTCTCCAACTCTGGCCTGATAGGAAAGTGCAACAGATTACAAACTTTCCTCATCCGTATCCCCAGTTGGCTTCGTTACAGAAAGAGATGATCAGGTATCAACGAAAAGACGGGGTTCAGCTTACTGCAACACTGTACCTACCACCAGGCTATGATCCATCAAAAGACGGTCCGCTTCCTTGTTTGTTTTGGTCTTACCCTGGTGAATTCAAGAGCAAAGATGCTGCTAGTCAAGTCCGTGGCTCTCCAAATGAATTTGCAGGCATTGGTTCAACTTCTGCCCTTCTTTGGCTTGCTAGAAGGTATCCAATATTTTCCTTTTCTCTTTTTGCTTGTTTATCTCTGATACTGTATATTCCTGTGTTGAGCTTGTTGATTCAGTGTTAGCTTGTATCATCTGGGTTCTTCTGTTTTGTGCAGGTTTGCTATATTGTCTGGACCCACTATACCTATAATTGGTGAAGGTGATGAAGAAGCTAATGATAGGTATTGTGATTTTGTATTTATTTTTCCGACAAGCTGGTAGCTAAAACATGGGAACCATTGTCATGACATCCTTGAAAAGAAACCACTTAAGATTTGAGATGTGCTTGAGTTTGACAGAGTCTAATGTGAACAAGTGAAACACCATGTTTAGGTATGTAGAGCAATTGGTTGCAAGTGCCGAGGCTGCTGTAGAGGAAGTCGTCAGGCGTGGAGTAAGCATCACTTGATCCTAATTCCATGGAACATTTTACAAAAGTGTTGATACTTAATAATTTCTGTTATATCCTCCATTTTTAAAGGTGGCTCATCCAAGCAAAATCGCTGTTGGGGGACACTCATATGGAGCGTTTATGACTGCAAATCTCCTGGCTCATGCTCCTCATCTCTTCTCCTGCGGAATAGCTCGATCTGGCGCCTACAACAGAACACTCACGCCCTTTGGTTTCCAGGTGCCACCCTGACCATTTTCTTTCTCGTTTCATCTTCTGCATTCAGATGGTTAGTAACCAATCTTTGTTTAACCTTTCAACAATGTCAGAACGAAGACCGAACTCTGTGGGAAGCTACTAACGTGTACGTAGAGATGAGCCCATTCATGTCTGCTAATAAAATCAAGAAGCCAATCTTGCTCATCCACGGTGAAGAAGACAATAACCCAGGAACTCTAACAATGCAGGTTATAACTTCAACACAAATCACCGGAAAGCATTAGATTTTAGTTCTTTGCATTTGGTTCTCTCTAACCACTTTCACGTCATATAACAACAGTCTGACAGATTCTTCAACGCACTGAAAGGCCATGGCGCTCTTTGCCGCCTTGTTGTTCTTCCTCACGAGAGCCACGGCTACTCAGCACGGGAAAGCATTATGCACGTTCTCTGGGAAACTGACCGCTGGCTTCAAAAATACTGCGTTCCAAACACATCGGATGCGGACACAAGTCCGGACCAGTCCACTGAAGGATCAGATTCCGCAGACAAAGTAGCGACTGCCACAGGAGGTGGTGCTAATCCGGAGTTTGGTGAGCATGAAGATCACTCCAAGCTTAGGAGATCACTTCTCTGGTAAAACTCTCTCACCATTCCCAAACAGAACACAAAACTATAAAATCTTTCTCATATTTGATTAGCTGATCTAGTTTTTTGGAATTTCTGATTGTGCTTTTTTGTTTTCAGAGTCTCTGTGCCGTCAGCTCTCGGATGCACTTGCAGAAGGAGGGAACACAGCAATGGCAGACGCAACACAAACTTTTGTTTTCCCGATAGAACATTCCGATTGATAATAATGCAAACAAAAAGTGATTGGATACTTGAAAGCACAAAGTTAAACACACACTCTCTGTCAAGTGCTATTAAAGTTTCAACAATATTCATCATTTGCAGCTTCTCAAATAAGAAAACAAAACAATAGAGATTCAAGTCTGAATCAACATTACATTTGTTTCTGTTTATGATCTAACAAATCACATTCTCAGATTTGTTTATTTTTCACAAAAATCCAAACTCATCCAAGAGTTATTAAAAAAGAGGAAAAAACAGAATACGAAATCATCCGTCTTTGAGTTTGAGCGGCTTTGTTACTCTTCAGCGGCAATGACACTGATCTCACCTCTCTCGAGCAAGTCATAGAAAGCTCTTGTCTTCCTCTGTTCGTTCCAGTGGTGCATCTTCCAAAGACCACCAGCAGCTAAACCGAGTGCCATACCGATGATCAACTCCTTCACAACGCTAGGCCCTTTCAATGTGGCATGTGCAACCTTGTGTCCTGCCATCGCTTCTTTCTTCTTACTTCTTCTTTATCTCAACCTACCAATATGATACAGCACAACCCCAAAGATCAAACGTGAATCAGTTTTCCCTACAATACAATCCTTCACTACACCAACTCTAGAAATGTTATTCACAACCAACTCGTATCTAAGAGAAATTGGATCTTTTGTTCTCAATGTATCAAAGATGGTACCGTGAGCTATATATACAAGGCATAGTATATCCCCACAAATCAAACATGAATCAGTAGTCCCTACAATCTTCACTCAAGAAAAGCTAGAAATGTAATGCACAGTTAATTCATATAAGACAGAGATTGGCTCTCTTCTAATTCAAAACAGTTTTCTTCTGAAATGGACACATAGACTTATACATTAGATACGAACTCTACAAAGACGAACACTTGAGGTGAATTTGTCTATGGATCTTCCTTCTAGAGGATTTGTAAAACCAGGAGATCAAACACTTTGATTCAATAACAATGACATAATGAAAAGCGATCCAAATTTAAATCCTTGAAACCATAGAGAGATATCACTATTAAATATCTTCCTTGGAACGAAAATGATAGATTTTTCATGAAAATCGTTTCTAGAAACCTCCATCAAGCTAACCAAAGTTCCCGCAGGAAAAAAAGAAATAACAAGGAAATATGGATCCTTAGATCGCCGCCAATAATAAGAGGAATCGATCCGAATCATTCAAATTAGAAACCACATCGGCGTCTTACCTAGAGTAAGAATCGGCACAAAACCAGAAATGCTGATAAATCAAAAGCGGATAAACAGAGAGATGGAATTGGGGACTTACCAAGTCGGAGTTGGGAGGACGACGACGGGAACAAATGAAGCCCGATGATTTTTCAGGTGAAGAAGACTGATCAAATTGTCTCTACTCTGTAAATGATGGTTTCTCCCACTCAATTAAATGGGCTCACTTCTTAGCCCGGCCCATTGTATTCCATCTAACTTTTGACGAGTGTATTACACTATGAGTGACTTTTCTCACTTATCTTACATAAAGAGTGACATTTTGATTGTAGCACACTTTTTTTTTGTTTTGTTGTGAGTTGAAATACCAAGTATAACCTTAATGAAAATGGAAGTGAGAAGTTTTACCATCCACGCAAAAAGCTATATGTCTCCTACTCCCTCTGTTTCACAATATAAGGGGTTTTGGAGTTTTTATTTTGTTTCATAATATAAAGGGTTTTCAAATTTTTGTGCAAAATTAAATGTGCTTTTGTTACTTTTGATTATTTATATTATACAGAATACTTTTTCATTGGTTGGAATGTTTTGAAATTGATGAGCAAATATATTTTATTGTAAAAAGTACACAAATTAAATAGACTCTTAATCTTTGTACAAAAACTAAAACCCCTTATAGAATGAAACAGAGGGAGTATTTGTTTGTACGACTTGTTTGCAATTTGGTGATTGATTTATGTTTGGATGATTTATGTTTGGATGATTTATGTTTGATGATTGATTTTTCTTTCTTTTGCTTTTTTATTAAATCTTATATATTATTATTAGTTAGTATTGATTTCTCTGATGGTATAGCAAAATTCACTTTAAAATCAGAATTTGGTATAAGAAGCATACAAAGAAATCGAGAAAAATTCTGCAAACAAATTGAGAACAGACCTGAACTTTTATTCGTCACTCAATCACCCACATAAACATCTCCATAACTCAAATCAAAACCACCGGTGAGGTAACGCATGTTTGATTCGGACATATATTATTGGACATACAGAGAGTTGGATTTGTAGTGCATGAGTTGGAGTGAGAGTGTGGATAATTTGATATTGCTTATCTTATTTACGATTTTTTTTTTTTTTTTTTCTGAAAAAAGGTTCATTGATCTTGTATCTGGGTTTAGTTGGACGAAATTGTGTTTTTGGACGATTAAAAATTGGTGTACACCTATACGTGGACACTTTTGTGGTGGATACATGAATGTGGACAATATTTATGCGGATATGATTATGTCATTTGTATAAACTATAAACACAGTACAGTAAAACCTCTATAAAACAATAATGTTGGGACTTTGAAATTTTATTATCTTATAGAGTTATTATTTTATAGAAATATTCTATCAAAAACAAGAAACTTTATAGAAATATATTTTTTCAGATTTTTTATTCAAATTTTCCTTATACTTTGTTATTTACATATTTCATGCTCAGAAGTTCAAAGTCTATAAGAAATTATGTCTACTGTTCTTAATGGTGAAGATGAAGTTGAAGATGATGAGGAAGGACATGTGCAAGTAGTTACACGTAAGGATGCAATTGTGGCTTCGAGAACTCTTCACAACTTTTGGCTGCATGTTGAGAATACACCTCCAGAAATTGTAGATGCAATAAGAAAAATTCGAGATGAGCTCCAACGGGAATCCAATTTCAGAAAAGACAAACTACATTGGAGTCATATTTTACTAAATTGTCTTAGATATATATGCATTAGTTTTATAATTATTATCTTAGCTTATTGTTGGGACTATATTTTTACATAGGAGTTTCAAAAATATTATTGTCTTATCATCTTATCGCATTATGCTATTTTTTACACTGGCCCGAGTTGGGACCGGAGAAAAATATTATCTTATAGTGTTTATTGTTTTATCGAGTATTGTTTTATAGAGGTTCTACTGTACTCGATTTTATGGCATGGAAATAATAGAATTGGATATTAGTCTGGATCTCGTTCTTTTTATTTAGAATATGAGTATTGAGATTTGTGCTTGGGTATCTCAATTTCATTTCATTTGAAGTAAAAAACTTTTGGTCAGTTAATAAGACATCAATGGAAACAAATAGTTGCTGATGTTTCAATTAAAAACAATATGACAGACAAAGATAATAAGATCAATGCATATACATAATAGTTTCCCTCAAATATTCTTTAATTGTTGCACTTCGCCATAGTGCTTTCGTACTAGTTACCTTGGATGTCTTGTTTGAATTGTCTGCATTGAGAACATGAATTATAGCTTGTTTAAAGAGAAAGAATAATTTCATGAGTGCTTTTACCATAAGAAAACTCATTAAAACCATCCATGCTAGTAAATACAACTATCCCGGAAAGTTCAAGTGAAGAGCACAAAGAAAGAGAGAAACAAAATTCATGTGAAATGTGAAAAATAAGGAATTACAGAAACAAGGTAAGTGAAAAAAGGGCAATACTGTCAACTCACTTTGTGAAAGTCCATCATTTTCAACATTGTCATTACTTTCACAAAGTCCCTCAAAGTGTAAAGCCAAACTAAAAAAGTAAGTGTAATTTTCTCAACTTTTGACATTCCGACCGAATATTGATATATTTTCATTTTTATGGCGGGCCCCACCTGAGACCATATTTAACACTGTACAAGGTAAAGCTATTGGGAAGCTTTCGTGCAAGTTAAAGATTGGTCGGCTCAGGGCTATACTACTAGAGTACTAGTGTGGTACCCACTCACTAGTCACTACTCACTAGGCTGTTGAGTCCCCGACACACAAATGTTTTCTCTTTTTCTTCAATGAGATTTTTTATTTTTACAAACCACCGATTTTGAATTTTGTTGTTGTTTTTATGAATTTATCATCATTTGTATATTCTGAAAAAAACGAATTCAAAACCTGGTCCAGAGACATTCAAATCTTGGTCAACCACTTAGTTTAATGATCAACTAACTGGAACTGAAAGCTTCAGTCCATGGAATGATGACATGACTAAAAAGGTTTGCATTAAAGAGGCATTACTTGGTAAAGGACAAAGCGTATGATAATTAGTCTTGAATTCTAGATACTCTTCCCGGGCCCATTATACATTTAACGGGCCACCAAATATCTCTAGTCTAACGTTTGGTTTGTTCACCAACTTTTTTTCCACATTTTACTTAAAGCCGGACTCTCTCCGTCGTACTTATCCTCTCTAACCGTCTCTTTCTCTTTTTGAAAAATGTCGCCGTCGTCGTTCTGCTCCCTCCGTTTCTCCGTCGCTCTCTTCCTCGTAATCTCCGCCGTCCCAATCGCTTTCCTCATTTCCCTGGAGCGAGCCGTTCCTTCGACGCATGTCTTCTCTTACCACAGCTCCGGCTTCTTCCGCGAGTGCGCCAAATGGGACGACGTCGGCCGGAGATTCCTCGTCTCCTTCATGGACGGCGGCGGAATCGGCGAGGTTGTTCCTAGAGACTCCGACGCTGTTCTGAAGGAAGTCACTCTGGTCAGAGACGCTGACATCGCCGGAAACGCTTCCCTCGGAATCGCCATCGACCGCGACAGAAACCGTCTCCTCGTCGCTGTCGCCGACTTGCTCGGAAACCGATACAGCGCTCTAGCGGCGTATGATATGTCCACGTGGCGTCGTTTATTCCTCACCGAGCTTAGCGCCCATAGTAATTCTAATAACCTCGTTCTAATTTCTCCGAATTTCTCTGATTGATCTCATGAAATCTAAATTGTTTTGATGAAATGTAGGCAAAGAGAAATCATTTGCAGACGATGTAGCTGTCGATGGACAAGGGAATGCGTATGTTACGGATGCGAAAGACAGTAAAATCTGGAAAGTGGATGTGAATGGGAAGCTTGTGTCGACCATTGAAAGCCCTCTCTTCACACCACCTGGATGGTACAATAACCTCGTCGCTCTCAACGGCATTGTTTATCACCCTGACGGCTTCCTCATCGTCATCCACACTTTCTCCGGTTTATTATTCAAAATCAACTTAACCGATGGTAATAAAGTCACTGTCATTGACGTTACTGGTGGTACATTGAGGTTTGGAGATGGGCTTGAGTTCTTGTCTCCCACCAAGATTGTTGTTGCAGGTACGTAGCATAAAGCTCTGATTTTTTATGACAATTATTGGATTAATGAGTTATTAACCATTTGCGAGTGTATTTTAATTTCAGGTAGTCCATCGGCGAAATTGGTGGAGAGCTCGGACGGGTGGAGGACGGCTTCTGTGACCGGTTGGTTCGGCAGCGGTATGGTTCACCGAATAGTGTCGTCGGCTACTGTGAAGGAAGGAAGAGTTTATCTTAACCACATTGTTGGTTTTGGTTCTAACAAGAGACACATACTTGTAGAAGCTGTGTTTTAGAATTAGATGTAATCTCTTCTTAACTTGTAGCTTATGATGATTCTATTGTAATCTCATGTAAAGCTCGTCTTAATCAAATTTCGCTAAACACATTCATTATAAGATCTTTAACATCTCTCTCATTACAAATATATCAACTTGAACACTGTAAGAACTTTGACAAAAATTGGTAATATTAATGAACCAATTGTTACTTACACTTTATTGTCACCTTCATCGTCATTATGAAGAGAAGAAGCAGGAGGAGCAGTAGAGACTCCACGTGGATTTCTTCTTGTGCCTTGTTCGAAAAGCAAAACCATCCCAAACCACAAACACCCTTTAACGATCCTAACCATACCAATCGTCACAACCATATAATACAACCACCAATTCACGAAATCAAGCGTTCCGACATCAAAACTACCGTTCACATTATTATTACCATCGATTGGTAATAACAAGAGCAATGCTTTTTTAGCCTCTGCCACACCAACCAAAGCCTCTACTTCATCTCGAAGCTTCCACCACCACAACGTCCCGCAGCTCACGGCCAAAGCCACTCTCTCCACCACCGTCTCTTCTCTCTTGTGGTCTCCTCCTCCGATCAACGTGTTGTCCACCACCGGTCTCACGATCACTCTGCACCACAAAAGCATCACCTCGTGAAGACCAAAGAAAAACACGAGCCTGCTCAAGAAATTCCGTTCACTTCCAATGATTAAACCGTTGGCATTCGTTCCTTCAAGGCCTAAACCGACGGAGATTTGAACAAGGAAGAGCGTGAGCCACGCGATGCTGACATGTGGAAGAAACGGAATCGAACGGCTAGGATCAGTCGCTGTGATCTTGGTGGTTAGACCAAGAACTAGTGTGTACACGCTTATTGACGAGACGACGGCGTATAAGATCGCCGGATTCGTGTAGTTGAAAAAGACAGAGAAGAAGAAGAAAGATGATTCCGTTTGCGGCGGAGATTTGGTCAGAGAGAAGAGGAAAGAAGCTGAAGAGAGACGGCTAAGGAAAAGGAAAGAGAGAGGAAGGAGGAGGCTGAGGAGAGTTGTTGTCACTAGCCGGAAAGGCTTAACCACCAGCTGCTCCGCCTCTCTCCGCCATTTTCCGCCGCCGAATATACTCATTTCTAATCTAAAAACTAAAGAAGGTTGAGAAGTTAAGGATCATAAAGCCAGTTTTTGTGTCATTTATATATGTTTTTTGTTCGGAAATTGAAGGTTTATGTTTGAAGGAAAGACCAAGGAGTGGGTGCCATGTCTATAGTTTGAAGTTAGGTTTGATGAAAAGGAATCATTCACTTAAACAAATTTTTAAAATACGTTTTATATTTTAGTAGTAGTATGATACATACGCATAATAAGAGATAAGATTACTTGACTACTTAAACAAACAGAAGAGTGATGAGAAATCATTGCCTTTATTCTTTCCAACTAACAAGTTTCTTTCTTGTCTACACACAAATTGTCAACTACAGAGAGATAATTTTAAAATCGGAGTTATGAATGATATCATGATCATGGGAAGACGCAAGAAACAGCTAAGAAACGACGACGTACTGCGAGTCCACGACGCTCGCTTGCAAACAATAATAGAGCACGAGTATAATAATATATTTTAATAACTAAAATAACGACGATAGTGAGATAGCCGTTGGAGATTTGTATGGATGAACGTCCATGATGTGATGGTTTGGTAGTAAAAGAAAATGGACGGCCACGATGACAAAAGAAAATGAACTCTGCGATCAGACAAGTCTAAAGAAGCGATGTATAAAATCAAAAACTAAACCATGTCTCTCTCTGTAGTTTCTGTATCAATAAAAAAAAAAGAAGAAGAATTATGAGTCAATATCTAAGGAAGCTTAGTCTCTGAATCAGAGGGAGCATTTGTAGCAGCACTTGAGGCTTCTCCTGGACCGCTTTGAATCTGCTGATCAACAGCTTTGTAGCATTGGAGGCTGCACAGAGGCACATTAGTCTTTGAATGACGATACTTGTATGTATTGGTGCACGATGGACCAGCACACTTTTCCCGCGGAGGAGGATAACTACACACACAGATTCAAACCAAAAACAAAACCGTCAATTCCTTGATGAGACTGCAGAGCACAAACAGAACCAAGGAACAAAAGAAACCCCAATTCTAGAGAGCATCCCTTAATCTTCTATATCCCTCAAAAACAATTGAAGCATTCCCTTATACATAGACTCACTAACTAGCTCATGTGTTGTTTTGGAGACATCCAACACTCATGAATTCAATCCAAGGTTCGAGTAAGTTAGAAAGAAAAGAGAGTCATACCAGGTTGGTTTCTGATCGAACAGGCTAGGCACTTTGTCAATTGGGAATGAAACAGTGGTTCCACTAGGACCCATTATTGTTCTGATGAAGCTTGTTGGAGCCATTTCCTCATGTGCAGCTTTCTCCTGCGATCAATCAATCAAATTCCAACTCATATCACTCAGAATCCCAGTTTTACTTACAAAACAACGCATTTGCAACAAGGTGGTTTTTCTTACCTGAGCCAATTCATCCAGGCGTTTCTTAATTTTGTCTTCACGCTTCTTCCTGCTCGAATCCTGACCTAGGATCTTTCTTATAGCCTCTGCCTGTATAAACAAACCCAAAGACAATCTCTCACATTAGGATTTGCCAATATTTTAACGCCCATAGCATGATGGAGAGAGAAGAACACCAACCTCAGACTCCCTTGCAGCCTTCTCAATCTGAACTTTACGCCTCTGAGCAGCTTCTGTCTTCTTCAGTTGTTGCTCTGTTTCTGAAAGATTCTCCTTTTTCCCTGTTTTCCAACATAATTTACCACAGTCCATTATGAACCTTCATTGCAAGAGATGTATTTGTGAATTAAGAAAAAGAAAGCAAAAAACCTACTTCTCGTTGTAGGAGGTAATCCATCTGGAAATTCAATCGCGCTTGATCTGCCAGATGCAGAAGCAAGGGCTCGCTGACGACTCGTCAGATTTGATTCCCTCTTCATCTCAACACCAATCTCATCAGCCACAGATTCAATCTCCTCCGCGTTATCCATGTCCTCGGACGCCTTCTCAGATACAGCTTTCCCCTTACCAGAATTTTCCCCATTTGAAATCGCAGATTGCTTCCTTCCCGATTCAGTCTCTTCAGTACACACAGAGGCATTCCTATACTTCAATTTTTCCAGATACCGGAGCTCACCATCACTGTCATCATCGCTGTCTACAACCTGTTTCTTTGCTGCTCGTTTGCTCTTGCGAACCGAGCCAGTTGGCTCCCCTTGCTTTCTCCTCCCTGCCATAGATTCGTCTTGCTCAGCTCCCTCTAAATCAGCCTTCTTCTCTAGAGGAGAATTACATTCATCTGAACTTTCCTGTCATTTAATGGAAAGAGATATATGAGTTTACAGTGTATCTAAGCTGTCAAAAACGCTTAGCAAAGAAGTTAAGACCAAATCTAATCTTTCTAGAGTAACAAAGTGAAATGCATACAACACAACATTTCCAACCTGTTGTCCATAAACAGCAATGCATTTACTAGTTTTGAGTGCAAGCCACGGAGAAGAGACTAATTTTAACCTGCTCTAGGCCCCGAGGCCGAGACCGAGGACCAGCGACACCGAGGAGATAATGGGCCGTAAGGCCCGAAAAGAGCATAGCATTGACTGATCAAGACACAAAATGCAAAAGGATGATAAACTACTATATCAATCTCAATGGATGCGAGGCAATTCAACAACTTGAGCATAGCATTTACTGATCAAGATACAAAATGCAAAAGGATGATAAACTACTATATCAATCTCAATGGATGCCAGGCAATTCAACAGCTTGAGCATAGCATTGACTGATCAAGATACAAAATGCAAAAGGATGATAAACTACTATGTAAATCTAAATGGATGCGAGGCAATTCAACAACTTGAGCATAGCATTTACTGATCAAGATACAAAATGCAAAAGGATGATAAACTACTATGTAAATCTCAATGGATGCGAGGCAATTCAACAGCTTGAGCTATGTCAATATATAAAACTAGGATATAACACACCTCCAAATCGTTGTTAGACGGAGTAGTATCATTCACCGGTTTAGAAGACTTCCGGGATGAACCATTGACATGAACCAGTCGACTCACACCACCAATCTTGAGCTTCATTCTCTTCATGTCACCCTCAAGCTCACCCACATTACTTCTCTTTCCATTGATCATATCATTACCTTCATCTTCCCGGCTTGTGTTTTTCCTGCTAGCAGGTGCAAGTACACCTTCAGTCGAACGTTTGTCTCTGCCGATGATCTCTCTCCGCCGAGAATCATTCTTTCCTCTTTCAGATTCTGCTATAGATTCAGCCCTGGATATACACTGGCTAAGACTAAATTCTTTCCTTCTCGGGTTGGTATCAAATGCAGGTATATCATCACTCGAGATCTTGCTGAAATGTTCTGAAGGAGCTAAGAGACTCGATCCCTCAGGGCGAGGGCGACGAGAAGCCAAGCTACGTTTCTTCCTCACAGTGTTCTTCATACCATCAAAACGAGCACCACCATTACCTTCCATTGCAGTGTGTATATAGAGGCATACACACTCTCTTCGCTCTTAACAGATTACTCAACTTGAAGACTAACAGATGAACTGAGAAATCTCCAAGCTCGAACACTGAGAAGCAGAACAAATGTAATGTATTAGACCAATAAAGCACAAAGATAAATTTCATTGTGATTTCGAAACGAGTGTATCATCGGAATCCCAGATCAATCAAAACGAGCGATCAATTGGAAAATTACAGACGAGAATCTAAACATTTCTAAACCCCCGCGGATCACAACTTTCGACGAATTGAAACCAACACCAAACGAAAACGATCGAATCAAAATCAAACGAAAAAAGCCCCCATGAAGTATGAACAAGGACACATAAACAAACTTCAAAAGCGCATACTATGAACACAATACGATACGATCATCAAAATCAAATCAAGAGAGAGAGACGGCGAAGAATACCTAGGCTGATGAGCAAAGACGGAGCCGAATTGGGAGGATCTAGGAGACGATGATGATAAGAAACCCCAAAAGTAGAGATTGGGGAAAAAATAGAGGATTGAAGACAGGAAGAATTAGGGTTGGGGCAGGAGACGGGACTGAGAATTAAGAAAGCGAGAGAGGAGAAGTAGTAAAGAGGTGAGAGACTAATTATCTCGTCGTTCACCATTTTTTTGCTATTTCAACACCAACCCACACACACACACACATACAAAAAAAGAAAAAAATCCAAAGATCCCTTTTTTATCGGTTATAAGGGTTTTTGCTGATCCCTTCCCCTTCGACAGCTATGACTCGCTGAGCCAACTCAGAAGTAAACTCGGGCCGAGTTATTTTGTTTCCTTTCTCTCTTATCTCTCTCTTTCGTTTGTTTCCTTTTTCTTTCTCTTCTGCTGCGTTGATTTTGTTTGTTTTTAGACTTGCCGGTGCGCATGTTAAGAAGCTGCATTTCGCTGTGTATGTTAGCCTGTTCCGCTTTCTGTCATTTCGTACAAGGACACGCGTGTGTCTTCGCACGTGACCGCGATGTTCAGATGATAAAAGCATAGTACTAAAAGTAAAAATAAACTCTACACAATATAAAATCACAGTAAAAAATGTTTGAAACTTTGGATGATTATTTAGCAAAGAAAGTTCAGGCAAAGGATCTTCCATTTGCTGTCTCATGGATTATCTAATGTATCTCCCTTAACCTCTTGTAATATCTTTTATCCAACGGATAAAATGACTCGACAAAATAAATAAACGACGTATTTATTATATAATACAAAAATGGCTTATAATATGAAGGTTTTTCACAAATTAAGTATAAACTTGCCGAATTTTGTCTATTATGTAACTAATAAATTTTAGACCTAGAAAATTATAAAAATATTTATTTTAATCTAAGATTTATTCTATTTTAATTGATTATTATGTTTAATTACTTTGGGAAGTATATATAATTCTTTTGTAGACTTATAGTGAATTTACATATAAGATAATTATATATTTTTCTATAAATACATATATAAAAGCTTATCGCAAAGTTGGAAACTTGACGAAATGTTTTGAATAAATTTATACTTTTTGAGAAAATTCATCTACAAAGTATATAAATATATCTAAATGTGTTTTAAGTTTAATACATTCAAATACAATATGCAAATACATTTCTCAAAATGACAACTTATATGAAACGGAAGGAATATTAAATAGTTTTTTATATTTTCGTTCTTTAGGGTTTATCATTTTTCGTGTTTTGAACAACATGATAGATTGTGTAGTAATTTATACTGCTAGATTTATAAGTTGTTTGATTTCATCTATAAATGACTAATTAAATTGTCTAAATTTTTAAATCGTTTTCATATATTTTGTTTTTGTAGTTGACACTTGACATAACAAAAACGAAAACAAAAATAATAAATATATACAATCATGCACACGTACGTGAAATAAAGACATATTTACAAAACAGAAGAAAATATTTTGAATCTGAAAATTTCAGTGATGACAAACCGATCTAACGGCTCTGGACCTTATGAGACATTGCCAAAACGTTGCTACAGAGCCTCTTGATGAGCTCATCGAGAGACGCCGTCGGAGATTCCACACCAGGAATGTCCACGAAAGTATCAGAGCAAGTCGACACATCGGAGATCGCCGCACTCAAAACCGATTCCAATCTCCCGTAATCTCCATCGTCCAACGCCGTCCTCGCATCTTCCACACTCGCGATCAGCGATTCGTAACTCTCCACGCAGACACTCATCGCCTCTTTCACCGGCATTGTCGTCTTACTGTCATCCATCAATCGCTTCGCGTAATCGAGAGTCGCGTTCGCCTTCTTGGACAACGACTCGACTTCCATTCGCAGCACATCCTTCCTCTCAACTCCGCCTTTTCCCTCGTCGGCTCTTTTCTGTAGATCGGGGAGAATCGCCGCGAGGCACTCGTTGTTATAATCGGTGCCTTTGCAGAGATCCTTCGCCATCGTGTCGATTTTCATGGATGAGAAATAGAAATTGTTTACACTTTCAAATTTCGGGGTTAGATCTGCTATGTTGTCGATGGAGTTGAAATCGATGTTGATATCTGCTTCGGTGGGGCCCGGTGCGGAGGCTGGGACGGCCGAGATCGGCGATTCGGACGGCTCGTCCAATGAAGCATCAGGTGCCGGTGCTGGTGCTCCAGCCGGTACGTCGGATATAGTTTCATCGGATGCTTGGACGTTATACACACTGCATAACGTATAACAAACGGTAATTCCGATTAGGAAAATTGCTTTGTAAAGCTTCATTTTGTGAAAAACCAAGAAAAAAAAATTGTTGATTGGTGATTATTGGGAATTTAAAAAGGTATACTAATTACTAAATATATTGATTGGTTTTAAAGGTTTCAAATTTTTGGGAAACCTAAGGGAGTGGTGCTCATTATTTGCTAAATTGTCTTTCCAAAACCTCAAATTTTACGCTATTTTTCGGATTGTATGATAAAAAAACATATCTTGTATTGCATAAACTCATGTGAGCATGAATTATTCAAAAATTTGACGCTATTACGACACTCTCGTGTAACGTCGTATTTATGTCACAGAAATTGGCGCGGAACAAAAGCAGAAAATAGTGCTTTAAAAAGGCCCATTAAAGGCCCAAATGCATAGACGTTAACAAGTCGGCAAAACTGGGGAAATTATTTTTACTGGAGATCGTCTTCTTCCTTCCTTCTCAATTTACATAGTGCCAGAAACAACACAAAAATTAGGAAGACGGAACCCTAAATTCTTATTCATAACTGAGCTGAGCTTAGCTTAGCTTTAAGCTGGAGCTGAGAGAGAGAGAGCATCAAAAACTCAAGAATGTCTAATCGGAAGTCTGGATTTGAAGGATTCGGCATAAATCGGCAAACTACTTACAGTTTCGAGCGATCTCAGCCACCGCAACGCCTCTACGTCCCTCCGTCGTCTCACGGTTCCGAAGAGGCCGATCTAGATAACATTGATTATATAGAAAACGAAGAGGCTGAAGAAGACGCTGAGGTCGTGGGCGGCTCTGCGGGTGGCGAGGATGAGATCGATCCACTAGACGCCTTTATGGAAGGAATTCACGAGGATTTGAAGGCTGCTCCACCTCCCAAGCCAATTCAGAAACTAGAGAGGTACAAGGACGATGAAGACGATGATCATCTCGAGAGCTTCCTCAAGGCGAAAAAGGATTTGGGCCTCACACTAGCCGCCGACGCACTTAACGCAGGCTACAACTCCGACGAGGAGGTGTATGCTGCAGCCAAGGCGGTAGATGCTGGGATGCTGGAGTACGATGAAGATGATAATCCGATTGTCGTTGATAGAAGGAAGATCGAGCCAATTCAAGCTCTAGATCATAGCTCCATCGATTACGAACCCATTAACAAGGATTTCTACGAGGAGGTCGAGTCAATTTCTGGTAAGTCAAATTTGGTTTCTAACACTTAACTGATCAATTTTCATGCTGAGTTTCTAGCATTTCTGATCAATTCGTTAATCGTTTTTAGGAATGAGTGAACAAGAAACTTTGGATTACCGTCACAGTTTGGGAATTCGTGTATCCGGTTTTGATGTTCCTCGGCCGGTTAAGACCTTTGAGGATTGTGGATTTGCCTCACAGATTATGAGTGCTATCAAAAAGCAAGCTTATGAGAAACCAACAACCATACAGTGTCAGGCTTTACCGATTGTGCTTTCTGGTCGAGATGTTATCGGCATAGCCAAAACTGGTTCAGGGAAGACGGCAGCGTTTGTGCTTCCAATGATTGTGCATATTATGGATCAGCCGGAGCTTCGGAAAGAAGAAGGCCCAATCGGTGTTATATGTGCCCCAACAAGAGAACTAGCTCATCAGATATTCTTGGAAGCGAAGAAATTCTCAAAAGCTTATGGCCTACGAGTCTCCGCTGTGTATGGTGGAATGTCTAAACATGAACAGTTTAAGGAACTCAAGGCAGGGTGCGAGATTGTTGTTGCTACTCCTGGAAGGTTGATAGACATGGTGAAGATGAAGGCTGTGACAATGATGAGAGCGTCGTATTTGGTTCTTGACGAGGCTGATCGGATGTTCGACCTTGGTTTCGAGCCGCAAGTAAGGTCTATCGTTGGGCAGATCCGTCCAGATCGCCAGACTCTACTCTTCTCAGCCACAATGCCTTGGAAAGTTGAGAAATTAGCTAGGGAAATCCTTTCGGATCCTGTTAGAGTCACAGTTGGTGAAGTTGGGATGGCCAATGAGGATATCACACAAGTTGTCAATGTAATACCGTCAGATGCTGAAAAACTTCCTTGGCTGCTTGAGAAGCTACCTGGAATGATTGATGAGGGTGACGTACTAGTCTTCGCATCTAAAAAAGCCACTGTTGATGAGATCGAAGCTCAGCTTACGCTGAACCGTTTTAAAGTTGCTGCGCTTCACGGTGATAAAGACCAGGCATCACGAATGGAAACTTTGCAGAAGTTCAAATCCGGAATCTACCATGTGCTAATTGCCACGGATGTTGCTGCCCGAGGTCTCGACATCAAGTCGCTCAAGACGGTGGTTAACTACGACATTGCAAGAGACATGGACATGCATGTGCATCGTATTGGTAGAACAGGGCGTGCTGGTGACAAGGACGGGGTCGCCTACACGCTTGTTACGCAGAGAGAGAGTAGATTTGCTGGTGAATTGGTGAACAGTTTGGTTGCTGCTGGTCAGAATGTGCCTCCAGAACTCATGGATCTCGCCATGAAGGTAATAACATTTTACTCTTCATTTGATATCCATTTATGATATGATTGTTCATCTTATTAGCTCCCATTCCACCACTCTGTAGTTTCATTATTGCTTAAACGAAAATATGAATGTTGAGTGAAATTTGGCTTTGCAAATCAATAGGACGGACGATTCAAGTCCAAGCGTGACGGCAGAAAAGGAGGAGGTAAGCATATTATAGCTCTATTCAGTATATTGATCTATAGAATTGCGAACAGAAACCTTTCACTAGATTTGAAACCGAAAGCGAAAAATTTGTGGTCAAGTTTTTCTTGTCAAGTGAGGGAATCTGTGAATGATCTCTAAATCTCTTTTGTGACATAGGTGGGAAGAAAGGTCGAGGAAGAGGCGGAGAAGGAGGTGGAAATAGAGGAGTACGAGGAGTTGACTTTGGTCTTGGCATTGGATTTAACTCGGAAACACCGTCTCAAGCTGCACCAAGTAGAAGCGGTGGTGGTGCACCAAGGGCTGTGAATTCCGTGAGGACCGGAGTAATGGCCCAATTCAAGAATAGCTTTGTGGCTGCCACGCCGTCGTCCAACTCGCAAAGCCAAGCTTATCCGAACAAGAAACCATCCTTAATGGGATTTGTCTCAGGCGGGACCATTGGTGGAGACATGGGTAGAACTCAGAGTCAAACTCCTCCCCCAGCACCAGCACCTGCTTCATTACATAACACAAGTCAAAAGAATCCACAGAGGTTTGTTTCCCTTTTTGGTCTCACTGCTTTCCCGTAAGGTTTTAGTTTTCTTATTTTAAGTTGTAACTCGAGTGTTGACTGGGTGCAGTTCTGAAGATCGACCAAGAGAGAGGAAAAGGAGATCTGGTTGGGATAATTGAATGCATGCTTGCAAGTGTTTTACACAACATAATAACAATCTTGTTGTATCATCCGTCTTCAGATGTTAATTATCCTTCTTGTTTCAGCTCTTAAGTATATCACTGTCTGTCAATTTGTTGTTTACTACTAAGAGAAATGATGCAAAAGAAAGAATAAAAAAAACTATGCAACTTCCAAGTGTAAATGATGGTCAACAAAAGGATACAAATCACAAAGCAATACAAAAGAGAGAGACATGAGGTAAGAACTAAAAGCGTTCACATGTCTTGAAGCAAAGTGACGGACATGATCTCTATTGGAGATTTTGGTTGGTATTGTTCATCAGTCTCAACCTCCTCGATCTCCTCAACGACGGCTTGTCCCTTCGCAACACGACCAAAGACTGTCAATTTCTCGTTGAGATCTGCGATCTGACCAGATACAATGAAAAACTCGAATCCTCCTTGCTCGTTCTTAGCTTTAGGAGTTCCCACCATGAATTCTTCTTGTTTTAAACTGAGAATCAAGACACACACAGAGACAGAGTTTCAATAGTTAACAAATCTTAACTTTTAATCCATATATTTACAAAGGATATCGTAGTACCAACCTGGAATCAAGATTCTTCCTTTGGAGAGCCCAATCTTTGACAGCATCGAACTCACCAGAGTCACCAGCTTGAATCAATGAATGCTTTACAACTCTACGGAATAAGAAACCCTTGAAATACCCATCTTGACTGCGTTAACCAATGAGAAAAACACAGATCAATAAATAAATGATGATGATGACGCCTCAAGTCAAGAGTAGAGAGGCGAATATACTATGGACCTGGAAAAGTATTTGCTTACCATAATTTCATGAACTGATCAACAACACTGGGAGCAGTATCCTTGAACAGTTCAATGGTCACTGAACCTTTGCCCGTATCCAAGGTCTAGAGATCAACACACACAAAAAAAAGTTACTTTGAAGAAAACACTAAGACTGAAGCAGAAACATATATTATACTATATGATAAAACTCACAGCAAAGCGTGGGAGATTGGTATTCTTCATTCCCGGGAAGGCTGCATCCTACACAGGACGACAATCATCATTTTCAAAGCCTTAACCAATATAAATCTATAGACAGACTCATAGAGAGCATACCTCAAGAACTGATCTACCATTGTGCGTTGGGATCTCAGAATCAGATCTGTAAACACACAAGAATTAGACACCAAGAAATGTACACAAGTGGACTTGGACTAGTATCATTTCCTAAACTTGTTCAAGCAATATATATGGGAATATGAAGATCAATCTCAATTTCACAGAGACAGTAGAGAAAGTGAGGAACCTGTGGGTCCAACGTCTGTAGGCGGAGAAGAGGACGAAGATAACCAACAGCACAGCCAAACTGTAAATGACGATGTTGGTTATGCTGATACGAGACGGCCCTTTCTTCTTCTTGCTTTGCTGCAATAACGCTTGAGGTTTGATCTTCGCCATTACTTGCACAATTCTTCAGATCCCAAAACCCCTGAAGAAGAAGAAGACGAATCATAACCAATTGGAACAAAAAGACTAATCAGACAAAAGCATCAGATTCCGCATATCACAAGAGCGGTTGGCTTCTGCAGAAAAGAGATATGTGAGATCGACAAATCTCCTTCCCCGATCTACTCAGGACGAGGGAAATTCGAATCTAATAACTCGAAAACAATCTCAGATGAGATCAATCCAGAATTCTACAAGCGAACAGACTCGAAACTCGGCAAGTGAAAATGGAAATCAAAATTCGGAAACTGAACTGGAGTGAAGAAGAATACTCGCTTGCCTTTTCTTCTTCTTCGTTGAGTAAGGAGGATTCTTATTTCTTAATGGTTGTTTCCGCAGAGTGAGTAATTTTCTGCTAATATATTTGCCTTTGAACTTTCAAGGTTGACGATAACTCTCTCTCTTGCGGAATTTAAAATGAACGCTTTGTTCTGACAACATTTTCACTTTCGTTTCTGTTCTTTTTTCCTTCTAACCTTTTGTCTAAAAATTAAATTAACTTTCATTATTACTTATTATCATAAAACGTTTGTTATTTGGTTTAGATTAAGTAAACATTTATTTTGCTTTTGAATCCTGTCCTTGTAAATCGAACTACATATGTATTGTTTAACAGTAACGAGTTTTTGGAAATTCCCACTAAACTTGTTGCTCCAAAACAATAGCAATAAAAGCAATAACAAAACATATTTACCAAATAAGTATCTGAGTCTTGAAGAAATTAACTTCTTTTGCCTCAAGTCTCTTCTACTCTTCCTTTCTGCACTGGAATAGAAATAGGGATGATAAGATCTCGGGAGATGTCTGTCATATTTACTTCCTTACTCCTTAGTTAAAAGAATCAACTGTTCATTACATTACCTGAAAGATTCTATGAACAGCTTGTTTCAACAGCTAGTCTTGTTACCGGATATACTAAATTGTTCTCCTGATCCTGAAAAAACACACACAACACGTGAAAGAATGGACTTTACTCTTCTTGTAAGATACTATCTAAAAATTGAATAGCCAATGCAACAAATTATCTCTTACCGTTGTGGATAAGGATGGTTGTTGGAGCATAGTAGTCTCTTGCATTGGATGAGACTGTTCAACTTGCTCGCTGTTTTCGATTGCCTCCTCTTGGCTCTGATTGTTTAACGAGGGAGATGCAAGTTTTTGATCTTGTAGCCTTGTTTGTTCTTCGAACCATCTCTCAAACATGGAGTACTCCTCGGGTTTCTCCCACTGTGTGTTCATCCATTTATTATCAGTCTACCTAGACGTGGCTTCAGAGGATGTACGCAATGGAAGAGAGGGAAATAAAGCATTACCGTGCTTTCACAAGTGACACAGTGGAAGTAATACTTGTTCCCATCAGGACACGTGTGTTCACTCCAGTCACACTCGGAGCTCTCTGAATTTTGGTCCTCAGAGAATGCATTTGAATTACTGGAGATCTTCTGACCATCGCCTCTAGTCTACAAAAAAGAAAAGAAAGTAGTAACAGATGTGAGATCAAGCAGATGTCTATAAGAGGTTTCTGAAACTTAAATCGTCTGACTAAACTCGTGGCCCGGAGTTCAAAATCTCTCTACCATTAGCAGATTCTACAAAAGGAGTACCTCCACGCTGGCAGTCTCAGAGTTCTGATGATTTTGAGGTGGAATATCCTGATGCAGTGGTTGATGACCATTTTGCTGCTGGAAGTGATTTGGCTGCGAAGCAAAATCATGATGCTGAACGACTCTAGGGGCTGCGGCTTCGTTGTTTCCCCATTGGGGATATGGTTGAGGGTTCCAGTTTGAGTCGAATTGTTGCATTGCAGGTGAAGCGTTAAAGGTAGACCTGAGAGACAAAACAATTCCATTAGCTTTGTATAGTTGCTGCTGAAAAAGTTTTGAAAGTAAAATCTCAAGAACTATAACTAAGTGGCTAAACCAAAAGGAACTGTGAAGAGTAAAACCTTGGTTCTCCTAAACGGGGTTTTTTAGGATCTGCAAATCTAACGGTGAGAGGCTGTTCAGAACCCTGAAAGGAAGACAGACATAGAGGATGTCATGAGTAGTGGAAGCCAAAGAAACATTGAGGCACTGCGATACAACAAATAACTATCTGCAATACCCGCATGGTAAAGAGTCCATTTAAAGCATTGATCGCCGCAAGTGCCATCTCCTTACGAGAAAACTGAACAAATGCAAACCCTGCAGAGAGTAAAGAGGCTGGTTATACGCAGCTAAAAAATCAGGTTTCATGCTATCGAAAACAGAGGCTTGGAGTGGAGAACGAACTAAACTAACAATAGTGACTTGCATCTAGCTCCATATTCCATATAAATCATGTTTCATAAGTGTTTCTCCAGGAACTTTTCGAGAAGAACTGTCATAACAGTTTACTAAATCCAGTTATCTTCTGTTACTAACGGCTATATGGAAGCAAATGGAGGAGAAACTACAAAATATGCAAGGGGAAGGACATACCACGACTAAGCTTCATGTCGTCGACTGCCATATAAATGTCTTCAATGACTCCGTACCTAGAAAATACCTGAGAAGAAGACACTTGATCCAATTTATTCACATCAAATGAACCCAGGGACTGGAGAATATACCATCGTAAGAAATTTAGCTACAACTGGAACATATTCTGATCACGGCTGTGTCAGTTTTTAGTGACAGACGAATTCAGATTGACGGAAAATCAAAGCGTGAAAGGAGTCCCACATATACCTCAGTGACATCTGCTTTTGTTGTTTGTTTGTTGAGGCATCTAACATATAGTTTTTCTGGAAGTTGCCCTGTGTGAAAAAAATAAATAAATAAATAAATAAATAGAGCATCCTTGATATCTCAGCAACTTTTGAATTTTGCTCATCTGTACTAATCAAGAGTCAAGACGGGAAAAGGAGAAGGAGTTGAAAGCGCAGTCTTACCGATCCGTTCCCGTTCCCGTTCTGCGTCGGCATATCTGACTCTGACCGGAGCCATTTCCTGAAATTAACGAAAATAAAACTTTTCAAACGAATCACGCATCACTGAGTTAATCTTTTAAGAAAAAACATTGCGGCTAAGACTCACCCCTGGAAATGTATACTGTTCCGTCAAAGCTGCAATAGCTGCACTACCCTCTTCTCCCTTTTTGTACTTAACAAAACAGTAAGCTGCACATAGAGGATGTTATAAGCAAACTGATAATCCACAGAAAGCAAGAATAGGATTTGATCTTCAAGTAATTGCAACTCACCTGCTCGTTCACCAGTAATCTTATCTTTGGGTAGAATGATCTCCATGACATTACCATATTTCTCAAACACCTGACGGACCTGATATATATGTAACACAGAATCTGTAAGGAAGACATTTCATAAGACGATGATAGTAAGCCAAGAAAGAAACTCACATCGTATTCGGTAGCTGTCTTTGGGATCGGCGCAACATATAACTTGGCAATACTAGCATCACCAGTAGGATCTTCATGTATACGAACAGAAGAAACGCACAACATCAGAGATACTCGAAACTATACAAACTCACAGAGAGTATTTGCTAAATGGATCACCAAATTTTACACCTTTTCGTCTGATGTGAAGCGGCAAAAAGAAAAAATCAAGATCGGAGATTACCTGGAGTAGCGGATAGAGACCGTCGCTTCCTTGTGCTGCCGCCGGAAGGACTAAATCCACTACTCGGTGGAAACGGCGGAGCGTCAACGATCATATTGTGTTGTTGTTGTTGTTGGGCGGAGTAATGGTTATCAAAATGCGGCTGATTGAATCGCTGATCTCTGTTGTCGTTTTGGGGGTATTGGGGAAATCCAACGGCGGCGACATGGTGGTGCGGCGGCGGCGGCGGCGGTGGATGATGAATCTGCTGCTGCTGATGATGGTGATGAGGATTGTAGTTGTTGCTATGATAGTAGGGAGCTGGTGGTGGTGGACCAGTGAAGGCGTTTGTGACCCGTCTCTCCATCTACGACCCTAATTGACTCAATCGATTGATCGAACTCGTCACAATAGTCTCAGAATCTGTAATCGGGTAATTTCTCCGGCGCCGGTAGATAGAGAGAGAGAGAGACAGAGTCCTAGAGGTTTCCCGGTACGGACCTTTAATTATCGGTGTGGTTCGGTTATATAAAATCTGACTACTAAAACGACAGCGTTCTGAGAAATTAGTAAATGTAGATGATTTAAGATGACCACTCTAAGATAATTAAATTAGTAAATGAACTGAAGAAATCCAATTTCATAAATATTTTTCTTTTCCGGCTCCATTGTATTACTAATTTACTACTACACTACTACTTGTCTGATCTGATGTGCTTTGATGTTTATGACCAAAATCGGTATCTAATTAATTTTATTTTTACAAACACAATACTAAACATAAGATCATGTGATATACTTTAGAAAAAAAAAAATCGATCTGGTGAAGTTCCCTATTATTCATCTTGCCCAAAAAAAGAAGAAAATCATGTGATATATTACTGTGAAATGATCTTGATCCAACTCCATATTGTGGTGACAAGACAATTTATGAAATGATCTGGTTAAGTTCCATATAAGTCATCTACAATCTACTCTTTTTGGGTCTGAAACTAAAGCCCAAGCTCGATAGGACACCTAGAGATCCAACCATCTTGGTCGATAAAGGAAACGCTGGCCAATCCAACGACGACGTTTACACTCAGCTGCTTTAGCCACGGCACTCTAGCTGATGTGTCCGCTCCATCTCCGGTGCAACCAGACTCCACAAACGTCAAGCCTCCCCTACACCACCACACAAACGAAAACGTTACAATCTCTTCATATTAACATTAAAAGTTGAGAGATGGTCGTCACATGACATACTCTTGGCCTGTGACATGCCAAGCATCCCAACCAATCGGAAGAACGACGTCGGATAACGTCGAGCCGTAGAAGATGACACGTGCGTTTGGTCCCCACGCTCGCCCCAACAGCGTTTTGCCAGTTCCCGTTATGGTGCAGTCACTGAACACAAACCCTCCGTTATCAGACGGCGATGGCCGTTGATGCGCTGTTATCGTTCCGTAAAGTCTCCCCGGTGCATATATCCCCAACGTCAAATTCAAAGTGCACCCCTTTGATATAACAACATATATATCTTATTATATAATCTTGGTGAATTGCTTCTTCTTCTTTTTGTCAACTAATGGCGAATTACTTTTGAAAGAAGTATATATTATATAATTAATAGTAACATAATGGAATGGTGGTCTATACCTCGAAGAAGGATTGACCATAACCAAATATGAAATCGATACCACCAGAAATTACACACCGCTTGTAATAATGTCTGCCTTTTGCGTCGAATAGAGTATCTTGAAGCCCGTCGAAACCAGAATCGGTCACTAAATATCTATCTCCAAGCATCCTCGCCGCCACCGCCGGTACCATTTCCATTTCGTTATTTTGAATATTGTACGTGTTCTACTCCAATGTTCCACATTTGTTATATATGAGTATAGTCAATTATCTATTTTATTGAAAATCGAAGATATATTTAAGTTATGTTGATAATTTTCTAAATAGAGATAGAGACATATATATACGTTACCTTGAAAGTTATACCGGAAATGACGATATCGTCAGCAAAAGCAGAGAACGTTGCGCTGGTATCAGTCGCTTGATGATCATCGTACTCTACTACCGTATGTTCGATTCCTTCACCTTGCAAATATATGAATCCTTTTTCTTTCGGTATTGTTAGCTTTTCCCTAAAATTTCATTACTGCTCATTTATATTTTATGTAGTATCATAACTCATAAGTAAAAGTAAAAAAAAGGTGACAGGTGAACTTATACACATGCATATTTGTTGAAAAAAGACGCTAGAAATTACTACCGGTAAATTCCAGTTTTTATGAAGATACGGATCCAATTCTGATTAAGATTGGGGATTGAATCGATTGCACTTTGGACCGTGGTGTAATTTCCGCCACCGTTGGTATCAACAGTTACGGTGTAAGCTAATTGGTCGACTGCAGCTGATCCGTACACCAAGAGCGTCACGACCATACAAACGATGTTGTAACTGTAAGATGTTACCCTCTTCATTTTGGTATGATCTTATGTAATAGTTATTTTTTTCTTACAAAGCATGTGGTTAGGTGCTTATATATGTAGTACATTAATTGTTAATAACTCAGGGAGATGTTTACATTTACAATTACCTTGCACTATTTAATATTTAATATTTTACATTAAGGAAGTAAATCATGGAATCCAAGTATCCAACTCCAATGGAAAGTCTCAATGATCCAATCTTCTTGGTCAAAAATAAACGTTGGCAAAATTATTTCCCTGGAAAGAGATTACAGAGAGGAACGTTACTTAATCTGTTTAAGTGAGATCTAGGGCCTGATTGGTTGTGGCTGTGGCTTTAGATTTTTGGCTGTAGAGTTTAGGCTGTAGGTTTTAGTGCTGTGGCTTTAGTTTTTAGTGCTCTAAGATTTTTTTTTTGTAGATTGTGTATTAAATGAAATATTAAAACAAAAAAAAGAAGATATAGAAATAAGAGACTAAAAAAAGAATATAGACAAAATAATAAGGAAAGAGAAGAGAGAGAATTTAGAGAGCACTAAATTTAGTGCTATAGAAAAATTGCTTTCCACAGCTACGGAACTTCCATAAATAAATAAAATTGCTCTATGTTTCAAAAATGGAAAGAGATAAAAGGAGAGCATGATTGGTAATTTTGGAGTGCTGTAGAGAGATATAGAGCTGTGGAGAGCAACCACAGCTCCCACCAATCATCCCCCTAGTGAATTCTTTTACATTACTTTATCGATCTTCTATCATGAATGGGGAAAAACATTCAATAAGTGAGATGTTTATTCCATTCCATTAAACTCCAATAAAAAAAATCACGTTAACTTAATTTACTTATTTACCTTGGTCAATTAACTAGTAGTAGTATACTTATTTTGCATTCACTGACTTAAATTTTGTTTTCAACTATATACATTATGTCCTTATTTTGTATTCACTGGCTTAAATTTGGTATTCAACTCAAACATTCCTTAGAGAAGATTGGAAGAAAAAAAAACATATACTTTGACTACTACTTTGTAGGGTTTAATCCTTTTTCTAGAGATCTACTTTCTCAAACTCTTGTTTAAATAATTTTATAGATGATGCAAATCAAAAGTTACACAGCATATAGACTCGTAATTGAATGACTACATGCTTACTTAATCTACGATATAACGTATTGATCCGTACGTGGATCAACTCCTCTAGAGTTTGATGGGGAGCTTATCAATCCAACCATCTTGGTTAATAAAGGAAATGTCGATGAGGCTACGAATGTCGTCTAGACTCGCTTTCTTGAGCCACGGCACTCTATGTGACTTGTCCGCTCCAGCTCCAGTGCAATTATACTCCACAAACGTTATATGCTCCCTAATAACAACACCGTACATGTACACATCAATATCAAATTATAAAATGATGAAGAGAAAAAAAAAAGGATGTTAGATGGAGATATACTCTTGGCCTTTTGCGTGCCAAGCATCCCAACCAATTGGCAAAACTACATCGCTAAGGTTCGATTCGTAAAAGATGACACGTGCGTAAGGCTCCCACGGCCGTCCCAGCAACACATTGCCTTTTCCTGTAACGGCACAGCTCTTAAACACAAACCCTCCGTTCTCTGCCGGCGATTTCCTTCCATGCGCCGTTATCGATCCGAACCCTTTCTTCGGTTCGTAGTTTCCCGCCGTTACATTCACCGTACATCCCTGTTCGTTGTTACACATGTTAAAAATTAAACTTGGTTCATATAGTATTCTTGTTTAAATTTGTATGTTTCAATAGTTCTCGCAGTTTTTTTTTTTTCAAAAAACCTCAACTAGAATAAAAAGATTACCTCAAAGTGTGATTGTGCATAGCCAAAAATGAAATCGATGCCACCGGAGATAACGCATCTTTTGTAGTAATGTCTGCCTAAATGGTCGAATAATGTATCTTGATAACCATCAAAACTAGAATCGATCACTGCATATTTGTCCCCAACCATCCTCGCAGCCACCGCTTGTTTAACTGGTGTTGCTGAAAAAGGCATTGATGCGATATTGTGGGTGTTCTACACACACGCATATACAAAATTTACTAATCAATTTTTTTTGTGTTACATGCATATTCACACATTATATAGTCAATGGAGTATTTGACTAAATAAGTATATATCGATTGATATATAGACAAAGAAACGTACTTTGAAAGTGATCTTGCTGATGACGATGTTGTCGGGAATGGCAGTAAAAGTGGCGCTAGTAAAAGTGAGTTCATGATCGTCCCAAGCTATTATTGTCTTTTCAATTCCTTCGCCTTGCATAAATATGTATTCTTTACCCTTTGGTATTGTTACTTTCTCTCTACATAACATTACAAATAAATTAATTCGTTAAATCGAATTACAAATAAATTAATTCGTTAAATCGAGATTAGTAGTAGTAAGAAAACGTGTCAAATAAATCATATGTATGAAGTGTTGGAAAAAATAAACTACTTGTAAATGCCGCTTCTTATGAGGATACGAATCCAATTTTTGTTCTCTAAAGGAACTGCATCGATTGCACTTTGGACCGTCTTGTACTCTCCGTGGCCGTTAAGATCGACGATTAGGGTGCGATTTATTTGGCTTAAGATTACACCTATATTATTATCATCATCAGAAACATCCGCGACAGATCCGTGCGCTAATAAGACCACCAGGAGACACACGATGTAGTAACAGAGACTATAATATGACACCCCTTTCATGATGTGTTAAATAAATTTAATTATGAATTATAAAAGAATTTATTTATAGTGATAAGACATTAGGTGTTTATGTTGTATATGTTAATTCTTATCTACAGTTTGAATGAATTGGTCAAAAATAAGAAGATTCGAAGCTATATATCTCTTATTCTTGCTACTGTATATTGACTATTGTATTCGCAAAGTTATTAATTGGGTTAAGACTTAAGACTCAGAACTAATTTTCCTATATTATCTTTACTAAATGAAAGCAGTTAATAGGGGCCTCTCAGAGCACCTCACAGCTTTCAGCCACGGAATGCCACGTGGCATATTACTTAAAAAAAAAGAAAATTCGATTTCTCTGCGCCACGTGGCATAAGCTCAAAATATTTCGAATTTCTGATGGAGAAAAAAAACCTCAACTTTCATCTTCTCCTCCGTGTCGCTTCAACCAAATCGTCAAACATTTAAACTGATATATTGATGCGTTTCATCGTCCCCTTAAACATTTAAACCTCACCAAATCCATCTCTTCTCAAACGCTCTACCCTACAAACCTTCGCGTCTCTCCGATATTCCACTTCGCCGTTTTCCTCTGCTTCTCACATGAACCATTCTTCCTCAGCTTATTCCGTTCCGTCTTCACATGTCCGCCGGAGGTAACACCCGCCACCGCTCTTCGGCAATCGCTCTCAGAAACCACCGACAATCCGCTGATCCACTGGGTTTGTGCCCGTCCGCCGGAAGTTTCGTCCTTCTTTCTCCTCCGCCCTCACTTTCGTCCTTCTGATTCCGGTGTTATTCTTTAATTCTTTACACCTGCGTTTAACCATAAGGCTGTATCTCTCAGCTATCTTACGGTGAAGATCAAAGATATTGAAGATGAGGTCATCTTCTAAACTTTTTTCTTTTTCTCAATCCTCTGATTCTTAGAACGGTAAATCCGAAAGATTCCGTATGTTGCAGATGGCAAAGACAAAGAAGAGTAAAGCTACCGCGCAGCATCTGGGTTTGTTAAAGGTAAAACTTTCTGTAGCTTTGATAGTGTTACCGGTAATTAGACAAACATATCCTTAATAGGTTCTGTAGCATTGATTCACACATTCTCTCCTCTTTGATAAGTTGAGGACATAATGTTTATATGATCTTTACTGTCTCCTATGCATCTTTACTGATCACCTGAATCTGAAGGGATCTTTGTGTTTTATTTCAGCCAGATTCTCAGCCAACGAGTAAAGGATTGATCGACCAACAAGTTTCATGTCTCAAATGGTTAGATGGAAACATGAAACCCTTTTGGCTTCTCTATGCGTAAGGAAAATCAATAGTATTGGAAATGGAGAATTAGATCAACAATTAACAATCAGTCAACATTCTCTCTTTTTTTTTTAATTAATCCGTATTGAGGAGGAAAACAAATACTTTTTCATAATCTGTAGGAGGTCACTTTTTATTCTATTGGATCAAGTTCATTCGCATTTCAGCCTATTATTACCACATGTGAGTGATTTTTATAAGTGAATTTGCAGGTTCTTCAAACTGTGGTTCCTATAAAAGATGAAGAAGTAGTTCTTGGACAAGACGAAGGGTATATGGATAATCCAACTGTTCCAAATGAGTAAAACACCACAACAGATCTACGGAAGATGGGAAGGTACTATCGTAGCACATACCTTCTTTCTTTTTTTTATCATCAACTTACTTCAATGCCTTCGATGTGCAATGATGGAAGTATAAGTATCTTTCAAGACTTTTACATAACTTAATTTCGTTTTCATTTTTTAAATTTGCAGGTATACTTGGCTTTAAAAAACACACCACGGTTGTCTGACAATGTCCCAACAATGGCATGCTACGGTAAGCATTTTTCCTTAATCAAAAAGTTATATATATAAAGCTTGGCATTTGTTTAGTGGGCATCATTTGGTTCTTTCGCAACAACCAACAATTTTCAATTTTGACAAAGTTGGACAGTGAAAACTTTGATTTGGTGCCTTGAATTATATAATGCTTGAGAAGTCATATTCTACAGTTATGGTTTCATTCAGTAAATACACTGAAACCAGGAGGAGATCGATAAACCAACCACGGAGGAGGAATCAACTTTTCATGCTCATTATATCGTGATAGCATAAGAGTGAGTAGAGTTAGTATCGAAAGACTGACGCAACAGGTGAGTAAGAAACCCTCATCTCTGCTCATGTCTTCCTTACTAATTATATAGTAAACTTCCTCTGTTGCACACCAACTAAAACATGTGTCTTTCTCTATGGCACAACAATGAAAGTACAAAAAGTAAAAGAAGAATGAAGAAGGTGTTGAATGTGCTCGAGAAGTAAACTTTGGTATTCTTAGAATAGTGATAGAAAAGTAAGACGTCCAGCTGGCAAAAATCAAGGGTATGCGAGCAAAGGATCAAGAAACCAAGTCCATGTGACTGTGAACTAAGAGGATAAATGGAATCCTCTGTTTCGTTATATAATAATATGTATAACAACAAAAGTTTTGTTTTTTTTTTGTAAATAACAAACGGTTTTGTATTATGCTCTGTTGTTTAGAACAAGCCGTGAATTATATACCCATACTGTCTAGATCCACAACAAAACCAGAGTTGCAAATCATAGAACTAATCATCAATATTGATAGAGTTAGAGTATATTGCTGTGTCCTATGAGGAAATTAAAAGTAGTTAAAAAATGATAATAATTTTTCAGATCTTCAATTTCAACATGATTGAAGTTTACAAGATTATAATTTTTGTAAAGTATAAAACATCTTTTGGGTTGAAATTCTCAAGTAATGCTTAATTTGAATTGGCTAATAAGCCTAATATATAATCTAAGTAACTAATTATATTTTAAAAGAACAATATCAGAATAAATAAATAAATTTGTACTTGATTTGGTGATCGTAAGTTTGACAACTTATCTAATTTGGTATGTAAAATTTAAAATAGTTTTTGACTAACAAAATAAAACAAATAGACATTGGTGTAATCGTACACATAATTCAACTAACAAAAAATGAATATAAATTTAGAAAGTAGTTGGAGCCAACAATATTAAAAAATATTTCATATATTAGCTTTGCAAATCGTTTATTATTTCCAAAATTCTGAGATGGAGTCACCATATATTACCATATTTCCTTAATCAATTTAAAAATATATTATATGTCAAAATTTCCATTTGAAGTATCAATTTCGAATTAGCAAATTAATCTATGATTAAAATTATAATAAAACTTTAATTAAAATATTCCAGCTAAGGAGTTTTATTAACCAGTGTTTTTAAAACCGGACCGGAAGCCGAACCGGATAAGCATCCGGGTCATGGTTCAATCTGGTTCGACCGGTTTGACCCCGGTTCATAACATTTATATTATAATTATTTTTAAATATATAAATTTTAAAATAAAAATATAAATAGTTAAAAATTGATATATAGGTATAAATATAAATATAATAATATTAAAAACTTATATTTTCATTGTTCTAATTAATTATTTATAGTATAAACATATATAATTTCAAAAAAAAATCAAAAGTGAAAATAAATAAAATTAATTAATTAATTAATTGATTGTATTAATTGTTTTTAAACCAGACCGGAAACCCAACCCGGTCACATGTCCGGTTCATGGTCGAACCCGGTCCGACCACCAGGTCGGTCCGGTTTTCAAAACACTGCTATTAACAACAATAAGAGATCAATGTCAAGCAGACGCCAAACGAATTCAAAGAGGAAACTTTGATTGAAAAAGACCGTTGGAGATTCTAGCCAAAGATTACTAATTTTAAAATAAATTAGGAGGTTATTGTATATTCCTCATGATCAAACTCTTTTTTGAAACACTTTTTTTGTGTAATCATTTTTGTTTACCTTGGTAATCATAATTTATTCTCTTTCTTTTCTGTTAATTATACAAATATATCTGAGTCAGAGAGGAAACCATAAATAGTAGACACATACGAACATATTATGCATTTGTTTACTACATACTAATACTCTGATTTGTTTGATTTCTTGATTTTGACTCACAAGAAGCCATATGATGTGTATTAAGATAAGTGTGCGTAAGGGTGAAATCAAACTTCAACCGTTTAGTTATCAGGAAATCAGCTTTGTTCCAATAAAATTATAGGCAAAGTTTGGTAAATCATATTAACTTCAGTAGGTGATGTGAAGTTTTACTTCTCAAACTGATCTCCCTCAACATGATGTATCAGAGAGGTGATACATACAAAAATAATAAAATTCAGTATGGAACACCATTGTTGTTCGTAACTTATAATTTTATAACTATTATGAGTACTATATCTCACAAAAATTTCATAATATATATGTATCCAAACAACCCGCGCGTAGCACGGGATATCATCTAGTATTTCTTAATTAGAAGAAGGAACAAAGCCAGGTTTTTGTTTCTTTCATAGTATGAATTGATTGTTTTGTTTTATACTCAAAATCACTTTACATACAAAGAGTTAGTGCTGACCAAAAGAGTTACGCATTCATCTTGGTCAATAAGTGTACCAAAGCTACTCATTTTGCCTATTCAGCTTTATGCAACGTAATAAGTTGTTTATCTTCCGAGTTATTACGTTTAAGAACATCCTATAAAAAGTTAAAAACTACTTTCTCCGTTTCAAATTAGTTGTCGTTTTGGTAAAATGTATCTGCAAATATTTGGACGTATCTGAACGTGTTTTGCATTGCAAATACGTCCAAATATTTGCAGATACATTTTGTCAAAACGACAACTAATTTGAAACGGAATGTCATCCTTAAATTTTGACCAAAGTCATAAAGAACATCTCGTTACATCGAAGCTATACACAATGATATTTTTCTACTAACCTTAAATGAAATCTGCTTAATTTTTCTGTTATTTGTTCTGATTTTTAAATTACTAGTAATCATTTTATTCCCAAACATCATTTCATTTTTCCTTGCCATCTTATGATATCAACCAGAATACTACTCCTGTAAACGGAATAGGCTCATTTCGTGTATATAACTATTATTGTCAGCCCATGTACATTTTTAGGATTTTTGTAATTTTGCATTATTTTCATCTTTCAAAATGAAATTATAACTGAGTTGACAATAAAAGTCATCCAATAAATGAGCAACAAGTAAAGTCATCCAAACTAATTGTCAAATTAAAGATCCCCAAGTAAACAAGTCTCCTCAGACAATAAGTTGTCTGAAACTTTGAGGTACATAAATAGAGATAGCAACTTTTTTGATAGTACTAAACATGGCTCTCGAATCGATTCATACCAAACATGGTAAAAACAATACCGGCAGTAGAAAAATGAGAGAATCAACCAAAAAAGGATACTTTTCCGGAAGTAGAAAGTTAGATCTTGATTTTAGAATCAAGACTAAACAACATCGAAATCGTATATAATAATTATTATCAATGAAAAAACTTCATACAGAAATTTAAATTCCTCGAGTTGAAATCGAACACAGATCTATAAAACTGAAAAGACAGATTACGAGTTTGTGCGTGAATCTAATCCAACAGCAAAATAAGATTTGATAATCTACTACATAAGCCTTCGAATTAGATTCACGCACAAAACATGTAATATGACTCTTCTAATGCAAACTTCGTCTTCTTCCGAGAGACTTTCTTCACCGACGCAAAAAAAAAAAAAAGAGTAAAGAGAGCTTCCTTATCTGCAGAGTATGAATTCTTCCTTCTACTGTACCTAATTTTTGTATCGTTCGTTAATTTCTTATCGAAGTGTCGGTTTATGGATCAGAGCCAAATTCAAGCTCACTCTTATTAATGGGCCTTTGACCCAACTGTTATTCTCTACTTTTGGCCCAGAAATTAGTTAATCTCAACGGTGCTGTTAATTAAACTCTGATTTCTAGCTAAATTACTGTTACAGTACACTGTAAATGAAAATTCACTATAATTATGCAAACACAAATTAGCTTCGATCGTACTTTCCGAAAAATTGAAAGTTTTCTGATACATTTTTTCTTGTTTTTTTTTTATGAAATGGGATAATATATTGGGTGGACTAGAGGAATAGGGAAGATATAAGAACATGTGCATGCACGTTGAGCTAAAATACACACAACGTGCTAACAATCGATCAATTTCGACCACTTAACTTTCCATCATGGCTAGTTTATATATATTAGCCTACCTTAATTAGTTAGGTACTTTTCACGTTACCTTGAAACCCATATAATATACACATACACTGATCAATAATGCAAATGTTAAGCTAATTCTCATTCGTTCAATTTTTCATAATTAATTATGTGACGTATATATATGTCTAACAGAATTTCTAAGTACAATGTTTCCATGTTGACGGCGATGGGAGATACATTGAATCTACAGTCTCCGAGGATGTCTGATCATCATCGCTCCACGACCACGAATCTACTATTTTTTTCATAAGAAAAAGAAAAATACACAAATACACATGACGAGCAAAAGAACATAATCTTTAAGATGCTTTAATCAAAATCCACTCACGTAAATAAAACTCCTAAATACGAAGTCCACAAACTCAAAGAAACATACAAAGATATACGCATGTTCTTATGTCTTTAAAAACTAAAACCTTATCCCGTTTCCCAACATCGTTATCTACTTTGTCTAAAAAAACAAAACACTTAAACTACTCGGGAGTGCTTTTATAATTGTATCATTAGTTTTTTTTTAAACGTTCGTTAGTTGCGCCGGCGTATATCAGCTGGAAATAGTGAGATACAAGGGCTCGATAAAAAGCAAAAGCATTTTGACAACCATTTTAGTCATATTTTATCATATCTATCAAAACGGAGAACATTTTAGTAAACTATAAATACATTGTAGCAAAAGGAAAACATTTGATTGTGTGTTTCTGAATTAGACACTATGAATCAGACCAAAAAAATGGGAGAGATATTATTCAGTGGTTTATTCATTCTTTTATATAAACCTCGGGAAAAAATATCATTACAAAATCTATGATATGTATCTTTTCTTTTTCATCTTAGGGGCTTATCTATTTCCATTGCCATCTTCCGAATACATGACTGCATGCATTGCTTGTAAATTTTAAATCTAGAAAGACTAATTAAGACATAATGATAAGTACATGCTTATCTTTTTGATCCGCCCGACTTTCGTTAACTTGAACTAATTGGCTGCAAAACTAATTATAAAATAAAATAAATTTATAAAGCGCAGCAAAGGAGGAATAAGACAGGGTGTTTATAGTGATGTGAATGGGAAGAAAGTTGGTGTTTTTAAGCATGTAGGGGAGTTGGGTGATGATGAGAATCATGTGAGTGCATGTGCATCGAGTTGTATTTTGATGACATGTCCTCTAATTTAAGCTAAACCCTAATTATCCATCAAAACCAACATTTAAAACACAAAACAATACACCTTTTGTGGACACTTGTCCAAATCTCATCCAATTCTTTTGGGATAGAAAAAAGAACCTTCTCAGAAATTGTAATCTCCATTTTAAGTTATATATAAAAGGTCATATCTAACCTTTATAATCAGTGTCTATATAAACTAAGGCCGTCTCGTATGTGCATCATACTATCTCATCTTTACACAATTTTTCTCACTTGTCCATACAACATTCTTTCATCACATCAACCGATAAGAAAAAAACATTCTTTCATCATTTACAGAAATGGGAGTAACATTAGAAGGACAGAAAAAGGAATCATCAGTTTGGGTTTTGATGAGAAGACAAAGGGCTCGAAGGGCACTTGTGAAGAAGATCATGATCCGACCAAAGAATAGTCTCGACGCTTCTAGAAGACCGTGTCGCTCGATAAATAGACGAGTCAAGACGCTGAAAGAGCTCGTTCCCAACACCAAATCATCAGAAAGTTTGGATGGTCTCTTTAGACAAACGGCGGATTATATTTTGGCTTTGGAAATGAAAGTGAGAGTTATGCAAACAATGGTTCAGGTTTTGACCGAAACTGACTGTGTTTAAATATATTCTTTTGTAAATCTTGCTTGGATTTTAAATCTTTATTATTATATGTGTTTTTGTTTTTATTTATTTTTATTATCTTGTGTGATTGTCTTGTGTTGATTCAGACTCTGCTAAAAAATATTAAGAAAGAGAAATATTACTATTTATGCGTATAATCTATAACAAATGAGTGTTGTTTTTGGGGGGGAAAAAACAGTATATGAAGTTCTAAACATACCAATTCATGATTCGATAATTGTTCCACGTACGTACGTACGGGAGTAGTTTTTCATGCGCGAAGATGATGATGATGAAAACGAGGTCCCCACATTTGGATGTCTTCGCATAGATTTTTCATTTCGATGATTGGAGTAATAAAAATTTATGCATGGGAGGTTGTGAATAAGTACTTACAAGTGTCATGACTGATTTGTATCCCATAAACTTGATTACTTGATACATTGAACAGCTGTTAATAGAGTTTTTCTTTCTGCTTCCAAAGGAGAAGTTGCTATAAACAGTATATGAAGTTTTTCTTTATATATTCATGTGGTGACGACTAATACGACCATGTATTGAAGAGCGCTTGACGTTGGGCTTTGTATGTATGTGGGCTACAAATTAGGAATGCCAAATTCTGGGCCCATATATATCTGTCTCAATTAGTTTTTTTTTACTCATGCTCAAAATCAAAAACTTGTCCAACTTCTCAAAATTTTGATATTATTGTATTTTCCTTTTGAAAAATTAAAATAAATGTAAAAGTGTTTACTATTTAAAGATTAATGCTTTTAAATTATGCGACTGGATCATGCCATCGTGGTGATAGACTGACAGTGATAGATAACAAGTGCAAATGTTTGATGGCCACTTATTATTTAGTCCTTTTGAATTTGATTGTTTGATATGACACGAATTGATGAGAAGAAATGGACCGATTTATTTATTTATATATCGACTTGGGGTTAGTAGTTAATAGTACTACACGTTATTTGGGCAGATAATTGGGATATGTTAGTAATTGTTTTGGAGAATGATTCTCTCTCTTTTTTTTGAATAGTTGAAACCCAAATTAAATTAGGCCCTCGTCCGATAACTCTAATAGGGTAGTATATCGAACGAAACTTATCTCAACACCTTTTTTCAAAAAAAAAGAAACTTATTTTATATTGTTCATTCTTATTTTGTTTGATCTCTCTAATATTTTCGTTTGATCTCTCTCTAATATTTTTGTTTTTTCGGTTTTATTATAGATGGTTGAGAATGTTTGATTTCTCTCTAATATTTTCGTTTTTTCGGTTTTGTTATAGATGGTTGAGAATGTCGTGGGCACGGTTTCGGACATATTAAGGGAGTCTACGAAAAAGCTCCAGCAGCTCCTTGTTATGTTTAAAATTATAAATTTTGTAACTTTTTTTTGTTAAAAACCAAATAAAAAGTTTTAGCAATGGAGGAAAATATAATTAAGAAACCACACAAAAGTTGTTAGCATTAATTTATGTAAAAATTAGTAATAAAAAAATAATTTAAGATGGAGATAATCTTAGGGTAAATCATGAGCACATTTATTGTTAGATCTCTTTTGTGTATTAAAACTTAGAAACCGTGAATCTCTTCTAATCGGATTAGTTCAATTCAACAAGATCAGCATCAGTAATTGTTTACTTCTGCAAAATAAAATTTGTTAGCCTTTTATGTTTCATTGTTGGCATTTTTTCAATTGTTAGCTTATTTGTATTCAAATTGTACTAACATTTCATTATCATTGTTATTTTGACTCATGCCGATTTTGGATATGTCAAAATGACCCATAATAAATCTTTTTATTCATGCTTCATATTTAAGTTTCTCATATAAAACATTTTTCAATTCTTCGTTATTCGCAATGAGAGGAGATCTAGCTGATTGAAACCCATCATAATTTGGGATGATCATCCACTAATTGCATTATTTTGTACGATTTATGCGCGGTTTTGATTGGTGATATGTATTAGAGTTAATTTATAAGCATAACGATCAAAACTGTTATCAAATCATAATTTATTTTACATTTTTGCATTAAGTCATTAATAAAGTGATATTAATTACTATAAATTAATATGGCTAGCTACCATCAGACAGGATTTATATTAATCGGCATAATGTTTGATGCGGCGATTAATAAATAAAATAAGATCCCAATATGCATTTACTTTGACTTACCCATGTGCAAATACCAACGCAGCAACGGTTATTAATTAACTATTTTTGCTTTAACTCATCTACAACTTCATTTTAGTATTCGTAAGAAAATCTTAAGTGGGTCAACACATGAGATACGAGTTGCGTCTGTGTGTTTTGTTTTTCAATTAAAATAATCAAAAAGCATTTAATTAGGGAGTTGATTGCTACTTGTGAATTCACGAGAGATAAGAATCCAAGAAAGAATCAATGTGAAGTATCCCTTGATTCATGCATTGTCAACTCCTTTAGAAGGTTTTCTCTTGCTATGAGACACACTTGGATTATATAACTACATGCACTCACACATACACACATAACAATTTATGTGAGAACAATGTAAATTAACATGTAAGAATGTGAAAATAATGGGAAAACAGTATAAAAAACATCCAAAAACTTGTGACGCCATGCGTTTCAAAACGCCAATTTGTGTGTGTGTGTGTGTGTGTGTGTGTGTAAACTTATTAAAATATACGTACGTGTCTATATAATGGAAGGTCAGTATATGAAATTGTTGGTTGGTGGGCTTCTATAAATCGAATTCCAAAGATCTGACTATATGAACTATTGCAGCATTACGTGGTATAGTGGAAGACTGGTGACTCGCTTACCCTGTGATTTCGTGACTCGTATTTCGTGACCGGAGTGGAAATTTAATACTACTATTCTAGCTCTTTTTGTAAACTTTCATGTATCCCCTCCCCTCTTTTTGGGGATCATTTCTTCTATTTTATTCATCCATAACATTTCTGAGATCCTAAACGTATCCAAGAAGCAATCCTAGCAGTAAAAAATAAATGAAATTGTCTTTATCGTTCGGTGATACCAATCCAACTTTTCTACTATCCTATCTTACTTTTGGTCACTTCCTTTATACGAGTATATTTTAAATTGACAACATATAACCTTTACTTTCACGTTCATCTTAAAAAAATCTTCTCATTTCTTTTAATTGGACTAAGTAGCAAACAAATTTACCAAAAAAATTAACAAATTAAAGTAAAGAAAAAAAACGAAAAAACCTTCTTGGTCGCAATCTAACGGCGCGAATGAACATCGGATTCGAGAAGGTGCCAGGTGGAGTCTTTCATAAAATGGGACCCACGAGCCGACAAAAGGAACACGTGTAATATTTGCAAACGTAGGAGTAACATACGCCACCATTGATGTGCGCAACCCGAAGCTAACACCGAGCCGCGCGTCTTTGGAGTTTGGACCGACCCTTTTGTTTTGATTGAGACCACATTTTTAACTCTCTTAAACTTTCCTATTAACAAACAAGTATGCAACGTCATAAACAATTAGATACTATCATATAAAATGCGAAACAGACACATAAAAAGATTGTTTCCAGTAACGAGAACTTGTACCATTACTTATTAGGCTACAGAGAAATGATATTATGACACACGGCGAAAAGAAAAAAAATGATAAAATGAAAACTAAAATGTATGCTAAAAAGGGAGGGAAAACAAAATCATGGAAGCATGCAAAAGGAGAGCTAAGTTTGCAAGCAAATTATGCGGGTGTGGGTCACTACTCATTCTTCTCCCATTGTACACCACCACACGTGCATGCTTCTTTTCTTTTCTTCTTTCCACAGAAACAGCAAAAATGAATTTAAAATATATTTTACAAAGCCGAGGTAAACAAATTCAAAAGGATAAAGCAATTTCTGTTTAGGAAATCGGTAAAGAAACAAAAAGAGAAATTCAAATCCTGACTTTTTGTTGCCTTTTATCTTTTTCGTTTTTGTCATCGGGATCACCGCTGGTTATAAAAAATTCATGAGGCATGCAGGAGTTATATAAATATGGGCCCTTCACTTTGATCTATTTCGGATTTGCTTTGGGTCCACGATTTTCTCTTTATATTTTAAAGACAAATACTTGATTTAGTCAAATATTCCTATATCATGAACTATATAGTACATCAATAATTGGTGCTAGGAATGTTTAAAAAACAAATTAGTTCATTTTCAGTTAACGTGATGGAGAAATGAAAATAGTAGTGTACTAGTGTATATCTAATCTATCACGGGCTTTATTAATAAAAACACGTCTCAGTGATATCTAGGGCCTATCTTGTCAAGTTATATGACTTGCACATTAACCACGACGTATCTTATAGTTATAGATATGGTTTTGTAGTCTCTGCCATTCTTATAACAGAGATACATATGTATTGTAACTTTAACTTTAATACATATGTAAACAAAATTACGTTTTTGAGCGTCATTTTAATTTGTCCTTACACTGATTTTTCTTCTTCTTTAACTGTATCACAAGGATTTGTACGAACAAAGAAAAAAAATTAATACTTTACCTGCGTTGCAGGCTTTTATCAGATTGTTATGCCTTTTTTTTTGCATAATCACTCACATTCCGAAGGACAAAAAGGAGATGTGAACACGATCCATTAAAAGGAGTATATCATACTAATATCCTATTTTTCACCACTTTATAATTCTTTTAATAAAACACATAGATTTTTAGATTTATACGTGCTTCTTTCCTGATAAAAAGTAGAGTCAATCACAAATGATATCTTATTGACGTAAATGCGTTCATGTAAGCAATTATCCTATTTACAATGTTACCATTGATCTTTGTCTAATTACACCGAAACAAAACTATCAGAAAGAAAAAAAACAGTACTATGAATGTAAATATTTTGGTTTTTAATATATAGTTTTCTTAATCTCCGGTTATATCATCACTGTTTATAATCGTGGTCGAATTGTATATTCACGGACAACGGTCTGACCGCCCACAATGTCCATTGCTTGATAAAGAAACAAACCACATCTTATCGGTGAGATATATAGCTATCCATATCTTTTTTAAATATCTAAAGAATGTCAAGTTTTTGTGTTCACATTAAATATTCCCAAGCACTCGAAGCAAAAAGAATTAAAGTTTTGGCAAACAAACTAATCTTTTGGTTTTCTTCACACTACCGAAGCACGATAAAAACCGGTTAACAAGTCAAAACCAGGTTGAACCAGTCAAAACCCGGACAGTATGAAAGCGTTCACTGTCTTCTCTGACTTACCGCGTTGACCAGTGACCACATTTTTGAAAAACAAACTTGGTCGGTGACCGATTACTGTAATTTCCGTACTGTATATCAACCTGCTATTCCCGGTCGACAAAGAAAAATCCATTTCCCGGTTTCCCCATTTAACACACTCACAAATATCAATTCCTTCACAGAAAATTATCCCTCTTTCCTCTCTGCGCCAAATTTCACTCTTCTCAACCCTAAAAACCTCTCCTTTCTCATCGTCTCTTTCGTTTTCTGATCGCTTTTTCTGTTCATCTAGACACCGATCTTCCATTTCCTTCGCGGCGATCTCTGTTTTTACGCGATTACTCTGTTTTCACTGTGCTTGATTGATTTTTTTTGTTTCTTCCGGGGAAGTGAGAGAGAAGAACAATGGAGTTTACGGATTTCTCGAAGACGAGTTTTTATCACCCGTCGTCGCAAAGCCTTTGGGATTTCGGAGATTTCGCGGCGGCGGAGAGGAATTCGTTAGGTTTTATGGAGCTATTAGGTTCTCAGCACCATCATCATCATCATCAGCTTCAGGACTTTACTACTGTTTCTCCACATTCCTTTCTTCTCGAAACGCCTCAACCGCAACCGTCGGCAAAATTTTCTTCTTCCGTTTCAGCTATCCTTCAAGCTCCACCGTCAAACGCGACGTCAAAGGTGGAATCTTTGTGCTCGGATCCGTTGCTGATAAACCCACCGGCGACACCTAACTCGTCGTCGATTTCGTCGGCGTCAAGCGAGGCCTTAAATGAAGAGAAAGCGAAACGAAAAGACGACGAAGACGAAGAAGAAGATGAGGAACACGAACAGAAGAAGACTGATACTCAAGCTAATAACCAGTGAGAGATTCATTTGATTAATTATTTCTATTTTTTTATGAGCGGAAGTTGTTCGAGAAAAAGACTCAGAGAGAAAATGGTTTCGTAAAGTCAGCATTTTTATGTTTTTTGTTTTTTTTGTGTATGAACAGATTAAAGCCAAAGAAGAATAACCAGAAGAGACAGAGAGAGGCAAGAGTAGCATTCATGACAAAGAGTGAGGTTGATCATCTCGAAGATGGTTATCGTTGGAGAAAATACGGTCAAAAAGCTGTCAAAAACAGTCCTTTTCCCAGGTAAGTTATCCTTCCTTTGACCATTTTTGTTTCCGTCTCCATAAACAATCCATAAACAAGCAGAAAATAAGAAAAATGCTTTTCTCCTTTTTGTTTGATGAATTGTGATTTGGTTGAGAACATGCATTATGTTAGTTTGTGGGATCATGTGTCCGATTGTAACTTTAAGGCTAAATTTGTGTAATGGTGTTTCGTGTGTAGGAGTTACTACCGTTGCACAACAGCTTCATGTAACGTGAAGAAGAGAGTAGAGAGATCATTCAGAGATCCGAGCACTGTGGTTACAACTTACGAAGGTCAACACACGCACATTAGTCCACTCACGGCTCGTCCGATTTCCACTGGAGGCTACTTCGGATCATCAGGAGTTGCTTCCAATCTCGGGAACTTGGGATTTCCAATGGAGAACTCGGCACTGATCTCACCTCAATTCCAACAGCTTGTCCACTACCACCAACAACAGCAACAACAGGAACTGTCGTCTTGTTTTGGAGGGGTTAGTGAGTACCGTACTAGCCACGTAAATGGATATGGTGATGGTGATGATGGTCGTGTAAAGAAGAGTCGAGGTTTGGTTAAAGATAATGGACTTCTTCAAGATGTTGTTCCATCTCATATGTTGAAAGAAGAGTAGTTCATTATATCTAGTCTTAATAGTATTGTAATTTATAATATTTAATGTAATCTAGCTTTTTTGTATAATTGTCTAAAAAAACTGATTCTTCCTTGTCATGACTCAAGCAGGAGATGTTTTCTTTGTGGATCTAAAAATCAGAAGGTAATGTCACATAGTGATGTTTTTCATCGATGAAACCATGGAATAACTAGGCACAAGAAAACTTTAATTTACTGCAAAACCATGTGATAACAAGAAATTTGTTTATCAAGCATTAATGGTGCCACTAGCATCATATGATTCGCAAAAAAAAAAAAACTCGCATACTAATTTTGTCGTTTTGGAAATTACCGATTATACTTTATTATGGTCGTCTTTTATAAAACTGTTATTATATGAGCTTTGCATGAGCTCTATGTTCATGGCTAGGCTTTGTAGTATGTTGTTTTCTCTTTTAAAATCGAAATCAACGGTTCTAATGCGTTCTAGGGTTTCAGGTTACTCTATCTCTACTCAAAGACAAGAGTCCATTAATATTTTTTGGGTATTTTTTTGTTTCTTTGCCTCTCTTCAGTTTTTGTCTTGGAATCTGTATATAAATTAACTAGTTTTTCACATAAGCGAGACAACTAAAGAGGAAATTAATGCGAAAGTGGAAGCATAAACTCAACTACTTCTACCTACCCTTTCTATGTTTTAATCGACGTTCATGATTTTAGTTATTTCATTTTTGTTTTATTTACCACTTTTGTTCTTCTTGCTGTCTCAAGAATCATGATTACACTGCGGTGGAGAAAAAGACGTGAGCATGTATTATGTCGTTTGCTATCTTGATTCTTTGAGAAAAATGAAAATCCAAAACGAAAATAAAGGAACATTTTTTCACACTCTCCTCGCTAATGCTTTCTACTTTAAGAAACAATGACATGTGATGAAGACTCGATAGTCTTCTCTTCTGGTTTAAAACGTTTAGTGTCTCATTATATCTTGACACTTCCTGTAAAGTTTATGTGAAAAAATATTATTGTTGATTAGAATGTTTGTTTTATCCTTTATATTTTCGCCTAACTATAAACGACTGTGACGACTATTGTTATTCTTTCATATGCGTTTTATAGATCAAACATCATTTACAAAACTATAAACTAAATAAATAATTAAGAAATACAGATTCTTTTTTGTGTTTGCAAAATATGTCATGAGGAAAGAAATAAAATGTGTTATTAATTTCAATGGAAAAATGTACAATAATGCAGTTTCCTTTTTCTTTGCCTAAAAACCATTTAACCTTGAATCCAATGCTTGACAACAATTTGGCAAAGTCTTTTTAACGGTTGTGAATTGTGAATCATAGCAATAAGCCAATCACAATCAAAGTTTGTTAGTGAGCGCATAGACTTGTTGGATAAAGCCATCAAGGTAATAAACCAAATCCCACAAATAAATAAACAAAAAGTAAAAAGCAGAGAAACAAGTTACCATGCAAATTCACTTTTTTCTTCTTCTTTTTGTTACTTTTGCAGCCATGAATGTGTGTGAGTGAGTAAATGTTCGATAGTAACACAACAAGCAAAAACAAAACACAATCCTATGATGTAATATTACTTTTTGTCTTTTTGTCTAGTGAGTGCATAGCAACGCCACTGGCTTTTGTATGTCTGTATTGACCTTTTCGGTGAGTGATAATCCCAAACCGAAGGTACATAATCATTGTCCCAAACAAAGCCACGACTGCAACCGAAAGCAAAAGTACCTAAACTCTTGATGGCTTAAAAAGTAGACTAGAAGACAAACTTAAAGAGACCCATTGGTTCAAGGAAGCAACAAGTTATGAAACTTTGCTCATTTGTTACCCATTTGGACTTTGGAAGTCTCGAAGGTTATGCTCATAGCAAATTTTGCTTCTGGATCCAATAAGATCCTCAATCCGCAAGGAAAAAAATGGCAAAAATATATATTTACCGAAATTTAATTGTGTAGAAATTAACTTCCTTTACCTCAAGTCTCTCTTCTACTAAAAAAAAAGTCTCTTCTACTCTTAGATTCCTTAACAAAGAGAATCAAATGTTTATTACCAGAGACCTTTTATGAACAAGTTTTTTTTCAACAACTAGCATTATTAATGTTACATGACGATTGGACTTTGATCCATATTTATCTTCATCTCCTCGATCGTAACTTCGATACGGCCGGCACCAGCACAATTGCCTTTTTTTTTTTGTGTGTATTGAAGGGATTACAGACTTCTTGTTGCTTCTTTTACAGTTTTCGTTTTTTCACACATTCATGCAGTAGTACATGAATGCTTGATGTAACATAGTCAATGATTTTGTTATTGTGGTTGTTTTTAATTTCATAATTATCATGAATGCTAGGTTTTGAAGCCCCGCGCATGCGCGGGGTTGTTTGCGACAATTTTTCCATCTGGTTTTATTATTTTCTTTAATTTCAAATATTATAGTTTTGCATTAACTTTATTATGTTAATTATGTTAATTTCGTAAATAAAAATTCTATTTTTTAAATAAACATATCACAACCCTTAAAACTTTCTTGTTTTCGTTGCAATGAAAGTTACATATAATAACTCGAATTCAATTGTTCTTAAAAAAAATATTATAACTCTAATTTCTCATTAGTTTTTTACTTTATTACTTCAATTATATTCTATATTTTTAAAATCGTAAATACATTGTAAAATTTTAAAATATAATTATTATTTTATACAACTTTTTAAATAAAAAAATTAACAATACATACATTATTTCGATTTAAATATTTATTTAGTTCATATTTATTTTATATTATATTTGTCTTTAACTTTTATTAAATTATCACATATTTTCTATTAATTTTGTTTGTGTGTTTTATATTAATTATTATTTTTTTGTGTATTTTTTAGTTTATTTATGTTTAAGATAAGAATATATGTAAAAATATGAATAAACATGTATTTCATAGATATTCTAAGTACAAATTAATTTTAAATATTTAATTTAGAAATAATAATTATGGTGGAGTCCATAATTTGCTGATGTGGATAGCCTAAATGGAGAGAACACTCTCTAATTATATATAAGATTTCAGTGATGGAAAACTGGAAATGATCAAGGTAAGTAAACTACTAACATGAAGTTTACTAATTTTAGGCCTATATAAGTTTACTAATTTCAAATAACGATAGTTTTTTTTTCATACGTAATAGTTACATTACATGTAATAACTAATTTTAGGCCAAAGTTGAAAAAAAGAATTTCACTTTTCTTATACGGGTTTAACCATGCTAAAAAGTAAAAACAGAGTTTTATGTCCTTTAGGCTTTAATTAAACAGTTTTGGCCTTTTTTTTATGATAAGATAGTATCGTCGTATTCCTCATTCTTCCCCGAATCCAAATCTGGAAATAATAATATTTCGAAGAAAACCGTCGTCTCTCTATCAATGTACGAGTCCGCCGCCGTCGAAGTAATCTTCTTCTCCTTGTTTGTTCTTCTTCTTACAATACTCACACTACGTACTGCTTGTTAATCTCTTTTAACCTAGAAAAATATGTTTTAAGAAGTAGATTTTATCTTCTTCTTCTTACAATATTCACACTGCATGTTAATCTCTTTTTAACCTAGAAAAAATTGATTTAATATTCTTCTGATTAGATTTGTGTACTACCTTAGGTGATGCAATTGAACGAGGCTAACGAGAGAGATGGACGAAGCCGGTACGTAAATCGATTTTCCGTTTTGTCGTTGTTGTAGTTGAGATTTTGTTATCTATAAATTTAGATGTGTTGTTTTCAATTGTGTTGATATTAATTAGTGTAATATAATGGAAATTATTGCAGTAAACGTGTCTTCGTTGTAGCTAAGGGATTCGACGTTTCGGTTCCTGAGGGTTTTACGCTGAGGGAACGTGTGCTTCGTTTGGAGAGCATGTTGAGAGATCACTTCTCTTCATGTGGAAAGGTCAAGTCCGTTTGTATTCCTGATGTCCGTCGTTCCTTTAGCATCAAGAGGTTCGTGTGCTCGTTTTTGACCCAATTTTCTTGCTTGTATAGTACAATATGGTTTGTGTGGTAAAATCCTCAAAACTTGTTTTTGTAACAGATATGCTTACATAGATATTTGGGGAAAGGGCGCGGAAGAGAAGGCGCTGAAGCTTAGTGGAAGGGAGATGGATGGACACAAACTAGTTGTTACTCTGCCATTGCTCCACATGAAAAAAACTCGTAGAAGAGCTTTAAAAACTGATCGATACCGCAGGTTAGAAATTGATCAGATTACTTTTGTGTCTGTAAAGATGCGTGTGTTACTGTTGATGATATGCAAAATATTATTGCACGCAGGAGCGAAATAATGATTGTTAGGGGATATGACACCTCGCTTCATCCTAGGAAGATTATGAAGAGCGCTTTGCGTAAACATTTCTCTTCATATGGAGAGGTCTTGGAGGTGGACTTATTTCCCAATAAAAAAAGCCCTAATAGCAACCTCAAGTTTGTGGCTTCTTCCTCCACTAGCTCGTGACAACCTTTTTTAAAACATTTCCCTAAAATTAACCAAAAGACTTTTTTTTTTTTTTGTTTTCTTGTTTGGTGACAGATACGCCTATGTTTCCATATATGGAGAAGGCGCAAAGGAGAAGGCCTTGCAACTTAGTGGAAGTGACATGGGAGGCTTCAAACTTGTTGTTGAAGACCCGTATCTTCTCAAACAACCCGAAGCCGGAGGCAGATCTTCGTCACCTGATCGCGTTTGGGCTCCTTCTTACTCAGGTACCTAGTAATTGTCTTCTTTCATTCTTGATTCTTGCTAACAAAGTTCCACTTTGTCATTTAATTCTTGGAATTTAATGTTGTTGTAGTTGAGATTTTGTTATGTATAAATTTAGATGTGTTACCTTGTTTTCAATTGTGTTGATATATATTAATCAATGTAATGCAAACGATTGCAGTAAACGTGTCCTCGTTGTAGCTAAGGGATTTGACGCAACGGTTCCCGAGTGTTGTACGGTGTTAAAACATGTGTTTCATCTGGAGAGCAAGTTGAGAAATCATTTCTCTTCATGTGGCAAGGTCAAGTCCGTTTGTATTCCTCATGCCTATTATAGCTCTACTATCAAGAGGTTTGTGTGCTTGTTTTTGACCTTAATGGCTCAAGTGTTTTGCTTGTATATGCTTTGTTGTAAAAGCCTTAAAAAACTGGTTTTTCTTACAGCCATGCTTACATAGATATTTGGGGAAAGGGCTCGGAAGAGAAGGCGCTGCAGCTTAGTGGAAGTGAGATGGATGGACACAAACTAGTTGTTACTCTGCCATTGCGCCCCATGACAAGAGCTCGTAGAAGGGCTTTGAAACAGGAAAGATCTTCCAGGTAAATAATTTGATCAATTGTTTTGGCAGATTAATTTGTATCTGTAAAGAAGCGTGTGTTTGATGATATGCAAAATACTATTGCATCCATGCAGGAGCGAAAGTATGATTGTTTGGGGATATGACACCTCGCTTCCTAGGAAGATTATCAAGAGGGCGTTGGGCAAACACTTCTCTTCGTGTGGAGAGGTCTTGGAGGTGGACTTACGACCCAATCAAGCTTACCCAAAGGACCGCAAGTTCGTGACTTCTTCCACTAGTTTGTGTGACAATTTTTGTTTCTTCCCCTTGGATTGCTGTTATGTAGTTAACTAAAAAAGACACTTTTTTCTTGTTTGGTGACAGTCACGCCTATGTTTCCATTTATGGAGAAGGCGCAAAGGAGAAGGCCCTGCAACTTGGAGGACGTGTCATGGGAGGCTTTGAACTTGAAGTTGAAAAGTTAGGTCCCATACCACGCCAACCGGGAGACAAACCCAGAGACAACGTTGTCGTTTGGTCTCCTCCTTACTCAGGTACATAATAGTCGTCTTACTTCATCCTTGATTCTTGCTAGCTAACAAAGTTAACACTTGGTCATTAAATTCTTGGTTTATTTCAGAGTTTATGGCTAGGAGGAACAAGAGGAAGGAGGAACGGAACTCTAACAAGAGGAAGGAGAACCCAAACCCTCACTCTAACGAGCAGAAGAAGAAAAGGAAGACTAGCAAGTAGGAAGCCGAAACAGCTCTTTGGTGTACTGTGTGCAACGCAACACGCAACCTACTCTTTCCTTCTTTTTTTTAATAATTTACTTTGGTCTTTGTCGTTCTCATATATGATTGTCTGCTTTTGTGTCCGGAGCTTAAAGCTAAACTCAAGTAATCTACGTCATTAGACTATCTTGTTCTGCTGAATTGCCTATGTAACTATGTTGGCTACTTTGTCGTTTGTTTATGTTCAATGAAAGAATCTTGCATATGTTACTGAAAACCAAATTGTGTTTCCCAACTATGTAACACACTCGTTCGTTACTTCGTTTTTGATAAGCCTAGCACAGAGCTTCAATACTAGCGTCTTGCTTCTTCACTTTGGTCATCTTCATCAATCTCCTCAACTCCATAACTCTGGTCCAATCTCCTTTGAACTCTATACAGAACATGATAAGCCGCAGAATAACAACATCCGGCTCAAAAGGCATTCTCCTTTATCCAACTCATCAGCTCTTGCTAATAGATCCACCATACATGCATAACGACAAAATCTTTAATTCACGGCCTAATCGTTTGCCTATATATATATATTTACACACAGATTATCCTCATTCTTCCCCGAACCCCTAAATCTGGAAAATAATATCTCGAAGAAAACATAGTAACGTCGTCGCTCTATCAATGGACGAGTCCGCCGCCGCCGAAGTAATCTTCTTCTCCTTGTTTGTTCTTCTTCTTACAGTACTCATACTGCTTGTTAGTTAATCTCTTTTTAACCTAGAAAAATTTCTGTATTAAGTAGGAGACGGATTTAATGTTCTTCTGATTAGATCTTGTGTATTACCTGACCTTAGGGGATGCAATCGAAAGAGGCTGTCGAGAGATGTCGCTTCGACGAAGCCGGTACGTAAATTGATTTCCGTCTTGTTGTTGAGATTTTGTGTGTGTTGATATTAATGTAATGCAAACGATTGCAGTAAACGTGTCCTCGTTGTAGCTAAGGGATTTGACGTTTCGGTTCCTGAGAATTGTATGGTGAGGGAACATGTGCTTTGTCTGGAGGGAATGTTGAGAGATCACTTCTCTTCATGTGGAAAGATCAAGTCCGTTTGTATTCCTCATGCCTATGATGACTCTACCATCAAAAGGTTTGTGTGCTTGTTTTTGGACCTTAATGGCTCAAGTGTTTTGCTTGTATAATACATGCTTTGTGTGGTTAAAGCCTTAAACCTTGTTTTTGTTTCAGATGTGCTTACATAGAAATTTCTGGAAAGGGCTCGGAAGAGGAGGCGCTGAAGCTTAGTGGAAGTGAGATGGATGGGCAAAAACTAGTTGTTACTCGGCCATCGCGCCCCATGAAAAAAGCTCGTAGAAAGTCTTTAAAATCTGATCGATACGGCAGGTAAAAAAGTGATCAATTAATTGTTTTGGCAGATTATATTGTACGTATCTGTAAAGATGCTTGTGTTGATGATATCCAAAATATTAATGCCATGCAGGAGCAAATCGGTTATTGTTAGGGGATATGACAGCTCGCTTCCTAGGAAGATTATCAAGAGCGCGTTGGGTAAACACTTCTCTTCGTGTGGAGAGGTCTTGGAGGTGGCCTTATTACCCAATCAATCTTACCCAAAGGAACCCGAGTTCGTGGCTTCTTCCTGTCAGTTTGTGTGACAATTTATGTTTTTCCCTTGAATGCTATTAAGTAAAAGACTCGTTTGGTGACAGATACGCCTATGTTTCCATTTATGGAAAATGCGCAAAGGACAAGGCCCTGGAACTTACAGGAAGTGACATGGGAGGCTTCAAACTTGTTGTAGAAAAGTCGGGTTGTCACAAACGCCAAGCGGGAGACAAACCCCTGCGTATCCTTGGCTGTCCTCCACCCTCAAGTAATTGTCTTCTTCATTCTTGCTTACAAAGTTACACTCATGTCATTTTAATTCTTGGTTCTTGCTTCTTGCTAACAAATTTACACTCTTGTCATTTCAATTCTTGTTTTATTTCAGAGTATTTTACCAAGACCTTGAAGACCAAGGAGAACCCGAACACTAACAAGAGGAAGGAGAACCCGAACCCAAACAGTAACGAGAAGAAGAAGAAGAAGAAGAAGAGGAAGACTAGCAAGTAGGAAGCGGAGCTCTTTGGTGTTCTTGTGATGCAATGCAACGCAAACTCTCCTCTTTCTTTCTTTTCTATAACTACATTAATTGGTCATTGTCTGCTTTTGTGTCGGGAGCTTAAAACTAAACTCAACTATCATTAGCCTATCTTGTTCTGCTTGATTACCTTTGTCGTTTGTTTATCTTTAATGAAAGAATCTCGCATGTATATACTTAAAAACAAAAATGTGTTGTTTTTTACTTCTTTTTAAAAAATCTCTTCTGTTTCCTAAACATTCTTCTCATTAGATGATCGACAATCATATTACAAGTGCTCTGTTTCACCATTCTATATATATTGCAAAACATGTTAATAAATAGCTTCAATCCAACTACTTTGCGTCTTGCTTCCTCACTTTGGTGATCTTCATCAATCTCCTCAACTCCATAACACAAGTCCAATCTCCTTTCTCGCCATGAACTCTACACAGAACATGATAAGCCGCAGGGTGCTCTCTCCTCAGCCTCGAGATCCCTTCAGCAGCAACCTCCAAACATGAATGCAAGCCCCAAGCAAAGCCCCCCAAATAACAACATGAGGCTCAAAAGGCACTCCCTTTATCAGCCTCTCTGCTTTATCCAACTCACCATCAAGCAAAGCATAATGCTCTCTTTATGCAGCTATCCCAAACCTACTCATCAACATGAACTTATTTTCCCCTTGTTCCACTAGCCCTGCGTGAGCACAAGTCATCAACCTGATCAGGCTTGTAACCACATTCCATCATCTTCTCGAATTCCTCTAAAGCACCCGCTCCTAACCCATGTCTTGCACACCCTCCATCCAATCATCAATCATCGAGTTCCAAGAAGCCGGATTCTTCATTGGCATCACTTTAAACACGCGTGAAGCAGTGTTGATATCACCTGACTTGGCGGGCTTCAAACATGAGACCACGCTCAACATAAGCCGTGATCATCATCTTCCATGTTGAATTGTCCAGAGATGTCGTGTTCTGATCAAAAATCCTACGCGCTTCCACCTAACCATCATCTGCCCGCAAGTGATCGCTGATCGAACGGTTGAGGGTAGCCGTTGGTATCGTGAAAATCCGGCGCGAAAATTTTCCTCGTAGAAGTAGAGTTGCGCTTGTCTCTAACATGCGCATTTATTCTAACGCCTCTGTTATTATTTTGCGCGGTTCTCTAGTTTTATTTTGTGACAACAGATAATTAAACACGACAATATAATTGACAATGTTTACTCATCTTGTAATATCTGTATCTGGTTGTGATTATAGGTTTCTGTGTGTACACAATAGATGGTGAGGAACTTATGATGTTAATTAATCTTAAAAAAAAAAAACTATATCCTATATGAAAACGTTACACTAAATTAACCAAATTACTCAAATATGTAAAAAACCATAGAAGCAAATTCAGGCAATAAGAGACAAAGTTGCCACACAACACAAAATACGATAATTAAAAAATTTTAGCAAAAGATAAGAAAACTAGACTGAACATTTAAATGTCAATCATAAAGTAGTCATGAATAAGATCATCACGTCCCCAACAACTTTGGTAAAGCCCTTGTGACCAACTTGATTTTCATAAGACTCCTGAACTTGGTCGACAACAACTTTACTATTATTGGGAAGATATATTCCGGCCTTTCCAAAATGTCTTTATTTTTAATACTTGATATATTTATTAAAAATATCTCCACATTGCTTTTAGATTTTGAATAGCGTAAAAATACACAATCTTAATCTTATGAACAAAATCGACAATTTAAATAAAATACAATCTTCAACCAACAACAAAAAGATATAGAAGTATGAACTACTCTACTCCATTCAAACTTCTATACAGTTTCTTCAAATCTAGGATAGTAGAAATTTTGTGCGTATTTCAAATCTGTCAAAACTGTTATCCCTAATATATTAAAAGAGAAAACACTAACTAAATAACCTTTATCTAATGTGTTATTAACAAGAATGTCATTGCTTAGGTGTCATCACTAGGTTCACTCTTAGAGCAATTTCTAATTAAGACAAGCTTTACTAGACAAATTACAATATATGCCATTGCATATTATGCTTACAACCAAATAATGAAATTAAATTTATCATTCTCTTTCCTTAATTGGCAACTACGAAAATTAGTAAATAAGGAAGATATGAGATTCAATTTAATTCATCATAATAATTTCTTTTAAAATCAGTATACATCTTCTATCATCTTTGTTTAAATTTATTTAATAAAATAATTTGAATCACAATATAAAAAATCTATCAAAAAAATCTAAAACTTTTTCTGTACATGTTATGATTTGAATTTTTAAAAACAAAATAATATAAATTGTTTCGTATATAACCTCATTTAGTAGGTATCCAAAGGTAATTTTTTTTTTCATTTAATATGGTTTTTTAATTAAAATCTATAATTAAATCGAATAAAAAAAGTTCTTTTTATAAATATTTTATTTTGATTAAACTTTTGAATATTACTCTATCTGTTTCAACTTTCTATACAAAATTAATTATATTTTTGCTGTTTTGACAATTTGGATTCTGCATATTATTTTCTGATTGGTTGGATTGTTTTGAAATTATAATAAAGCATGTTTTAGTTTTGAAAGAAAGAAAAAAATTAGTTCTAATCCGTGTCCACACAGCTAAAACTTTTTATCTTATGAAATACATGATGTATAATTTTTCTAAAGAATAATGTTTTATTTTCAATTTTTTTTCTTTAAACTATCTTATTATATTATAGTTATTTGAGTTTTATGTATCTCGGTTAAATCTATCATATTTAATTGTGGTTACGATCAATGCTTTAATTTATTTTTTTTTAAATGGATTAAAATGCCTAATTTCCATACTATAAACGAATAACAAAGGTTAAAAATCTCTCGCATAAAATGTCGAAATATTTAAATAAACATTTTTTAATAAAAATACAAATTCAGAAACTATCACCCCGTGCAGGGCACGGGTCAAACCCTAGTCAATCATTATTTGTATGTTTCATTTTTGCATTAGAACTAGTAGAGTACCCGCACGTTTGTGCGGTGTGACGTTGTTGTTTTGTGTAGAAAATTTAAACCCTAAATCCGAACCCGACAAAAAACCCTAATCAAAAAATTTAAAAACCCAAACTTTTTTAATAGGTCTAAACATGAAAATCCGAAATCAAAAAAATCCCGAAAACCCTGACTGAACAAAAAAAATCTGGAAACTTTTTCACCCGGAACCCGACCCCAATACCTAATCAAAATTTTAAAATACTCAATTTTTTTAATATATCTAAACCCGAAAACCAGAAATCTAAAAAATCCGGAAAACCCTAAACTGAAAAAAAAATTGAACCTAACCCGAACAGAAATTTTCAAAGAAACCCGAACAATTTCTATATATCTCTATAAAATTATGTCTCAGATTTTCACCCAAACCCGAACTTGTCTATAAAAACCCGAAAATCCAAAAAGCATATTCTATTGATTTGGAATTATCGTTAGATTATGTTAAGTTTTTTTTTTGCAGATTTTTAAGAGATGGAAAACGGAAGTTTTCTAAACCATCGGTTTATTTTAAGTTATTATTCTTGTATCCAAACAATTTTTTCCATTTATTCTTCTATCCAAATAGATTTTTCTCTTATTCTTGTATCCAAACATTAAATGTACTTCTCAATTAATAATATAAAGATTAGGCCTAATGATTCGTTTTGATTGATAACATATTTCCATAAGTAAAAAAAACTACTTTAATCAAATATGAAAAAAGTGACTTATGCAAACTTTTAATTAATGTATCTTGTTGTGAGCACATTTCTTTTTTCCAACTAATATGTACTCCCCAGAAATGGTAATTGTGTTTTTGATGGATACATTGATATTTGATGGTTATTTGTTAAAAAAAATAGTTGGTGTTATTTACTTATTCAAATGTGTGAAAAATACTTTATAAAAATGATTCGTTAGGAATTTAACAATTAATGTAGTCATTTTCCATAATTGATTGCGAACAAGATGAATGTCACAAGTCGCACATAAGCAATCATAAGCAATTTTTGTGTTTTTTTTTAAGAAGTAATGTAACAAATCTACATTGATAGTTCTTAAAGTAATGCAACAACTCACGAATCTTGACGAATCTTGAATCGAGTCGTGTCACGCGATCGAAAAATTTCATCACGCCTAACGAAACAATCAACCAATTCAAAGATAAATTCATCGATAGATCAACATATTCTTTTTTTTATCAAGTTTGAATTCAAACGAAATGACAGGTTCAATTCATCTCCTATCCTCAAATTTGGGCTACACATACGACCACGAGTACAAGACTTAGGAGAGGTCGACATGGTAGGTGTTAACAACGTCGTTCAGGAACGAAAAATCATAACTGGTTTTGGTTTAGTTATGAGAGCATTCTGATTATGACATGAAGTTACATGAACCGAACCAAATTACTCAAAACATGTTAAAAACCAAAGAAGCAAATTCAGGCAAAGATCCAATAATCCATCGTCTTCGAGATCAAATACATATGATATTATGCTAAAACGATTAGTAAAATCCAGTACAAACGATTAGTAACATGAAAAGGTGTAACAGACTCTCTGCTCTCAAGCTCCATCTTCTTATCTGTCGCAATGCATGAGATACACGGCTTTCCCCATCAAATCCGGACTTGAAAACTGGTGGAGCTTCCACTTGCGGTCTTGTCCAGGAGATGGCTTGAAAACGCAATGCCTCACTTCCCCAATCATCTTCACACGGCCTCCTCCTTCCCACTTGAAGCCCGACGTAGTCGTGGAGTTAGGAATCGGACTCAAGCCAGTGAAGATCCAGTTACAGTAGTCTACTCTTTGATCAGCAAAATCATAGTCGAACATACCTACAATGAGAGACAGAGAGAGAAAGAGACAGAGAGAGAGAGAGAGACTCAGAACAACATGTGATGATGTGTTCTACGAGAAGATGGATATGTGAATAATACTTACCGGATTCCCAAGGAGGGATTTGAAGCAAGTCGGGAGAGAGGAGCTGAGGAATTCCGCTCTCGGTATTGTCCCTTAGAGACTTGAGGAGCTTGGAAGCAACGCCAACGAATTTAGCAGCTGAGGCGTACACGTCAGTGGTGCAAGCGGGGAGTCTCGACTGTGCGTCGGAAGTGACCAGAGCTAAGCAGCTCTCACGGCAGTAGACTGCCTCTGATGTTGACCGCGAGCAGTCCCAACGTGCGCACTGCTTACTCGCATCTGAGGTTAGCGCGACCTTAGCATTAACACTGTACATGATAGCTACCTGAAAGTGAAAACTCTGTTCTTAGTTCAATACAGCAAACAACAAACTTATGAAATTTCTCACCAGAAGATGATAAATCACAAAATCGAATACTCATCTAGAATATTATAGCTCGTCTCAGTTTCTGGGTGGAAAATAGATTCATTCAGACATTTCATCAAACACTTGGTCTACAAGAAGATTTCACTTGTGTTGTGTCACATTTCCGGTTTCAATCACGGTAGCATCATGAATCAACAGTGAAAACTTTACAAATCAAACAATCTAGTGATCCAAATTTCGAAATTCCAGATGAAAAACTTCAAAAGCCGGTTACAGTAAGAGAGGAGAGATCATGTTCCTGATTTGCTCTCTATGAAGTCTAAATTACCTGGTCGAATGTCGTGTGATTCCTGGAATATCAGATCCGATCCCTTGCGATCTTTAACCAACAACCGAGGAAAAATGTCTGATGAGAGAAAAAGCAAAATCAACGAGAAAAGACGGAGAGAGGGAGAGACAGAGAAGCTTCGAGTAACCTTTCTACGTCTCGCGGCGGGAAATCAGATTTCAGTGTACCGGGGAATTAATTTGAACCGTCTGTAGGTTTCGGTTTAACTCGGTATTTAAATTGAACCGAATTCAAACAAAAACCGAAATTGTTAACCAATGAAACTTGTATTTTAAGGTAGCTGTTTTTATTCAAACAACTCGAAGCACACCAAATTTTATATAATTACTCAAACGAGAGATGGTGTTCTTCTCTACCCTGAATCATACTGTTCGGTTTTTTATTTGATTACATATAAATTATTACAGAAAACCTACTGTTCGCTTTTTTAAATATCCTTCTTCCCCGAATCCCTAAATCTGGAAAATTAGATCTCGAAGAAAACCTAGCAGTCGTCGCTCTATCAATGAACGAGTCCGCCGCCGCCGAAGTAATCTTCTTCTCCTTGTTTGTTTGTTTGTTCTTCTTCTCTTTTTAACCTAGATTGATTTCTGTTTAAGCAGTACGTAGATGATTTAAGATTCTTCTTCTGATTAGATCTTGTGTACTACCTTAGGTGATGCAATTGAACGGTAAATGTATCTCTGAAGAGAGAAAACCTATCACTAGTTAGGAGAAATGAAATTAGGAGAAACTATCACTAGTTACTTCTCTAGAGTAATGGAAGTAGCCAACAACATGAGAAACCTAGGAGAGGAGATGCCAGATCCCAAGGTTGTAGAGAAGATTCTGAGAACTTTGGTGGAAAAGTTCACTTATGTTGTTTGTGCTATAGAGGAGTCTAAGGACATCAAAGCATTGACGGTAGATGGACTGCAAAGCTCGTTGATGATGCACAAGCAGAATCTAAGCAGACATGAAGGAGAGAATCAGGCTTTGAAGGTCGAGGGTCAATGGAGATCTGGAAATGGAAGAGGCAGAGGAAGCTATCCTAGTCGAGGACATGGTAGAGGAAGCTACCAAGGAAGAGGACGTGGAGGCTCTTCAAAGAATCAAAGGAGATGGTGGAGTGTTACAAGTGTCATAAGCTAGGACACTACAAATCTGAATGTCCAGAGACAAAGAAAAGGAAAATTCCTTTTTCACATAGATAAATGAAAAAATATTAAATTCAAATCGTTTGCTTATATATACACATAGTATCGTCGTCGTATTCCATAAATCTGGAAAAAAATATCTCGAAGAAAACATAGCAATCGTCTCTATCAATGGACGAGTCCGCCGCCGTCGAAGTAATCTTCTTCTCCTTGTTTATCCTTCTTCTTACAATACACACACTACTGCTTGTTAATCTCTTTTTAACCTAGAAAAATATGTTTAAGTGGTAGATTTTATCTCCTTCTTCTTACAATATTCACACTGCATGTTAATCTCTTTTTAACCTAGAAAATTTTGATTTAAGATTCTTCTTCTGATTAGATCTTGTGTACTACCTTAGGTGATGCAATTGAACGAGTCTGGCGAGAGAGATGAACGAAGCAGGTACGTAAATTGATTTCCGATTTGTCGTTGTTGTAGTTGAGAATTTGTCACCTATAAATTTAGATGTGTTGTTTTCAACTGTGTTGATATATATTAATTATTGTATTGCAAACGATTGCAGTAAACGTGTCCTCGTTGTGGCTAAGGGATTTGACGTTTCGGTTCCTGAGGGTTGTACGCTGAGGAAACGTGTGCTTCGTTTGGAGAGCAAGTTGAGAGATCACTTCTCTTCATGTGGAAAGATCAAGTCCGTTTGTATTCCCCATGCCTATCATAGCTGTACAATCAAAAGGTTTGTGTGCTTGTTTTTGACCTTAATGGCTCAAGTGTTTTGCTTGTATAGTACAATATGGTTTGTGTGGTGAAATCCTTAAAACTTTTTTTTGTTACAGATATGCTTACATAGATATTTGGGGAATAGACGCGGAAGAGAAGGCGCTGCAGCTAAATGGGACTGAGATGGATGGACACAAACTAGTTGTTACTCCGCCATTGCGCCCCATGAAAAGAGCTCGTAGAAGGGCTTTAAAAAATGATAGATCTGCCAGGTAAAAAAATGATCAATTGTTTTGGCAGATTATATTGTATCTGTAAAGATGCTTTTGTGTTTTTGATGTTATGCAAAATTTTATTGCATCCATGCAGGAGCGACACGATGATTGTTGAGGGATATGACACCTCTGTTCCTAGGAAGATTATGAAGAGCGCTTTGCATAAACATTTCTCTTCATGTGGAGAGGTCTTGGAGGTGGACCTATATCCCAATCTAAACGCCCCTGATAGCGACCTCAAGTTTGTGGCTTCTTCCTCCACTAGCTCGTGACAACCTTTTTTTTTTAATTTTTTAATTTCCCTAAAATTTCTGTTTACCAAAAGACTCTTTTTTTTTTTTTTTCTTGTATGGTGACAGATACGCCTATGTTGACATTTATGGAGAAGGCGCAGAGGAGAAGGCCTTGCAACTTAGTGGAAGTGACATGGGAGGCTTCAAACTTGTTGTTGAAGAGGCGTTTCGTCCCAAACCACCCGAAGCCGGAGGCAGATCTCCTCTCCGTGAAGTTTGGCTTCCTTCTTCTTACTCAGGTACCTAGTAATTGTCTTCTTCATTCTTATTCTTGCTAACAAAGTTGCACTTTGTCATTTAATTCATGTTTTTTTTTTTTCAGAGTATATGGCTTCGATGAACAAGAGTCAGGAGAACCAGGAGGATAGCAAGCAGACGATGCAATTGAACGAGAGAGATGGACGAAGCCGGTACGTAAATTGATTTCCGTTTTGTTGTTGTGATTTTGTTACCTTTAAATTTAGATGTGTTGTTTTCAATTGTTTTGATATATATATTAATTAATGTAATGCAAACGGTTGCAGTAAACGTGTCGTCGTTGTAGCTAAGGGATATGACGTTTCGGTTCCTGAGGGTTGTACGCTGAGGGAACGTGTGCTTCGTGTGGAGAGCATGTTGAGAGATCACTTCTCTTCATGTGGCAAGATCAAGTCCGTTTGTATTCCTCATGCCTCTTATGGCTCTACCTTGAAGAGGTTCGTGTGCTCGTTTTTGACCTTAATGGCCCAATTTTCTTGCTTGTATAGTACAATATGGTTTGTGTGGTAAAAGCCTTAAAACTAGTTTTTGTAACAGACATGCTTACATAGATATTTGGGGAATAGACGCGGAAGAGAAGGCGCTGCAGCTAAATGGGACTGAGATGGATGGACACAAACTAGTTGTTACTCCGCCATTGCGTCCCATGAAAAGAGCTCGTTTAAGGGCTTTAAAAACTGGTCGATACTGCAGGTTAGAAATTGATCAATTGTTTTGGCAGATTACTTTTGTATCTTTATTTTGTATCTTTAAAGATGCTTGTGTTGATGATATGCAAAATATTATTGCATCTATGCAGGAGCGAAGCGATGATTGTTAAGGGATATGACACATCTTTTCCTAGGAAGATGATGAAGATCGCTTTGGTTAAACATTTCTCTTCGTGTGGAGAGGTCTTGGATGTGGACTTTCCCAATAAAAACTTCCCTATTAGCGACCCCAAGTTTGTGGCTTCTTCCTCCACTAGCTCGTGACAACCTTTTTTTTTAATTTCCCTAAAATCAATTCTGTTTACCAAAAGACATTTTTTTTTCTTGTTTGGTGACAGATACGCCTGTGTTTTCATTTATGGAGAAGGCGCAAAGGAGAAGGCCTTGCAACTTAGTGGAAGTGACATGGGAGGTTGCAAACTTGTTGTTGAAGAGGCGTTTTGTCCCAAACTAGGAGACAGAGATCCGTGCCCTGATTCCCCTTGGACTTTTTTGGGCAGAGATACGTGCCCTGGTTCCGATTGGACTTCTTCTTGCTCAGGTACCTAGTAATTGTCTTCTTGATTCTTGCTAACAAAATTGCACTTTGTCATTTAATTCTTGGTTTTTTTCAGAGTATAAGGATCCGAACACTAACAAGAGGAAGGAAAATCCAGACCCTAATTCCGAGAACGAGAAGAAGAGGCAGAAGACTAGCAACTAGAAAGCCGAAGCATCGCTTTGTTGTTCTTGTGATGCAGTGCAACACGCTATCTCTCCTCTTTTTTTTTTTTTAATTATTTGTGTCTGTCATTATCATATATGATTGTCTGCTTTTGTGTCTTGAGCTTAATACTAAACTCAACTAATCTGTCATTAGACTATCTTGTTCTGCTGGATTGCCTATGTTGGGTACTTTGCCGTTTGTTCAAGATTCAATGAAACAATCTAGTTATTACTCTAACAAAATTGTGTTGTTTTCTACCTAAAATCTCTTCTGACTTGTTGTTGCTTCTTTTACAATTTTCGTTTCTCACACATTCATGCAGTGGTACATGGTTGATGTAACATAGCCAATAATTTTGTTTTTATTTCGTATAAATTCCAGTGATGGAAAATTGGAAATGATCAAGGTAAGTAAACTACTAACATTTAAATAACGATACTACGATAGTTTTTTCATATGTGGAGTAGTTAACTTACATGTAATAACTAATTTTACGCCTAAGTTGAAAAAAAAAAAAAAATTACGCCAAAGTTTTATATCCTTTTTTAAAATAAGATAGTATCGTCGTATTCCTCATTCTTCCCCGAATCCAAATCTGGAAATAATAATACCTCGAAGAAAACCTAGCCGTCGTCGCTCTATCAATGGACGAGACCGCCGCCGTCCAAGTAATCTTCTTCTCCTTGTTTGTTCTTCTTCTTACTAAACTCACACTGCTTGTTAATTAATCGTTTTTTAACCTAGAAAATTTTATGTTTTATGTAGTAGATGATTTAACTTTCTATGATTAGATCTTGTGTACTTCCTTAGGGGATGCAATTGAACGGTAAATGTATCTCTGAAGAGAGAAAACGACGAAGCCGGTACGTAAAGAGAGATCGACAAAGCCGGTACGTAAATTGATTTTCCGTCTTGTTGTTGTTGTAGTTGAGATGTTGTTATGTATAAATTTTGATGTGTTGTTTTCAACTGTGTTGATATTAATGTAATGCAAATTATTGCAGTAAACGTGTCCTCATTGTAGCTGAGGGATTTGACGTTTCGGTTCCTCAGGGTTGTACGCCGAGGAAACATGTGTTTCATCTGGAGAGCGAGTTGAGAGATCATTTCTCTTCATGTGGAAAGATCAAGTCCGTTTGTATCCCTCATCCCTATTATAGCTCTACTATCAAGAGGTTCGTGTGCTCGTTTTTTACCTTAATGGCTCAAAGTGTTTTGCTTGTATAATATATGCTTTGTTTTTTTCCAAGCTTGCTTTACCTAGAATTTGTATTTGTTACAGTCATGCTTACATAGAAATTCTAGGACAGGGCGCAAAAGAAAAGGCGCTGCAGCTTAGTGGAAGTGAGATGAATAGACACAAACTAATTGTTACCGCGCCATTGCTGCCCTTGAAAAGGACTCTCAGAGAGGATTTAAAATCAGCTAAAAGCGATCGATTCGGCAGGTAAAAAAATTGAGATTAATCTTGTATCTGTAAAGATGCTTGTGTAACTGTTGATGACATGCAAAAAATGATTGCCATGCAGGAGCAAAATGATTATTGTTAAGAGATATGACACCTCGCTTCCTAGGAAGATTATCAAGAGCGCGTTGAGTAACAAGTTCTCATCATGTGGAGAGGTCTTGGAGGTGGACTTATTATATCCCCATAAAAGAAAACCTGATAACACCAAGTTTGTGGCATCTTCCTCCACTAATTCATGACCACTTATTTTTCCCCCTAAAATTAATTAACTAAATGACCTTAATTAACTAAATGAAGTTATACCAAATTACTCAAATACATGTTAAAAACCAAGGCGAAGCAAATACATGAAGTTTCTACGTTTCGCGGCGGGAAATCAGATTTCATTGTACCCAGGAATTAATTTGAACCGTCTGTAGATTTCGGTTAAACTCGGTATTTAAATTGAACCGAAATCAAACAAAAACCGAAATTGTAAACCACTGAAACTTGTATTTTAAAAGAACACTACTAAAGTAGATAACAAACAAATCGAATCACACACACACACACCACTAAATCTTATAATTACTCAAACCAGAGATGGTAGAGTCGTAGAGACTTTGCATAAAATAAAAAACTGACAATTTGGTGTATATGGTCAATTCAATTGATCATACAACATTAAATAATAAATACAGAAAGCATACTGTTCGCTTTTTTATTTGATTACATATAACACATAGCATAGTCATTTATTTAATGCCCTTTTTATGAAAAAAAAGAAGACAATAGCTATTTATTAATAGCACACATATCACAACACTTTCAGCTTCTCTTTGACGCCAATTTTCGGTACATTTCTTCGATTTCGACCTATAAAACGAAACGTTAACACGTTTAATGTTAGCAAACATGTAGACTCAGCGTAGTAAACTAATCTATAAAAGTTTAAGTGAAGCTAACTGAAACCTGGTAATACTTGAGAAGATTGTTCCTCCGATTCTTCAGCGTCGCAGTCACTAAGTCTCTCTCAACGTCAAAAGGTTTTCTCTCCACCGTCACCGCTTTGATGTACTCAAACTTCCTTAGCTATATATTTTTACATCCACAACAAAAAAAAATTATATTTAGAGAAAAAAACTCTAGAAGGATTTTGATATCAGACAAAACCATACAAACCTTGTTCTTTTCGGCCGTGGACTTCAGTTCTGAGACGATGAGTTCTTGTAGCTCAGGGAGAGAACAGAGTTCTTCGAATGGTTTAGTAAAACCGTTATCCTTAGCCCACCGGTTCACGGTATCTGGGTTTGGAACAATCACTGCCACAAGCATAGATTTGAAGCTGTCTCCATAGACCCATATCTAAGAAGAAAAATAGCGAGAACATTATAATAATCAGACGACGGATTCAAAGATTATCGTAGAAACCCCTAAAGACGATTGCTTGTGGGACAAGAAATAGTTGAGAAACTTACATCTTGAACAACGGGGTTTTGTCCGTATATGTTTTCCAAATGCTCGAGTGCAACATATTCTCCTTGAGAGAGTTTGATCAGATTTTTCTTACGATCGATGATCTTTAGTACTCCGTTTGGAAGTATTTCACCTATGTCTCCTGTTGAAACACCAAGAACATTTTAAGAAACCAAAATTAACAAAAAAAAAACGGAGTCTTAATTTGTTTAAATCAGTCACCTGTATGGAACCATCCGTCTTTCATGACTTGTTCAGTGAGCTCAGGGTTCTTGTAATATCCAGAAAACAGACATTTTCCTCTTATGCAGATCTCGCCCGCCGGATTTTCCCCGAGTGGGTCGTAGCCCATTTCCGGCACTTCCTCCAGCCGTATCTCGTTATAAACCGCCGGAATACCGACCGTCCCTAGCATACACATCTCGTCCGGGTGACAGGCTGACGTTCCTCCAAGCGTCTCCGTTAGACCTAAACCAATCAATCACAGCACCATTGACTTTCCTTGATAATCAAGAAACAGAGAGAAGAAACCCTAGTAGCATGCCAAATGATATATGTTTGTACCATAGCCTTGAACGACAAAGCAACAACAAGTAACTCTCAAGAACTCTTCGATCTCAGGACTCAGTGGAGCTCCTCCAGATACTAGCAACCGGATTCGACCTCCTAATTGATTCTTAACCTTTTATCCAATACAAAAAGCGTAAAATGTTGATTACGTGTAAAGACCAAAGAAGAAACCAATCCCAAATCTGTATGAAGCAAAAAAAAAGACACCATTTTAACTGTCTTAACCTTTCTGAAAGCTATGAAATCAGCCACAGGTGAAGCTTTTCTGTGAGAGTATCCACGATTCATCCACGCAAGTTTGCTACATCACAAAAAAAAAAATTATTGCGAGGAAAGTGTGAAAACCAAAAAAAAAAAAAAAAAAAAACGAAACAGAAATAACGGTGAAGCTTACTATTTATAGAGAGCATTAAAGATGAGTCTCCTTCTTGGATTAAGCTCCTGAATAGCCTTCTGAATCCCGTCATGGATCCTCTCGAAGACTCTTGGAACTCCGGCTATAAACGTCGGTTTCAGTTCTTGAATATCATCACGTAACGCATTCAAATCCTAACACACCAATCATTTTTCTCAGTTCCTTATATCCATTTTATTTCCATAATTAGATGATGATTATAAATGAAGCTTAAGTGATTAACTTACTCCATGGTAATAGCCAACTGAAGCGCCTTTTCGGAAGAAGTATTCTTCATTCGCACGGTCAAGAATATGAGCCAACGGCAAGAACGAGAGATACACATCCTCAGTTGTCATCTGACAGTAGGACACGTAACAGAGGATTTAGTCAAAAGGAAACAGATGATTAAGCGAGACATCATCGTTTAGTTAATCCCTTGTATGTAACCATTATATTTGCTAATGTATATTATAAGAGTGATAGGAATTTTCTTTGTTCATTGAAATGGTAACTATTTATATAGTCTTTATCGTAGTTTAAAGGCCAGACAGGTTTTTTAGTGTTTATTGAAATTGATCGAGAGTCACCTTGTCTTCAAACTGGTCCATAAGGAGATCTGCCCCAATAACGCAAGTCGCGGCAGCTTCGTGGGTCAAAACCACACCTTTAGGTGCCCCGCTCGTGCCGCTCGTGTACATTATGGTGCACACGTCAGCTGGTTTTGGCGGGGTTGTCTCTTCCGGCTTCTTTTGTCCCTGGTCATATAGTCAACGATCAAATATGGTCAACAAATATTTTTTAGTATTAAATAAACCAAATGTCTGAATGTGGGGCACTTATATCATTTAATTCAATGCGTATAAAGCAACGCATTATTTGGTCAAGTTGGCGTGTCATTAAATACGTAAAAAAAGTCCGATCTTTTACTATAAGGTTTGTTAATAACCGACGTTCAAAAAAAGAAAAGAAAATGTTTGTAATAACCTAAAATGCACAATTATGTATCAAATTGTGTCAAGAGACGAACCATAAGAAGAAAATCGTGCCACGAGTATGCTTTCACTCCAATCTCTGAAGCCTTGTGGCTCTGTTCTTCGCTCGCATTTGTGAAGGAAACTATAGCTTTTAGTCGTTTTGCACTTTTGCAATCCGGCTCAAGAAGCTAAATTTTAGTAACATACAAAAGAAGAGAGTTCAATGTTCACATCAATAAATAAATTTTCAAAAGGTATATATTAACTAATGAAAATAAATCTCAAAGATCTTAACTCCTTTAATCTTGGTGTTCTGGACGAACACAAAGTCGATTTCCGCATGATCAACGATATAATCCACTGCTCCGGGACCTGAAGAACATCGAATGCAAACAATGCCTTTGAGCCGCATTATCGAGTGTTTTGAGTCACGAAAGTATTCACAAAATTTAACTTACCTAGTGTATCATATAGAGGCACACAGATTAGAGTGTGAGCTGCACAAGCCTAAATATTAACGCAAATATATAATTATTGTTAAATCTTTACTTCAGAAATTTAGCTCAGAGAAATATTTATCAAACATGAGATAAACCTCCATTGCTATGATCCACTGAGGACAGTTAGCTCCATAGATCCCCACTCGACACCCCTGCATTTATGTATAGACATTAGACGTAAATATACAATAGTGAGATGATTTTTAAAAAAACTTTCTGTTTCGGTGTAAAAAAACGGAAATGATAAAGTTTTTACCGGTTCAGCTCCGGCAGCTCGTAGCGCAGAGCCAATCTGCAGAACTTCTTCGTATGCTTCCTTGTACGTTTTCCACATATAGGGCCCAACCTAACCAATCCATACATTTATACGTTTAAAACAAAATCTACACACTGAAGTTTCTTTATCAAAAGCCATATAGTATGCCATAATGGTTTGTACCGATGTGACATATATATATATATATATATATATATATATATATATCTCCTTTATTTTAGTACGAAAATTTTGAAAAATTTAATTCACCTTCTCATCGACAATTTGACGCCATCCAAGCATCTTGTTATTAGGGAATTTTTCCACTGATTTACTAACAGATTAAAAAAGAGATTTAATAACAATGAGGGAATAATAAACATAAAGAAATGCTATATGATATTATAAGAAAATTAAACCTGAAAATGTCCCAAGTAGTGGTGATATCAGAATCAATAAGAGGAAAACCTTTCTCCGACAAAACATTTCGGTACACCGGACCTACCGATGGCTTCCCATTTTCCCCCTTAACACCTTCTTCCACCTTTGCCGCGAAAGACTTCATTCTCTCCTTCTCTCTTTTGTTTTCTTCCTTAGGAGAGAAACTCTGAAGCTATTCTTTTAGTTAAATAGAAATGAAAAAAGGGATAGAAGAACCATAAATGTAAGATAAGAATCCAACTGACGTAGTTAATATATGAAGATATAGCACTGCCCGAATTGATGATGGTGCAGTAGAGTATCTATAGCTTGAAGGAGGGTGGGGCATGTGCCCCATACATATTTAATTTATTTTTTTAAATTGTTACCAAGTATTAACAAAAATAGTAGCTAAATTGATTAATTATCTTGTTAACTAGCTTGTGCCCTATACAACATTACATCGTAGATCCGCCAAATCTTAAGAACAAAAAGTGAATATAAGAACTAAACCATTAATTAAAGGAAACAACTTGGTTACAAAATGAGGGAGTTTTTCATAGTTTTGTCATTTAATCAAATTAAACAGCAGAAATTAGTATAGCTTTGCATTTTCGCATAATTTTATCGTGGAACATACATAATCGTTTCTCGAAAACAGCTACTAAGTTTCACTATTTAATCCGCTTGTGTACTCCATACTCTAATTTAATTATGATACGCATAAATTAAATAAAAACTTTTTTTTAACATCAAATTAAATAAAAACTTTATATTATAAAGTATGCATTTATTGTCACCAGTCCGGTTCACCTAACAATACTGAGTACAAACTCAAAGAGGATAATAGATATATTGCATTTTTCGGAAAACTGTATGATTATTGAAAAGTACGTAATCGTATAGTCAAAATTGTGCTAATCAGATACGTGAAAGTTTAATCAAGCTTGTAGTAATCAGAATCGTTGAAACGAAGATAATGTACGTGGAAGTTTCATTAGTTAATCAGTGACAGCTCTCTGCTGGCGTCTTCCGTACTTTAGTGTACATCACTCTACTTACGTATTATGTACTTCCATTTAATTATCACTAGATCTTGACCCGTATTTGGAAAGCACGGGTACCTATAATTTATATTGTGTTGATTTAAGTAATTAATTAATTAATTATGATTTTTAATATATTTGTTTTTCTATTTGGGCTCGGAAATGTGTAATTATGTTCAAATGGGTTGTATAATCTATATGGGCCTTAACTAAATTAACAGAATCGTTGCCAGACTGAGCAAAGTGACATCGTTTTATTAATTTCCAATTCAATAAAATTTCCAATTTAATAACGTTTTTCAAAATTGAATTGGGGAAACAACTCACAAACCCTAGTTTGTCTGATTACGGTGACGACACAATCGTGATGTTGTGTTGATTTTTGAAGCACGGGATCAATTTTTGAAGATTTTAGGTTTTTGTGTTAATTTTAATTTGAGGTTAAATAAAAATAAGACAAAAAATGATAAATTAAGTAGTAATATTTGGGCTGTAATAATTCCGCTCGAGTATGGCCCTAAAACGGATAAGTTCATTTCGCCTGTTTTGTATCCATCAAATTAACATCAGCATTTGCGGCATCTAGATCGTTTGTTTAACATCTTGCGCAAAACGAAAAGTCGCACAATTTAGGGGAATGGGAGAAATCGAATCCCAATTCGATTTAATATCTAGTCTTCAGATATGAAATTAATTTGGCGAATCCGTCGAATCTGTATAATTTAAATGAAAAAAAAAACTTGTAATAAGTCCAGTAATCCTTGAACACTTAAAATAATATATTCTCAATTTGATATCATATAAAAAAAATCTATAAATCCAATATTCTATTCTTTCCTTCATTTATAAATTTGTCTATGAGACATATTAAAGTCAAGATTACAAATTCTCACATTTATCAGTCTTGTTCTTTCTTTATATTTTTTTCTGAAAAGACCCGAATCTAAAAGAATGTTGCACTTACATGTGATGTTGCTAACATTTGAGTTAGTTAAATTTGTGAATATTAGATTTATAAGATTGGATATTGTTTTGACATTTTTTTATTCAAGAGAACTAAACCGTCTCCATCTACATTAGTTTTTTGTGTTAGTGTAAAGCTCAGTTTTAAAAAAGAAAAATTGGCAATTTAGGGTCTCTTGTTCGTAGATTTATTCCTTTTCTTTTCTCTTCATTTCACTTTTGATTAGATCCATCTTTTTTTCTCATGAAACATATTAAAGTCAAGATTATAAATTTTCACCTTTATCAATCCCGTTATTTCTTTATGTTGTTTCCGAAAAACCCGGATCTTAAAGAATGTTGTACTGACCCGTGATGTTGCTAACATTTGAGTTAGTTAAATTTGTGAATATTAGATTTCTAAGATAGGATATTGTTTTGATATTTTTTTATTAAAGAGAACTAAACCGTCTCCATGGGCATTATTATTTTTGTTAGTGTAAAGCTCATTCCTAAAAAAGAAAAATTAGCAATTTAGATAAAGAAAACAATACTCTTGTTCGTAGATCCATTTTTTTTTTCATTTGTTAATTTGTTCATGCGACATGTTAAAGTAAAGATTACAAACTTTTACATTTTGATTAGATCCGGTTTTTCTTTCTCACCAAAAAGGATTTAGATATAAAAGAGTGTTGGTTTTGACTTGTGATGTTGCTAACTTTTGAGGTAATAAAATTTGAGAATATTAAATTTCTAAGTTTAAGTTTAGATATTGTTTAGATCTAAATCGTCTCTATCAATTTTTATATATATATATATATATTTTTGTATTAGTATGAAACTCATTTTTATTTTTGAAATTTGGTAATTTTTATATAACATAATAATACCATAAAATAGATCACAACCTTATCCATTCATAACTCGTGCGAATGGACTCTATAGTACGAAGGTCCAGTTTTATTATTTTCTTCTCTTGTAAACTTGTGTAACGCCCAACATTAATCTGGTTCATGAGAAAGTCTAAGTCAACATTACAATTTTCTTTGCTTTCTCCAAGTGAAAGAATTATGAATAATCGATTCATCTCTCTCTCATGTGTGTTGTGGATCTCAGACCGTCAAACGCCTCCAGCATCATCGTGATGTCTCTCCTCACGGCAACCTTCGCCCTGGCGACTCCGATGTCCAGCCATTTCCTTTCCGAAGCAATCCTTCGATTTCTCCTTGCATGCGAAATCAGAGAACGCATACCCGCTTTATGTTTCTTCTCTCTCTCAATCTATGAATCATCGTCTACGAATTCAGGTACCTTCGAGTTGATTCTCTTTCTGCTTAATCAACTTCTTGACCTGCAATTCCCCAATCTTCGATCGTCGGTCTGGGAATTATCCTTATTTGTTTTGCTATTCCATTTTCATGCAGCTAAAAGACTCAAGCTCCACCTGGTTTGTAAACCCAAGTAATTCTTTGAAAACACTCATCCCTGATTTGTTTGTTAAAGCCAAAGAACAGAACATGTGACTTCTTATTTTGTTATGCGTAACCAAAACATTTTGACATTATTTCTTATTTAACCTACAGATCAGACCCGAGAACTCAATCTCCCAACTCGACTCCACCTGCTTCAGAAATCGCGGGTAAACGACTTTACCTCACCCGGTAATTCTGTCTTAAGTCTTAACATATTACCATAATATATGTTTTTGCAAGCTTTTGAATCGGAAAATTGTTAATGCCCATTTTGAGATTGTCCTTTTTAGCCCAAATTCCTTATCTCAAAGATGGCTTATTTGATCACTACTTATTTGTTCATGTTAAGATCATGTGATCGTTGTTATTTTTGTTTAGTTCTTGGATCTAAAAATTCTCTTCAGTAAAAACTATCAGTTATATGTTTGTGACTTTTGCAGCTTGATTTGAATGTTTTTGCAATAAATTGGTATGTTTGACAACGATATCTTCATTTGGTAAGACATTTTGTCAAAAGTGGGGTTTAATCTCATTCATTAGTGATACACTCCAATGGCTTCAGTTTGAAGAGATCGCTTGTTAGAATGCCTTAATTTGTATTTGGATATTAGTTTGTTCCCTATTTATGCTCCAGTACTATCTTTTCTTGCTAAAGTACTATATTGATATCTTTAGAAGTCCTTTGGATATATTAGTTCTAACAGATCGACGTATTCAACCTTTTTTGGTTTCGTTGCAGTTACATTTGGAACGTTGGGGGTGGTGATGTAAGAGATGACTTTAGGATTAGCAAATGTTTTTGAGATTAATTATGTTATAGTATCCTTTTGGATCAACATGTCACAAGGTAAAAACCTTTCTTCTTGTGTAGCCACTAAAAACAGTTGTTTAAAGATCACAAATACTTATAAAAAAAATTTGTTCCCTGATTTTTAGACTCGTTTGACTATGAGTTTCTTGATTTGCATCAGTTTGTCAATTACTACAATGAAACATCAAGCAAGCAGAGTCTGTTTACATTGAAATATTGGTAAGATTTGTCCAAAGCAAACTCTTGCAAGTCAATACGATTGTCATATACTCATATAGCATGTTACATTTTTGTCTATCTGATTTTTTACTCAAATAAAATACTCGAATTCTGTTAAGAGACGAATTCTGAAAGAATGATCATATAATCATACACTTTGGAACTAAAAAGTTTGAAAACATACTTGTAGCAGAGAGTTGTGCTCTCTCTCTTTTTGGATTTACATGAAAACATAAAATACAAAAGGGTAACTGGATTTCTCTTTGAATAAATGAGATATGAGAAAGAAGCTCTATTGATAAATAACATAAAAAGAAACGCACAATAGTAAAAGAAAAGCTTTACAGACTAACACATAGAATTACATGGCACTGTTTATTCTTATTGTTGATTGCATTCATTCCATCTTTGCTCAGCTGATGTCCTTCAACACAGTTCCATCTCCTAGAGTCTACTCAAATGTATGTTTCTTCGTGTGCATTGTCTAAGCTACTTTGTTGGTCCTGCATATGTTAGTATGATTTAATATAAGGCATTAATAAACCATCTTAACAATTACACATAAAGCATGCAATCGATTCTTAAACTAACCAACCAGATTCTCTTTCGTTGGTTCTTTGCAGGTGGTTTCTCTGAGGTGAACAAACTGGAAAGTGGCATTGTTGATTAGGTGTGTTTCCATTGACTTTTTAATCCAGCGGATTTACATGCCCCAACACATCCTGAGCTAATATACCCTATAAGGTACATCAGATCCTCTCATCACTACAAAATAAGACATGATTCAACTCGTTTCACTAAATTAGAATTTATATGAGTTACCTTTTATCTCAGAGCTCAAATAGTAAGTTTTTTTTGTTGGCTTATTAGCGACATCCACACTTTCCATTTTTCCTACATTGATGACTTCTCCTAGAATGTCTGTATTTCATAGAAATCAATGCAATTAGTAGAGCTCCTCCAATAGGTTAATCGAAAACATTTTAATGTAGTGAAACAATATGATCTAACTCACCACAAAGAAAACTTTAGTTGTGTTTCCCATCATGGATGATCTTTGATGAATGCAATTTCGTAAGCATGTTTTGATGTCTTGTGATGACCCGTGGGATGTCTGATTTCTTCTTTTCCGGATAAACTTACATTGTCACTTCTCCAAATGTCTTTAATAGAGTTAGACATGCTCTTTCTTCATAGCAGCATGGATTTATATTCCCTACACTGCATATAGAAAATTAGGTTAAATCATCATAGATGCATATCATATAATACAAAAGGATAGATTCAATCACAATAATGATGATATTTTCCTTACATCAACGTTTAACAGAATTTTCAGTGGTCTCTAGCCATGATTCTACATTCGTTTTGCTTGCTTCTCAATTTCGAGGTAATTATATTTCCTCCTCCACCCTATTTATAGTGAAACACGATGGTCATTAGGGTCTTCTCATTTATTTTGGAATATCCGAATGAACTTTCGAATATTCAAGTTTCCATAGATATCTTCACAGCTAATATTTAGGGATATTTTCACCTATTTACTACCAATTACTCATATTATCTTCTTTCCCGTTTTTGAATTGTGTTTAGCGTAATATAAGGTTTGTTTAATGTGGTTGCGATTTTATTGCCTAATATATAGTTTCCCTGCTAATGCTCTTTATTTTTCTCGTTTGATTCGCAGAAAGATATCGGTTTGATTTCTGATAACCAATTAACCTACCAGCCGGTCTGATTTAAATATGTTTGAGATCCGCGTGTTATTTCTCATCCTTTGGGTCGGGTTATTTCCTTGATTTAGTTGTTAATTTCGGGTTAAATCCTGTTTGGCTACAGGCGCTTGTTTAGTGTAATTTTCTCAGGTCGGGTCAATTTTTTAATTTTAGAATTCATCTCGGATTTTTTTCTGTTTGGAAACAGGGATAGGCTCTTTTGAAAGGTTGAATCCTTATTTTGTGCCTTTTAATAGTATAGATATGGATGGATTAAACTATTTTATAATTTGATTAACAGAATGGCATTAGTTGACTCAATTTCTCTCGAGTACACACGTTTTATTCATTCTGATGTAGTTTATAGCTTCTAATCAGACTTTAACAGTGGAAGCTAAGAAGTTAAAAAACAACAAATTAATGAGTAATGACACCCAAAAGGTTTTTTAATCCAATAATATAACATTCGTTAAGTGGTGGAAGACAGATGTGATGGATAGATATAACTAGAGACTTAAGAGTTACATACATTAAGAGAAGAAAGGGAAAAAAGAACTATAACAATATGATGTAAACGGTAATACAACATAGAAGTAAAAACATTACAGAAAGCACAAGTCTCATTTTCTTTTCTTTTTTATACGTATATATATAACATGATTATCAATAGCGTACACATCATCGCAACACTTTTCAGTTTTTCTTTGATGCCAATTTTCGGTACATTTCGTCGATTTGTACCTGTATAATGAAAACTTTAGCGGACTGTATGGTGCAAACATGAACTAATATATACAAAATTACTATAAACTAAAAAGTAATCTATAAATATGGAAGTGATATTAAGATAAACCTGATAGTACTTGAGAAGATTGTTCCTCCGATTCTTTAGCGTCGCAGTCACTAAATCTCTTTCAACGTCGAAAGGTTTTTTCTCCACCGTCACAGCTTTGATGTACTCAAACCTTCTTAGCTATATACATATATATTTTCCACATCCACGAATAATTTATTTTAGTATTTATTTATCCTTTTTTTAAGAATTTTTATTTAGACAGACAAAGTTAGAACAAACCTTGTTCTTCTCTGCTGTGGACTCCAGTTCTAAAATGATGTGTTCTTGTAACTCCGGAAGAGAGCAGAGTTCTTCGAATGATTTAGTGAAACCAAGATCTTTTGCCCAACGGTTCACAGTTTCTGGGTTGGGAACAATCACAGCGACAAGCATAGATTTGAAGCTGTCTCCATAAACCCATATCTGAAAAGAAAAATAGCGACCAAAACATAATAAGGGATCAGATGATAGATTTAGGGATAACTGAAATGAAAAAAAAAACCTTAATGTGATTTCTTGCGGGACAAGAAAGAGTTGGAAAAACTTACATCTTGGACAACATTGTTTTGCCCGTAGATGTTTTCCAAGTTCTCAAGAGCAACGTACTCTCCTTGAGAGAGTTTGATCAGATTCTTTTTACGATCGATTATCTTAAGTACTCCATTTGGTTGGATCTCACCTATATCTCCTGTTAAAACATCCACACACACATCAAGAACAATTCAAAAACCTGAATCAAGAGCAATCAAATCTTCGTTTCAATCAATCAGGCACCTGTATGGAACCATCCGTCTTTCATGACTTCTTCAGTGAGTTCAGGGTTCTTGTAATACCCAGAAAACAAACATTTTCCTCTTATACAGATCTCCCCTGCCGGATTTTCCCCGAGTGGGTCGTAGCCCATTTCCGCCACCTCCTCAAGCCGTATCTCGTTGTAAACCGCCGGAATGCCGACCGTTCCTAGCATACATATCTCGTCTGGGAAACCCAAAGCCGTTCCTCCCAGCGTCTCCGTTAGACCTAATCCAAACAATCACAGCAACATTGACTTTCCTTGGCAAACAAGAAACATGAGAAGAAACCCTAGAAATGCAGAGGAGGTGCAAAACTATACCGTAGCCTTGGACGACAAAGCAACAACAAGTAACTCTCAAGAACTCTTCAATCTCAGGGCTCAATGGTGCTCCTCCAGATACTAGCAAACGGATTCGACCTCCCAATTTGTCTCTTATCTTTAAGAGAAACATAACCGCAAAAATTCAGTTCATGTAATGAGTAATGACCAAAAACAAAACAAAAACTCCCAATTCAACTGTTTGTAACCTTTCTGAAAGCTATGAAATCAGCCATAGGTGAAGCTTTACTGTGAGAGTATCCACGATTCAACCACGTAAGCTTGCTGCATCATCATTTTGTTTTGGAAGGTTACATCATTACAGAATAGAGAATTAAGGAGAAACACAGAGCTATTATTAATAAAGTTGCTTACTGTTTGTAAAGAGCATTGAAGATAAATCTCCTTCTTGGGTTGAGTTCTTGAAGAGCCTTTTGAATCCCCTCATGGATTCTCTCAAACACTCTTGGAACTCCAGCTAGATAAGTAGGCTTCAATTCTTGAATGTCGTCACGTAACACATTCAAATCCTACACAAAACAAAACATCCAATTTTCTTAGTTTCTAGCTTCTATCCATTTTCTTCCATTATTTTTGATGGTGATAATATATGAAGCGTAAGAGATTAACATACTCCATGGTAGTAGCCGACGGAAGCGCCTTTGCGAAAGAAGTATTCCTCATTCATACGATCAAGAATATGAGCCAACGGCAAGAAGGAAAGATATACATCCTCATGTGTCATCTACTCGTAATTAAGCCGCCCAAAGTAAATAGAGGATTAAGTGAATGTTAATTTATTTTAAAATATTGATTCATAGTTACCTTGTCTTCAAACTGATCCATGTAGAGATCCATCCCAACAACGTAAGTCGCAACCGCTTCGTGAGTCAAAACCACACCTTTAGGGTCACCGCTCGTGCCGCTCGTATACATTATGGTGCATATGTTAAACGGCTTAGGTGGATTCGTCTCTTCCGGTTTCTCACGTCCCTAGTCAAACAGTCAACGGACAAATAGTCAACAAACAATATTTTGTAGTATATCAATTTTTTTTATTCTTATTTTTTATTTTTTTGGTAAAACGTGTATCAATATTTGTGTGTGTGTGTGGCACCTAAATCATTTAATTCTATGCATAAATCTACACGAATATCAATCAAATGCCGTCAAGTTGGTTTAAACATGTGCCTTTCATTAAATACCCAAAGAATATGGTCCGATTATATGATATAGATTGTAATAATGTAATTAAGTATACAAAATTATCATTAAAAAAACTAAGAGACAGACTAACCATACGGAGAAATTCGAGCCAAGAGTATATTTTGACTCCAATTTCTGAAGCCTTGAGGCTATGTTCTTCGCTCACGTTAGTGAAGGAAACTATAGCTTTTACCCGTTTTGCGCATTTGCAATCTGGCTCAAGAAGCTAAATTTCAACAACATTAAAAGAAAAATAAAAAGTTGATTATATTCACATAGATCAAATAATTTTCTCAAATGTAAAAATTAATTTAAAAGATCTTAACTCCTTTAATCTTGGTGTCTTGGACGAACACAAAGTCGATTTCCGCGTGATCAACTATATAATCGACTGCTCCAGAACCTATAAAACCAATTGTTTTTTGCCTTTTTAGTCAGACGTTTTTTAGTTTGAGTCACAGAAGTTTAGTCAGAAAAAAAAACAACCTACCCAATGTATCATATAAAGGTACACAGATTAGAGTTTGAGCTGCACAAGCCTAAATTTTTTCATAAAGATGTGTGTATATTGATTGTTAGATATAATTAAGAACTTCTGAGAGAAAAATAAATGAGAGAGATTTTATCAAAACTTGAGATGGACCTCCATTGCTATGATCCACTGAGGGCAGTTCACTCCATAGATCCCCACTCGACACCCCTACATGTATACATATAACAGTTTATTTCAATATTATTATAATAAATCTCCAAAATCATTAACAATCATGAATTGATTTTGAGAAAGTTTTTTCATCTGAAAGTTTTTTTTTTAAGATATGTAAATATATATATAGAAAAGATCTTTACAGGCTCAGCTCCGGTAGCTCGTAATGCAGACCCGATCTGCAAAACTTCTTCATAAGCTTCCTTGTACGTTTTCCACAGATACGGTCCAACCTAAGGGATCCATATAAATATACGTATAAAACAATGCGTACACAACTTATAAATATTAATTTAAATCGCAGCTAGCCAAACAAAAAGTGTTAATCAGATAAACAAAATATAGCAAGAAAATCACCTTATCATCTACGATTTGACGCCATCCAAGCATCTTATTGTCAGGGAATTTCTCCACTGCTTTACTAAAAAAATCCGTAAGAGATTTATTAACAATAGTTTTACCAATCAACAGCAAAACACAATAGTCATACACATCAAGTGATAATTATCTTACAAAAAAAAATTATAGTTATATACCTGAAAATGTCCCAAGCAGTGGTTATTTCAGAATCCATCGGAGGAAAACCTTTTTCTGACAAAAGATTCCGGTAAACCGGACCTACCGACGGCTTCCCATTTTCCCCTTTAACTCCTTCTCCCACCTTTGCCGCAAAAGACTTCATCCTCTCTTTCTCGCTTGTGTCCTTTTTTCTTTGTTTTCTTGTATCACAGAAACTAAAGAGATAAAAGAACAATAAGATACGATGAATTCAACCGACGTAGATAATATGTGAAAAATATAACACTGCCGAAAAGATGGATGGTACAAAACGTGTAATAGAATAAGAGAAATAACCAAAGGAAATAACTTGATTACAAAATGAGGAAATTTATCTTAGTTTTGCATTTTCTTGTAATTGTATTTATGATTTCTGAAAAAAATACGTATTCGCTTAACGAACACAGAGGAGTATTAATGAAAGCTGCAGGTATCAATCTGCTTCCGTGCTCCGTACTTTGATTAAATTTATTATACACATATAATTTATAGAAATACTTTATTTTATAATTTTCCTAACAGAATGCCATTAATTGTCTCCAGTTCGGTCCACCTAACAATAGCCGAGTTGCAAACCCAAAGTTTATGCATTTATCATAAACAACATAAGATACCTAACTACTCTATTTTGATTTGACACTAACTTGGTTTCAATATTTGTGATTTCAGATTCAATAAGTCAGGAAAAAAAAAACAAATTAATTATACATTATACACATATATATATAGATTCCAAGGAAGTAAGAGTCGAGCGTCCATTATATTCACCAATTATAATTTCAGCTAAAATAAGAACTAATAATACCATAAACTAATAGAATAATAGTTTAAGAGAGTCACGCCCTAAACGTGAGAGCGTGTATAATCCTGGCTTCACTCTCTTTATCCTTCTTTTTACCATCTTCTCTATAAACATAATATTGCAGACTGGAGAATTTAATGAATTTATGATAACCTCTGGAAGAATACCAGTAAGTATGAAAGTGATGTATGTGTTGTAGTTGTAAACGCTCTCTAACCAATGTAAGGACATAGATAGAGGAGTCTTTCTTGACCAAGAAAAACAAAACAAAAATAGACGGAGGAGTCTTCATACGTAAACACTAAAAATCTTTCATTCTCTTTGATTAGTATAAGGGTAAGCATATATATCGATTTTAGTCTCTCTCTCTCTCTCCTTCCTAAACAAACAATCTTGTTTAAATTATAGTTCTTTTCTCATGAAAATGAAAATCCATAAAAAAATCATATGATCTAAAATACCAAAAGCAGAAAAGATATGAACAGAACAAAATCATAACCAACAAAGATTAAACTACTGACCGTATCTCAGTTCGTATATCAGGAGGACTGTAGTAGTGTGCAGATGATCCTTAGGTCTTTGGTTCGAATCCAGCAGCGTGGATTGTTTTTCCCCAGTTTCTTTTTAGTAGTTTTGTTTTTTTAAATGTACTTTGTTTATGTAATTTAGAAGTGATGAGAGAGAAAGAAGATAGGTTGAGGAGCTGAGAAATGGTTGTTGGTTTATATAATGAGTTGGTTGATACAGGACAGGCCTGTGTCGTTCATTTTTTTTTTTTTTTTTCTTATCGTTCATCGTTACTGTGTAAATAATAAAGATAAGATAAAAGTGATACAAAATGATCCAACCAATAGAATTCATTAATTGATTAGTTTCCTATATATATAGGATATAAATAGTGTCGTTTGCCGAACGTTTTATAAAATTGAAGCATACCGTCAAGTGGAAATGAAACATTTATTATAGTTTGTTGCAAGTACAAAATACTTTTTTCAATCAGCAACTTGTATTGTATCCTACTTTGAGAATAAACTTGCAAACTCATTTTCCAGTTTTTTTTATAATGGTTTTTTGGCGAAAGCTTTTTTGACATTTTCCCTAACTAAAACGTTTTGTGGTTCATTTCCTAAAGTTGTTTTGTATATACTATTGCATTTACCATCACGTGGTTACTAGTTAGTAACGATCCAGTCGATTTTGCAAATGTGATTATTAGTTCACAATGTAAAAAAATATATATTTATCGATCAGTTTCTATGTGTGTTTGTAATATTCACTCAAGTTTTGTTGATTACTACTCCGATTGATTCGTATATCGAATTATACGATGATTATGTGTGGGCTTGGTCAAATCAGACCATGCTATCGATTAGCATGTCTAAACCGTTTGCTAGTTCACCTAATTATCACTTTCAAAATACTTAAGGACCTTGACAAAGGAAAACACTAGTTCATTATTTTTCAAATTTCTTCCGTTTTCTTGATTTGTAAAATTTCAAAGATTGTGACAGTTAGAGATCGAAAATATATTATGATTTATATTATTTCATAAGATGTCGTTAATGTTTGATATTGTTGAGATGAGAGACTATCCATCATGCAATACTTTTCATTTTATATTAATTTTCTTCACTTGGTCCGTACATAATATAAACGGATCCTCCTTTTTCTTTGCTCGAGTCTACATCTATAATTAAAAATACAATTGAAAAATATCACAAAAACAAAATCCTATAGCCTTTAATACAGATTTCTACATGTATGTATTTAGAACACGCAAGTCAATCCAACTCCTATACTTTTAGAGTTTTGTTTGTAAATTACAAAAAAGGCTGTTGAAAATAGGCGACCAATTCCAACGGATCAAAGGTGGTGCCTTATATAAGGTATTATATAGTATGTTTAGTCTTTTCCCAGTAACCTCTTCGAAAAGGTATGTATTTTCGTTTTAAAAACACTTAGCAACCCCCTAAAATAAAAAGTAGGTTTTGTTTATAACCAAATAAAAAGTAAGTTGTCCTATCCCAACTTTGAATGCCTAGTCTTATTCCAAGTATCCGGTCAAATACAAATGACTATTTTTTTCAACCTTTTGTTTAATAGATCACGAAATATTCAACATTGTATTTGTCAACTTAGCTTTAGTTAATAGTTTGTTCCAACTTCTAACTGTTAAGTTTCAGTCCATTATGCTATGAAATCGGAAATTGGTTCATCAAACCAACAAAGTCAATTACACTTTTTTTTTTGTATATGCTCTTGTTTATTTCTAAATCGGATAAGGTTCAAAGCCTAATAAGGTAACAATATGTACCAATAAATATCTCCAACCATCAATCCTGACTTCCATTATATTTACCAAATAATGTTTCATTAGAAATATAGAGATAAACATATATATATATAGTCGATATTAAAATGTAGAAATAAATTGTTGTGAAAAAAAAATAACTTAGATATATGTAGTGCTGTTGTATGGAAGTGAGACCGTCCGCATTAATATGTGTCACAGATTCGCAGTTGGTACTTGGTAGGGCTGAAACAACAACTAGTTCTAACGAATTGAATCTTTTTCCAATATATTTGCCAATCGAAACATTTTATATATACACAAATTAATATGGGGAAATAGAAAAGAAAAAAGATAAATTTATATGGAAAATAGTATCATAAACGTAATAATAATATGGAAATGAACTGAATCTACAAGCTATATATGTAAACCGAAAAAAGAAAAGAAAAATCAGTCGAAGCTTTTGTTACAAAAATATATGTTGCCATCATCTTTGTATTGTTTTGAACTGATGTTTTTGATGTTATATTGCAATAAATGCCATCACCAAAATATCAAATGCCGTCAAGTTGGTTATGCAATAAATCATCACCAAAAACCTCTCCTACCTTAGTAATTGCACATCTACTAGCCAATTAGAAAGTTTCTAATAGAAACCCGGCCCTAATCAACTACTCCACTAACTATCTTGATTAGTGTACTAGTGTACTCATTGTGCACTAATAATGGTATCACAAAAATACTCTACACACCACCTAACTGGATTTTCGTCATTTGGAGAAAATTCCGCCGGATTCTCATGAAGCACCACATTTACGGCGTGTTTGACCGACAATCTAGAAATCAGTCAAAAGAGTGGAAGGCTATGCTCGGCTGTTGAGAAAACACTGCTGCTAAACCTCCATATCCATGACAACAATAATAATCTGATTCTGGAGAAATTCGAATGTTACACAGGTGCGATAACGCCTCATGAATTCGTGTATACAACAGAGGACAGGTGGATCTAATTCCACTGATTCTCTTGAAGCACCGCATTATCATCGTCTGCAACCACAACATTGTCGGCGTCTTGAAAGAAAAAAAAAAAAAAAGTGAGATAGGCCTAAACTAACAAAGCCCATAACTAAAACCTCAAACAAATAGAGACTATAATTATAGAATTATAGATTTAAAATATTCCTTATAAATATGAAAAGGAATGAGTTCCATATATTTTATTCATCTTCATTCAATTCCTTTTCATTTCTTCTAGAGCCATAGAGTCCAATATAAAATAGAAAACCTTAAACGCCATGGTTATCGCACTCGCGGACATTTTTTAGAATCGATCGGCGGAATCCAACATCGAGGCATAAGTCGATCTATTCATTCGAGCGATAAGCTATTTCTCTTTTCTAACCCTTATTTCATCATTTTTTCTAAGAAAATTCAGCAACAATACTACTCACCTGGACGACGGCAGGATAATGATCTAGCTGAACGACGGCAGGATCAGGATGTAGGTGAAGTCGCATCCTCTTCTTCCATGTTTCTTGGGGTTTGTTCGTTCGACGAAGGAGAGAGAGAAGATGAGAATGTAACTGACTCTTTGACTTTACTTGGAGAAGAAGAGAAAGAATTAGAATTTTCTAGAGTGGAGGACTATTTAAGGAATCGCGAGTGGCGGCAGGAGGGGTTGACGTGGCGTGGAATCAGAATTTATCTGTACGTGAAATTGAGACTCAAGGCAAGATTCTGGAGCGGAGAAAGAGTTAGCTCAGATGAAGCCATTCGTAATATCAATCGCCCAACAGCTTCAAAATCGAAAAAAAGCATATAATATATCGAAAAACATAAAACATAAAAACATAAACATACGTCAGTCTTCATATCGTAATCATAAGATTGACAAGTGACTAGTTCTAGATTTTTTCCTAATTCTCCAAACAAAAACTAACATCATCTACTATAACCTATCTTTTACTTGCATCATAAGCTATCTTTCCTTTGCAGAAACAGAGCTTAGAGCTCATCATACTTTTACTTTTCTAACTTAAACATAAACCAGCTTTAAGGTTAATGATATGGAGATACAGATCACCAAGGAGATGACACGATCATCTGAAACTCAACCTCCACGTCTTGAATCTTCTTGTCAAGAGTTGACGCAAACAACTGCATTTCACCAATTTCTTTCTCTAAAGCAACCTTCTTATCTTTCAACTCTGTTTCTTGGCTCCTCAGCTCGAGAATCTTGCGCTCAACTTCTCTCAGATCTTCTTCAACCTTTTCCTTCTTGACAACTTCCTCTGCCACCTTTTTCTCCTTATCATTCAGTTCATCAAGTCTCTTTACTTGCGTATCTTTGAGAGATAACAACATCTCAATCCGCGATATAGGAGTAACAACATCGAATCCATACTTGTCAAGCTCGAAAAAGCACTCTCTCAGCCTCTCTAGTGTGCTTTTGGGAGTGTGAAGCTGAAGATTCTCTACTCTCTCTAATAAACCGAAATATTTCACCATCTCACCCGCAGCTAAACCTTCACGGAACTCCTCTCTTGACTCGAGCAACGGGCTAAAATGAGGTCTCTGCTTCACTGATCTAAAGACCTCCATTGATTCAAACACTTGCCAAACCGGTGAGTGTTTCACAAAAGGCAGAACCGTTGCTGTATCATGAGATAACTCTACATACATCAATGCAAACGTAAAAGAATGAGAAAGCATATAAATTTACGTAATAGAGAAAGTGTATCTAAAAGAAAGAAGTGTCTTACTCGACTTATGACAAGAAGTAGATGATTTTTCTCCAAGGATCCAAGAAGAGAGGGGCTGATCATCATTATCATCATCATCACATATATAATCAGTGATCAGAGCCTTTGAACCATTGCAAGCCTCACCTACAAGTTACTCAGTTATTATAATAAGATAAAAGATTCAGTGAGAAACAAAACACAACAACTGGTATATATGGCCACATGTCAATCTATAGACATACCACCAGTCTCTATAAGCCTATGCGTGTTGTCATTGCTGTAATGCTCTTCAGAATTCTGCATATTAAAGCCAAAGATAAACCATGCCAAACTCTAAGAAAGTGAGAAATATTAATGTTAAAAAGGTTAAACCATAAATTGACTTTACCTTCTCTCCATTTGAATCAACTCCTAAGACATTCTGATTCCTCAAAGGAGATGTCTCTCCTTGAGTTTCCAACTCTGTTTCTTTCACTGTTGTTGCAAATATGACCGCGCTTGCAGGTGGAGCAGATTCCTTTGCTGTAAACAGAGACAATGTAGATCAGTTTCACACTAACTACTTATACAAATGGTGAGGTTAAAGTTCAAATCATTCAACACAGAATTTGGAGCTCTCAGTTACCAGTTGGTATCATTATGACTGGTGTATCATCACCATTCCTTGCATCATCAGCCTTTTGGTTCAACGACACCCGAGCTAAAGATAATTCGATTGCCTACACATCATATAGTAAGCAAATGGAGTAAGATCTTTGTTCAAGCAGCCAAAAAACAACACACAAAGGCATCATCAAAATCTACTACTCACAGCTACACTTTCACGCTCATTGCCTATCGTCTCCACATTTTCAGAGGATGTTTTGGAACGCTTTCTAGTCCTTTTATAAGTGATCGGCTTAGCAGCAGTAGAATACATCTTTGGTCTGCACGTCAATGTAGTTTCCATAGACATCTTTCTCTTGCCTTGTGAAGGAGTTTTGTTTCCAGGTTTGGTCAGACTCTGAAAACAGAAAACAACAGTTAAATCACCAAAATTGGACACATCATCACACATGCAATGTGAGAAAAAGTTTAACCTTTGGTTGTTGAAGCCAAACACCATCTTCCCAATCCTGTGAGAGTCTAAGATTAGAGTGTTTAAACACAGACTCCTCTTTGGTTGCCACGAAGCTCACTATGTAACGTTCCTCTGAGAGAATCCTTCTCACAAGACCTTGACGCCATCCCAAGCCACCACGAAACGCGTCAACACGGTCCAACAAATCATACTTCTCAACGAAACAAGGAGGCGGTTTAGGCCTGACGTTGCACAAATCAACGGCTAGTATGTTTGGTTTCGCATCATCATCACCGTCGAAGGTAAAAGACTTATCATCGCAACACTTGACAATGAATCTCTTCTGCTCATCATCATCATTATCTTCCTTAACAATCAATGCAGGAACCCAAACATCTTCGAGCTTATCAATCTTACAACTCACTTCCACCATTGTCCCCGATCTAGACAAAGACTTGCTCAATTCCTTCATTTCAGAAAACCCCAAAAAAAGTTAAAAACTTTGACATGCAAAAACAGACAAAGGTCAAGCATTTGAAAATCGGACCAAACAGAGAGATACACGTATACCTTGTTCTCGGGTCGGACCCATTCGGAGCCAATCAAGTCAAGATGAGTCCTAAGCTGCTTCCTCTGGAACTGCATGAGGTCAGGTGGATGATCGAAGTAAACCAGAAACTTATCGTCATCCGCCATTTTCTTCACAACCACTCCGGTCCACCAGCCATCTTTCAGATCAGCGTCGACCACGGACCCTTCCTCGAAATCGACTCCGTTGTTCGGATTCGGATCCTCCGGAGGGACGGGTCGGATCAGCCTCTGTTCGACGAGCTCGGTTAGGAGAGACGAACCGTCTTCGTCCACCAAGGTCATGTAACAGATTTGAAGCTTTTTCCTTCCTGATTTGGTCGGGTTCTCTTGTAGAATTGCTCTGTACCATGCGCCTTTAAAGCCTTCGTCTTCGGAAGACACTTCTACTTCACAGTCTTTAGCCATCGATAACATGCTTGCTTAATTTACTCTCTGAAAATGAAATTGAAACCCAAAATCGAAAAGAATCCTTTGAAACAAACCCACTTGAGTCAAATCACAAAAGCAATAATGGTTGAAGAAGAAGAAAGGAAAATTACGCCATGCTTTAATTGTGGCAAGCTAAAACTCTTAATTTCATTTTTCATTTTCTTTGGCGCTAAAAATTATGAATTAAAATACAATTTGTTAAGAAAGCCAACTTTAAATACTATTGGGCCTAAATTAACGAGCTCGATGATGCATGGACCTCTTTGTAATTGTCGTCACTCTGATTAAATTTATAAAATAATTCAATTTTCAAATAGTATTTTTTTGTCCTTCGTAGTAAGATCAGAATAATTCCGACAAACATATTAAAACTAAACATCTCAAGCATAAACCCAATGGGACCAACAATCTCAAAAGACAAGTCACTTAGGGATTTATGCTTAAATCTTTGAACTCATTTTAGTGAGTCCTATCTATTCATAGTTTCATGTGAATTTTTTAAACGAGACTGTTTCCTAAGTCAACCATTTGTGGTTTATATTAGCCCAAAATCCTTATGTTTTTCTTGTCATGGCGATGGAATTCACGGTCGTCGGAGCCATATACATCATGCTCAGAGACAGACCCAAAATCAAAGCTTCGACCGAATTTGTGAGAGAGAGAGAGAGAGAGAGGTAAATATAATAATATAATAATGAAAAACAAAAAGGAAAATTAGTCTTCATATAGTAATCATAAGGGACCTGATTGGTTGTGGCTGTAGCTTTAATTTTGTTGCCGTAGAAATTTTGTATTCTAGATTTTACTGCTGTAAGAATTTTTATTGTATATTATGTCATTAAATATAGCATTAAAACAAAAAATTAAGATATAGAAATAATAGATTAAAAAATAAATGTTGAAAGATTAATAAGGAAAAAGAAGAGAGAAAACTCTAAAAGCACTTAATTTGGTTCTCTAGAAAAATTGTTTTACAAAGCCACGGAACTTCCATAAATAAAAAAAATTGATCTGTGTTTCAAAAATGGAAAGATATGGGATGAGAGATTGATTGGTAATTTTGTATTGATGTAAAGAGATTTAGGGCTGTGCAGAGCAACCACAGTACCAATCATCCCCAAGATTTACAAAGTGACTAGATTTTTCCTAATTCTTCAAACAAAAGCTAACATCATCTACCATAACCTAGCTTTTACTTGCATCATAAGCTATCTTTCCTTTGCAGAAACAGAGCTTAGAGCTCATCATACTTTTACTTCTCTGATTAAACATAAACCAGCTTAAGGTTAATAATATGGAGATACATATCACCAAGGAGCTGACACGATCGTCTGAAACTCAACCTCCACGTCCTGAACCTTCTTGCCAAGAGTTGATACACACAACTGCATTTCACCAATTTCTTTCTCCGAAGCATCCTTCTTCCCTCTCAACTCTGTTTCTTGTCTCCTCAGCTCGAGAATCTTGCGCTCAACTTCTCTCAGATCTTCTTCAACCTTTTCCTTCTTGACAACTTCCTCTGTCATCTTTTTCTCCTTATCATTCAGTTCCTCAAGTCTCTTTACTTGCTTATCTTTAAGAGATAACAACATCTCAATCCGCGATATAGGAGTTACAACATCGAATCCGTACTTGTCAAGCTCGGCAAAGCAGTCTCTCAGCCTCTCTAGTGTGCTTTTGGGAGTGTGAAGCTGCAGATTCTCTACTCTCTCTAATAAACCGATATATATCACCATCTCACCCGCAGCTAAACCTTCACGGAACTCCTCTCTTGACTCGAGCAACGGGCTAAAATGAGGTCTCTGCTTCACTGACTTAAAGACCTCCATTGACTCAAACACTTGCCAAACCGGTGAGTGTTTCACAAAAGGCAGAACCGTTGTTGTATCATGAGATAACTCTACATACATCAATGCAAACGATCTAAAAGAATGAGAAAACAAATATTTTTTCTTTATCAATTATGTAATAGAGCAAGTTTATGTAAAGAAACAAGTGTCTTACTCGATTTAGTAGATGATTTTTCTCCAAGGATCCAAGAAGAGAGGGGCTGATCATCATAATCATCATCATCGCATATATAATCAGTGATCAGAGCCTCTGAACCATTGCAAGCCTCACCTATAATTTACTCAGTTATTATAATAAGAGAAAAGATTCAGTGAGAAACAAAACACAACAAAACACGTACCACTTTCTTCTCTTTTCCTTTTTCTACTCTGATCTTGGCTATTCTCCACTTCAGGCAGCTGCATAAAGAGTGTAAGACCATCATTTACAAATCATGGAATCTAAGATAGTAAGCATCATCTAGTGAAAGCGAGAATTGATTAAAGTTTCTAACGGAAAAAACTAAACTTTACCTTGTGTGGAGTTGAATCATTTCCCAAACCATTTTCAGAGGATTCCTTTCCTTTTGTTACAGTCTCTGTTGTTGCAGTTATGACTGGAGATGGGGTTACAGGTGAAACAGATTTTCTTGCTACAGAACATTGATTGAAATTTATATCAATATTCATGCATGATGCATAAATTAAACACAAAAAAAGAAACAGATCATTTACCAATTGGTGTTACTTGTGGGGTAACGATGACCAGTGGAGTTTTATCAGTCATCACAGCATCGACCCTCTTCTTCCCCACTTCTCCAGTGACCTGTTTATTACCAAGCAGCAAAACAACATCAGATCAAAGACACGGTCATAAGGAAATCAAACGAAATTTATTTGTTTTCTCCTCTACTCACAGCCACAGTTTCAGCTTCCGTGAGTGTCTCGCCATTTCCCTTCAGTGAGGATAATTTCATATGCTTTCTGGATCTTTTACCAGTCACTGGCTTAGCACCAGAAGAAGACCGCGTTGGCTTACTTTTGATGGCATTGACATTGTCAAGCGTCTCTTTCACAGGGTTTTGCTGGCACTGTAAAGACTAAAGAACATAACAGCTTCAGTTTCATACAAAACAATCCAAAGTTTGATTGAAAGATTAGTGAGAGAGTCGATTACCTTTGCTCCGTTAAGCCAAACACCATCTTCCCAAACCTTGAAAGGCCTAAGTTCAGAGTGTTTAAACTCGAACTCCTCCTTCGTAGCCTTCAAACTAACCCTGTAACGTCTTTCAGAGAGAATACGCGTCACAATGCCTTGACGCCACAACGAGCCGTAAAAGACCTCCACGCATTCCAGCAGTCCGTACTCTTCAACCGAAGAAGGAGGCGGCGTTGGTCTCACACGACAGCTATCGACAGTCTTGTTTGGTCTTGCCACTTCATCACCGTTGTAGCTCCTCAAGTGTTGATTACAGTCCTTGACAATGAATAATTTATCGCCACCCTCTTCAATCTCCTTGACTACCATCGCAGGGGACCATCTAATTTCTCCTTTATTGACAGAAGAGACTTCCACCATCGTCCCGGAGCAAAACATGGAGTCGTCCAATTCCTTCAAAAGTTTCAATTCACAACCAAAGTTATAACCTTTAACACCAATTTAACCACAAAAACAAAGAACAAAGAAAGGAAGGACCTTTTTAACGAAACAACACAAAACAGAGACAAAGCTTCAAAATTTTCCAATAAAAGAGCAAACTTTAAGAAACCCTTTCAATCGAAATCAAGGAAGAGGACCACTTGGATAAAGCTCAGAGCTTTGTACCTGAATATCTGGGCGGACCCATTCCGAACCGGTCCACTGAAGATGAGCTCGCAGCTGCTTTCTCTCGAATTGAAGAATGTCTGGAGGAGACTCGAAGCAGACCAGATAGTTATCATCCTCAAGTTCCTTCTTAATGACCAAACCAGTCCACCAAGCGTCTCTGTGATCAGCGTCGACCACCATTCCTTCTTCCAAAACGACGCCGCTGTCGAGGTTTTCCGGCGGGACCGGTCGAATGAGCTTCGGATCGATGATTTCGGTTAGGGGAGACAAACCGTCGTCGGTTAGGAGAGTCGTGTAACGAACGCGAACCTTTCTGCGTCCCGTTGGGTCTTCTTCCAAAACGGCTCTAAACCAAGCTCCTTCGAATCCTTCCTCTTCGGTATACACTTCCACTTGACGACCTTCGGCCATCGTCGTTTCCGCCATTGACAATGTGGGTTACTCTCACTACTCTCAGTCTCTTAAACCAAAAAAACAGAAAAGACTCGCCTTTCTCTTGCGACTGAAAAACCCTAGAAATCGGAAGAAACTCAGCTCCAAAAGTGGAATAAAGGTCAGTCACAGGGGAAGCGGAGAGGTCATATGCTTTAATTGTGAGCGCAAATCAATTCTAATTTGTTTTCTTTTTTTCTTTTTTCTTGGCGCGATCAATTTTACGAAAAATATAAGTGTAGCTCTAATGGGCCTAAATATTAACGAGGCCCACGATGATTGGCCTCCTACAAAAGTTAAGAACAGATTAATATTGCGTTCAAAGGTTTTACTTTTATTAATTTAAATCGTTAGCATCGTTTTCTTCTACATGATGTAAACGAGTTTTAGGGAGGTTTTCACGGTGTTGAGACTCAAAAACAAACTTGAAACCCATCAGTGAAAGGTTTTGATTCTTGGGACAATGCAAGACCTACAAACGGTGTAGTGTCTAAAATCACCGGGAAACAAAAAAAGGCAAATTACATACACATGAACATTGCTAAGCACTATGCAACGAGTAGAGTAGAGAGGGACTTTAGAGATCAGATGCTTTCAATTTTCTGGGCCTCTTGTGTGCTGGTGAAGGAGTGTCTGCTTGTCTTCCAGGACCCTGTAGGATTCACAAACACATTGTGGATCAGATATAGACATAACACATATGCAGATTATTTTCATAGAAATCGATATGAAAAAAGGAAAATAGAAGACTCTAATCTGCACTACCTTGCGCTTTTGTTCCTTCTTGATTGGTCTTTCAGCTGAGATCCACACACACACACACAAAATAAAGTTAAAGATGGTTAAGTAGTAGATACAATGCTGAAACATAGAAGACGGTGAAATGTACCTCCAAAACTTAATTGCTCAGATGCAAAAACACGGTCCTGAACAAATACAAAAGAATTAGAGATGCAAAAATAGGAAGTTGAAACTGCAGAAAGAATTGGCGATTCAAGTTTGGATGCTGACCTTTGGAGTATCTGGCATTGCAGCATATGAACCTTCACGATGTGACGAACCTTCCGTCTCCTTATACTGCAACTGAATTCACAAACAAACCATGTTTGGAAACAAGTTAGAAAAACATGTAGCTGTACATTTCGTGAGTCGATACGAGTTAGGGTTTATATGGAACTTATCTTGTATGGTTTACCTGCTTCTGAAGATTCAGTAGTGTTAAAATTTCTTTCCGTAGTTCAAGATGCTCATCACATACAGTTTTTGTAGGAACCTTTGGCTTTAAATTAACCTGTAAAACAGAAAAGTCTACAAGGCATTAGTTAAATCTATAAATGAAACGCTAAGCATGTGATATAAGACAAACAGAAAGAGTCAAAACAGAACAAGAAGCAAAGACAAACCCCGAGATCTTGCAGAGTCTGCTCAACACGCTTGATCGTTCGAAGACCAACAGCAGAGCTTGCAGCTTGAACCATTTGCTCAAGCCCATAGGTTCTCAAGTACACATGAAGCTTGCAAAGTTGACGGAATCACCAAAACGAATCAGATAAACTGAAGAGAACCAGGTAGAAAATGTGAAGAGGAGAAGAGAGAGACACTCACCATACGCAGAGAAGCAAGGGTAGAGGCATAATCTGCCATAGTTAGTGTTGATGGAGCCACAGCAGTAGCAGGGAGTTGAGAATTGGATGAGGGAGATACACTACGCCCTGGAACTACCCCATCAGCTCTATCAAGACCAGCATTCTCACTCGCAGACACATCAGGCTCTTCCGCACGCTGGACAGCCAGAAAGACGACAGATAGCTTTAGAAACAAAAAGATAAAGATAAAGAGTTCGGATGTGCATCTAAGGTGAAAGAGTATCTTCAGTCATGATAAGCATATTTCATCCATTGTTATTTACTAACTACTAAGTACAAGCTAGTGTATTTATATCACAGCATCACTTACACGTGCAGCCAATCGCATCTCTGTGATTCTTTTAGCCTCAGCTAGAATCTGTAGTTATGGTAGAGAGTAAGTGAAAACAAAGAAGATATATATTTCTGTGGCTGCAAGGGCACTCAAACTTAAGAAGATCCACACCTCAGCATCTTTCTTCTCCTGATGTCTACTCTGGGACAGGACCATGGACAATGCCCGCTTCCGCTCTCTATCGCGTGTAATATCATATGGCTCCTGTTTATGCCAATAAAACGAAAAAACAGCATTTATATAACACAGCAAGGATAGGTTGCTACAAATATGTGTACACAAGAGCTTCTATTTAGCTATGAAGAGATATATGAGGATGTTGACCTTAATCAGGGGATTGTTTGCAACATCTGCTGGAGACTGAGCTCTCGCACGCAGCAGGGCCCGGTTTACTACATAAGAGAACTCTCAGTCCTTAGCGAACACGGTATAGAAACAGAGAGAAGAATGGTGAAAACAGATTAGGTGTCCAAACATACCACTGTAGTACCGATCCTTCAATTCCTCCACAGCCCGTGAGAACGGAAACCGATCAGCTATTAGAACGAAGCGGAGATCAAACCTTTCACACAGTTCAAATAGCTGATCTGTCTCTTCCTTGGTCCACACCTGCAAGTTGGGGCACAATCAACCAAGTCATATATTATCCAACACAAGCACGTATAGAGTGGCTAGGCACTTGATAACTAGTGATCCTTGAGCAGAGACTTACAGGGTCCGTTAAATGATTCTCATACTCATCGTCCGTGTATTTCAAAATCTCAACTGACTGCATCCACACACAAACAAAAGAAACGAAGGAATTACAAAATGAAGTCAGAAGAAGCAGAAACGGAGAGAGAGAGGACAGTAAAAGCAACTCAGGGCAAGAGAATACCTTGTTGTATTTGGCAAACGAATAGTCACCTGTTGGTGGAACACCATTGACCACTCTAACCTGTGAAGATACAAATCCAAATCCAAATGCATTAGAAAGAAGAAAGTAGGAGATGCTCAATGGCGTTGGACGGAAAAGGAACTAACTTACCCAATGGTAGAGTTTCAAATCATCTTTCCTAGCGGAATTTGTGAAAGGAAGCCATTGCCAAGCGACCTGAAACACAAGAATCATCTCAAAACTCCCAAAAAGAGAAAAAGTCTAAAACCCTTGAATTATCCTAAAAAGCAAAACCGGACCTTTTCATCCACCGGAGGACGGCGCTTTAACTGGGTAACATCAATTGAAGGCATAAGAGGTGCAACGCCGCCGGTAAGCGCATACACCTGCACATCAACAACGAGATTGAAGTTTACGAAGAGCTCGAGGCGAGAAAGAAAGGAACTAAAATCTAAAATCAAAATCGATGACCTCGCGAGAAATGCCATCGGGTTTTCTGTGGGACTCTTTCTGGGGCCGAGATTTCTTCTCCAGTGGAGTCTTCGGCAACCCCAGGATGTCTTTTGCGTCCATTGCAATTACGCTCTCTCGAAGAACACAGAGAATGTGAGAGATTTGCGTTTGCCCCCTTTCTTCGACGACGACGACGACGTCGAATCAAATCGATTTCAACCGGTTTACTTTGATTATACCCGAACTCAACATTAGACCGTTACAAAACCAGGAATTGTATTTTGATTTTCGTTTCTCGTTTTTGCTCAAACCAGATAAAATTCATTTTTTCGAATTAAACCGAAATTATTCAGTTTTATATTAGCCCAAAATCCCTATGTTTTTATTTATCAAAAAACATTAAACATCAAAATAGTAAAATACACATCTGTGGAGAATGAAAAGAAAAAATTCACATGCAAGAAAACAGTATTTACCGTAACTAATTGAAAGAAAATCATACCATATCCATATTATTTAAACAAAAACATAGTTCTTGAATATATAATTTTTGAATAGAAACAAGAAATCCTTAGTAGTGTGTGATTTAAAATAAAAAAGAGGAGAAACATAGAAAAATGCAAAGTTATAAATTATCATTCAATCACTTTATAGGATCAACTATGAGCGAAAATCCATCAAATAATAATTTTTACGTGCCTAAATATAAACAAATTTAAGTTATGATGGTAGTGGTTGAGCTTGTTAAAAATGTGGTAAAGGTGTCAAGGTTTAGCCATATATTTATGTTACAAATTTACTTTGGGAAGGTACTTATCACAAAAATCAAGAAATAAAGTTGTTTTTAGAAAGAATTTGCTCAATCGGTGTCACACATTAATAGATGACTAGGGTTTGACCCGCGCCCAGCGCGGAGTGATGGTTTCTACATTAATCTTTTATAAAGTTTGATAGTTGTGACATTCACATTCACCATTGATCATACCGCTAAAATAGCATACCAATTTTCATAAATTTCTTGCCTTTTAGCTGATGTTAATATACCGATTAAAGAATCAAAAATACAAAACAAAAATATATATATGAACAGTAATAGAATTCGTAATAGTAATGAAATTGCAAACTAATTATAAGATTTTGTTTTTGTTTTTATGTGAATGTATGCATTTAGAGTTTTATAGTTGTTAGTGCAGGCTAATATATTTAATTTGACCTATATATTTTATATTAAATTAAGATATTTTTCATGTTTTAGACTTTTAATAAACTAACCGACGAAAATATGTATTCGTAAAAGCATCAAAATTTTATTTAAAATATTCAATACATACAGAAAAATATATACTTCTTTAGTTTTATATTATTGATTAGTTACTAAAATTACAAATTATATTATAAATCTTTAAATTTTGTATTATTTTTAAATCTTGATAGAATTATTGTTAGAATATATAGTAATACCTTAATTTTTTATCATGTTAATATTATAAGTTTCATTTTATCAAATATAATATTTAAAATAATTTAACTTGTTATATAATTAAACTATATTACAATTATGATCAAATTATAATATTCAATTTTTTATCAAATATAATATTTAAAATAATTTAACTTGTTATATAATTAAACTATATTACAATTATGATCAAATTTAATAATTATTTAT